GATTCAAAACTCAGCTATAGTTATCTTGCTTGGATATTTCAACGTCCACCACAAAATCCTGTTTTGGGATCAAACTGTACCAGTGCATTTGGTCGATGCACACTTGAGATGTCCAACTCTCCCGACGAAGTAAATTGTTTTTGGAGGACTAGATTCTTGATCTAGCTTTAAGTTTAACTGAATTGCATCGACTGCTGAAACATTTGCAAGACTTTGAACATCTCACCACAACCCTGTTAAGCTGGAGGTGCCCACCCACATGGACAAAACCTAGTGACAAAATGTTTAGTGCTACCTGACAAACCTGATTCGGGGGGGGGGGGGGGGGGGGGGGGGGGTCGGGGGGGGGGGGGGTCATACAAAACTTTCAATGGGGGTGCTGTTGAAATCCAACGATTGTTAATGTTCACTATAACACAGAATAATGTACATATGCCCCCTAACCAAGCTGGCTCTGTACGTTTTTTTTGCAAACGGACATTATCACTAAGCAAACAAAATTTGGGTGTCGAAGGGAGGGGGTTCGCATTTTTTAATGAATTTCTATGGGAACAAATTTGGGACAGAGCTGGGTTTCTTTTTTTGGACCCCCAAACACCCCCCCCCCCCTGGATCTACGCCAGTGTAGGCTGGGAATTCTTAACTGTTGAAAACAGCCACTTGATTGATTTGGACTGAAAGGACTACTTGGCACAAAATGTATGTTTGCATAGGAGGGTTTACCAAAATTTGCTTTTTAGACGTGACACAAGAGGGCGCCGTGTAATGACGTCATCTTCACTTGCTTATGTTTGGCATCCCTCACTGACCATTTGCTGAATTTGAAACGAAAGTACATTTTGAAAATGAAAAAAGGTCTTCGCTGTCGGCGAGTCCGTAAATTTGGGCGTAAATGTCAGACACTTTAATGAGCTGCTGTTGGAAAGTACGAAAGCCCTGTAGTGCCATCAAGTATATATTTTGTCCAAGTTCGTTTTTATGAGATATATTTTCTCGAAGTTCGTTTTTATGAGATACATTTTGTCGAAGTTCGTTTTTATGAGATACATTTTCTCGAAGTTCGTTTTTATGAGATACATTTTCTCGAAGTTCGTTTTTATGAGATACATCTTACGGAGTAACGGAGTTTTATGAAGTTACGGAGCCCCTAAAGGGACATCCAAAATTATTTTCTTATCTCGTGCGTAATAACGAATCAAATAATCCGTAATAACGAATTAATAATCCGTAACAACGAATGAATAATCCGTAATAACGAGTTAATAATAACGAATTGTTAATTATTTGAAACGCCATGTAAGTACTATTGCCTACGAAAGCCCATTAGCGCCACTACAAGTATATAATTATGTTACAGATTATGTAATTCGTTATTACGGATTATTAATTCGTTATTACGGATTATTAATTCGTTATTACGGATTATTAATACGTTATAACGGAATATTAATACGTTATAACGGACTATTTAATTCGTTATTACGGATTATTAATTCGTTATTACGAATTAGGTCTGATGTTCTCACACGTGAAGAACAAGTGACCAGGGACCTGTGTATATAGCGCCGCTAGGCGGCGCTATCTTTGCATACAACGTTTGCACTCCTGTGCCATACTTGCCGAGTAATGACTCAGAACGTATGAGTAATTCGTAATAACGAATTAATAATCCGTAATAACGAATTAATAATCCGTAATAACGAATTAAATAATCCGTAATAACGAATAGAATAATCCGTTATAACGAATTAGTAATCCGTAATAACGAATTAATAATCCGTAATAACGAATTAAATAATCCGTAATAACGAATTAAATAATCCGTTATAACGAATTAATAATCCGTAATAACGAATTAATTAATCCGTTATAACGAATTAGTAATCCGTAATTAAATAATCCGTAATAACGAATTAAATAATCCGTAATAACGAATTAATAATCCGTAATAACGAATTAATAATCCGTAATAACGAATTAATTAATCCGTTATAACGAATTAATTAATCCGTTATAACGAATTAGTAATCCGTAATTAAATAATCCGTAATAACGAATTAATAATCCGTAATAACGAATTAATAATCCGTAATAACGAATTAATAATCCGTAATAACGAATTAATAATCCGTAATAACGAATTAGTAATCCGTAATTAAATAATCCGTAATAACGAATTAAATAATCCGTAATAACGAATTAATAATCCGTTATAACGAATTAGTAATCCGTAATAACGAATTAATAATCCGTAATAACGAATTAAATTATCCGCCGATCTTCGGCTAACTTTGACAGATTTTTTTGTTAAAAAGCGAGTTTGACAGAAAATTTGACAGAGTGGAATGGAACATGCAATGAAGTTCTACTCGCCGTGCAAAAGAATCAGAAATATTCAAAGTAACCCGTCTATCTACCTCTAAAAACTGACACTTCACGTGTACTGCACTGTAAGTAGGGAATGGTGCAATTTGGATTATTCAGATTTTAATATAATATAATAATAACTGTATTTATATAGCGCTTTTTGCCAGAGGATACAAAGCGCTGGGGGAGAATGCAACCAAAGCCAGGTAAATGAAGTATATGAACATTATGAGACCCATTATGTAGCACCTTTTTGCTAGGTGCTGCGGCGCATAATTGCTGCCACTGCCAGAAACACCGGGGCAAACCCCCTCCTCTTAGCGACAAGTGTTACTGGGTTCTTTAACGTGCATTACACAACACACGGGACCTGCGGCTTTACGTCCCATCCGAAGGACGAAGCAATAATGGCTAAGTGCCTTGCTCAAGAGCACAAGCACCATGTTCCCACGGTCAGGATTTGAACCCGTGTACCACGGCACACGAGTCGAACACCGTAACCATTGGACCACGGCGTCCCACATATACACAGGGAAGAATATTTACCTGGGTCTTCATGTGGTGAAACGATTTTCAACCTTGGTAAATTAAGGGGAGGTCAAGATGATGTAATACATATTATGTATTGCAAGTTGAGAAGAAAGAACGTGAAGTAAAGGAAGGTAAAAAGTATTATCATCTTTTAACCTGAAGTGATTATTCATGGCGAGGTGATAAGCCTTACTGCGAAAAAAGAAAATATGCGATAATGCACTTTTAACATAACATTTATTAGTGAAAAATAACTTGTATAATTGTTTCCAATTGTTTTCAATTGTTTTCTTCAGTTTTTTTTCATTAAATGTATGTATTGAATTATGTTAACAGGGATTCCATCTCAACCAGCTCCGCTTTTTGGGGGCCCCTTCCATCATCTCTAATTTAAAAATAATGCGCTCAAAGTGTATACATATTTGTAAAACCAGTATTAATTCCTTAATATTATATGAATATATATCTATGCCTTGTGAGTAATGTGATCACAGTGAAATGTGGTAAAAACAATAAAGAATGAATGAAAGAATGAATGAATGAAAGAATGAAAGAATGAATGAATGAATGAATGAATGAATGAATGAAAGATTTAATAATGCTCATACCACTAGTCCAGTTAAAATGCATGGGACAACAATTATTGTTTGTTTGCTGTTATAAAAAACAGGTTTGCATGATAAAGGATCGATAATAACAGATCACGGACCAATTGGGATCATCATAATAATTACTGTAAAGCTTGTGTAGGTAATCTCGCCGTCGGTTGAATATTCTCTCCCAGAACTAGTAAAGGAAATTCACTTTTGACAGCTATTTTCACCTAATTAGTTAACTTATTTCAATAGTTTCTTCACATAGTATAAGTACATGATTGTATATATAGCCTTAACCGTGCATGGCGAAAAAAAAGTTTAGTAAAAGTCGCAAGAAAAGTGATATTACAAAAGTCACCAAAATCAGTCTTGACCATGGCATGTGTTACTCTATGTAAATTGGACGTTTTAGTCCACAAAAATTAGAAGCCTTGCCAACAAACTGTTTTGACCTGGTAACTTTATTGAGGCTGTCCGGTTATTCATTGTTGAGATCATCTACCCAAGGAGCTGTAGGCTTAAGGTAATTGTTGCAAACATGTCTTTGTTAAAATGGGCTTCATTGTACGTATTAAGTGTTCAAACATGCGTTGGTCTCATGTCAGTCTACACGCAACACAAAAAGCCTTGAGAGAACTTACGACACAATGCAGTGCATCTCACTTGAAGGAATCCTGCTGGGAAGGGAATTGATTTTCAGAAAACTGCATGACCTCATAGCAGACAGTACCAGAAGGACACCGACAAAGAAGTGGGAAGGCATGGTTGTTGGTAAGTGCAAAGAAGACTTCGACGCCTCCAGTTATTTCATTTGATTAAGATTTAAGAATTTACTCAGTGTGGTTCCATAATCATGCCGTGTTGTTTAATTAAGTCTTTGCATTAGAATCCTTAAATTAAACGAAATGAAATCGAAGTTTGATTTGGATTCTAGCGAGTGATCGATACTCGATAGAACCATCTAGAAGGCGAGGTAGGGATCACGCCAGAACGGCGATCATATTCCGCGCCGGATTTCAGACTCTTAATTCCTAAACTCAATTTCATAAATAAATTAATATTTGAAATTGAAGAAAAGAAAGATGGAATTTTCAATATCCATGCTATACGTGAAATATAGCGACGAATACGGCGAAATTCCAGAGCGTAACAATTCGCCGCCGATGTTGCCCGTCGCCATCTTGAAAAACGATCTCAAGCGGTGAGAATTTTCGGCTCCATATTTCCTAACCTTTATCCCCATGACACTTGCATTTAGGTCAGTTTTGAGAGATAATCATGCTCTTTCTAGCCATACCCAACAAAATGCTCGTAAATGTAAACAGAAAAGTTTACGCGACCTGAGAAAAAACTCCGGCGCCAGTTCAAGGATTAATCCAAATAAAAAATATAAAAAAACACTTATGAAGCAAGCCGGAGCTACAAACGAAACCTAGCTTTTGGAAACGGTTATAGAAAGTCGATAAGTTACCCGATGGTGGCGCTCTTTTTTAAAACGTACGTGCAATACATGTGCGGGATTCCCCACGTACGTCCCGTCTGCATCTGCTGTGCTGGTTTTAATTTCTGCCGGATTTGTGATACATCTTGCTAAAAAAAAAACAGACATTCGTATTTACAAAATTAAGAAGATGTCTAGCATCTCGCCTCGAAGTTAATCCAGTTTATCGTGAGTAGCTATAGGCGCTGGAGGCGTGTGTGAAATTAGAAAAGTAAATATTTTCGAAAGGCTTTTCCAATGATGACGCAAATCATGTGATCAGTACTACTAGTACTAGTACTACTAGTAGTACTAGTGGTATTAGTACTAGTAGTACTAGTAGTAGTAGTAGTAGTAGTACATTTATTTCATCGCAGTGGCTATCGTTACGGCAGCCGTAATGCATTTCCCATTTTCTATCGTTACAGAGTACTGCAACTTTTATAAAAACATGAGAAGAAAATATAAAATTACTAGGAAAAAAGTGAATTTGAACATTATGAAATTCGGACTTTATTTCCCTTTTAAAAAAAATCTTCCAAAGCCTCAGGTTAGAAAAGGAAAAAAATTAGAGTGCTAAACTGAGATGTGAACCCGCAACCTCGCGGTGCAAAATCCTACCCTATCGACTGAGCTATCGCACTGCTCGCTAAAACGTGGGGAAACAAATAATTATATACCTGCGTGCGTATCAAAAAAGTATCGTAGAGGGCGCTAAACAACGGCTGCCGTAACGATAGCCACTTCGTTATTCATTGCTGTCCTTGAATGTACAGTGTTAAATACAATAATTTGAAATACAATATTACAGGTTAAGTTTAATGTCAAATTATTACACAAAGAACAACATTTAGGTTTTGGTGAAGCAAAAATGCTTTTGTACCCTAACCTAGGAACAGACAATGGGTAGCATAAAATGGTACGACAGTAGAGCGCGTAATGAATATGCATGACTATGACGTCACTAGAAGCTCATGAGTAATATATCACGCACGGTACTGATAGATATACATGTAGATGCACACTGTATGTGCTTCATCCCACTTACCGATGATATCACATTTAACAAGTCCTCTTTCGACTGTCGCGCCACCACCCTCTAGTGTCGTCCCACTTACCGATGATATCACATTTAACAAGTCCTCTTTCGACTGTCGCGCCACCACCCTCTAGTGTCGTCCCACTTACCGATGATATCACATTTAACAAGTCCTCTTTCTACTGTCGCGCCACCACCCTCTAGTGTCGTCCCACTTACCGATGATCATCACATTTAACAAGTCCTCTTTCTACTGTCGCGCCACCACCCTCTCGTGTCGCCCCACTTGATGATCATCGGTAAGTGGGGCGACACTAGAAGGTGGCGGCGCGACAGTAGAGTGTGCATACAGTGTGCATGCATATCTATCAGTACCGTGCGTGATATATTACTCATGAGCTTCTAGTGACGTCATAGTCATGCATATTCATTACGCGCTCTACTGTCGTACCATTTTATGCTACCCAGACAATGGGACAGACAGGACAAAGGACTACAACAGCCAATGAGTGTGCATGCAGGTACTAAGACATAACAATACGAGATAATTTACACATTACATTTAGAAATATGCTTCAAGAAGGTGTTTTCCTAGTTTTTTGACAAATACAGCCTGTGATGGTGAGTTTTTCATAGACTCACTAAGACTGTTCCAGTAATTTGCACCACGTTGAATAAGACTGTTTTTAAACAAGGACGTTTGACTGTAACAAACATGGATATTTTTTTCTAGGAGCACTTCGAGTATTGTGTGAATGTATGTTTGATCAGCAAAGTCACAGAAAAAAGAGTGCTGAGTGGTAACACATAGCAACCCATGAAATCTGGTGTGCAAAGGAATACATGTTTTAAATTTCATTGGACGAAGTCAGCCCGCCTCCACCTATTTAAGAGACGAAGTCTTTCTCTGTCCAAAGAGCAAGGAACACTCCATCCTCATCCACGACCCCTTTGACCAGAGCCATCTTTCATTGCTCATTTTCTGTCTTCATCACAGGTTTTGTTGCTGTGTCAGACTTTTTGTTGCTGTGAAAAAAATTCCACAAAAATGGCTGCAGTGATTATGACGTACGTACGCCTGTCTTCGTTATTTTTTTCCTTAAGAGCATTTGAACAATGTGACAGGATACATAATTTTTGAAATTTTGTTTAATTTTTGTACGGGTTGTTTAAAATTATCAATGTTTTTAAATTTCACTTTTTTTCCCAAATCCATTGGATCAGCCCCCCCCCCCATTTTTGTGTTGAGAAACCCAAAATTCTGATTTTAAGATTATTTACTAACTTTCCCATAGCCTTTTGTATTAAATAGCACTGAAATATGGATAGTGAACAGCACATTAAGTTCGAATACCCGGTCTTTATGTTCAAGCGCGTCAGTTTGCATCAGAGGTACATTTATCTCTCAATATTAGGTTTTTGCCCTTCATTTGTTTCAGAAACAGCACCCCCCATTGTCTTGTGGTCTCCAGCCCCCCCCCCCCCCCCCCCCCCCACCACTTGCCAACGCAGATTTACACCACTGGTTGCCACACAGATTTCACTTGATTCATTTTTAATGATACATATAAGTGTTTTTACTGGTAATTTTCTCTACAGTGACAAAATGGAGAACATGCGTTCCTGGTTTCAGACCATCATCGATGGCCTTATGGTGAAGGAACGCCTTGCGATGGCCGTCAACTTTGCCAAGGAGCGACCAGTCGCTGCTACCCTGATTGGTGTCGCCGTGGCAACAAGCTTCCTTCCGGCTGTGGCCTTTGTGTCTTTTGTGGTTGCCATGCTTATTATTGGGGTCGTCGCTTTGCTTGTCGTTGAAGGTATAGCCTGAGCAGAGTTGCCAAATTTTGATGATAACAAGTCCTTGGGTAGCTTTCCACCATTACCTGATTACTTGGATGCTTCAAAACTTGCTTGGGTATTGGCTATTGCACACTGCCCTCAGCTTATGCATGCAAGGACAGGGCCCAATTTCACGGCGCTGCTTAACAGTTAGCAGAAAAGTTGTGTTTAGCATAGCAGAACAATTTGCTAACCTTAAGCACTATTTCACGGCGTGTGTGTGCTAACGATCACGTGTGCATGGAGGTTTCTATTGTTACGTCACTAAGTTAAGCAAATTTTTCTTCTGAAGTAAGCGTGCCTTTTGTTGTGCTTATGCTTACGGTCTCCATGAAATAGAACACAGCACACAGCAGCTGATGTTGTTTCTCTCATGAAACTGAACACAAGTTTCATTTTTTTGCTTCCTTCATTTGGTGATACATTTGTACGTTGAAATATTATTTGGTTTTTGAGTAGCCTCTTGAGGGCACATTTAAGCTTTGTTAAAATGTGCACAACTTTTGCAACTCGTTGATACGAGCTGTTAACATCATGGTATTAACGAGGTTTTAAGTACATGTAGTAACCGGAACTCATGTGGGTGAATATGCTGTCTAGCCCAGAATTAATTTGTTAAGTTTTGTTTGTGCCAATCTTTCCCCCTTCCCATCCTGCAGGCACTGCCATACTGATGGGTGGTGGGCTTCTACTTTTTGCCCTCTTCGGCAGCATGATTGCCACAGTCGTCGTCGGTGTGTCTATCCTGACCGGTCTGATCGCCGGCCGCTTCACTTGGCGCATCACCGCCCCCCTCCGCGCCAAGATGGCGGAACGCCTGGGCATGTGCAAAGGATCCGCTAACGTCATGAACAGCCCTGGCACTCCTAAGGAGAAGGGGCAGTTTGAGACGGACGACATCCTGGACTTCACTAGCAACGCGAGGAAAGTGGAGACCGACTAGGATAAGTGGTCCCCTAGAAATCCGGGGCAAGTAACCCTCCTCAAAACCAACGATGAATACCCATCTTTTGCGGCATCCATGTCCTTGACTTGTAATTTTGATAATATCGTCTTTCTGCTTCTGGTCATTATCCCTGTCTTGTCCTCGATACTACTTTCGCTGTAATTTGAAATGAAATCCTCACCCTTTGCCTTTTGTTAAATTTGTGTCATAATAGAGTATGTCCCCACAAATGTGTTTGTCTGACTATTTTTAAAACAACGACAAAACCATGACGTCAATTGGAAATTGTTTTGATTGTGCAGATGCTCCTTATCCGTGGAGTAAACCCATCTAACATAACACAGCACTAAAGTGACCCTAACCCCCTAGGCCCTTGTTGCTTACAACCATCCTCAATCCTCCAAAATCCTCCAAAATTTTGCAACTCCGCCTAAATTTTTCAAAATTGTCAGACAGTCCTGCCTCAAAATGCATTCATCCTCAATCCTCCAAAATCCTCCTCATCCCAAAATTTTGCACTCGTGTTTAAATGAAGGATAACCCAACGCCAAATCCTTCAAAATCATCAGACAGTCCTGCCTCAAAATGCATTCATCCTCAATCCTCCAAAATCCTCTTGTGCTTCAATCACCATTCATCCTCAATCCTCCAGAATCCTCATTTGATTCAATCACCATTCATCCTCAATCCTCTAGAATCCTCCAAAACCGCCAGGAGGATTTTGGAGGAGTGAGGTGGGTTAGGGTTAAGGCAATGAACTTGGTCACAGTGTCCAAAAGTGGTGTTGTGATCAATTGACAATCGTGCAGTGCGGCGTGACGGAAGTGAAATGAAACCCACACGGGTTTAGGCCAAGGATAAGAGGTATCTGTACTATCAAACATTGTCAACAATGACTTCATGGTTTTGTAATTATTTCAACAACAGTCCGAGGGACACCAACCTCGTCCCCAGGGTGTCGAGCAGTACGCGCCCACCACTACCTGCTCTCTCACCCTGGTATTGGATCATTTGCATATGCAAGATTTTTGCACACGTATGCAAATGAGGAAGAGTCTGGTGCCTGGATATGCGTTACACATTAGCGTTTGTTTTTGTATGTGGTGTCTGGGGTAAAAACACAGTCAATTCGTAGCAGCGCGAGCACGGCGTGAGTTACGAAAACACGATTTTTGAAATCAAACTGTTACGATCTTATTGAGACAACATGCAGTATCATATTTCATATTAATATCAACAAATTGGAAAGGAAATTAGTAATTTCGAGAAGGCGTGGACGAATGATCGCAAAAACACGTACTGCACGTTGTGAATAATAGCACCAAGTACACGATAAAAATCCATTACTAGCCAATTGCGGTATCCAATCAGGATACAGGAAGAAAGTTTCCTATCCAGGGTTTACTATTGGAAACGCGGTTGGAAATAAAGTAAGCACTGGGGACGAGGTTGGACGAACTGTACTGCGGCTGATACCGACAGTACTGATTACTAAGATTACACTAAATAGTCAGACATGCAATGTTTCCTCAGATCAGCTGATTTTGTCACACTTACGTCATTACATAACTGAAATACACTGTGTAAAGTCTGGGTTTTTGTTACGTCACAGGTGCATTTGTGAATGATCTGTCGCACTGACTGGATACGGAAAAGGAAATTGCCGTTTTGGATTTCTAGGGCACATAAATGCTTCAGTTGCATAATTGATAAGAAAGAATCATCAAAATTCTGGAGTCGGCCTATCCCAATGCAGTAAAATTGTTATAAATCTTGGCTTTCCCCTAATTTTTTTGATGTTTGCATTTACTAATACTTTATGTTTTGAAATAGTATTACATGTACTAATAAAATTGTTACAAATTTAATGATGTAATGTTTTGTTGATAGAGAGATGTTGCTTAATGGTAGTCTATGGAATATCCCTTGCACAGCAAGGGTCTATGATATGCCAGCAGATTCAGCGATTAATTATGCAAAACAAGACTGCGTCTTGACCTTGAGTTTCTGACCATTCAGCGGGCGCCTTCGGTCTTCCGAAATCTGTTGTTGCATTATAAAAACATGGCATCCAAATTGACCAATCAACAGCATGAGCATATGTCAGAGCCAGTGTGGCCACTCTTTTTTTTTTTTTTTTCAAGATCCCCATCTAAAATTTTTCAAGATTTTTCAAGCCTATGAAAATTACTACACCAGCCAACCTGTCCCATTATGCAAAGGTTTTTTTGAAAGGATTGAAGCTCTTTTCAACAAATGTGCCATTTGTTTTCAAATTTGCTGTTAATTTTCTGTCAAAATACTATTTTTGCAGAATCCTGCCAGAAATCTGCCAAAAAAATCCATTCTGTCAAATTTTCTGTCAAACTCTTTTTTTAACAAAAATTCTGTCAAAGTTAGCCGAAAATCGGCTAAAACGGTCACAATGCCCTCTCTGCCTACATACATGTTTTTGTACTGCAGGGTCTGACCGTAAGTACATGTATAGCGCGCCAATGCTAAAAGAATTACAAAGTAAAAATAAAAGTCGCTAAAAAGCTCGGGTGTTCAGTGGAAAAAGTTGTCAAAGTTTCTACAAAACATATGGTTTTGTACTTTTAGTTGAAAATGTTCAAGATTTCTTGCTTTTTCATTTTTTTTTTTTCAAGTTTTCAAGTTGGGTCTCAATTTTTTCAAGATCTTGAAAATTGTTTCAAGCAGTGGCCACACTGGTCAGAGCCTCTAAAGACCACTCCGATTTGCGGGGTTGCATTTATATTACGTGCTTATATATCAGACGTTCAACCCTTGCTTTGCCAACATGAATGGCTGATCCCCACATTAGCTAAATGGTGCTTATGCCTACTTTATTCATAATTACATGTAGTTCAGTACATACAATGTACATGAATTTATGTGTTTGGTTTCAAACCAAAATCCTATTATTGTGTGTTGTATTGTCTGTTGCATGAAGGCATAATTTTATAGTGTGCTGTGTTATCTGTTACAGTTTTTTGTGCATTGAATTCTTGCAAGATAACTTTGTTTTGCTTAGACTTTTGAAGTGCACTTTAATGTTGGCACTCTAAATATGTGAGACTGAAAATAAACAACAAAGTCCATTTGTAAGTCATTAGGTGTCTGGCGTGTTGTTTATTCCTTACTGTGACGTTGCCATCTTTTTTTTTAACACCGTGGCTAGAGTTATAGCAGTCGACCGCCTGGCTGCCTGACCTACCTAACATTTACGATGTCGAGATCTTTTGGTCTGGAAACCTTTTATGGTTCTCAGACTTTTATTTCCCTTAAAAAAAGATCCTCTATAAAATCGGCAGTTTATTAAAAAAAAAGAAAAAAGGATGATACTTCAATAAAAAAAAAAGGATTCGATTTAAAACATAAAGGCTAAGAAAACCTAAAACAAATCTCTAAAATCCTAGATTCCAATCCTGTACCTTCGGCATGGTAGTCCAACATTGAGCCAATTGAGCTACCAAAAATGTTCTGGATGGAATTGCAGTTGAAATTTGCAATGGGTTTTGGCAACACCGTAACTATAGCCATTGATATTGCGTTACGGCTGCCGTAATAATACAATAGCAAGTAGGTTTTTTTTTTAACCTTGCAGTTGTACTGATTAAAATTTTCTGTCAAAGCTCCAGATCATCGTGGTGATTTTTTTTGATGATGTAAAGGTGTAACAATTTCAGTAACTCATATCATTTATAAAACAATTTCTCTATTTTTACCTGACAACAACTTCAGATGGGCGTAGTTTTTCCAAGGAAAGTCCATCTCCAAAACTTAAACCTCCTAGGGGAAAATTTCTATTTTTGACAATATTTTCATATTTCAGGGTGTAAAGGTTTTGTCCAACAAATCTCACGCTTTGAAATAAAGTACATGTAAGTCCTTTTTGCAGTCACAACAAGCAGACATATCCAACTCATTCCTCAATTAATAAAACAACAAAACAGCAAAGTTTGTTTTGTGTACACATGTTACATGTACATGTATTTTCTCATGGGCAACTTTCTGTTGTAACAAAAAAAAAATCAAAGAAAAGTAAAAATTGAAAAGAAAAGGGGAAAAAAATCTATAATGTCTAACAAATTCTACATTTAAGCTAGGAATAGTATGAAATGTAATTTACTCCAAAAAAATTGTTTTTGGTAAATTCATATGTGTGGACTTGTTATTTGCAAAACTGCATTATAGTCATCACTTTGCCAGTAAAAGGTATTGCAATACAAAAAAATAAACCACCTTTTTCAAATTGACCTCTAGGGTTGGCAGATTTGAAAGACTTCAACAGAAAGTACTGTTTCTTGTTTACTTGCCCTTTTTTATTAAACAAAGTATGTATTTCTTTATCAGTACAAAACTAAAAGCTAAAAATAAGAAGGAAAAAAAAGACTAGTTGTACATAAATTTCATTGTTTGCATAGTAACTTTCTTGAGAATATGTCCAAGTGGAATCTTGGAATGCACACTTTTACTTCATCATGTTTCGAACATTTTCTGACCATTTAGATTAAAAAGGATCAAAAATGATTTATCGTGAGGCTAGGTGAAGCATTGGATATATCAATATAACACATTTGTTTGAAGACAACAACCAATAATGATGTCATTACATTTCAATAATTGCTTGAACCAGCCTCAAATTCTGCGCAGGTACACGTCAAGCACAAATTGCAAAAAGAACAGGATTTCAGAATAGATATTTATTTGTGCAGGAACCCGTACTTGGTCTAAAAGAAGTCATCAGTACAGAGGCTTATTGCTCAATCAATCTCAGCAACTTCTGACTGACACTTAATTTGAATTCATGTATTAAGTCAAGAGACTGAACAAGCACTATCAGCTTGTTAAAAAAAATCATCATACTATTCTAATGTTTCTTGATAATGCACCAAATAGGTCTCGTTCAAAATGACGTCATTTCCTACAGACCATCCACGTGCATCGGCGTTTTGAGCGTCAACTTGCATAACCTGCATCTGCTGCATCATATTTCAAACACATTTTGCGCAACAAGCGCGAGTGTTTGGAACATTTTCAACACTGCGCAATGCGTGCTTGATTGCGTAAAATACGTAGTTGCAGTTCTCCTACAGAGATGGCTGTCATTGAGTGAGCCCTTTAAATTGAAACTAAAACACGGCTTTCATTCTATCTGAAATTGCTGAATACATGCACAGTTCATCTCAACTGACATTCAGATTTTAAAACTGCTGAGAGTACTGTATCAAATCTTATACAGATATCTGTTTAGTCAGTGACATGAATTTGACCATCATAGTGACAGTTTTGTAAACACAAACTGCTCCATGAAAAGAAAAAGGCCACATTTTGAAGCAAGGGGGGGGGGGCTAACGTACATACAGAATAACATCATATACATTGTAAATTGAATAAACTTTTCTTTAACCGTAACCCTGCCAAGTGCAATACAGTGCATCAGATGCACAAGTTAACCTGGGACCTTGCTGCACTGAGCCATCAACACCAGTGCATAAAACGGAAGATTCTGAAACAATGAGAGCTCTTTCCATTGAACGATGCCACAGTTGTATCCTGCTGCAGTTGGAGACCACAGACTCTCAGGCAGTTTAGCCTTGAGATGTTTGACCCGATGGTCTTGCTCCACTGAGCAGGCTTGTCATTCACTCAAGTGATGCATGTTGCTGCGTTCAGCAGGGTTCCTAGTCGAAACACCCAAGGGGTTAGGGTTAATCGTAAACTTAAAGTCTGTGAAAACTGTACTTTGTTTAATTATAGCGATATGTCGACTTACGTCGATAACCTGCGATTCAAGTTTGTACTTCGAAAGACGTTGTAACAGCGCGCTCATTGGTTAAAATATGTCCAACTCCTGAGTAGAAACTTGTATTATATTGTCACGCCTAGGTCTGCAGCTGCGCATTCTCAGCTTCATTTGTTCGACTCCCATTCCTCCTGTCACTGTACTGTTTTCTGGATTTCCTCCGGCACCGGCTGTTCTCTAGTCGCTTGAGCGGTCGCCGGGGTGAGCCCAATCTCAGCTTGCCGTTGGAGTCGAAATTGAAAGTCTGGCCTACATAGGGCCTCTGAGGTTGGGGGACTTTGTCCCTTGAGGTGCTGGGGTCACTGTACACGACGGGGCCGTTGAGGCTCTGCTGATCTCTGGTGGCAAATGTTGGCAGGGGAGTGGCGGTTGACTTACCAGCAGCACACGATATTTTGGCGTCGGCCTCAGGTTCAGTGGTTGTGCGTTCCTGGTTACGGTGCATTGCTTCGGCGATGGGTATTGCACTGGTTGTAGCGCTGGTGCATACGGTGGGTTCGGCCTGAGATTCCTGGAATGCTTGATGGGAAGATTCTCCAGCGGTGGATGTTGAGGCGGGCAGGTCCTTAGGTGAGGTAGCTACATCAGAAGTACAGACGGGCCATACAAAGCCTGAAGAAATATGAGGCAAAAAATCCTCAAGTGAACAGGGAGTTCTTTGCATGTGTAGTTCAAAACAAGACCTACCATGAACAGGGAATATTGTTTGACACTGAGGACCTTTTCTTTGTATATTTCACTTTAAGACCGCATATGAATCTCTTGTCCAGAGACATTTTCTTGGTCTCTGCCCCTCACAACAAGCTGACAATTACGTAGCTGTAGCTCTGAAAACATTGTTTCAAACACAGCTTTAATTTAAGAATTCGTATTGGATCTGTCACGACAAAAAACAGTTTTCAAAAAAGTTGGTTTAGGGGCGTTCGTTTACAGGTAGCATGGGAACCGAGTACCCAAGTGAAATAAAAAACCATGAGTACCTGGATATCCGTTAAAGAAACCCAAACTCAAAATTCAAATCTTGGAAGTTGCTGTTCAGATTGTTCATAAAGGTTCGCACAATAATACTACCACATCGGTGCGTCAATACAGCAAGATACAAACCTGTACAGTGAGCTTTAACTTAACAGTGTACACTGCAACTTTTGTGAGCGTCATAAGCATGAAATGTGTTCTGTTGTCCTATGTAGCCTGGTTTTCATTTTTAAAATCCCCCACAAACGACATTCAAAACCTTTCTTTTTCATTGTCTGAGTAGTTACTATTAAAGTAATTTGTGAAGTTGGTTACGGGTACCTGATCCCATACTCTGGAACCGGTTCCTGAAATTTAACAGTCGGGTACTCGCACAGCCTTGTGACAAACTTGTCACACTAAGGACTGGTGTAGGATAAAATCAAGTGCCTACCTTTATCATTAGCATTGTCGGTTAACATTTCTCCCTCCGCATCACTTTCCATGTCGGCGTCATAGCCCGATTCCAAGGATATCATGCTCTCGTTCCTGGCGTCTTGGAAGCTTCTTTCGAGGGCATTGGTGGATAGCTCGCCCGTTGGCGTGGTAACAAGGTCCTCCCTGTCTTGTTTGGGCTCTTCCTGATGCCTGGACAAATTAGGGAAATTGTCTTAAATATTTGTGCTAAATTTAAAATCCGCAAATGAGATTTCTGCAGCCTATGAGTTTCTTTTAAACACATTGTTTCACATGTTGACTCCAAACTTCCTTGGGTCAACAAAAGCATTTTTAAGTGAACAGAAATTCTAACCAAACCAGAATGTCAATTACATGAACATGACAAAATAGACCAATGTAATTTATTGAAATAAGAATTCAATTTATAAATGAAATGTCAAACTCTATAAGCAGTAGTGATAAAACCAATCTGGTGTGAGAAACAGGAATGGTTCTAGTTACAGTCAATCATACTTCAATACTGCAAGTCAGGACCCAAGTAACTGAGGATGAAGGCAAAGGAATGTCTTTGTCAAAGTTCATATGTGACCTGCTCCAAAAGAAGGATAATATGTTGCCAAAAAAAGAAGTGAAATTGAGTAATATACATGATTGGAAAGCCCATGTCGTAAGCTTTCATTTTGGTATCTAATAGAGCTCTATAGCCCCTCCTGTTCGGGAGATATGACGTATTTGCATATTTTAATTACTTCCTTGGAGTTCGAATTACACAACTCAGAAAACAGGCTTTCAAATAGCTGGCTCTGTTGTAGATCTGGGCTCGATGCACTCAAAATTGTCGGTTTTTCCCCCCACTTTATATATCGAAATCAACCTTTCTGTGAATGAACCCTGAAACTTTAGGTATTAAAGATGTCATACGTAACAAAAAATTAATTCACACTTTGACGCAATTTTCACACTCTCAACGTTGAGCGGGCCATTACACGATAATGCACAGCGCGACTTAATACCCTTTTTTTGTGGAGTTGGTCACATATGACTAGCTTGTCACTTGTGATGGACATGTGATGACTTTTAAGGACTTGCGATTAAGTTGTGATGAACCGTGTTTGACTTGTGATGGCTCGTGATCGACTTGCAAGGACTTGCTACCCAAGTGGTGACCTCTTATGACCTCTCACCTGTTTGGCCTGGAGGTCCGGGACGGCGACATGAGGAAGGGCTCCATTCTACCACAGGGAGTCGGGGTACCGGGCAAGGACAGGATCTTATCCTCGACGATCAGGTCGTCTTCCTTGACGTAGAGATGAGCGCGCAACGTGGCGTAGTCCAACACTGGGATCTTGCTGACCTCTTGGAATTCCTCTTCCTCGTAGCGCTGCTTCACTGCGGACAGCTTGATGTTGCGGTGGTCCAACAGTGGCTCCTCTGAAAAACTGAACAAGTTCATGCAAAAATTACCACCAGAAACTGGTTCCACCCTCCCTCAAAAATCAATCAAGTGACTGTTTTTAACAGTTAAGAACTTGTTTATTTGATATAGCCATGCTTTGACTGGAGGTGATTGATATGCCAGCTGTAACTACCAGTCACCTCTTTTGTCTGTTGATGGAATTTGACTGGTCACAGTGTTTACAGGAATGTGATCCGACTGTTTTACTAGTCTGTATACAAATGCATGGCAGGGGAAGTGGAAGAAATTTTCGACTGTCTGTGACTGATCAAACAATGGGAGGGCTCTACTGTGGCATCATTATCCTCACAGGTACACCTGCAACAACACTACTGTTTACAAAAATACTTAATTCGTACCATTTTTTGTGAAGGTGGAGTGTACATGATACAAGGTCTCCTTGCTGGAAACCTGTGAAAGCCACTAGCTTGGAAGGCCAGGTGCAATCTGAATACAACAGAGTAAAAAAAAACAGTAAGGTTGACAAAATCACTTGAAGCAACAAATTTCTCAAAATCTTAAGAATGCATAACAACTTGTTGAAGTTTCAGCTCAGTGGATACTATACATTTTGACAAAACAGCGAAAAAAGTATGCACAATTATTTTATGAAGCCTCGTAACTGGATTGAATTGGCCATAACTCAATAAATATTTTACCTGATTGTAAAGACTTTTTCATTGTTGAAAAGCTAATGGACTATACACTTTAAAGCTATAGTCCATCATTTGCAGCCATCCGAAAAAGTAACTGGCGTAAGTAACCTGGGAAATTAATCTTTCTGGCAAGCTGTCATTTTGAAGTAATCAACGAAAGAAGGCCTTTCCAACGGTGCGTCTTAAGACGCACAGTAGGAAAATTTAAATTAGTAGTTCGTTTTGTTATTCGGCGCTGCACGCGCAAGCATTGGCACGACGCACAGGCACGACCGCACAACTTTTTTTTTTATAGCGGTTGCTATAATTCGTCGGATCAGTGCGCGACATCGCGTATAGCTGCAATTCAAAACAATTCAAAACATGATTCAGCAACTTTTGATTTGAAATTGAGATCCTAGAATGCTGTTTTTCTCGGAATATACAGCTGAAGCTGAGCTGAAACTTCATCAGGTTAGTTGTTCAGTATCCTTCATTAGATTTTGAACACTTTTGTTGCTTCAAACGAACAAAATGCACAAATTACAAATGATGGACTATATCTTTAAGATCGTATAGATATTTTGCGATGTATTTTTTTAAAAGCTGTGAAATAGAGGCACTTTGAGGGTTCGTTTTTTTTTTAAGACACCCTGTATTTAGCTAAAGGTAGTTTAACTCTTTCGCTACGGCGAGCCGCTGACAGCGGCACACAAAAATTGTACATGTCGTACGGCAAGCTGCAGGCAGCGGCTCGGTGACGTCGCTGTGAATAAACAGGGTATCCCCATGACGTGGGCCTTATCTACATAATTTATATCGTGTAACCTCTGACCCTAGTTTGAGCCGCTGCAAGCGGCTCTCCGTCTGGCCGGGGTGCGCTGCACGTTATTGTGGGCAGTTTGTTTACGGAGATACATTTAAAGAGGGCGGCGCCCACATCGACGCTCGGCGGAATTCTAGCGATTAATTACGTCCAGTTGGGACAAAAAAGGTAAATTAAATTCCATAGCAAAAGAGTTAAGGGATACTCAGTGACTCAGTCAAGTTAGATGACAGTGCGATGGTATTTTGGGTGCAGAGGTGCGATCGCTTTTGCACAAACAACTTACCACACACATCGATGATTCTGGCTAGGTAGAAGACCGAAGCTGCTAGGAGGGCCAATGAGTAACGACCAAACTCAATATGGAGTAGCGTCAGCTCACTGATGTACAGGGCAAGATACTTCAAGCGACGGTCAGCGCCGGCTAGCTGACAGTACAGGATTAGGTACTCCCACACTGATGAAACCTTTTTGTCGACAAATAAATCAATCGTCAATCAATGAATGAGGTAAGAATTTTATGGGATTGCCATTTCTCAAAGGAAATGGCCGGACCAGCACTGAAGTCACTGGCTCGCTCCAGCAGCCTATTAAACATTTCTAGCCCTGGGATGAGGGGAATAGGCTAGGACTATAATTATTTCAAATATGCCGTTTAGTAACAAATTGTTTATACTGTACAATACTGAATGATGCCGTCAGAATACCAAAATAATGATGACCTTGGTGTGGAATTTCAATACCGCAATTTTTCCTCTTAAATGTGGCATGATGTGGGCAACACCCTTTCAAAAACTGGCAACAAAGCAACTTGGCAAGATCTACACCGCTATGTGCAATGTATATGGCCAATTGTTTAAATATGTGGTCACGGTATTTTGATATGATGAAAACTGTGCTTACAAGCAGTTTCTCTAACACAATGTTTTTATTACAATAGTCTACCCAGAGAAGTACCGTAGAATACCGATTGCCGTGATATTTTTTGCGGTGGTAATCCTGAATTCTCAATATCCAATACTGCACAAGCCTAGAAGGGAATGAATTTCACTCACGTCTATCTTTCCACGCAGGGTACCTAGGATATCTCCCATCATTCGGACCACCTTCTCATATCTGTAGGTGCCGTCTGTAAGCCACGCAGCCTCCCGGATGGTGATGATGTCTGGCTCCAGTAGCCTAAGCAAAACAAAATGGTGTGATCAACTTGATTTTAGTGGAAAGCTTGGTCTGACTTCGTGTCTCTACTTACTGTTAGCTAGGAATCCTCACTAACAGGCATGCAACTGAAAAGTCACCCCAAAAAAGAGAGGAAATTCAAATCTTTTTGTACAGTGGTTTTCTATTTTCAATGACACACATGGGAGGTCGAAAAAGAGGAAATCAGCTGATCCGAGGAAAAGCTGCATGCCTGGCATTGCCTGCACTAACCTTCCATGGAATATTTTCATATTTCTTTCCAATACTTCCATGGATTGTGCTTGCAGTTTCGTATATTTCATGGGCCAGCAGAATTACAGCTTGTGCGCTTTGTCCCCAAAGATGATATTATTAGGAAACCAATTTTACGTAAAGAATACCATAATGCTGTGCCGAACATACCAAGTATCTAAATATTCGATCAACCACCGGATGTCAAAATTTTACCATATAGAACATTTTTCAGATAATGTAAGCTGTTTTCCAAGATGATGAAAATGTCCGTGATGTAATTTTATTCATATACGTATTTTTGTCAAATGTCACATTTTTGTGGACAGCCACATTACCAGATATGAGTTTGAGAGCTTCAGCGAGGAATATTACCAATAATTTGCATCTTAAAAATTTGTTAAATATTAGCCAGTCAGCCACCTTGAATATGTAAAGATACATACATGATATTCATAATTCTTTTCCCTCAATGGCAATGTTTGAATATACGAACATTCTATCAGATCCAAGTTCCAATAATCGAATATTGAATTATTCGGAAATGCCCAGCATTACAAGGCCGTACTTCTCAGGGAAACAAGAGTCTGTTTTGCCCTTTCTCTCTGTCAAACCAATAAACTGTGTGTGTGTGTTCACAGTTTTTTTGTAACTTTTATATTTTTGACAGTCTTTTATCCTTCCTGTGTTTATTTTAGGTATCTTAACATTACATGTATTCTGTTTAATTAACCTGTTAATTGCTTAATTAACGAAAAAGCACACAAAAAACTCTCAGGGAAGATTTTTTTTAATTTTGAAAACATACTTTATTTTAATTTTTTTAATGAATTAAATACCAAAAATATGGCAATAGAAAGTTCGAGGTTAAAAACTGGGCCTCATAAAATCCAGGTAGGTTGGGTTTAATACCATAAAAGCACAATTTCTTTTGGCCTCACCAAGCAGGAGTACTTAGTCTCTACGTACCTTGAGCAGATGACCATCGCTGTGATGCCCACCAGTTGTAGATTCCCCCTAGTGACTGGTTGATGCATGAGGTATCGATCAATGCAACTCACGACCATGTGCAGAGTGTGAGATGAGTAGCCCTTCATGCCAGCTACCTCCACCAACCAATCCACTAAGATATATCTGCAGAGGACAAGATTATCGGATTACAAACTTGAGATTACACAGAGGGAGATTAAGTCTCCTGACTCCTTAAAGGGACACTGCATCCTGGAATGCGCCCAATTGTGCTACAAAATGCATTTTAAACAAAACAATGTTAATTAGAAAGAGCATTTAGAAGTAGGATATAAACGTTCACGCAACCATCCTTTAAGAAGTGATACCGACCTCATTGCATTGTTGAGCGTTGACTGCACATTGAAGAGATTCTCTGAGTTTCCTGGGCCTGATTCCTGGATGTATTGGCGGGTGGCTTCAGCTGCTTGGGACTCAGGTAGACCGCCAAAATGACCCTTGGCGTAAGCGTTGAATAGTTCCATCTGAGGGAAGAGATCACACCAAATTCAAACTAGTTTCCAGAGTCGTGCCAAATAAAAAAGTAGAAGGAACTCTAGTCAACCCAAATTGAATTTGGTTTCAAACGGGCCAAGTAAATTTTCCAATAATTAACATTCCTTTTGTTTGATCAGTCACAGACAGTCAGAAATTCATTCCATTTCCCGTGCCATGCCTTTATCCACAAACTAGTCACCATCAGTCAGATCAAATTTCTACAGGCACTGCGACTAGTCAAATTCCATCAACAGACAAAAGTAGATAACTGGTAGGCACGGCTGGCTTATCAATCTTCTAGAGCCAAAGTATAGCTGTATCAAGTTTCTTTATTAAACAATCACAGCCAGTCAATCCTGCTTAATGTAAGCAGGGAGCACACAACAGTCACTTGATTGATTTTGACTGCTGTGTCAGCTTTGTTGAATTTGCCAGCCAGAGAGGGAGTTAACTGCAAAATGTTATCTTGCAACATAGTCGCTCCTGTTAGTTTAAAAAAGTTGCTCATGTAATTGTTTCCAACGTCAAACTTTTCATATGCTAAATTCAAATCTTAGCTTCGGCGTGACTTTGAAGCACCAGTCTGAAGACTAATTAAGATGGACGATCAATTAAGATAGAGGAAAACAAGCAAACATTTTCTCAAATAAAGCCATAGATGAGAAGACAAAGACCCACACTGCACTATTTTGGACAGTTTGAGTCTAGCATGGGTGTAATAAGAGATGTGAAATAACAATTAATTTTACGGCAATCTTGTGTTTTCAATTCTGAAGGTGGGGAAATCAAGGTTTGGTTACCTTAGCCACTTTGGATGGTTGCGACGCTACAATTTCCCTGAGTTGTCTTATTCTGTCCAGTTTGGAGGCAGCATCCTGTCGATGTTGAAAAGAAAGAAAACTTTTATTGACACTGACAAGTGACAACACCTTATCAATTTTAACCTCGTCTTTTAACAAGAGAAGATCATAATTTTCTTTTGCTTTTGTGGATTTTTTTTTATTCAATGGTTTGTAAAAGTTAAGACAGCCTGTTGTTTTGATCCCAGCAGGATCTTTCTCATAGGCATTACTTTTGCTTTTCAGCAAGGTCCTTCCAGAATTGAACCATCAGGCCCTTTAAGCCTAACCCGCCCAGGGTATTTTGGCTAGAAACCCTTCCAAACCAGCAACACCTAACACTTAGCAAGATCCATCAGGCAAGAAGTCTCAAGGCCAAACTGCCTCAGAGTCTGTGGTCACTGAATGCAGCAGGATACAACTGGGGCATTGTGCAATGGGAATTAACTCTCATTGTTTCAGAACTGGCCTATTTATGCACTGGTGTTGATAGCTGAATGCATCAGAGTGCACCAGACTTTTCCACCTGATGCACTGTGTTGCGTCTGGCAGGGTTAGGATTAACTTATATGATTGCTTTATTTTCAGGTCCATCCAGCAGTGTGCATGCACATTTGATTCAATGGTTTGTAAAAGTTAAGAGGCCTGCTGTTTTGCCTTGGCTTCTTAAAGTTGCACTCCCTGTGCTTTGTAGACTCATACCAGTTTGTGTTTTTCTAGATTGTGTCTTTGTGTGTCTCACTGTTGTCCATTTTGTCCTTTCTCACTGTCTCTGTTTTTCTTGGTCATGTCCACTCGTCTGTCGATAGGTTAGGGTACAAAAGCGTGACGCTTCACCTTATACCTAAATGTTGTCATAAATTTCTTTTAGTATTGATCCATGTACATTATTATACACAATTACATATTAATTGCATTTTGCTCTGCATAATATGTTTACACGGCATTGTAACATTTTATTGTGTAGAAATGGCAACATTGAAATAAATGTTTCTACTCTACTCTTAGTTTCTTCTTTCTCTTCTTTTGTCTTCTGCGTCGACTTTGGTTCAATCAGTCTCCAAATATGTTATGTTTGTTCTTAATATTCAAACCCCTTGCCTTGGCTTCTTAAAGTTGCACTCCCTGTGCTTTGTCGACTGTCACCCTGAAAAATATTCTTCTTTTTTTTACAATTGCTATTTTTTTAAAAAATAATTTACAACTTACTCCTTTTTATTTTCAATGAGAAAACAAGCAAAAAATCAACGGACATTTAGTGATTGAATTATTTCCGTCACAAAATTCAAATTATTGGCTGCCAAACAATAATTCGGCTCTTGCATGGCAGTTTATTTGTGCACAAAATGAAAGCTTGGAGAATTGCAGACGCCCAAAATTGGAATGAAGTACTTTCTTTTGCTAAAACCAAACATGGAAAAATTCAAAATTTGTTCGGCGAAAGAAAAACTTTGCCTTTAACTTGTGAAAACCTTACCAGACAGTCTTTCTCGTTGAATTGCCAGAGTTGTAGCGTGGCTTTGTGTGAGCCGGCAGCCGCAGCTCTGGACAGCCACATGTGTGTGTCCCTTGCCATCCCATTATCATCAGGATCTTCCTCCTGAGGAAAAGATGAGGATATTAAAATTCAGGTTGGTAAAAAAACTATGCCAAAATAAAGGCATATAGGATCATTTGCATTTATCCCAGGGGTGACCTAGCGAATCATTATCATAAAGCTTACTTGAAGTAACCCTAACCTCCCAGCTCCATCAAAATCCATCCCCCAATTTTGGTGGATTTTGGGGGACTTGGTCCTGTAGGCCTGGTTTGACTAAATATTGATGGAGTATGATGGACTTGGGCCTGGAGGCCTAAAGCAAAGCATGCATTGGAAGCAGTGTGATTGATGGATTTTGGAGGATTTGGCCGAGTACTTAGTAAAAGACAGTAGGGAGTTAGGGTTAAAGACCGTACTGGTACTAAATTATTCTGTCTGGCTTGATGTCATTTTCATAATTTTAGAAGAAATCGAGAAATGTAGGTGATTTCCAAAGAAAAAACAGATTCCCCCCCCCTTTACATACCTTAAACAAGGGATATGTGTCAAACTGCTAAAATCTTAATTAAAAGGGGCTAAACTTTTGATAAAGAAGTTAATTACAATTCTTACCTGCAGTATAATGTTGATTCTTGCGATGCAGTATAGAACTGTTTTGTCACATTCCTACAACGGAAACAGGAAAAGAGTAAATCAGTTTTTTCCCTTGTCATAAATAAAAGTTTTTCTCAAAGATTTTCATTATTCCAGTGCACTCTTTGAACATCGGAATGGAGATCTTGAAACTGAAAAATCTGCCTTCAGCCGGTAAACACTGTCTTCTGCTTCTAGAATCCGTTTCAGATTGGCGTTTTTGAGTCACGCCGACTGTAAGAACACATTTGGTTTCAGACAGGCAAACTTTCTGTATTACTTTTTCCGTTGATTTGACTCTGGAGTCGTTTTGAATAAAGCAACAGTCATCAATGTAGTTGCTGCTCTTTCAGAAGCCGAACTTTGTCATGCACTCAACTTAAATTTTCAAATTAGTTTGAATTGTAATGACTCTGGAGTCTGGACGCCGGTCTGAAACAAGCGTTATTTTAAGAAGTTTCCAAATTCTCTGATGAGAAAGCTGTGCTGAGCCATCCACAGTTTCTCTAGAGCATATTGCTCAAACTTTTTAAAACAAACCTCAGCACCGAGAGTTTATCCAGAACGGGTGGTTGCTTTTGAGGTTTTACACTGGGGAAGACCATGACTTCTAGCAAACGCAGAGCACAAAGCGACGCCGCTTGGTATGTTGTGATATTTTTATTTTGAGTCACAAACACAAGTTGCTGCTGAATTTCATTTCATTATACAGCAAATGTTAAACATAAATTGAAAGCACAAAGGGAGATTTATTTTGACAATAATCTGAAGCATTTTCGATGTTTTCAATATCATTCCTCAATATTGAAAATTGCTATCGGCGATATCGATATCAAAATAATATTAAATAATCAAGTAATATCTATATATCGACGGTGCTTAGGTACCTGAGAGTTGATTGCCATTTCCTTTAACAGTGTGAAGACAGAAGCCTTGCAGCAGGCGCCGTTCTTGCTCCAGGGGGGTCGTATGAGAGCCCATAGGAACAGATCCCTGCCTTTGAGCAGCCTCTCTGCTCGGCAGAGAAACTCAGCAGCGTGTTGACCTTTGGCATTGGTGTCGTTATCAAACGATCCCGGATCTGGAGAAAAAAGAAAAGAAAAGAAAAACCTTTAATATTGGACTGATTAAGAAGCCAACTGAGTTCCAAGGAGTTACGCGTCCCCTACATGTTTTTTTTTTGTACCTCTATCATGTTGCCTTGGAAGAAGATCTTAAGATTGGAACGTCAGACCGCCTTAATTTTGTAGATTTGTCTATTTCCGGTCGATCCAGTCAGAAAGCAGTTTGCAGCAGTCTTATTCATTTTCATATTTCTAGATTTTTTACGGATTTGGTCATTTATCTCTTGCTTACACGGCATCAGTAATAACTCTGAATCCAAACAACTGGCTTGGACAAATGCATTGGGTAGGCTGTTACTTTGTAATTTTTTTTTTTATCAAATCCCACACTAAAATTAAACTTCATGGCCATATTGCTTTAAGCTTTGTTTCACTTTGGCCAGTAGCACAGACTAAATAAATACCACTGATTTTTCTAAATGGCCTGCATTACTGAATCCGTGTTCTTTTTTGAGCAACCTCGGATTTTACACCCCTGGGTGGCATACTTTTACAGCATGCAAGAAAAAATTACAATGTGTTTTGTTGAAATAATTTAATAAAAACTTACATCCTTCATTGTAGAGGCAAGCTATGCCTAACTTGATCAACGCCTCCACATTGTTCAGCTCAGCTGCCCTGCAGAGTACAAGCATAATCAAACTTGAATCTTTGAAAAAAAATCAATGTTTTATAAAAACATAAAAAATGAAACCCTCAGTGCTACATATGTAATGAATCAGTGAAAGTAGTGTCAGATGTAGTTAACAAGTGTAAAGCTTCAAAAATCAGACGAGCCCAATTGTTTGTCACACAGTGACCAAAGAATGGCCCATCTACACACATTGAACTGGAAAATACAGAGCCGGCTTGTAGCGGATTTGTACAAACGCTTAAATGTTGTTCAATCAGAATTACCAAATGTGCGTAACAAGAGTGTAGTGTGTTTATTTGGTGAAATAAACCTAAAGTCACGATGGCTTTGGAAACGATTTCAACTAGAGGAAGAATTGTTACCTTTCAAAGTGTTTGAAATTGACATTATTAGGCCACTCATCAACGAGAGTTGCTGTCGTCCACAAGTGGGGTGTGCTGTCGATTAGCCATTTAAACTTGGAGCAAACCTGCAAAGAAACATGCAAGCATGAAAAGTGAGTACAATGCTGGAAGGTAGTTCAAGGCCGCACGCAAAATAGAAAAAAATTGTTGCAACCTGACGCCACTTCAGCGGTTGTGTACAAAGTCTGTGGAGAGTCAAGAAAAGTTTCCAAGTATTTCCTCACAAAATTGGAAATACTCCTCAGTCCCAGGTTCATGTCTTATCAGCATTTTTGCAATGACTGACGTTCATTGAGATGATACATGAAGAAAAAAAAGTAGCGTCAGGTTGCAACATTTTTTCCAGAAAAAATATATATCAATCACATAATTAATAGGAACAAAAAGAAAGACAGTTACAACCTCATAACCAACATGCATGGGAGACCCTCAGAAATGCTCAGTCTGTAAGCAAAAGTTGCTAAGTAGCAACTGTGCAATAATAACACAACATTTTGTTGTTGTTCATTGCATCATGTTTGAACATGCACTTAGGGCCCGTCGCAATTCATATGGAACGAGTTCCGGACATGTTCCTGACACTGTATCAGGTAAAAATTTGCAGGATTCAGAACAACTTCCCCGCAATCTTTCCGCAATGAAGTTATCAGTATTGATGAGTCAAGCACTTGCTAATGAAATTTTTTTCGGACCACGTCCGGGACAAATGCAGAGCTTCTTCCGGACAAAGTGGATGATTCTACTTGCAATTTGTCCGGATATGAATTACGACGGGCCCTAATATTCTGAAGGGACTCGTCAACTTTTGAACATCTTAAGTTTGCTTCAATCCCTGAATTCGCAAGATGCATTTTGTTGTAATGCAAGAATGCACATTGCGATCAAATTGTCCTCTGTTTACAAACATGAGTCGAAGTTAAAAATCTCTGCAAACATACCACAACAAATTTGCATACCTGTCTGGTCTTGATTAAGTCTCTGAGAGGCAGAAATTTGAAGAGTTGGACCAGGACCTCATGGGGCAGGCAACAGAGATTGTAGTGGGATCTCAATCTATACATCTTGGTCTTGGCAGCTTTGAATTTTCTGTTGAGAAAAACAAATCAGGCTAGAATCCACCTTTGTTTTCTATAGCAGACCTACGAATGAAAAATGTGATGTGACAACTCACAAGGTGGGTTTTTCATCAGGAAATTTTTTTTTTGGTGTGTGTGATACTTGCTTGAACTTTGCCATCCTGGAAACAGCCATTACATTCTGACATGTCTCAAAAAATACATCAATTTGGAGCAAAGGAAATGTAACTTGTATTGCATGGACTTTTTGCATGAACAGGAGATGCTCCTTTGTTACCCCTGGGGGTCTTCTGAGGACCACCGTAGTTTGTAGGGCCGGTAATTCATTGTGAAATCGGCTCATCTTTTTGTTTCATGAGCCCTTCGTAAGTTTTGTTCACGGTTGGGAAATTTTTTGTTTTCCATTGACCCTGTAAAAGGAAATAGTTCAATCACTGATGGAGAAGGAAGCGTGTAATATGAATCGTAGTGGCTATCGTTACAGCAGCCGTAATGCAATGTATTTAGGTCAGGGAACCAGAAGGTTGATATACTATTCGCAACGTTTCTTTTGCAATACTGTTATGATAGCAGCTGAAAATTGCATTACGGCTGCCGTAACAATAGTCACTGCCAATATTATTATTATATTATTCATGCCATAAAAAAGTCACACTGCCCAACTGGGTATAGGGGAGTCAAAAGTAACATAACACTAGTCTAGAGACCTGACTCCCCACAGAAATATAAAATACATAAAATATAAATTAAGAGTACTTACGTCTATTTACATGATTTAAGACTAGGCCTATATTGCAAAATATTATTCATGTTAAAAATATAGCATTTAACAGAATTTCACAAATTCATAAGTGTAAGCCTAAGTAGCATTCCAAATTTCATTTATAAAAATTGTCAATGGATCTCTGCCATCCCCCCCTGCCCCCCCCCCCCCCCTAGCCCCCGCAACACCCCCCCCCCCTCAAAGTTAACTTTAAAAAACATAACTTAACAAAACTATCATGACTGTACAGCGTGAAGGCAAAGGAGATGATAAATAAAAAAAACTCGTCGTTTTGGGGCCAAAGTTAAGGAGGAATTTTGTGCAATATCTGTATGTATTGTTATGCAATAAAAAGATGGCAGCAGTGTGCCGTGCGTGTAAACGCATTGGGCATGTTGGGTGGTCGTGACCGCAGACTGACCGTTGAGAAACGCGGTCGATGACCGTTGCAGCAGCGTCCGATTTCAAACACCCAAAACTAACAGTTTTCAGGAAAGACATAACTTCTACTCACCTTTTATAACATGTAGAACTCTAACAACATATACACAGTGAAAACAAACTAAATACTTAATCTACAAATGTTGAAAAAATGATGAAAACTCTGACTAGGCCTACCCCCCTCGAGTCCCCCTCTTTGGTGTTCGCGTTCGCATGCACGCCAGCTGATTTTTGAGTGACCGTTGAAGCGCCCTCTATAGTGTGGCAGCGTGCATTTCCGTTTCTCGATTCGGGCGCTGATTGGTCCATTGTGGCAAAACTAGCATCTTTTGCGAAGTTGCACAAAGCGTAATAAGCATGCACGCGGAATAGAAATATCTTTTGAAATCAGGACATGCGTCCCCATATCCCTACCCATATTATCTATGTAATGTTCAGTTTACGGAATTAATTAAGTCGTTGTCAGCAGATCATCATCCACTGTTTTTCAAACTGTCTGGCTTTTTTCGGCCGGCATTTTCCTCATCTCGGTAAATAATTGACTTTAGAAAGTATTCATCAGAATTAAGCATTTATCTTTCGGCACCTGAAGCATATATCATTTGTTTACTGGTACTTTAAAGTTTTCTTGGAAAAATCGCCACATGAATATGTGCCATACCCTTTTCTTCCTGCCTACACGCATTGTGTAAAGTACCACCGATCACATTGTTCAATTTTACTTTGAACTTTGATTTTATTTTGGGCGGCAGACGAAGACCAACATGGTCCGTATATCATCTTACTAATGCTTTTTGAATAATATTCACGGCTTGGAACAGCCTGCTGGTCATAGAAAGCAAGGTAGTGCGCCTATACCTCGCTTATTGACTTGTAAGCCGGTATGATCGACCCCGTATTAATAAAAACACCAATGAATGACTTAAATATGGCTCATTTTCTTTACCAGATGCATTAATTAAAATTCTTCCAGCTATTAAATAGCCATTTCGAATCAGTTGAATAGGACCTTGCGGGGACAGTGCACCCCTTTATTAAAATTCCAATAGATACCAGTGCTAAACGCCTACACTTCAAAATTCTTTAAAAATACTCAGAACTCTCGCAGCTGCAGCTGGGTTGAACATTGACTTTTCAAGAAATTAAGACGACCCCTATTTTTCAATTTCCAAAGCGGAAAAAGTATAGCCATCTTGAAAAAAAAAACCGATCCCGCCACAACATGGCAATAGCCATGTTGTGGAAATTTCTCGAAAAGTCAATGGTCAAATCACCAGAAATTGAAAAGAAAATGAAAGATGACATGTTGATCATCCTTTTTCAAAATGACTATTTCTAATTTGGGAAACATCAATCGTTTTAGCTACCTGGGGGTGGTCTTCTTTGGGTGAGAATTTCTCGAAAAGTCAATTGTCAAACCACCAAAACTTGAAAAGAAAATGGAAGATGACATGTTGATCATCATTTTTCTGTGCAGCCTGAACACCTGCGAGAGTTTTGAGTATTTTAAAAAGAATTTTGAAGAATGGGGATTATGGGAATTTTCATACACTGGAGTGCAGAACTTTCAGTATGTGAATGTATGCACCCTGCAGAAATTTGCGCCCTCTGTTGATTATACTGATTTTTTTTACATTTTTAAACGTCGGCTTCGTTTCAGCTTGGACTTGAGACTGCAGTTTACCGATAGGATACCTGTTTCAGCGGCTTCTAGATCAATGTGGATTCCTTCACTGCTAAATATTAACATTTGTAGTCGTTTGATATGACTTGAAAATTAATGAAAAGTTTATGACGATTAAGTAGACGCCATAGCTGGATAAAAGCCGATCTTTCAAAAATGGTCTGCAAAACAAACTTCACTTCGTGGTGCCGATGAGGGCGCTAAAGCCGATGACCAGCAGCTGATGAGCGAGCAAAAATGACACAAACAGTATCATCAAGGTAATAATTTCTCAAGGATTTCTCCATATTTTTCGGAATTGGTACACATAAGAGTTAATTTAAGTTGTGAAGTAACCTTCAGTCAAGTATTATTGCATTTGCACCAGGTATTCCTCATGAACTGGTGAACATGGTGAATAGACGGTCGGGCTGGCTTAATTAAATAACACAATCGAGTGGTGCGGAAGGGGAGGGGCAGGGAAAGTTGGGGGGGGGGGTGGAATGGGTAACTTATGAAGTTGAGATTTTGTAGGTATAGTTTCCTACAATATATTTTGGAGTAATTGCAGAATACCCCGCCACTCGGAAATACACCCCTAAATTCTCTGGCTACGAGGTTGGAATCACTGGAAAAGAAACAATTCAAGTCCATGACCATGCCAGCTACGCGGATACTGAGTGGGGGTCCATTATTTGAGAACGAAGCAACACAAAAGGAATGAGAGTTGCTGAAATTTTTGGAAAAGTCCAAACCAACCACCCTGTTGGCGGCTACGGGGATACGGAGTGGGAGTCCCCTTGAATATGCTTGAGAACGAAGCAACACAAAAGGAATGGGAGTTGCTGAAAAAATTCTAAGTCCAAACCAACTACCCTGTTGGCGGCTACGCGGTTACGAAGTGGGAGTGCAATGGAGCATGACGCATAGTACATACAAGTAGCGCTGAGAATGTTTATTGAGGTCAACCAACCGTGACCTTGTAGCCAGCTACGAGGTAGATAGATCGAGTGGCGGGGTATTCTGCAATTGTGCCTATATTTGCTTATGAATTCGAATTTTGAAATGCATGAAATCTGTACTGAGCAATGATCATGATGATAACTTGTCTGGAGCGGGATTCAAACTCTAATCCGAAAACGAGATTGAGAGTCTCAAAACTTAAGTGAAAACATGCAAGACAAGAAAATAGACTGGCACTAGGCACTAGCCTAGTCCGAAAATTTGGGACTCTCAACACTGTGTATGAGAGTCCCAAAACTTAAGGTATCCATATCGTGCAAAAGTTTGTGCTGCATAATAAAACCAGTGTGAATCAAATGTGCAAGCTTCTTACTCACTACAGTTTCTTCAATAATCCCCGAAACTTCTGCCCTGCAAAGTTGCTGTTGTGAGCATTGCATCACCAAAAATTCAGCGTTTAATTCTAATTTTGCAGGGAGTTATCGAAATCCAAATGCGAAACATCACGTTGATGTGTACTGCAATGCATTGTGCAAAAGACTCCTCAGCTAAAACATTTTCATCGTGTAGATAAACAGCGCCCTCTTGTTGATCTGAGTGAATGCAGAATGTTTCATTTTTTAACAGAGGGCGCTATGTTCATTTGGCCATCGATTAAAAAACAAGTAAGCTGCAAGGCTCTTCCTGCACCTACCCAGAATACCTTGGGAATCACACCACCATTTCTAAAGCATGGAGAATGACGTGGATGGTTTTTGAACTGTCAAAAACTTGCCTTAAAATTGGATTTAAGGTCTCAAATTTTGCAGGTGACATGCTTGCAACTTAAGCATTTTGATGTATGTGTTGTGTGGGCATTAATTAGCTGAATGGTGAGTAAAAAAACGTCAGTAGTAATTTTGCACGTTTTTATGCACTCACGGTCCCAGTCTGGCACTAGCCATGCTATCCTAGGTTGGACGACGTCCCCATTGCATTGCATTATACGACTGACGTCCAGGGTATGAACTTCTGCTGCCATAGCTAAAAAAAATTTAAAATGTTCATATTTGTACCTGACGGAGGAAGCTGGAATTTCGTTTACATATTCCTTGCGTCCAGAATTACAAAGATGCTTGGTTTAGAAAAAGTAAATACGTCCGTGGGTGACGTGTTTACCGAAAATAAATCGCAGATCCATGCTTTCATCGTAAACATCCTCAGTATGAACTTCTCGTGTGAAGACTTGTTGTAGTTGTACTTACGCGCATATGCAATGCAGTTGCTATGGGGGCCGGAGCTTGCATGCGCGTGCGTAAGTTTTCACACAACACATTCTAAATTTAAAAAAAAATCTCTGTGGCAAGAGAAAAAAACTTGGCTTCACTCTCAGGTGCAAAATGTTGAAGAAAGGTATAAAAATTGACACCTCAAACTTGGCTTTCGAAATACTGAAGACCTTGTCTTTGCCTCATGAACATTTTGTCGGCTAGAGAGCGAGTAAAGCTGGCCTGATGTTATTTTGCATGTTTTCTGCACTCAAGGTCCCAGTGTGCTTAAAACCTGTACGTTGTGGATGGACTTTAGATACAAAGTATAGAGAGTCTTATATTTTTTAGACCGAAACCATTCTTGAAGTAAAACCTGATGGCCTATATAGTACGTGCCAGGGGTCACAACCAATATGGCCATGTTAGCGATATTTGTAATTCTGGAAATTTATTTATATCTAGCAGGAAGAGAAATCGGGAGCTGGAGGATTCCGATCTCTTGCCGTCACCGAAGAGAACTGATTTCAACCTCAACAGGTTTGTATTTATGAGGCCCCCATCAATGGAGAAACCATTGTGCATGCTATTGTGCAAAGCAACTGCCCCATGACGGATTATCTGGACAATAGCTAGCACAATGCTTTCGCCATTGAAGGGGGCCTTTGTGATAGAAGTCAGGGCCAGCCCAGATTGGTCTATACATGACTGTACAATTTTTGAAACAACAGTTGTTTCAAAAATTGCTTATGTATTATTCTTGTTTAATGAAAATGCATGGTTTGAGTACAGCAGAAACTTTATAAGAACAAGAGTACATTTTAACAAATGAAGGAAAATTCTTCTTAAAATTAAAACATATTCTGCTCAAAAATTTCAGAGGAAAGTGCCCAGTAATCGCCTCAGATTGCACCACAGAGCATCTAGAATCCAAAATGTTTCGGGGCCCTTAAGCGGGCCCCACAACACCCCACGCCGTAATGGCTTCGCGCTTCGCGCTCGCCGGAGTTTGCACCTCCGCCAAGGCTTAACAATTCCCCGCCATATTGTCAGTACGTCCAAACGAAGTTTCAAATAATCGCAGTTTCAAATAATCGCATTAATGGTGAAGATCCTTTAAAAAAATCCTGGATCCTGACCCAGATCCGCTGTCATATGAAAATCGGACTCGTAAAAACATTGGACTCTTTTACCCTTTTATTGGTTAAACCCTCGCACGTGACCGGTCCCTCTCCTAATTATCTATACATGAGCATGAGCAATACCACCAATGAGTCCGTATTTCATAAAACCTAAATTCATGCTGCACCGGATCACTTCCAAAATCTAATCAATTTGTCCTTGTACCAAGGACCACCCCTAAAAGCCAACCAACCAACCAACCAACAAAATCCGATGAAAAACATAACCTCCTTGATGGAAGTAATAAGCTTAAAAATGTCAAAAATCCATATAAAATCATATGATGATGTCATCATGACTCTACCTCAATTTTCATCTATATTACATCCCGATAGCAACTATCGCCAGAAACAAGATTCTCGAAATCCAAAATAAGATTTAGCACTATGTGGCTATATCTATGGAGCTATCGCTCTGTACATGCTACCACACCTCCAGCCTAAACGCTTCTCCCTAAAACACTGCCCCTAAAAAATCCACAGCATCAAAGTATGTGAATACTCCAGTGAACCAGTATTGAAAAGCAGATTACCACCTTAGAAATTCCCTTGCCCATACTACACACAGGCATAACAAAAGAAGACCACACCTCGATTTGCATAAAATGAACTTGGGGCAAAGGTAATTGGGGCAAAGTCATCAACATGCAGTTGGAAATACTAAATGAACACGCACTTGGCGTAAAATATCAGTCTGACTTGTGACAATGTGTACACACAAAATTTGAACCAAATCAGCCCTGTAGTTATTTAGATATAGGCCATTGAAAATTGCACATTTAAGATGGCCGCTTGCCATCTACACATGAATTATCCTTGTTTCACCTGAAGCAAATGTTACAAATAATGGTGTCCTTTTTATGTGTTGGTTCGGACAGTTCCCTCCAGGTGAATGGTCATTTAAATGGTATAGAGGAGGCTGATGGCTCCAGTGGATTCCTACAGGTTAGTAAAAAGTAGTGAAGTCTGTCACAAGCCAATAATATGGCCCATCAGGCCGGCGTTTATCTCTGTTTTTCTTGGTACGAAATAACTGCGACTATATTTATCCTGGATGGGATACTAGTCTATCGCAGGTTATTCCCAAGCTAATGCTGGTACTTATAAATGAAAATACTCCTGGGTGGAAAGAGGCAAATGGGGGTGAAGTGGCTTGCCCAAGGACACGACATGTGGCCAGCAGCTGAACTCGAACCCCAGACCCTCTAATCATGAGTCAGGAACCCTAATTACTTGGCCATGCTCCCCCATCGCCCACAGGCTAGTGGAAACAGTGACTGCATTTCAGATTTCTTTTTCCACATTTGATAATCGTTTATCTTTTACTTTGCTCATGCCAACTTCACTGTCCATGGGTGAGTCTTTGAGTCAGTCGGTCGTTGAGATATGGGAAAAGAGGACATAAAGCTAGCTCTCTGGGACCAGCAACTAAAGCAGCCGCATCCAGCATATATTCTACAGTCTTATTTGTAAAACTAAACTCCTCTCAAATCGTTCTTTCTTAAAGGTACAGTCCATCATTTGTAATTTGTGCGTTATGTTCGTTTGAAGCAACAAAAGTGCTCATAATCTTAAGAAGGGTGCTTAAAAACTAACCTGACGAATCCTTAGCTCAGTGAATGCTGTATATTCCGAGAAACACAATATGCTAGGATCTCGATTTCAAATCAAAAGTTGCCGAATCATGTTTTGAATTGCACCCGAATTCAGCGTTCTCATTCAGCCGATTGTGATGTCACGCACTGAACCGACGAAATTATAGCAACCGCGTGCGCACGTGTGCGTCGTGTCAACGCTTGCGCGCGCTTCACCGAATTAAAAACAAACTACTAATGGAAATTTCCAACGATGCATCTTTAGACGCATTGTTGGAAATGGCCTTCTTTCATTGCTTTCTTCAAAATGACAGCTTGCCAGAACGAATAATTTTACAGGGAGTATAGTCCCATTACTATCTTTAAACAGAGTATGCTTTTCAACAATAATTTCATCAGTTACTTTTTGGATAGTTGCAAATGATGGACTGTAGCTTTAAAACCCCCAAATTAGCCAAAATGTGCATTTGTAGTTAATGCCTATTTTGATCGGTAAATTTCATTACTGTTTGTAATTGCTTGATTTTAATAGAATGGTGCTTGTTACAATGGCCAGCCAGCCCCAGCACAGCCACATCCACAGCCACACCATCTTACCTCACAGCAGCCAGCCCCCTCCATCTTACACCAACACATGAACAGCCATAGCCAAGTGCCACCAAACAATCCCAACAGCGGCAAGGACGTCACGTACCTAGACTCCTCCACATGTGCGGCGCTCAGTAATCTCCACCTGATGTCCGGGGACCGTACCGAGGCACCGTCATGTAGCAATCAAATGCCGGCAAGCGACGATTCCGTCTACAGAGACATTAACAGGGTTTTACGAGAGGCTCATTTTTCAAGATTATCAAGGCTCAATGGTACGTTCGGAGAATAAATTGGACTAACCACACGTCAGACTTCCAGATGCAATAGTTATTTTTAAAGTAAAATAAACAATGCTGTGCTTGAGCCCTTTCCCGGGTTCCCAAAGATACTAAAATATGAGGTTGTGCAGAAGGAATCAGTCACCTATTATTTGAATATTCCATCATCGACCGAATATTCAAATAGCTTTTTGTCGATTTAAATATTTCGAACGGAAAAAAAAATGTACGACACATGACTGTTATGCCAAAAAAAAAATAAGTCGGTCTCTGGTCAGCGCGCGCGTCGATTTTAATCATGCGCGTCAATCTTTTTTCCCCCCAAAATGTTCCACGGTAGCTCCAACAGCGCCCTCTATTTCCGCACCTCCTCAATTTTTTTTACCAAAGAGCACCAAGGAATGGGAAATTGCACCAAGGCAAATGATCGAAAGCACCAAGGCAAATTATGGAGGACACCAATGTACATGAGGACACCAAAAAAGCAAAATAGTACCTACCTTGTCTGTACAATCCAAGCTTGGCCGCATCAATTCCGGAACTTTGGTCTGACCAGAGACCGAATTTTTTTTTTTTGGCCTTAGGTTATGTTAACCGTACTGTTTTGGCACTTTTTTTCAGTTGCTTTATTGTTAGATGCAGTAACTTTTTTGGTCGACAGCAGTTCATTGTTCCTATCCTTTTAGCATGTTCAAACCCTTGACAGTTGTTAAATGCTGCCAAACAATCCAGCAGCCCATAATATCGCTCTCCTCACACACATTTTAACCGGCGTGCTTTGCCTGCAACCTTTGACCAGCACACCACGCAGATGCGGCCGGTGCGTGTCAACCTTGATCAGAGAGTCTCGGGTATTTGAGTTTTTGGTCCATCGCAGTTTCAAATAATTGAATACTAAATTATTTGAAAAAGGACGGCCCTAATGCGCCTATGAAATGTTTCCCCCACCCCTCCCCCTCCGCGCAGCCCCAGGTCCGATGTCGGGATTTGGTCACGTTTTTCATGCCCCAGGGTGGGGATTTTGCTCACTCAAATTATATTGTTACCATTGGCGTACTACGTGGAAATGCATTTACTAGTGCGCCCCACGTAAGTATGTCGGGGCATGGTCGGGGATTGTCACTTAAATTTTGCCCGAGGGGTGGGGATTTTTTTCGCTTCAAAAGTGACAATCCCCACGTCTTTGGTGGGGGAGCCGGGGGGGGGGGGGGGGAACAATTGATAGGCGCATAAATCAAGCCTTAGCACCAAGGCTGTATGGACTAGGTGAACAAACAGTAGGTGACCATTTTTGAGAGCTCCAGTAGGGGAAACGAACACCATTTGTGCGCACTGGTTCATGGGCGTATTGGTGCATGGGTGTTTTGTGCTCAGTTTCGCACGGCTCAAATGTGCAAAAATCAGTAGTATCTTTGCCTGAGCGTCAAGGGTTGTAAGCAGGTCTCCCCCACCGTTGTCCCCCAGCGGTCTCCCGCAACTCTCCTGTTGTAACCGTTGAGGGAGGACTCATTTAACCGAGTCCATTGTGTACTTCATATGAGTAGATATACGAGTAATTAAAAGCCAAGCTCACACGGGCATGAAAAAAAAAAAGAACGAACATTAGCCAGTCAGACCCTAGTCAAAGTCTGCGTCCTTTTTGCACATTTTAGACAATTTCAGCAGGCCTCTTTGTCCAAAAACTCAAATTTCTTCCCACAATCGAAAGCCCCAAAAACTTGGCAATTATATCTCTTTTTGTAGATTTTACAATTTTATATTTCCGTATACTTGGCAGACTCGGAAAAGGACTCAACTAAATATCCGGAACGTAAGTCACATGCAAATTCAAAGCAACTATTTAATACAAAGAATTTGTTGGGCATTTGGGAGGGGGGAAAATGGTTTGCAGGGACAAGTTATTAACTGTGTCAATGTCCATAACAAAGTTCAGACCTGATGATAATGTGTTAGCCCGCGCCTGTTCTTGCCGATCCAGAGATTTTCTGTGCTGGATAGTAAGTCAGTAATACATTAATACTTAACCTAACCTGTTGAAGTTTCAGCTCAGTGGATATTACACTTTTGAGAAAAAAGTGAAAAACATTGCACAACCTTTTGATCACGAAACAATTAAAAAAAATATTACTCTTTATTTTCAGGGATCAGTCAATGGCTGATCATTGGAAATCACCTACTTTTATTTTCTATTTTCTAAGTGAGAGCAAGTCAGACAGAATAATTTCTTTAATCCAAGTAATAATCTGGATAAAAAAATCATTTAGGTTACTTTTAGGATAAATACAAATGATCCAACATGTACATGTATATGTTCCTTCAAAATACTATTGACTTTAAACTGTACAAACTACATGTATATTTGTATCATACCAACATTTTCCCTGGTTGGTTCAGATTGGGCAAACGAAAGGTAAAAGGTCAAGGTTCAAAGGCTGATTAGGTATTCCTGCCAGACTTTCCGACTCCAAACATTCAGTAATCTATTCAGAGAGTTACTAAGTTGAGGATGGAATATGAGCAGAATAAAATGATACATGTTGTGTTGCACTGCCAGGAAAAAGGACAATCCAAAACATTACGTTTAGTAAAATTTGGTTAAAAACAGGTTCTCTGTCTTTTCTGTTCTTAACTATGATATGTTTAGTATGTTGTCTGCTGTGCCTAGCAACGACATGAAAATCAGCCAACACACAGATTATTTGGTTATATTAAGCAAAAGCAAACCTTTTTTTTTCAGCAAGAATTTATATTCCGTAAAATAACATGGTAATTGTAGTATTAGTTTCTTCCTTAACAAAATACTATTTTTCAGTCAGTTTTTTTGGTGTAAACTCTTCCTTGTTACAGTAACTGTGCTGATTGGTTATTGATACTTCTATTTTATAGTTTGAGAAATGTATTATTCTATATTGATATTCTATGAAACATATACTTTATAATCCATATATTAGGTTAGGCATGCATTGTTTAAACTAACAGCCATTTATTACCTATTATTCATAAATACCTAAGACAGTTTAACCGTTCCTATTGGTGGAGAGCCCGTCATGTGGGTGGTTTTAAACGGTTGATAAAACACTGACTGGTTTGAAACACATTTTTCTGGCACCGCTGCATTCTGCGCCACATCGCGCAGTACTCGCAGCGCCCATGCCAATCCATATAATTATAAAGAGATTTGTGTACTATTCGCGCGAGGCACACATAGCCAGAGGGGTGTTGCACAAAACATGAAGTAAAATTGTTGAACAAAATTGTGGAGTTTTATAATGTTTCACTTGTTTTGACTTTTTGACTGAAAGGTATTTATGAATGGGAATAAATATGTACTTGGAGAGGTTTAAACAAGTACGTTTGAAAGCGGCTTTGAGCCTGGTTGCCGATAACGGCCCCCACCTTTAAGTTCGGCTTCGGCCATTATCAGCCTCCAGGCCCCTAGCTGGTTTCAAACGTACTTGTTTAAAACTCCCCAAGCACATATTTATTCCCTGAATATTTATTAAGATAATCATAAGTAGTTGAAAGCTAAAAATACTAAGTTATCACCAACTTTTTCTTGAAAGTGTTTTGTATTACAAAGTTGTGTTTTGTATTATCCACTAACTAAAAAGAATATATTTTGCAACCATTACACATATTTATTTGCTAGAAGTGTTTTCCGTGGTACTTTTCCCCCAAAACTGTTTTATTTGTCAACGTTTTGAACAAAGACATTGGCAAATCGGGGAGCTGGATTGCTCAGTTGGTATGAGCACGGGAACAGCAATCTGCAGGTCGCAGTTCAAAACCCGATCGGGTCAATATCTGTGTTCAATTTTTAAAAAAAAGAGATGACAATGAGAAACTAGCCAGAAATCTTTCTCTCACCTTTCCATTGTTCCTCACTTTGTCTTCATTATTACGGACCTTCTTCAGATCCCAAGTTCATCTTGGTGTTATTATATGTACTTGACCCTTGCGGTCTGTCTATGTTAATTTTCAACTTCCTGAAAATGTTAACCATGGGAAACACTATAAAATACAGGCCTACTGTACAGTAAATGTTCATGTTCAGTTATTTAATAACACTCATAGTTTCTAAGGTTGAGTAATTGTAACGAATTTATTTAGTGAAGGGTGCTAGCTATTAAGCCGTTTGAGTGTGCACAAGTTCAACCAAACTAAAAGGAAACGCAGATACCGTAGAAGAAGAAAAAAGGTAAAACACTTATAATGAAATGAAGATGAATAATAAATATTTACAACAAATATAATTTGAGTGCCACTTCGTTAGGGACCAATTTTGAGGGGGGGGGGTGTTCTTGGAGACTGCATTAGTTGGCCATAGTTCAATGCTCTTGCTGTCCTCCATATTTCCGAAGGGTGGTGGGGGGGGGGGAGGCTTGGGTGGGGTAAGATACGCGTGTATAGCAAGTGTGTTTTTTGTGTCTTACGTAAAGTTGCATAATCAGTGCTCTACAACACGTTCGCTTCTTGTCTCTTGGCAAATTGCCAATTTGTGTGATATCTTCCAACCCACACTCGCCTCCCTTTTTGGGGGAGCCGGGGCGTCTGCAACCCTCTGATTCACCTTACTAACGAACTGGTTCCCGTACGTACATTATTGAAACTGATTGTAGGGCGGGAACCAGCATATTTATCGAGCGAGCGGAATTATTGTGAGGACGCAAGCACTTCGGAATTTGTAAAATAATAATTCAAGAACTAAACGTGTGCCGATTGTTTTTCAGTCGATGTCTCATTCGAAAGTGAATAACATCATTACTAGAAACTGAATAGTAATTTTATGAAAAAATAATCTATTTTGGGGTGAAACTCAAAATAGCACGGGGTATATCCCAAAAGCATCAAAAGGGAGTTTATACCCCAATTTATAGCCTTTTATTGTATGATTTTTTTGGGGGGGTCCGATAAGTGAATATCTTTTCCCGTCTTTGTTTTGTCATACCCCATTCATTTCTTTAATAAAAGTTCATTTCTATCAACCTGCATACATATACATAACTGCCCCGACTATTACTGGTATTTGTTATTAAAACATTCATTTATTTAAAAAAAAATCACAAATTTTGTCTCGGTAAATTTCGTCCACATGGGTGTGAAATTATTGACGTCATCAGTGTGACACACATAGCCCCGCTGCTTAATAATATACGTGTATTATCATTCCCATTATCTGCGTAGCACAGAGCTGTGGAGGTGCCGTCCAACATGCCGAGATCCTGATAACAAAAAATCACGGGGAGGCGAGATAACTCACGATGTCGTCATCCTGTGATAAATTATCTTAGGATCTTGGATGGCACCCCAGAGCTCCGTAGGTGCGCTAGCTTGTGAGATCACGATTTACTTGTCAGAGCCAGGAGATATGTCGTACAATGGATCAATTACTAGCTCGGGCTTGACGACGACATCGACACACCCCAATGCATCACGAATCTCTTCGGCGTTTTCACCTTGAACGAGCGTCGGTACGCGTGCGGCGCGGTACGGTCTGGCTGCGCGGTGAACGTTGACTCCACCGATGCGTAGTTTCGTGCACGTGCACGGGTCTCGCCTTGGTATCAACCACTCGTACTCGTACGGACGGGCGAATCCATTGATCGGCTCTTGTATAATAGGACAGACCACGACATCTTCAGAATGAAAAAGGGGGAATTAATGGTAGGAAAAGAGAGAGAGATTGGTCAATTAGTAAACAAAAATAAAATACACCACGACCCTAAAATTGTGTGTCTTTTAGCTTGTGATCGTCGATGTGATGGACAAGAATTCCACGCTTATTGTCTATCCACATGATTTCATTATCGTCATCGTAAGTGTCAACCAGATTATCCCCGTCATTGTCATAATTTATTGCCATTGTCACCGTCAGTTTTTCACTGTCATCGTCAAATTGTCGCCGCGGTCGCCATCATATCGTCGCCGTCATATCGTCCCCGTTATCGTCCACCAACCCCACACGATGATGGTTTCGGAATCGTCATCTTAGATGTCATTGTCATCATCATAATGTTGATGTCATTGACATCTTAATTAGTGATGTCATTGTCACGGCCTTGACCGGAATTACGCCAAAGTCCCTAAACAGGGCGCTGGGAAGGGCTAATCTCAAGGAAGCACATGCACGCAAACATTGTGGATAACTTACTGCCTCAACCAAAACACGTAAATTCTTTGTGCACATGTCATGCACAGGCCGGGCGGAAGGGTTGACCCGTGTTATCGTTCAAAGAACTTCTATCCAATTAGGATCTAGGAGGGCTCAAAGAAATTACGTCATGCATCCAGAAGAAATGAACCCTTCCAGCGCCTTGTTTGAAGGGAATATACAACATTTGCAAACATCGAAAAATATAACTACCCAGTTTTTACGAAATACCTTACTAGGATGTTAGTAAATGACAGTGTAAAGCATCCTGTAAAATTATGGCACCTGGTGTGAAGTCATTTTCAAGAAAAGTGGTATTTTTGTATACATTTCCAACGGTGGTCGGCCGACCACTGTTGGAAAAACCTAACTATTTTTTAACTACTGCGCCAAATTTACCATTTTTTCAGACAAAATTTTGTTTGCTATTGGTTACATGTTCATGAACGGGTGCAGGCCAACTAGACTGGTTCCCTCACCTTACAATTTTCCGGCATCTATAAATTGATACATTTCATCTTTAGTGGAGTCAGGGAACCAGACTACTTGAACATTTTTGTTTTTCTTGATTTTTCCAGCATTTTCGAACACAAAACTACAAACATGTCAGTGTAACAATATTTGATCTATTATACTAACCCCTCAAATAATTCATTTCTGAAAATTACAGCAAAACCCAATGATGTACATTCCCTTTAAGGATGATCGGTATGATAACAGTCAATTTCCACCGCTAAGGGCGTAGTTACGCATACAGGGTCCATTATCACTTACCCTGCTCGGGCGTCGGTATTTCTTGCCCGGATTCAGTGAGAGAAGCAGCAGGTTCTGTGGTAAGCCGACCCAGCAGTGGTGAAGTATGTGCTGCTCCCGGCTGCACATCAATCGCCTCAAGAGGGCGCTCGCATATGTAAGCGCTGACCGTTGTGCAGTCACTTTCGACCATCTGTGCCTCGCTGCCATATTTCGACGTGGCCAAGCGCACGCATGTCTCGGTCTGAGTAGATGTGGGTGGTCCTGGTTCAACTTCCCACGCTGAATATTGTGGAAATGAACGAAGGAAACAAAATACATGCGTATAGTTATTGCTTTTGCAGTGAAATCTTGATAAGTCAGTTTATTGTTTAATTGTTGTACAGCGCATTTGAATATAATTATGTTACATAAAATTTGCGCTTTATGAATACTATTATTATGATTATTATTACGTCAAACCTCAAGGGAACAGGTTCAACATTTGACTTAAGCAAAGTTTTGAGTTAAGCAGGGTTGTTTATCATTATTACACTGCTGAAGGCAATGGCTTTGATTGGTTTGAGTCATCAGAGTTTGACTTATCGAGATTTTACTGTAAAAAGCAGACTTTGAATAAGGGATAATACATGTACATGTAGGCCTAGTGTGATATAGCAGTAAGTTATATCATGTGTGGTTCAAAACCTTTAATAGGCGCTGTAATGGTTTTCGACCATCAGGAATGGGTAAACTGTACTGTTATATAAGCTTGGTTATAGATAATCGAATAGATAATCGATGTCATAGATAATTAAAACAAATATCTATGAAACGTGAAAATAAAAGTATGCTCATTTTTGAACAGATGTACTACTTACACCAAAAGCCGGTGTAGTGCCCTCTAATTTTGAGGGAGTAAAACGTCTCGTTGCCGCAAACAAACTCCTCTCCAGCCGTCGATTGACAACCCAGCCAGGAATACGAGTATTCCCCCATGTAATCGCTGATGTTCAGCCACTCCTCACGGCTGTTCAGAATCAGGAGACTAGCTTGGGCTCCCTGACAAGCTTGGCTCGCTTCTTCCCAGGCCAAGCCGACATGGTTCGTGCCAGGGGGATAGATCATATGCAGATAATCATAGTCATACATAATCTCGTTGGATATATAGCAACGATCAGCAAACTTTTGCCAATTCTCTGGGCACGCATCATCTGAGGAAAGGCCAAGAAGACAGAGTGGGAAAAATAATCATTTCGGCAATACTCGGTTACTTAATGTTCGATTACTTGTATGCGATACCCAGACTACTGTCGGTACTCGCACTTTATTCGAAATTCAAGTTATACCGTCTCGGTCTTAAAAACACAGTTATGATTCTTAACTTGAATCGGACTTTCAATTTTTTTTTTATATACGGACTCGAAATTACCGTGCCATTATTCGAGTACCGAAGTACTCGAACTCGACTAGCACTCAGGAAAAGAATCGAGTGTTTCGATTGAAATAGAATTGCGACGGACCACACTTAGCGTGACCGAGTGTACGCGTGTCGATGATGTAGCTTATTTTACAGGTGACACCCACCGATCTTGACTCAGAAATGAATACAACTGTATGAATGCAGTTATAAGTAATCTAAAAGGCACACATAAGATCATTTGCTTTTTGTTGTTTCCAATAACACCACTGAAATTTCAAAGAAGAATGTTCAAAACCTAACCGGTTGAAGTTTCAGCTCAGTGGATATTATACTTTTGGAGAAAACAATGACCAACTTTTTTGATCAAGAAACACAATTTCACCAAAAGAACTTTTTATTCCAAAAGTCAGTTAATCGACTGATCGTTGGAAATCATTCACCTACATTTTTAAAAATGTCTTCTTAATGACAGAAAGCCGGACAGCGGATAGGGGTGTGCAATCGCCCGTTTATTAGCCGCTGAAGCTTTGTTATGATACTAGTAAAATGGGACCAAAATTAATACAATTTGACTCAAAGTTCCTAAATTTATTTTCAAATTGCCTTAGAAATGTGCAGGGGTATGTGCCCGGACCCCCTAATATAACAGGGGCACACCTTCACTGAAATATCAACCCCCTAGTCTCCATGCGTTTCCTGAAAGCTAGATTCGCCCAGAGTGTTTAGTATTAGTACGATCTTCATATTAATCTTTTTGATAATAATTCGATAGGTTACTATTGGGATAAATGCAAATTTTTATATATGTCATTACATTCTAAAATCCAACTTCATGTATTCAGATTTCATACTCTGAGTCGACAAAAATAACGATGGGACAAGACGAAATCAAAAGGTGATCTCCAAGCAATGTTTCTGTGTTCGATATTTGACTTTTTAAATCAGAAACGGTTTACAGGAAATACAGAAAAGAAAAACTGTTATTAACTTACTAGCTGCAGATACCAAAGTTGCAATGAGCTTGACAGCCACAAGAAATCCGCACAACCCCAGGATTCCCATGACTGACGGGAGAGTTAAAAACTGCACACCTTGCAACGACGGGAGCAAGAGGCGTTATGCAAGAAGAAATAAGCACGAAAATAGGCCCATGTATTGCGCTCGGTTGATAACCAGATGCAATCACTGCAGTTACACGCCCAAAACACTGCCACATTAAAAACAATCGAATTGTCATGGAGACGTGGCTACAAAGCAATAAGGGACAAAAACGATCGATTTCGAGCCACCCTCCCCCTACAAAAACTCCACTCTGGCACGCGCTGGTTTGAAAACGTATCACGGTGTTGTTTTGTACAACGAAAATCAAAGTGGCCTCGATGACACAGCCTACTGTATTGAAGGCACGCATTTTCAGTGCTGTCTTTAGCAGGCAATCAGTCAATTTATTGCAGTTTGAATTAACTCCAAATTTGGGCACGCTATAGTGCCAAGGACTTGCCAAACAAGACAGAGTATTGCCGTGGCAACCAGGTACAAACAAACAGTCTCCCCCATCACTTCCGATTTACGGAAGTATCTAGGTCTCTCTTCACGATTGCAAGTTATTAGCATCAAAACCGGGGATCCAAGTGTTATCTTGTGTAGAGGTATATACCGAAAAAGAGAACAATCTGTCATATGACATTGGGAATTCGGAGACGATACCAGTTTAAATTGTAAGATTTGTATAAAAGATTTTGCAATCTATATCATTTAAACATATTCATCTGCGTCGTATTGCTTTCTCCAAACCATTCATGCTTCATCGCATGCATACATTTTCTTTCATTGTAAACACTTTGTGGGTTTTTATTTTATGGTGTCATAAGTCTGTGAAAACACTACAAAGTTACATCTTTTTATGATAAAAAATATCTTTTGGAACAATTTATTATCATGATCCATCACCAGCATTACCTAACACCAGTGGCGTATCCAGGGGGGGGGGGGGGGGGGGGGCACTCTGCCCCTCCTGCTGTTTTTTTTCCATTTTCGTTTGTTCAGACATTATTGTAATAAGTGGTTACAGAGTTCCGACAGCGGTCCCCCCCCCAAACAAAACCCCAGTGTAAATAACCCATTACAATGCGCCGTGAAAATGGGTGTATAAGGCCAAAAAAGAAAAAAATACTCGGTCTCTGGTCAGCGCGCGCGTCGATTTTAATCATGCGCGTCAACCTTTTTTTTCCTCCAAATTAACACGGAAGCTACAACAGCGCCCTCTATTGCCGCGCCTCCTCAAATTTTTGTACCAAGGAGCACCAAGGAAAGGGGAAATTGCACCAAGGCAAATGATAAAGGGCACCAAGGCAAATTATGGAGGACACCAATGTATAATGAGGACACAAAAAACAAAATAGTACCCACCTTGTCTGTACAATACAAGCTTGAAAAAAAAGCCAACCCCCCCCCCCAAAAAAACCGCGTCGCCGCATCAATTCCGGAACTTCGGTCTGACCAGAGACCGACTTTTTTTTTTTTTGGCCTAACATGCAGTATGCATAATAATAGTCAGTATTGGAGAGCGCCCCCATTCGGAAGGGGGCGCTCTTCAAAACTTCAATACCTCTTCAAAGGTATTCCTGCAAGACTTTCCCAGTCTAAATATTGCAGAATCTTTTCAGAGATTTTGCTTATAGTATAGAAGGTGATATTGGCTCCGTGCACAAGGGCCTCCTCAATGTCGTGAAAGGGAGAGTTAGGGCCTTGGATGAAACCATCTATATTAAAGAGATCTTAAAGCTGTCTTAAGAAACAAAATGTCGCTGGGGGAGCAAGTTGCCCCCCCCCCCCTCCCCCGCCTCCACTGGATGCACCACTGATTTACTACCATGTCGCCCTCAGGATTCATAACTGGCTTTCGGTCTTTTTAATCATGAGATATTTTTCCGCTTGGCCTAGCCGCAATATGAAAATCAGCCAAGATTATGATACAGACACAGATTGTTTGGTTACATCTTAAGCAAAAACAAACATTTATTCATCAATAATTCATATTCAGTATAACATGGTTACGTAATTATCGTGCTAATTTCTTCTTTCACAAAATGTTTGATTTACTCGTGTGCAAACTCTCTCTTGTTACCGAAACTGTTCAGAAAATTGTCAAGCAACTGCACAATTTGAAAATTTTACTATTCTATATTGATATTCTATGAAATATTTACTTTATAATCAATAAATTGGGTTGGGCATGCATTGTTTAAACCAAACATACATTTTAGTAACCATTAACGTCTAAGAAGTTGAAAGCAAAAGATACTCTGTACATTATGCTAGAAGTACTTCCCATGGGTACATATTATTCCCACGAAACATTTTTCTGTCAATGTCTTGAACAAAGACATGGCTGGATAGCTCAGTTGGTAAAGCACCAGGACGGCAATCCGGAGGTCGTGGGTTCAAATCCTGCTCCAGTCAATTTCTTTGTTCAAGAAAAAAAAATGACAATGAGAAAATGTCCAGAATAAGCCTTTTCGGAGTTCCAACTGCGCATTCATAACCTGTGACAACGCGCATTGTTGTCTCAAATGGCCTTTGACAACATCGCGCCACTGACTTTACAAAAAGGCTGTTTGTGCATTGTGGGTACTGTCAAAGGGCATTTGAGACAAATAATGTGCGTTTTCACAGGTTACGAATGCGCGCAGTTGGAACTCCGAAAAGGCTTATTCTTTCTCTCCCCTTGCCATTGTTCCTAATTTTTTCTTCATTTACGGACCCTTCTTCAGATCCCAAATTCCTCTTGATGTACATTAAGTGCTTGACCTTTGCGGTCTGTCTATGTTAATTTTCAACTTCCTGAAAATTGTAGGCCAATGGAATCACATAACATTATACACAGGCCTACAGCTAATGTTCACGTGAAGTTATTATTAGTATTATTATTATTCATGGTTTATTAAAAACATTTTCCATCGCAGGCAAAGGCTTTATTAGGGAAAACAATACATTTGTTCAATTTACATAAAAAGTAGAAATTAAGACTTAATATAAAACGACCAAAAATTAACACACAGCGTTAGACACAAAAAAATAAGAAGAGCGAGCCAACAATACAATTGTGAAAATATGTAGTTATACGTTCAATTAAAAAAGGGGTGTTTGTAAAAAGAGATATCAAAAGATTACACAAAAATCTTAAAATTCTGAAAGAGTAGGACTAAACAATTTAGTACAATGAATTTCATTGCTTTGCAGTGCCGCAAAACTTTCATAGTCAAAATAAGTAGATATCTATTGAGTTGTGTTCAAAAGATTGATCAGATGTGGCACAGGAGTTTTTTAAATCTGGAGGTATTACACTTGAGTTCAGTTAATTTTGTTGAGTTCCTCAGATTGTAGCTAGATGTTGACCTTGTTTGCGGAACTAGACTCTCAAGTTTTGAGTTCTTTAGCGATTTCGCAAATAACACTCGTAAGATTAAATGTTGAGAAATAATATTGTACCGATTTTATTTAGTGAAGGGAGCTATAGCCGTTTTAATGTGCACAAGTGCAACGGTTAACCAGACTAATCGGAAACGCAGATATCGTAGAAAAATTGGGTATAACACTTATAATTAAATGAACATGAATAATGTTGCATTATTATAATATGTGTCACTTCGTCAAGGACCAATTTTGAGGGGGGGGGGGGGGGTGTACTCGGAGACTGCGTTAGTCGGCCATAGTTTAAAAAAAAAGGTTGGGGTGGGGTGTTGGGTGGGGGAGGGGGGGGGGGACACGGAAACACAGGCTTGGGAGGGGGAGGTAGTTCCCTCGTTCCCATCCCATTTATGTCACTCTCCCTAAAGCCTCCGGCCTGTCTCACAGTGCTGACGGTGGTCATCTCGCTTGCGTGGGCTTTCAAAAATAACTTTTCCAAATGGGAAAGACACTTTGGAAATATCCAATCAGTTTGGATGTTACACTTCATGAGTTTCTTAATAAACGAGCACTTTTTTTAAACAATATTGTCGGTGTGGTGGGGGAAGGGGCGGGGCTAGATAGACGATATATCCGAATGGCGCAATTAGACCAACAGCGGGCGCAATGAATTTTTTTGGGAAAAAAAGACCGTCTGGTTTTTGAAACGGTGGAATTGTGCAAAATATTGCCGAGGATCAACTCCCTAGTTTTGGGCTTCCATCTGGGGGCAGACTTGATAAAATTAAGGTTGAAAAATGGGTCCTATTTGCCCGAGAAAATGTAGGGATGCTATTAGTAAATTTGGCTGCACGCAGGCTTGGCCATTACTCTTGCTCTATGCCATTATTGGCACATCGCCGTACCTATAGCGCCGGGGGTTTGTGCACAAACCGTATAAGACAGGATATCTTGCTCAATTGACTTCGGCAAAAACCGCAAGCCTCATCATAAAGAATAAGTTAAGACAGAAGTATCGGACCCACTTTTACGAGAATGTGTTCGTAACGTGATATGATTGTCACGACCAAAATGTTTTATTGAAACGTGGCTAAAAGGACGCGGGAAATAAAAAAAATATGGCTCCAGCCTTGGATCCCAGACCATTATCCGTGTGTGCCCCGTCCTCGACCCGTCCGCGATGTTTTTTTCCAATGTACGTCCATGTACGTACACTAAATTGGAATAACTTTACTTATCATAGCAACCCACGATGCAAAGCCTTCGCAACCGTCATCATGCTGATATGGTGTGAAATTGACGTCGTCAGTGTCACACAGATAGCCCGCTGCTTAATATTATCATTCCCAGCACCATCTGCGTTGATCCAGCAGCTCTACGATTTTTTCTTTCTTTCTGCACGCTTACGGAGCTCTGGAGGTGCCATCCTACGGAAGACGGATAGTGCCACTCAATGAGTGTGAATATATTTTTTTGGTGCGTGTGAAAATATTTTTTTGTACAGCGGCCGCCACTTATTATGTGACGGCCGCCAGATAATAAGTGGCCGCCGCCACATAAGTCGTCATAATAAGTGGCGGCCGCTGTACAAAAATATATATATATTCACACTTTTTTTATGTGGCGGCCGCCAGATAATAAGTGGCGGCCGCCACATAAGTCGTCATAATAAGTGGCGGCCGCTGTGCAAAAAAATATTTTCACACTTTTTATGTGGCGGCCGCCACTTATTATCTGGCGGCCGCCACATAATAAGTGGCGGCCGCTGTACAAAAAAAATATTTTCACACGCACCAAAAAATATATTCTATCCGGCACTATCCGTCTTCCGTACCATCCAACATGTTGAGATCCTGACAAAAATATCACGAGATGACGAGATAACTTAGGATGTTGACGAGATAACTCAGGATGTTGACTGTGATAAATTTTCTCAGGATCTTGGATGGCACCTCCAGTACTCCGTAGGTGCGCTAGCTTGTGACGTTTTACTTGCCACCAGGAGGCATCTGAAAATTTCCAGGATTTTCAGTGGAGATGTCGGAAACCTTTACTGGCTTGACGACATCGACACACCCCAATGCATCACGAATCTCTTCGGCGTTTTCACCTTGAACGAGCGTCGGTACGCGCGCGGCGCGGTACGGTCTGGCTGCGCGGTGAACGTTGACTCCACCGATGCGTAGTTTGGTGCACGCGCACGGGTATCGCCTTGGTATCAACCACTCGTACTCGAACGGACGGGCGAATCCATTGATCGGCTCTTGTATAATGGGACAGACCACGACATCTTCGGAAAGAAAGAGGGGAAATGGGAGGGGGAAAAGAGAGAGAATGGTGGATTTAATATAGTTTAAACCACGACCCGAAATTTGTGTCTTTTAGGTTGTGATCGTCATTAATTGTGGATAAGAAATTGTTTATGTCCATTCAGATGATGTCATGATCGTCATCGTAAGCGTCAACCAGATTATCCTTGTCATTGTCATATTTATTGCCATCGTCACCGTCAGTTTGTCATTGTTCGTAACTCACGCCATGCTCGCGAAGCGACGAATTGACTCTGTTTTTACCCCAGACACTGCATACAAAAACAAACGCGAATGTAACGCACATGCAGCTCGCAGGCACCAGACTATTCCTCATTTGCAAACGTGTTCAAAAATCTTGCACATGCAAATGATCCAATACCAGGGTGAGAGAACAGGTAGTGGTGGGCGCGTACTGCTCGACACCCTGGAGACGAGGTTGGGCGGTGGGTGCGTTCGTTTAGCTCACCCGGGTTGACACGGGTCAGCCCCGTGCCGTTCGATTAGCTCTGACGTCATTCGCGGGGCTCACCCGAGTCAGCCACCATAGACCCTGCTCGTGGAGCAGAGACACTGATGGAAATACGTCACGCATGCGTTGTTCATCCCCAGAAACGCACAATATGGCGGCCGGACAGCGGAAATATCAAGTGGACTTAAAAGTTGACTTTATTGAGTTCATTGCGACTTTTGAGGCTATAATTTCAGCCCAAATTTTTTGACTTTTGCAATTGACTAAAAAGCAGTAACTCTCAAACTAAGCCCCAATCCGAAAAACGGGCGTTTTGTCAGTGGCTACGGCCTCGGCTAAGGGCGTCACGTGAGGATCATGATGGCCCGCGGTTGAGCGTTCGATTAGCCCGGCTGACCCGTCTGCCTTTACCCGTGTCGACCCGGGTGAGCTAAACGAACGCACCCGCACCCAATAACAGCGATTAGTTTCTATTTCACCGCGGAGGGCGTAGTTACGCACGTACGAAGTCCATTACCACAGCCATCACTCATCACGCATCATCACTTACCCTGCTGTGGCGTCGGTATTTCTTGCCCAGATTCCGTGAGAGAAGCAGCAGGTCCTGCGGTAGGCCGACCCGGCACAGGAGGAGTCTGAGCTCCCGGCTGCACCTCAATCGCCTCAAGAGGGCGCTCGCATATGTAAGCGCTGACCGTTGTGCAGTCACTTTCGACCATCCATGCCTCGGTGCCAGATTTCAACTTGTCCAAACGCACGCATGTCTCGGTCTGAGTGGATGTGCGTGGTCCTGGTGCAACTTCCCACACTAAATAATGCGGGAATGAACGAAGGAAACAAAAGATATGCGTATTGTTATTGATTTTACAGTGAACTCTTGATGAGTCAAACATGTTCAACATTTAACTTAAGCAGAGTTTTGAGTTAAGCAGGGTTGTATATCATTGTTATACTGCTGAAGGCAGTGGCTTGGTTTGATTGGTTTGAGCATGGAGCTATAAAAAGGATAGCTCCGTGGTTTGACTTATTGAGCTTAGACTATGAATAAGGGATAATACATGTAGTGTGATAGGCGCTGGCCGCCAATAATGGCTCTCGACCAAAAGCAATGGGTAAACTATATAATCTGATAAGCTGTCATAGATAATTAAAACAAATATCCATAAGAAGTGAAAGTAATATGTGCAGTTTAAACAGATGTGCTACTTACACCAAAAACCGGTGTAGTGCCCTATAATTTTGAGGGAGTAAAACGCCTCGTTGCCGCAAGCAAACTCCTCTCCAGCCGTCGATTGACAACCCAGCCAGGAATACGAGTATTCCCCCATGTAATCGCTGATGCTTTGCCACTCCTCACGGCTGTTCAGAATCAGGAGACTAGCTTGGACTCCCTGACAAGCTTGACCCGCTTTTTCCCAGGTCAAGCCGACCACGCCCTGGTTCGTGCCATGGCCAGCTTGCATAATATTCACGCTGGATACGTAGCAACGATCACCATAGTTTTTCCAATTCTCTGGGCACTCGTCATCTAAGGCAAAGTAGGGGAAACGCCATCATTAGGCAATATTCGATTTATTTTATAGTTCGTTTACTTGTATTTGATACTCAGACCGGAAATCATTTTTTTCAGTACTCGCACTGCTTTTATTCGCCAAATTCAAATTAGGCCAACTCTGTCTTAAAAACAGGGTTATTATTCTTGAATCGGACTATCCATTTTTTTACGGACTCGAAATTACCAAGCCATATTCGACTACTGAAGTACTTGAACGCAACAAGCACTTAGGAAAAGAATCGAGTGTTTCGATTGAAACGGAACTGCGACGCCCAACACACCTAGCAGCACGGAAGTGCAGGCGTATGCGCATCGGGGATGTAACTTATTTTACAGGTAAAACCCACCAATATTGACTCAGAAATGAATACGTACGAATGCCGTTGTATACTAACCTTGAAAGCACGGGCGTCGCCAGGATTTTTCCTAGAGGGGGGCAAACATATTATTTTTCCCCAAAAATTCCTGTATATCTCAACATATTCTCGATTTATCAGTTTTAGAGGGGGACAGGGACATTTTGCCCCCCACCCATTAAATTTACACCACTATGACTTCGCGCCTATTTTTCTTTTCGTTTTTCTTTTTTTCTCTCTTTTTTTGATGGCTTTTCCGGGGGGTCCCTTGCCCCCCCCCCCGCGACGCCCATGCAAAAAAGGTATATAGAATCATTTGCTTTCCATGTATTTTGTTCGTTTCCAATATTTACACCACTGAAAATCAAAAGAAGAATGTTCAAAAACCTCAACTGTTGAAGTTTCAGCTCAGTGGATGTTATATACGTTCCGAGAAAACAAACCAATGTTTTTGATAAAAAAAAACAATTTCGTCATTCTTCAATATGACACTTTATTCCAAAAATCAGTGACTTGGCTGATCGTTGGAAATCACATCTACATTTTTTTAAAATTTCAGTCTTAAATGACAGAAAGCCGGACAGCGAATCTTTAGGGGCTGTGCAATCCCCCGTTTAGGCCAAAACAAAAGTCTCCGGTTTCTGGTATGCGCGCGCGTCGCCGTAGCCATGCGCGTCGGCAAAATGAAAAAGTTTTTTTTTCAATGAAAGATGATGTCTCAAAACCGCCAAACTCACTGGTTTGACTGGAATCCTGCTGCTGCACAATTTTAACGTGTTTTTAGATGGGGTTATGATCGAGAATAAGCTTTATTTGGCCTCTCTGGACTCCCATATATTTTCACTAAGTTTAGTCGGGCACCATTTGCAGTCATCAGCCGACATTTGAAGCAAAAAAGTCAGGTAAAAAAAAAAAAAACCGCGTCGCCGCACCACTTTTTGGACAAGCTCCATACCAGAAACCGGAGACTTTTTTTTTTTGGCCTTAGCCGCTGAAATGTTGTTATGATATTATTAAAATGTGGCTAAAAACATTTGACTCAAAGTTCCTAAATTTATTTTCAAATAGAAAGGAGGAGGCAGCATGCCCCCGGACCCCCTAAGCAGGAGCTCGCCTTCACTCCATGCGTTCCTGAAAGCTAGATCCGCCCCTGATTTCACGGAGTGTTTAGTATCAGGGCGATCTTTATTCCATGTAAGCTTTTTGATAATAATTTGGTAGGTTAGTTTTCGGATAAATACAAATGATCATGATTTATATGCCTTTAAATTCTAATATCCAACTTCATGTATTCAGATTTCATACTCTGAGTCGACCAAAATAACGATGGAACAAGACGAAATCAAAAGGTGATCTCCAAGCAATGTTTCTGTGTTCGATATTTGACTTTTTAAATCACAAACGGTTTACAGGAAATACAGAAAAGAAAAACTGTTATAAACTTACTAGCTGCAGATACCAAAGTTGCAATGAGCTTGACAGCCACAAGAAATCCGCACAACCCCAGGATTACCATGACTGACGGGAGAGTTCAAAACTGCACACCTTGCAACGACGGGAGCAAGAGGCGTTATGCAAGCAGAAATAAGCACGAAAATAGGCCCATGTATTGCGCTCGGTTGACAACCAGATGCAATCACTGCAGTTACACGCCCAAAACACTGCCACATTTAAAACAATAGAATTGTCATGGAGACGTGGCTACAAAGCAATAAGGGACAAAAACGATCGATTTCGAGCCACCCTCCCCCTACAAAAACTCCACTCTGGTACGCGCTGGTTTGAAAACGTATCACGGTGTTGTTTGGTACAACGAAAATCAAAGTGACCTCGATGAAACAACCTATATTGAAGGCACACGTTTGTGTTGCTGTCTTGAGCAGGCAATTAGTCCATTTGTCGCAGTTTGAATTAACTCCCAATTTGACACAATACGGTGCCAAGGACTTGTCATACAAGACAAAGTATCACCACGGCAACCAGGGAACAAACAAACAGTCTTTCCTATTACTTCCGATTCACAGAAGTCTGTCTTCAGGAATTGCAAAATACCATCAAAACCAGGGGTCCAAGCGCTATCTTGTGTAGAGGAATTTAAAAAAAGAAAAATATGTCCTTAATAATATGGGGTTTCGATTCCATGCAAATTTAAATTCTCAAATGTGTATAAAAGAAAATCGCATTCAAACATATTCATGTGTATCGTCTTGTTTTCTCCCAGACATTTATGCTTTATCACATGCACAAATTTGTCTTTCATTGTGAGCATTTTGTGGGATTTATGTTTTCAAAATATAAAGAAAGGCATCAAAATTAAGTCTTTTTTGTGATTTACAATTTTCTTTTTAACCGTTATTTGTTAAAGGGAATGTACATCATTGGGTTTTGCTGTAATTTTCAGAAATGAATTATTTGAGGGGTTAGTATAATAGATCAAATATTGTTACACTGACATGTTTGTAGTTTTGTGTTCGAAAGTGCTGGAAAAATCAAGAAAAACAAAAATGTTCAAGTAGTCTGGTTCCCTGACTCCACTAAAGATGAAATGTATCAATTTATAGATGCCGGAAAATTGTAAGGTGAGGGAACCAATCTAGTTGGCCTGCACCCGTTCATGAACATGTAACCAATAGCAAACAAAATTTTGTCTGAAAAAATGGTAAATTTGGCGCAGTAGTTAAAAAATAGTTAGGTTTTTCCAACAGTGGTCGGCCGACCACCGTTGGAAATGTATACAAAAATACCACTTTTCTTGAAAATGACTTCACACCAGGTGCCATAATTTTACAGGATGCTTTACACTGTCATTTACTAACATCCTAGTAAGGTATTTCGTAAAAACTGGGTAGTTATATTTTTCGATGTTTGCAAATGTTGTATATTCCCTTTAATTTCAACTAATATCTTTTTTTTCGTCATTGAATGAACTAGAATACTAAAATTATATTCTATGAATTTTCCCATGCATGGAAAAAGAAAGAAAGAAAGAAGGAAAGAAAGAAAACCAACAAGAATTCAGCCATGCTCTTTTTAGGCCCCCCAAAAAAGTCTCCGGTTTCTGGTATGGAGCTTGTCAAAAAGTGGTGCGGCGACGCGGCTTTTTTTTTTTTTTACCTGATTTTTTTGCTTCAAATGTCGGCTGATGACTGCAAATGGTGCCTGACTAAACTTAGTGCAAATATATGGGAGTCCAGAGAGGCCACATAAAGCTTATTCTCGACCATAACCCAATCTAAAAACACGTTAAAATTGCGCAGCAGCAGGATTCCAGTCAAACCAGTGAGTTTGGCGGTTTTGAGACGTCATCTTTCATTGAAAAAAAACCTTTTTCATTTTGCCGACGCGCATGGCTACGGCGACGCGCGCGCATACCAGAAACCGGAGCCTTTTTTTTTGGCCTTAGTGAATGGCATGTAGATGCAGTATCGTGTACATCCAATTAAAACAAAAAGAAAGCTAAGGAAACAATGAACAAAAAGGTAAGGATCTTGGACTTTTCTGAGTCTGAAATTTTAAAATTAAAACTTCTTTAATTCTAGTCTTGCTGTTTTCCAAAATTCATCATCACATGTCCTTGCAAACATTCTTGTAATTCAACCTCCCCCTGGGAAAATTCTTTAGTCTATGCTACAAATGTATTCATCCATCCCCTCCGATATAGCTTCCATTTCAAACGTAATGAACCGTGACAAAGTCAGCCTTGTATGAAGTCTAAACGCTTAAACTCCATATGACGTAATATGAATAATTCATATCGTAAAATACGCATACTGCTATAGAAGAGGCCAATACCACTTGCTGATTTCCTGTGCAGTGCACTTTACCTAATGGTTCATGCATTCATGTCTGTCAAATTGAGGTTGGCGCCAAGAAGCACGCCAACAGAATCTTACCTTAATTCGATTTATGAAATATTCATGACAAAAAAAAGTCATTTCCAGAAGCCATTTTGTCTCTTAAATAATCGATAATGGATCCCGTCAACTTTTAAGCCTTTCCCCCAAAATAGCGGAATTTTAAGGGAGGATATTAAGCAAAAAAGACAAATATTTTAATTTATTTCTGAATTGCCTTATACATTTATTTTTTCGGGAAAAGTTTAGAAAAACATGACTACAAGATCTCGCGAGGTCGGCGAAATTCATGCAGCATGCATACAAAACCACGTGACACTTACAATTGCGTGTCACGTGACAATGACTTTCATCACCACAAGAAAGCAAAAGAGTGACTTAACAATGTACAATATATTAACTATTAGCATAACGAGGGGAGGTGACGCTGGGAACGCCCCCCCCACTAGAGACTCAAACACAGCATTTTTTTTAAAAATTAGAACTACATGTTATCCCAATAAAACACTTCTTGAAAATGACGCCTCGATCAAGTACACATTTTGCATTCAAAGGAATAACAGATATGGCAGATCTGGCCAAAATAATAAATTGAATACTAAAAGATCCTAATTTATTCTCAAATTGCCTAAGAATGCAGGAGAAAACATCGTATTCCAAAATGTTTGCGGGGGGGGGGGGCATGGGCGTCGCTAGGATTTGTTTGTGGGGGGGGGGAGCACATTTTTTTCCAAAACATCTTTTTGCTTCTCTAGCATATTCTCAATTTATCATTTTTTCGAGGGTGGGTGGGGGACATTTTCCCACCCCACCCCCATTGACACCCATGCAGATGCCCAAATGTGTATTAAATTAATAGGAAATATGACTTCACACCTCTTTTTCCTTTTCCTATACTTTTTTGCCTTTCCGGGGGGGGGGGGGGGGGGGGGGCTTGCCCCCCTCGTGACGCCCATGGGGGGGGGGGGGGGGGAAAGGGGGCATACCTTCACTCACCCCTTCATAACCCCCTCCCCGTTTCCTGAAAGCTACATCCGCCCATGAATGGGGCGCGTGTCGCCTGTTATTTACCACAATACTTGGGTTACTTTGGGTTTTTTAAAAGTCCACAAAAATACAAATTTGTTCATGAATTATTTCTCAACTTCTTTTCCCTTTTGAGTCTACATGGCCTTTGTGAGGGTCGTTACATACGTCGTTGGTATAATGTTGTCTGCAATTCAACGTAAATAACGAGTCGGAGCTGCAAGTACTCAAGACTATTATCGACATCAAGGGCTACTTAAAACCATAATGATGTTTTTGTTGTACTCAAGCTTCTTGAAATTGACAACACACAGAAAAAGACCCCAGTTCCAGCCGAGCGAGGCCGCAGATGGTCCATACTTACAGGCGCTCCAAACGGCGTGTGTAAGGTGCCGATCAATTGATACTCTACTGACATTTTGACCAGACTCAACACAATTCATCCCGCTAAATCCCGCTGCAAATTGGTAAGTTGTAAGTTTTTCACAAAATGATTATTTTCTTTAGGATTTCTCATTGAAATGAAAAAAAAAAGCTTCCTTGTTAATCCAATGAAAACCAGTTAAATTCTGTTATATGCACCTGCACAATTAAGTTTAAAGATGCGTTCCCCGTGTTACTTGCGATTTTTACCTCGAAAATATACAATGTATGTTTTTTTTTCTCAATTTCTATTTTCCTATAGAAGTATTCAAGTTATTCACTTTTGAATGAGACTTGTGACATCCAAGGAAAAAATTCACTGAATGTTAACATTTCTTCACAAAAATCGAGTTAGTGGCTGCCAGACAATAATCTAGCTCTCGCAGGGCGCGCGGGTTCATTTTTTTTGTGCGCAAAATGAAATTCTTTTTTTTTTTGGAGGGATGCAGATCGGACGTCATAAATCGGAATAAAGTACTTTTTTCCTTTAAAATAAAACAAACTTTTGACAAACTATCTAAACTCCCTTCTCGTTTATTACTCGCTAAACCTGTGCATATAATTATTGGGTATTTCAGTGTTGATCGACGAGGAAGTGGAGCGTCGGAAAAACCAACTAGACTGATAATCGATTTCTTTGGTCCACACTTTGGATATAAAATATACGTTATCGGGTATCTCGGGAAGTGCCGATCGATACACCAAACCAGGGCTGTCCATTTTCGAAAAATTTAGTATTCGATTATTCGGAACTGGGTTTCACCGAATAGTTGATTATTCGAAACTCTCTGATCAAGTTTTACACACGGCAACTGCAACTGCGTGCCGTGCCGGTAAAAAAGTTGCGCGCAAATCGCACCGGTTAAAAAATTTGAGTGCGGCCGGAGTGCTTTTCACTAAGTATTTTACACGGAGTCCGAGCTTTAACCTGCTAAAAGGATGGGAACAACGAACCACCAACGACAAAAAACAGTGGCATCTGACAAGAAAACGCAGCATCTTTACGATTAAAAATAACATGACAGTCGTGCGTGTAGGGCCTATTCAAACCAGCCAAAAGCTATTCGAATTATTCGGTTGATGATCGCATATTCGGTATATTTGGGACAGCCCCATAACTGCAAAAACTGTGGTGTTAATTTAACACCATTCGGTATCTATATAGGACAACATCAGTAAAATTTAACACCAATTGGTCCTATATAGATACCAATGGTGTAAATTTAACACTGCAGTTTTTGCATTATCTTTATTATCCCGTAAAACCCTACAAATCGGTGACTTGGACTCGTGGCATTGTGATTACTCTCATTGTCAAGACTTTAACAATGTTAACATAAAGGTATTTTTTTTATCAGGAGTTCGCAGTCATGTGGAAGTGTGCTTGCGTTTTATCGTGGCTCTTGTGTGCTCACATCGTAAAGGGGCAGGGACAGGCCACGCCCACAGGGGGTAAGTTCAATTAACGCTAGTTCCTAACAAAATAAAATAATTCGCGACCACAATAAAAAAAAAAAAGAGAATGTTTACAGTTTTCCCGAAGATTTTCGAAAAAGTAGGCCTACATAATAAACAAAAATAATTGTTTCTATCAACTTTTTTTTCATTTAATAAATTTTTTATCGTTTTATTTAAAGAAATAATGTGACCTTGAGTTAAAGAAGTTTAGTGCGAAGGTCTTCATCATTTTCGAAAACACAACCTTCATAAATTTGTAAAAGTGCTTCTCTTCAACATAATTTGATTCCCCCCCCCAAAAAAAAAGTTAAATACATTTTTCAGACAATGGAAAAACAAATATTCTCTTGAAAAATATTAATCCCCAAAACGGTTTCTTGAAAATTATTACTTTGAAAACTACTCTCAGCACCCAATTTTCTGTACATTATTTAGAATGTGGAAAAGATATAATTGTTCTTCGTTATATTAAAACCTTATTTTATCTGTGTTGTAACGCGTAAAAGACTATTTTCCAATATTTTGCAATGAACGAATTAACGCGCCATTTTCAAATTACTAAGCGCTCCAAGGGATTGAATCCCGGGACATACCGTTATTTCGTTTTACCGTTTTGGATTTCCTCAAAAACAAAAACAGTAAACGCACCGTTGACCGTTTTTTCGTTTTACAGTTTTGTAAAACGGTCAAACGGTATTAGGTCACAAAAACAATGACCTTTTTGTTGTTTTTCTTGATTGTTGAAAGCGATAAACGGTTAGTTGCTTCATTTCAGAGTGTTGTTTTACAAGAACATGACAATGAAAAACGGTCAATAGTCCTGTCGACCATTTTTTTATTTAGGTTCGGCAATTAAGCAATGCACCTAGGAATGTTAATGTGTCCTCATGGGATCGAGTCATTGCCTGGGACCCAAATTACCCTCTCACGACATAGTTTTCGATGTGGCTATTGGAGAGCCGCGCCGAACCCCAATTTCCTTCAAATATCTGCAACTTCTTCAAACGTATTACCATCCTGTATCCATTGTAAAAAGTAATGTCCTCCCTTGAAGTTTTCCAGCGCCATTTTTTCTTGCAACTCTTAAGCCCCACCAACTGAATCGCGTGAGAAGGGGGTCAGGGTCACGCCAGGAATCACATCACGCATTATGCCGAGGTAACACTTTTTCATGTAAAGCATGGTCCCCCTCCATCCCCCTTGCCCAGCACCACAAAATGCACCACGGACTACTCACCGTGACACTGAAATAAAAAAAACAGTCTGTATTCAATACTGACTGTTTTGCTGTTTTTCAAAGTTATTTGTGTAAAACTGTAAAACAAAAATCATTGATCGTTATGCTGTAATGAATTTTATCAAACTTATAAAACAGAGAAACCGTATTTATCTTAATACCGTTTGACCGTTTTACAAAACTGTAAAACGACAAAACGGTCAATGGTTTGTTTACTGTTTTTATTTTGAGGAAATGCAAAACGGTAAAACGAAATAACGGTAGTGCGCTTTAACGGGACACTTTCGTCAGGAATGCACCAAATTGCCTCTGAAAACATGCGGTTGTAACGAAATGATTACAGTTAGAAAAGGTCTTTCACAAGTATAATGTAAACGTTCACACAAGTACACTTTGCAAAAAATGCGTTTTTCATGTAATTATCGCGGGAATAAATGTCTGGGTATGATATTTTGGTTCTCAAAAATCGAGCCAATGGAGCACTAGTCGCCCAATGTTTCTCCTCAAAACGTTGCAGGATTTCCCAAACGATGGCTGGGATGAAGAAATAATAAAAAAAAAAAAAAACCACAACCAATTCACAAGGTGGGGAGGGGAGGGAGGGGGGAGGCGGTGTGAGGTACGTGTTGCAGTCAACACATAACAAGATGAAAGGCCTGAGGAAATGAGCCAAACATTTGCAATCCTGAGGGATGGTGTTATTCAGGGAACTTTTGGATTTTCAATTAATGAAATTATTCACCTTGACCGGGGGGGGGGGGGGGCTAGGTAGGCATCTCAGCCTCCACCATGGGATCTGTCCCTTTATAGGTGTGGTTGTAAGGGCCTCATTTTCTGGACCCGGGGAGAGGGGTACCTAATCTGATCCCCCCAATGCACCCCCTCCCCATATTACGCCACTTTGTGTATACAACCCACCCACAGAGGAATGCCCAGACAACTGGGCTCTGCTCAAGGAACGCTGTTACAACGTAAATTCGGCCAATGGTACGGAGCTGTCTTGGCAGGCGGCGAGACAAAAGTGCCTGGCGTTCGGCGGGGACCTTGTGGTTGTGAACACCGGGGAAGAGTACAACAATCTGGTCGCCCTGGCCCAGTCGGTCGGGCTGATGGCCGGTACCTGGCTCGGCTGTGCGTCGCTGCTTGGCGCCGAGACACGCTACCAGTGCCCCGCAGACGACAGTGTTTTCTACAATAGGCCCGGTAATTTCTCCGGGTTCTGGGGTAAGTACATTCATTCTTCTACCCCTTTGTTTAAAGATGTACTCACTGCACTATTTTCGAGTTCTCCCTTAAAAAAAGATTTGCTCTCTTTATGCTATTTCTCATATAGCAATATATATATTGTTCACCGTTTGAAAATGAGACATCATAAAAAAAAGTGATTTTGGTTTCTACAATGTTCAACCCGAATATTTAGTAACAGAATTTACGGATTTTTAGTTGTCCATGCACTGTAATTGGGGCGTCAAGAAAAGTCGTCAAAGTAAAATCCAAATTTCCGCCATCAGAAAATTGACATTTTGAGAAATGGGTGTTGTGACTTCTAAAATGTAAATCTCTGCAAGCAGAAATAGGGAGAAGAATTTGAGATTTTTAGTTGTCCACTTTTGAGGTGCCGAGATAGGCCTATTCGTCAAAGTAAAATCCAAATTTCTGCTAGCAGAAAATTTAGGTTTTTTTAAGGGTTGCTATTTCTATATTCCAATTGAGGGTTGCTATTTCTATAAACCTAAAATTCCAAAAGCAGAAATGGGAAAATGCGGATGTCCACTTTTAGCGCTCCTATACACACGTTTAGTTTTAAACGATTACTTTAAGAAAAAAAAAGAATTATTTGCGGCCTCACTCGCAAGGCTTGTTCATTTGTGTATTGCAGGCGCAAAATGCAAAATGAAAACCTTTTTTCCCCAGAGGATTGCAGAAGCCCCAAATTGCAAAACAGTTGTGTTTTTCGATAATATAAAACATACACATTTATACTTTTGCTCTTCAACAAAATAATGTCATTTTTGTCCTGAAGGCTTTCCACTGTTTGTGTCTTAGTCAAACGAAATAAAAATTCTTTTATTCTTTATATCGAGCATGTGCACTCTCAGAAAAAAGTGGGCTGCTTTAGCGCCTCTAGAGCAAATTTTGGAAAAATATTTATTCCATAACAGAAACACGGGTGGATGGCGACGTTCGATTTGACTTTCGTATTGCTTAAAAAAGTCGGGATGAACATCGACAACAGCAAGGGAAGAGCAACTTAGTTCAAGTTCAACAATGCCGTGTACCAATTTTTTTTTCTACGGAAATTAATCCCTGTTCGGAGTAACTGAACTATGAATTAAAAAAAAGGGTCAATGTTTTCTGGCCACAACAATGCTACTGTTAATTAAATTTACTTATATAAACACACAATGTAATTGACTAAAGCTTCTATGGACGGTTTCCTTTCATATCTTTGTCTTTACTTTGTTTCATTTTTGAGGTGAAACAACCCCCTCCCCTCCCCAACAGCTTCGTCGCTGCAATATCATAATTCGGTCTTTCCTCCTTTTTTCCTTTCGTTTCGAACAATCAGATTGGCCTCAGGCTGTGTTCGATGACTCCAATTCTCTACAAGTCAGTTATTGCCTGTTTATGGAAGGTCCAACAGACCAATATACCGTCACCAAGGCACTGTGCAAGAGCACTCGCGATGGGCAGGTGATGTGCGAACGAGCCCTTCAGGCCACAACAGCGACCCCGGCGCCTGTTGAAAACTCTGGTGAGTCCAAATCCTCAATTAAAAGGTAAACGGACAAACGGTAGCCGATAAAAGTATGCTTGTGCTTTTGTGAACTTGTCTTACATACGCAGTGTGGACTTCCGAACAAAAGACGTCCACATAATGTAGGTAGCAGCGACGAAGTGTGGACTTGCCCACGTCCACACAGTGTTTCCCCATTTCTGGAAAACAGGTTTAGAGGCATTTTTGGGTTAGGTTTATCTGTAGCAGAATGAAGAGAAACACTAAAGGGAATCATTGAAAAAAAATTGGTTTGTAAGAGTTTTCACAGTTTGAGAAAAATGAGTTTTTCCACTGGTGTTCCTTAACTACACGAAAAGAAAGGAAAGTCCACACTAGGTATGTGAAACAAGTCGGTGTGTGTGTGTGTGTGTGGCACCCTCCCCCCTCATAAAAAAAATAATAATTTGATCTCGAATTGGAAAATTACTTCTTATTTCCCCGTTAGTTTTTTTTATTTAAGATTTTTTTTCCCAACGAGATTTCAAAGATATGATGTCCTTGAAAAAAGAGAGAAGTTTTTAAGCATAAACAGAGGCCACTATTCGTGAAAATACTTTGTATGTTGCGCTTGTTTCACGCTGGAGCTGAATTAAGACTAAGCCCGAGTCGGGTCTAGCCATAGAGCTTTATAGTGTGGGTTTGAATATCAGTATTATATTTTGCGTTTTAAGGCGGGGTTTAGAGGGCAATGGTTTTGTATTGCGTGGATAGGCGTGAGTAATCATTTTGTGAATTCATTGTTACTGAATTAAAATAACAAAGAACGCCCTCTAGGTTACTTTCGTAACAGTGCATGAAAAATAACAAAGGAATGCCTTTGTCAAAGCTCATTTGAATAGCTTGTGAGTTGAATTGGGACTGGAGGACTTGTGATGGACTTGCAGGGACTTGTGATGGACTCGACTATATCCCTGATTGATCTGCCGGAAGGGGGGGGGGCGTGGTTAGCCACCCCAACCAACCCCCTTCGAACCACTCTTGGATGACAACTTTAAACCCTGAAAGCAAAATATAACTTTTCTTCTTCTTTTTTTGCTTGTTTTTAATATCCAACATAGCCAAGGTGTGTTATGTTCTGGGAGAGCCAGACCCCGACTCCGACGACCAGCCGCGTCACCGCTGGTTCGTGCCCCAGCCGGACCCGTGTGCCTGCACCGAGGTGCGGATGGGAGGCCTGAACGCCCGGCCGGTGGCCAAACCCTTCGCGGTGCAGTTCATGGATTCTGTCCTGGTGAGCGAGGATCAGGAGGAGATTAGCAGCTGGCTGGGATGTGGCGGGATGACTGCAGGTATATCTCTCTAAATCCCAAAGAGTGGAACTATAGGCGGGACGATTAAGAGTTAAAACCACTCTAATTTTAGATTAAAATACTCTGAAAAAGAATTGGAAACTCGAGTAAACATTCTTTTTTTATTGAGTGAATATCACTCTAAAACGACTGGTTCCTTTAGTTTCAGTCAGTGTAAATGACTTGTCACTCGGATGCTCGGATAGAATGAACTCTCAGTCTTTGGAAGTAAGAGCCATCGTACTTGTACCAACTACCACCACTAGACAAAATTTCATGAAAATCTGCCCACAACTTTTTGAGTTATCCTGTTCACAAAAGCAAACAACATGAACCCATAACCTCCTCGTAACAAACGAGGGCGCTGCTTTGCGGCACTCTGAAACGGAAAAGATATTGCGTTTATTGAAACACTTTGTCACTTTTATTTCACTTTAAAAACTAAAGAAGTGGAAAAAAAACAATTTTTTTTTTTATATAAAAAACTGTTTGCATTTAGAGCAACATGTATATAATATTACTCCAGGGATCGGCGGTATTGCTACAGCGCCCTCTCTCCCTTACAACATGCCAATTGGCTTATATCCATGAGGACAAGGGTCATGGGTCACACACTGATCGTGGTATTATTTATTTACATTCATTAAATATCCTTTTCTGGATCTAAATCTGACGACCAATTTTGTAAAGTCCTGCAGAACTGCTTTTCGAAGACAATAATTGGATGCATCAAGGCCATTGTTTGGAATTTTTATCCGCGGGTATCGTTCTCAACCACAGAGCAATACTGGAAAATTAAGTTGAGAAGACTTTTGGTGCCATAGGCCTATATGGGGACAATATAGCCCGTGTATCTCGTCTGCAGACTTTTTAAAATTTACTACACCATCAAGTTACCGATAGCCCACCATACAAAACGTGATATAACTCATTATGTAAATGTACATGTTATAGTACTTTACATAGTTTTGGCTTAGCACTACACTGTGGTCTCTATTTAGCGAAAAACTTGCCATTGTAGAAAATTATCTCGGAAGAAAAATAATTAAAGCGACAAACTCTCTAAAGCGAAAAACTTGCCATTGTAGAAAATTATCTCGGAAGAAAAATAATTAAATGAAATTGAAACAGTTGTTTTAATGATTGCTTTGTTTGTAGATGATGTCACTCAAGAGCCAATCTAACATCTTTTCCAAGCTCCGATCAGCCAGATCAAGAAGAGATCTGAGTGTAAGATATTGTCGACAACTGGTTGGGATCACCATTCAAAACTGTGGGAAATTCTCCCAGTGTAAATCATGGTTAAATTCTATAGCGAAGTGATGTTGAAACAATCATAATGAGAATTGTATTCATCATCCTTGCCGGCCACAGTAATCTTACTTTCGTGCGTCGCAAGATGTTACCCTGGCAAACAGAGTCCACATAATTATTTACTGGTTATCACGACGTAAAAGAGTAGGAATATACCGTGGCTAGCGAGGATGTGTATTCTTATTAAGTCATTTCGAGAATTGCAAAGAAAAGCTTTTCTCCTATAATTAAAAAAAAATGAGTCCAAGTCGTGTTCTTGGGATAAATGTAATCTTAATTGCACCTATTATACCGGTAATTAATATAGTCATTTTCTTTTCAATAACTTGACTACTTAATTCAATAGACAATTTCGATGTAAGTCTAAAAAAAAGACATGAGACTATTCACTTCTGTAACATGGAGATAATTTCATAATTTTAACATTTCTAATGAACAGTTTGCTATTGTCGAGTTTTGAGATGCCCGTGCTGTTTCGAGTTTCACTCCGCAACACTAGCAACACAAAACTTATCAACTTTACAATGAGAAATCAACTCATATCGGCCAAACGTTTAGTTATGGAATAATTTATTTACTAATTTCGAATATGCAGTACAGGGTGTGTCAAAAAGAAAGCGACCCGGATTTAATGGTTTTGGTCTTAGAAAACAATCAAGGGCGGATCCAGAACAAAATTTTAGGGGGGGGGGAAACAAATTCTGGCCCCAAAAAGTGGGTCAAAACAAATTACGGCATGGGGTTCGTGGCCAGCTTAAGGGCCCCGAAAATTTTTGGATTCTAGATAGATGCTCTGTGGTGCGATCTGAGGAAATTTCTGACCACTTTAACCAATATTTTTTGAGGAAAAGATGGTGGTGTACTCATTGCCTGCCTTTTTTGCGACGCAATTAACAAAAAAAAAAAAGGGGGGGGGGCGGGTATGGCCCCCTTTGGCCCCCCGGATCCGCCCTTGAAAGCAATTATAGTTGTCTTATAAGAGCATGTTATTCAACTCATCTGAAAAATAAGAATTATTGAAATCGATCTATCAGAGGTTATGCATGTTTTACTAAAATAACCTATAGCTGTTCATGAAATGTCATTGGAGGCTACTGATTTCAGTGAGAAAAACAGATTACACAGCATACAATTAAAAAAAGAGATTTTAATCGGTTGAGTCAAGACTGACAAAAATATATAAATAATCGGGTTTCACCTCAACGACATCTGGCCCCCACTACTCCAGACTGTACTGATGGGTCTCCTATACCCTAGGTCCTCAGCTATACCTTAGACTGATGGGTCTCCTGTACCCTAGGCCTATAGGTCCTTCCTTTTTACTGAGACTGCAACCCTACTGTTCCACTTCATTGGGTTCACCAAGCCTGCTCTGGGTTCCTACTTGGCATCCACACAGGATGCAACTTCACACTTCACCAATTTCGCTTTTGCTGTTTACTTTCTTAGAGTTTAGGCACTCTCCTGAAGACGGTCAGAGCATACTGACCGGAACGTCGAGTTTATACCTCTGGTTCTTTTCAGAACCATTCTCTTAGATGAGAAATTATTCACACATGGTGTTTCCGCAAACATTATTTAGTGTGTCCACCATGCAAAGCCTCAAATCTTACTGACAAAAATATGTTTACAATTTTTTTTTGTAAATAGCGTTTTGAATATGAGGATCAAGTCAACTTTTTTCCACGAACTATTGATGGCGATTTTTGTCTGTTTTCCTTTGCAAGATTTTTGTTCATTCATGGAGGTGGGAAAACGTGGATATATACATGTAGTCATCAATTCGTAGGACGTTAAATGATCAGTGGTGGATAGCTCGATTTTGTGATCTTAAATTTGTATTAAAACAGACGTAACTTGGGATTAGAGTATGCAAATTACGTGAAATGTTCACAGTTACTATAGTCAATAATATATACTTTATCCCTATGTTATTTTTATGAAATAGAATGAGCCACATATTTTTAAACATATTTTTTTTCGAATCCGGGGACTTTCTTTTTTTACTTTTCCTGTACGGAAAAACATTTTTTTTAATTTCATAGGTCAATATCGAATTTGTCGAATAGCGCTGTCAGAGTGTAATTTTTCTTTTCATTTAAAAACGATAGTTTAAGCCGAGTAAAATAAAATATTTTCTCGTCAGGGCTTTTGAAAAAAAGGAAAGCGGCTTTTTTTCCAAGATGGTCGACTTTTTTCCCAGTGGCGGATAAATCTTCCATTTTCTCAACTCTTTTGCTGATACTTTTGTGTCCAAAGGAGCGTCACCCTTTCCACCAGATTTTTAACTCGAATGCATGGCTATTTTTTTTACTGGAAACAAATAAAACCACAAAATATATTGCAAATGTATGATTTAAAAAAACAAAACAGATTAGGGCGGGGAAAAAGGAAGCCGGCGGGGTAGAGAAACTATTTTCTTTTACATGTACTTGGCTTTAAGAGAACCGTACCAGCGGCGGTCGCCACTGGGATTTTTAAACTTGACAAGGAATGGAGCTTGATGAAAATATCAACACAGATTGATAAATAGTCTTGTTTGCCGATAAATAGTCTTGTTTGCACGCGTTGTTTATTTTACAATAAAGCATCTATAATCATGGGCGTCGCCAGGACTTGTTTTTAGAGGGGGGCAAAGCACATCCCCCCGAAATCCCTGTACTGTTCCAGCATATTCTCGATTTATCATTTTTCGAGGGTGGGCAGGGACATTTGCCCCCCCCCCCCCGCCCCAACCCATTAAATTAACAGCAATATCACTTCGCGCCTCTTTTTCTCCCCCCCCCCCCCGTGTTGACCGTTTCCAGATCAAATTTAGGAATCCAAAATCAATAGAATCCGAGAAGTAACCGTAGCAAAATAAAACTATTTTTTTCAGAACTCAGCGCCAGAATGTATTCAAACCGTTCACGCATCTTTAATCGTCCTTCATTACGCGCCACCTGGCAATTATTTATTTAACCAATCAGCAACGGTTGGCTATTACGAGGCTGACCAATAGCAGCGTGCGCTTCAGACCTGCCAGCGAATCAGCGTCCAGCAATCAGACAAAGAGATGACGCGCAGGGCATAATGAATCACTGGTACCCTTGCAAGCGGCTTTTCCATGTGAAAGTATTGTGCATACAGCGGGTAACCGACAACTCTACTAAGCGACGCCGTCGTTAATTGCATGCACATTTCGTCATCGATTTCATTCGCCATCGTTATTTCATTTGAGAAGTACTGACAGAAAATATGGCTCGTACCAAGCAAACTGCCCGCAAATCTACCGGAGGAAAGGCTCCCCGTAAGCAGCTGGCCACCAAGGCTGCCCGCAAGAGCGCCCCATCCACCGGCGGAGTCAAGAAGCCTCATCGTTACAGGCCCGGTACCGTGGCTCTTCGTGAGATCCGTCGCTACCAGAAGAGCACCGAGCTGCTGATCCGCAAGCTGCCCTTCCAGCGTCTGGTCCGTGAGATCGCCCAGGACTTCAAGACCGAGCTGCGCTTCCAGAGCGCGGCAATCGGCGCCTTGCAGGAGGCGAGCGAAGCCTACCTCGTCGGCCTCTTCGAGGACACCAACTTGTGCGCCATCCACGCCAAGAGGGTCACCATCATGCCCAAGGACATCCAGCTAGCCCGTCGCATCCGTGGCGAGAGAGCTTAGAAGTCTTTAACAACCTTCAAAAAACAACCCGGCTCTTTTCAGAGCCACCACATTTTCAAAAAAGAGATTGGAATTCGTGTCTGATTTTTCACAATAAAGGCGACCAAATTTTCTTGAAAAGGTCTTTTTACACTTGCACTTAGCCCTATACATTACAGGTTTCCCTTGTGTATTTGATATAAATATAGGTACACTTTCAATGATGAAATCGATGGGTTTTTTTAATACTAGCAATGGGAAAATACATGAGGCACTTGCGTCTAACAAACGCTATGGTGACAGTGTGGTACACAGTGTGACAGTGCATAGCGGCAGCCATTATTGTGCCATGCCATAGAGCTATCGTGGGTTATGCATGCAAGCGCAATTAACTGCAGGTTGCGTTCCCGCGTTGCATTATACGCAGGCAGGCATTCAATGCATGCACTGCATAAATTGACCTTCAATCAATAAAATGACCTCAATGGTATTCGTAGTCTTTGTTACAGCCGGTTGCCCTTTCATAAAGCGTTTCTTATCTGAATTCCAGAAGACGCTATTTTGGATGAATGGCATGAATTTAGATGAATGGCATGCCAGTAACTTTTGGGTGACATTCTCATCCAAAAGCTGACCTGTGCTATATTGGGGCATGCATGGCTCCAAGGCTTTTCCATTTTTGTAGAATGACCACTGCCAATCACCAGTTATACCATGGAATTCCTCCATGGTTATACTGAATTTTCTGCAGTGCTAAACAAATACATTGATAGGATTCACAGTGCTGTTAATGACTCCATTCTTGGAGTCTTTATTTGTACAATCCTTCAACTGCATGAATATCAACATTACGAATTTGGTTGGAGAGACAAGAACATTCGTTCTCTAAACAACTACAAGCTTCTACCAATCTCTCCACTTTTAAACGACTATTTAAATCAAACTTAATTCAAACTTATCATTAATTCATGCCAGTAGATATAATATGTAAATGTAGTTACATGTAGATTGTAGAATATCCATGATTGTATTGCTCTTTGCTGACCTGACTAGTTTAAATGATCTGTATTGTTTGTTTGTCCGATGTTTACGTCTCAATGTGTATTGTGTTTAGGTATGTTGCTTTTCTACGTACATGTAATTACTTTAAATACAGCATGCTCATTGAGCCTCGTGTGACTGACCATTCAAAAGTGTTCATTGTAAGTTAATTCCCTTCTCTTGGATTGGGCTCAGCTCAATGAACATGCCTGTCTGGGGCCCATGCTTAAAAGCTCTGCTTCTCAATGGGTCCCTCTGCAGTGTCCCTAAAATATCACTATTGTTGTATTATTTGTAATTCTTTTCTGTTATGTAATTATTTCATTTTATATTTCATTTATTTATTGATTTGATACTGTGGAAAATAAATGAACCTTGAACCTTGAACCTTGAAAAAATTATTATTTTTTTTCCATTCAATTCATTAATACTGTATATCGTATCATGATAGTCTTGATTCGAGACATTTTGTGCTGTATTTCTTTTTTTTTGTAAGCGCACCGATGCACCATCGATGTCGCAAGAGGGCGCTATCGAAGTCGCCCGCTATCACCATAGACATAAAGAACCTATCACGCACGTGTGCGTGCCCCGCGAGTAGGCTGCATGCGGTCACGCCTTCGTGTCCGTTTCCCCCGGAGATTTGGGGAAATGAAGCGGCCTCTATTTATAATATCCCTAAATTGAGCTATGAGGTGGGGGGGGGGGGGGGGGGGGTGAGAACCCTCAAAATGAACTGTCATGATTTCACCCCTACGTTTACAATTACAACATGTAATGTATCGTTCTTATGCGAGACTCGGTTGTGAACATCATCATGGCTTGAACCAAACAAGTTAAAAAGTTGAGTTCATCGTTGACGAAAAGGGGGAGGGGGCGAGATTAGGGCAGTCATTCGAACCCCCCCCCCTCCTCAGTGTACGGGCAGTCGATTTGAGTGCAAAAAATTGATATGCATGCCACAATATAAACGCAACCATAAAAGGTTATGTCACAGATATAAAGTTGAAAAAAATATCATAGTTTATACCTAAAACGCAATAAACGCCATTTTTTAAACGCCATTTTGTTAACTTTTAGAATCCAGCTCTCTCCTATAGTTTCCCAAAGTTAAATTCGACAGCTGTTTTATCATTAAAGGTACGCGATCCTATTTCTAGTAAGGCACTCACAACGCGCGCGCGTTGCAAAGCCTAATTATCTACGCAGAGTTAGTCGGATCGAGGATATAATAAAGCGAAAATGAAGTTAAGAAACAGTTCTGTCTTATAATATTTGTATTCTTTAAAGTTAACCGTGCAAATTTCTTCACTTTTCAAATGGATTTATCGCGTTTTGGAACTTTGTAACATGTTCTCAATCCTCGGGAAGTTGAGATGGTCGATGGAATATTTTAACGAAAAGGCAGGGGATAATGATGTGTGCTTTATTTCTAGGCATTACTTTTTTATGTTTTTTTTTTGGTTTCTTTCAATTTTGTAGAAATAAAGAGCAGAATGAATTAAAATTTATTAAAAATCTATTAAATTTATTAAAATCTTACTGCTGTGCAGAACAACCAACGGTACGACTGCACAACGACTACACACTAATCGAACCACATGGGGGCGCCTGCCCGTACTATACCGTACCCACGCGCTCGTACACGAACTACTCGTTCGATGTGTGTGTACGTGTGCAATAAAACCTAACACTACAGTAACATGGCGGACAAGTCGCTGGATGAAATTATTCAAGAGCGAAAGATAGGTGGCTCAAGAGGCCGTGGACGGTAAAAATTTGCCTAATACTAGAATAATACACTGTCATTCTATGTGTTCATTAAATGTGCCCTCGATTCTTGTGATAGTTAAGTGTGAAAAATATGCACAGATGAGGTAGGCCAAGTGATAGGCCCTTTACCAGTTGCGCTATGCCCGGCCGGCCATGCCAGATTTTGTTTTTTCGAAAAAGTTGGTGATTTTGATTATGGAGTAGGCGTAATTGCAGAATACGCCTCAACTCGAAAGTTACCCTCTTGGTAGTTGGAGGCAACTGCGGAAAGAATGAAGTATCCAGACGCCAAGTATTTCCTAACAAAATTGGAAATGTTTCTCAGCCGCAGTCCAAATTGCCAAAAGAAAGTTATAGGCCTAATTTCTTTTCAACACTTTTGCAATGACTGACCTTTACTGAGATGATATGGGCTCTGAGTGCCAACAAAAGAAGGCGTGTTTTTTCCTTTTTGAGAGCCCCTTGGACAGGACACCGCATGTGCGTTCTGGACTGGTTCGCGCACGAAGTACGCACGACTTATTTATCCTGAATGTGCACAAAGCTAAGCCGTTGCATCTTCGCGCGTGAGCGTCAGACGTCGTCAGTGCGCTAATATGTTCAAATTTAACTTGCGAAGGTCTCACAGACTAATCCTCGCTCCCAGTAACTTTTGATCATACATAATACGCAGTGGATTGATCGGGAACCAGTCAAGGTCTCCCCAAACTCTCCTTTTCCGGCCATTGTCATTGAAGGGAATGTCAGACAAGTCGACCGTTGAGACAACTCGACTGTTGAGACAAGTCGACCGTTGAGACACCTCGGCTCTGGACAACTCGACCGTTGAGACAGCTCGACTTAATGGAAATGTATACACGTGTAGCAGAAAAAGTTGCATAAATCTGTGGCAGGACCGGGCGCGGCGCAGGCACACTCGATTCACAGATCCGGTGGCCGTCGCGTCGGGCCAGCGCGCCCCGCCCGCGAGGATCGGGCCCGGCCCGGCACGCGGGCACGTCGACCGGCGCGGCAAGTGGGCGCACAGCACAGGCCCGGCACAAACGATGTCACCGTGCACGTTACGGCCACGTTGACCGACCGGGGATGGGATAAGTGGGCGCACATGCCCGGCAAAAACGATGCCACCGTGCACGGTACGGCCGGTTGACCGGGATGCGCGCACAGGCCCGGCAAAAACTGCACTATATCGGCTCTGTTATATGCAACCAAACGGCGATCAGCCGCCGTCAAAATCCCTATCCCCAAACTAGGCTCACAAACATGCGAGTCGACTTGTCTCAACGGTCGACTTGTCTTTCCATTTATCGCACATACGGTCGAGTTGTTTCAACGGTCGACTTGTCCCGAGTCGAGTTGTCTCAACGGTCGACTTGTCTGACCCCCATTGAAGGGTACTTGTGCGGGTCCTATTAAAATGCGTCAACAAGCGTCAACAAGCGTCAGCGGTCGTCAACAAGCATCAACAAATTTTGTATAAGTTTTGGAACGTCAAAAGACGTTTCTATGGTAGAAATAGTGACAAAGGACACATTCAGCATATAAAATAAAGTTAAAATTATTTAAAGACTTGTTTTTTTGAACGCGAAATGTACGAGCTTGTCGATTAGTGTTGGCCGCCATCTTGTTTGGATGGCGCTGTGCACGTTGCGCATGCATAGTATGGCTCTGTACACTTCACGCATGCGTAGTACGGCTAGCTTCACGTAAATAAAATGGCAGCCACCCCAAACTCGACAAACTCGTACATTTCGCGTAAAAAAAAGTGTTTAAATAATTTTAACTTTATTTTATATGCTGAATGTGTCCTTTGTCACTATTTCTACCATAAAAAACCTCTTTTGATGTTCCAAAACTTATACAAAATTTGTTGATGCTTGTTGACGACCGTTGACGTTTGTTGACGTTTGTTGACGCTTGTTGATGCATTTTAGCAGGACCGACTTGTGCAGTGTGCACGGAGCCCATATGAAGAAAAAAGTGGCATCATGTTGCAACGTTCTTTACGCAACGGCTATGCAGTCGAAAACGACCTTTAACATTGTTTAAAATACGTTAGGCGCTGTCGATTATTTTGGCAGTGCCTGTGCCGTGGGCCGGACATACTTACCAGGCAATGTAAGTGATCGTGAGATGAAGAAAGTTAGAGGGCACTATTTTTTATGGGGTTGGGAATTTGTAAGAAATTTATCGTCCCTTCACTTCTAAAAAATATGCTCGTGAAGGTGCAAATGGTGGTCTCTGTCATGTCCGTCTTTATCCGTGACCGTGTAAAGTGAATGGGGAAAGTCGAAAAAATTCAAGTCCAAATCCAGTTTCCTGTTGGTGCTACGAGGGGAAAAATGTTGCAACCTGATGCCACTTCAGCGGTTGTGTGCAAAGTCTTTGGAGAGTCAAGAAAATTATTTCCTGACAATATTGGAAATGTTTCTCAGTACCAGATTCATGTCTTATCATCAGTTTTGCAGTGACTGACCTTCATTGAGATGATATATGAAGTGGCATCAGGTTGCATCATTTTTTCCCTACTAGGTGCTATGGATTGGGAGGTTGGATGTGGCTGGGGCATACATGTACAGGGCGGTATTTTTGGTGTGTGTGGAGGGAGGGGGGGGGGGAGGCTGCTTCTCATTTTCCCTTCTAAAAAAGTATCCTTGTGAAAGTGGAAATCGTGGTCCTTGTGTAAAGTGAACGAGAGATGTCGAAGAAATGCCCCGAAGAAATGCCCCGAAGTGGGAGCCTGCAAAGAAGATGTTTGACTGAGAGCATTCAACCGTGACTGCGTAGCCTGCTATGCATGGAAAGTGGAGTTGCGGGTTATTCTGCAGTTATCATAGTATGCCCCGTCTTTTTCAGTCTTATGCCATGACGGCAATACCTGTAATTTTCCCCTTCTTTATGTAAAAGTGCTTATAGACCTACTGCCTCTTTCGTGTCTTTTCAAATTCTAAACTTGAGACTTAAAAGACTGATTAACAAAATCAACAACTGCACCAAAAAAATTCTGAGTCCGTGTCCATGCATGGTCGATTAAATACAAAGTCGAAGGTCTGTGATGGTTACTTTTACTAGAACTAGAACTTAAAAGGCACCCGTGTCCTTTCTACTCAATAGTTCTGGCACTAGTGCTAGAACTTTTTGGGTTTCCTATATATGCTATGGGATTCTTAATTCCTGTGTTGAAAGACAAATTACATTTAGAATTCCACTTTCTCACACAACAATCTCTCAAACACAACAATCTCTCAAAAAGCAGCCTTTGCTGATCCATATCTCTTTAAAATATGGGAACTTCATTTTTGCGTTGTGTTTTGTCACCAATTTCATTCTGTTCATCATTTTACCTTGTAATTTCCCCCTTAATTCATAACCCTGCCCTATTTCCATAACATTCCGGCTGTCTTTCAACATCGCCGGCAATTTTGGTGTGATGTAATTGATTGGGATTGAACGTTGGTAAGGGGTGAAGTCATTGAGGTGTTTGGTTGCATTGTACTGTCAATGTGGATAGGGGCTCCAGTTTTTTTATACCTCCCCCCCCCATACTGTAAACGCAGTCTAAACTATATATCCATATAAATCTTTGTCGTATATCAGCTGCCCGCTTATGAGTGCGTTATTGTGTCACTTGTGTAGGCAAATGGACAGCCTTATTTTGTATGCATGCAGAAAAAAGGAAAAGTGTGCAGAAAGGATATGTGTGCAGAAAGGATATGTGTGCAGAAAGGATATATATGCGTGCAGAAAGGATTTAAATTCTCCATCAAGAATCACTGCAAATAAATCCAATTGTTGTCTAAAACCATATTGTGACGTAAATTACCATTTGCTTTCTTTGCTTATGTTCAGTGGTCGAGGAGCATTTCGTGGAGGCAGAGGTGGCAATGTCGTTCAGTCTGGGAGGGGGAGAGGCGGCGGTCGCGTCCAAAAGACCGGGGGCGGGAACTTCCAAGTAGCCATGCCCAACAGGTCACAGGTCATCCAATCACTGATGAGACAGAATGCATTCCGGCCCAATCAGGCCATCGCCGTGACGGTCCCCGACGCCCGCGAAAAACTGATCTTCAAGGCGCGACAGACCGACGCCCGGGAGAAACTGAACAAGAAGGCGAAGCTTGTGGATGTCCGGGTGAAACTAAACGCCAGACGGCAAAAAGGCCAGCAGCAGCAGCAGCAGCAGCAGCAGCAGCAGCAACAGCAGCAGTTATCAGGGGGTGATGGACCCATGATGCAGGGTGTAGTGCCTGGATCACAATTACGGAATCTTGGGAAGGTATGGCAATTGCATGTTCTTCTCTGTATGAACATTAAGCCATTGATTACAATCTTGTCTTAAAATTGCGTGAATTCCCCATACTCTTCAGGCAAATTCAATCAATGAATTTGAAACTGGTATGCTTATTCCAACCAAAAAACTACCTTTCCGTATTTGGACTTTTGTAACCCTTTGAAAAAAAGAAGGTTTTTGTTTGGGGCACAAAGAGATCCGCTTTGCAAACAGACTGGCTCCCAGTCTGTACATTATCGATACTGATTGTTGGCGGGAATTAGAAAAGCAATCCATTTATTGGAATGACACTCGAAAGTAGCACGGGCGGGGAACGCAACTTTAGCCTAACCCACTAAGGTATGTTGGTTCGAAACCCTGCTAAATACAGCAGCGTGCAACACTTGTCAAAATGACAAGCCTGCTCAGTGGAGCAAGATCCATCAGGTCAAACATCTCAATGCCAATCTGCCCTCAGAGTCTGCGGTCACCAACTGCAGCAGGATACAACTGTGGCATCGTTCAATGGGACTAGCTCTCATTATTTCAGAATTGGCTGTTCAAGCACCGGTGTTGATGGCTCAGTGCAGCAAGATCCCACAGACTTGTACACCTGATGCACTGTGTTGTGTCTGGCAGGGTTAGGGTTAATGCTCCTGTCAATTGTGAAGAATGGTGCGTCAAGGGTGCGTCATGTCCTTTATGGCTATGGCACAGGGGGAGCATCAACACACGATTTGGTGTGTCAAACAGTTTATTGGGTGTGTCAAACTGTTTATATGTTGTTTCAGTAGGTGCATTACGGTCTGTAAAATGTGGGTCAAAACTGTTGCTAAATAGCGTCAAGCGTGTACCTTTGGGACATCACCACTCAGGCGCAAGAGGTGTGTAGGTCTCATGGCAAAATGGTGAGGGAATTATAGAGAAACCTCAAACCTCCTTTTTCCAACTGCCAAATCTTTTTCTTTTATTCCCCAGAAGAAACTGAATGAAATAACAATCAACAACCCATCAGCAACAAAGCAACGCCAGATGACGGGGCCGACGCAGTTCACAATCAGTAACACACCGACCAGGACCCCAAAGGGGAAGGGCGGAGCTAATAACGTCAGGGTGTCGGTGGGGGCGGAGGGATTGCAGGTCACAACTGTAAACAAGTCTGCACAAAAGGTAATGCTCTGACCTCCGACCTGACCTGTGACCTGACCTCAAGCTATTCCAGAGTTCAAAGTTTAAGAAAAAGCTTAACGTGTTGAACAAAGAAATAAAGCATGCAAGTTGACCTAAGAAAACCCCTGCAAGATTTTATAAGTGTACAGCATATCCAGGCGCCATGTACAGTGGAACGCCACTATAACAAACATGGCGGTATCCACAGAAATTGTACGTAATAGCGTTTGTTCAGTATAGCGATTTTAAGCTGCCAATGCTCCGGTACTCACTTTTCAATAAATAGCGCCCTTCAGAACTTCACCCTGCACGCCCTGGTAGTTACTGAAAGATGACTTTGAACAGATGATGTTTGGTATAGCTGATGTTTCACTGTTTAGGATCTACAACGTGTGTATTAAACATCCTATTGTTTGCATTTAGTTTGTGTCCTGACTGGGCCCATCCAATCAAGGGCAATAAATGGGTACTTTGAAAGAAAAGAAAGCATTCAGTTTACAACATATTGAACATTTTACAAATTGATGACAATTATGAGAAAATGTTGACTTCAACTGCCGTTCAACCAGTCATGTAGATAATAATTGGGTAAATTAGATAACAGGATCTGTGACTAGACCAGTCGGTGTTTGCTACCAATACGTTTTCATAAAACATTGACTGGTGAGACTTACATGCTCTATAAGCTGTCTGTAAATTTCAGAGGATTTAATTTGAAAAAAAAAATACGCTCACAAAATAATCTATCATAATCAAATTCCTTCATTCAGTATGTCGGATGTATTCAATTTTGTATTGCCGTAGAGACAGGCCCGACAAGAGACATTACAGCTTCAACGTTCCGTGCCGGTGGTTGACAACAGCCTAGAGGAGGATCTCATCTTTCAGCCTGTCTCGGCCAAATTCAAGAAGATCGCAGCGCAGGCACCGCCACCGCCACAGACTAACATTAAAACGACCATCCAGGTAATATTCATGTTGTTGTGATTCATAATCATGCCGTAGGTTATTGTAAGCCTACAAGCCTGAATATAAAGCTGTGGTGATGAAGAAATTGTTAGTTGAAATATCTAGGGAATCAGGTAGCGACTCAAAACTCAATCCACATGTCGGCTTGGGTGGGATTCGAACCTTGCTCACAGAGGTGGAAGGCAAGAATATAACCACTGTGTCAAACTGAATCCAAAAATATTGAGACCATGGAGTCACAAATGGTCATACCAACTGCAGGCAAAGTAGTAGTGTTTTTTTCTATATTTATTTTACTGAAACGCTGATTCCTTTTCCTGTTAAATTTGATGTGTTTTAACCCTAACCTGTGATCACTGTACACTCATGAGGCCTCCAATGGAGAGAAACCATTGTGAGTGCTATTGTACAAAGCAACTGCCCCTTGACAGATTATCTGAACAATAGCTAGCACAATGCTTTCGCCATTGAAGTGATAGCGTGCCCGGAGTGGTCTATAAGATCAGGAGGATTTTTACTATTACTTTACATGGGTTTGATATTCTTGGATTATGCAAGTACAACATGACATTGTTTCCTGTGCTGTCAGGGATTTGTGTGAGAATCGGGAAAATGTCTACATGTTTAAAAATGTGTAGGAAATGGGTCGGTCATTAATTCCCGCCAACTGCGCTCGCCTATGGGCAACAACAGTGACACACATATCATACGCACGTGCAAGAATGGTTGGCTGTTGTGCGCACCTGTCGGACATTAATCACAGCTGTGATTGGTCGAAACATCTTGGGCTGGAATTTAGTGGATCAGTTCATTACATGTCATTGGAGACGCAATGAAGATTAGAAATTCTGTATCTAACATTGACTCAAATTCTGGTAGCAGACAGGTTATGTTTGGATTAAAGCTACAGTCCATCATTTGTAATTTGTGCATTTTGTTCGTTTGAAGCAACAATAGTGTTCAAAATCTAATGAAGGATACTGAGCAACTAACCTGATGAAGTTTCAGCTAAGCTTCAGCTGTATATTCCGAGAAAAACAGCATTCTAGGATCTCAATTTCAAATCAAAAGTTACTGGAATCATGTTTTGAGTTGTTTTGAATTGCAGCTATACGCGACGTCGCGCACTGTTCCGACGAATCATAGCAACCGCGCCTGCGTGTGCGTCGTGCCAATGTTTGCGCGCGCTTTGCCGAATAACAAAACGAACTACTAATTTAAATGTTCCTACGGTGCGTCTTAAGACACACCGTTGGAAATGCCTTCTTTCGTTGATTACTTCAAAGTGACAGCTTCCCAGAAAGAATAATTTCACAGGGAGTTTAGTTCCGTTACTATCAACCAAGTTTGTTTTTCAACAATAATTACGCCAGTTACTTTTCGGATGGCTGCAAATGATAGACTACAGCTTTAATTCATGAATGTTTGGTTTCAGGCTCTCAGTGCCAAATAAAGCTTAGGGCACACCTTTCCGATTGTACCTGTTCACCGTATCATCGGGCCATCGTGCAGACTATAGAGGTGTGCTCTGAAAATTCCAACCGATCTGACGGTATACCAGGCAACCGGTTGAAATCAAACATGTTGGATTTTTTGCATCCAATTTCACCTGATCCGATTTCACCGGACGCAATATTTATGTCAACCAATCAGATTCACAAAGGAAGTCACATGATTGTGATCATGTGACTGGTCATCATGTGACTGATGTGTCCAACTGCAATGGTGAAATAACCGTAGCAGAGATGAGGTGATCCGGTGAACCGATAAAGTCGAAAAAGGTGTGCGCCGGGCTTAAATGTTCCGTGTTATCATTTGTGGCCGATTTCATAGTTGCTTGTGTGTGGATGATTTATGTTTGTCAATTCCTCAGTTTTTATGTTTTCCTGAGTTTCCTTCAATTTGTTTCCATTCCTTAAAGGATGGTATGCATGCCGTTGGGTTCTCTGCTCGAGATCTGGGCAGCCCCTTCCAACTAGGGGTAAATGTTTCTGTTTGTTCCATTTAACATTAGTCTTATGTAAGACCTTGTGTAATTTGTCTGTTGGTCTGTTTTTAAATGACTTCTTAGAATAAGACATGTTTTACTAAAATTTGAACAATGTCCAGTATACTTTATTTATAAAGTGTTGTTGAAAAGTGGAACACCAACTGCATCAACCTGTGCAGAATTAGATTATCTTGTTTTGCTGTTTGTTCATGTTGTATGTGTGTTATCAGAGGTTGAAAAACACACATTGCTTTCCTTGAATTGCATCTTGTAATTAACCTTAAATTTGCATCTATACATTGTTTTTCTTCCATTGTTTGACTGATTTGGGATTTTTTTTTTACAGAACGCACAGCAGAAAAGTGCATTACAGCGGGTAGCCGCTCAGCCGCCATTGTCAGTTGCTGCCTCGACACAGGGTACCAGACTCATCGTCAGTAACCTCCATTCAAGCGTCTCCGAGGCAGATATTAAGGTGAGTGTTGTAATGGGTTCATTCTCACCAAAAGTTAGATTAAATTTCATTACGTTGACTGAAATTACAGTCCATTTACAGTTGTGTGTCTCGGTAACATGGATGTGGTGAATTCACTAGTCAATCACAAGATAATTACAAGTCTTAAGAATCTATTCAAATGACTGTAACAAAGGTAGTGCTTTGTAATTGTTCATCTTCTGTCACTTGGGACCTGACTTGGGAATTGACTTTCTGATTGTCTCAGACTTGTGGTCAACTTGACTACACCTCTAATGAATTGTCACAATTAGTGCAAAGTTGAAGGGTTCAAATCAGGAATGAACATTTATAAAATGCAAACTTTTTTTCAGCGAGAGAAACAGTTTGCTCTGCAGTCACAAGTTTCTACGGCTTTTTAATCTGTTAATTTGTCCTCACTTTATAAAAGTGGGAGAGCTGTCCGAGCATCTGTTGATGTTCAACACCCCGTGAGCTGTTTCAGACACCATATATCGTTAGTCAACTGAAAGTAAACACAGAATATTTCAGAAACTTGGACTCCCTAAGGATGCCATGCATAAACTCAAGAGGGCGCTATGTGTCCTCTTTAGGGAGCCACAGTGCAAGGGACACACCGGGTGCGCGTATTGGTTCGCGCATGCGTGGCGCGAAGTACGCTCCACTGATTATATTCTGAATGTGCACATGGCGTCTTCATGTGAGTGTCAGGTGTTGCCAGCAATGCGTTCGAATGTCCCTCGCAGTGGCCTCCCCAACTCTCCCCTTTCAACCATTGAGGGGGTACTTGTACACAGAGTCCATTTTTTACTTCAAGGCAGATTTGGATACCAAATTTTCAACTGCTGACATAAGTCCTTTCCTTAATTTTCATGCTCTTATTCTGTGTATGAAATGTCTGTTTTAGGAGTTGTATGGCGACGTGGGAGCATTGAAGAAGGCGCGCTTGGTACGCTCCGGCCTGGCGGAGGTGGTGTACATCAAACGGGAGCATGCCTTGGAGGCAATAGCCAGATACCACAACCGGGAGTTGGACGGACTCCCGATGCAGTGCAAGCTGGACACCAGCACCGTGCCAGAGGCTACCGGTATTCACGTCCCCGCGTCGGGAAAGATGTCCATGAATGAGAGATTCAAGTGAGTACTGAGACTCAATGGGCTCCGTCCGCAAACAGAGGGGGTGCTTTTTTAGCACTTTTGATAGTACTGCGTGCGCGTATTGGTTCGGATGCATATAGCGGGAAGTATGCACAACTAATTTTTTTCTGAGTGGGCATAAACTAAAACCATATATGAGCTCCGTGCGCTAACGAAAGAAGGCGCCCTTTTACCTAACAACGACGTCCCATGGGCGGGACATTTAGCTGGTTGACACGCACCGTTCCTTGTGTGTGACGCACGTACACCAGGGGATTTGTACTATGTAGACGCAGTGGTACGGCCGCGCGGCGCAGCAAAATTGCAGTCAGGCAAGATGGCGTTGGTCGGTCACCCCCAACTGTGCTCCCTTTGTCGGTGAGGGGGTACTTGTGAACGGAGCGGATAGCGCCTTCGTGTGAGCGTCAGATGTCAGTAATGCATTCGAATGTATCCCCCAGTGGTCTCCCCCAACTCTCCCTGTCTTGCCGTTGAGGGGGTACTTTGTGCACATACTACAAAATGTTAAGACTTCACCAAATATTTATCTTCAGAGTTGAACAAAGAAATTGACTGGAGCGGAGTTTGAACTTGTGACCTCTGATTACATTAGCAAGTTAATGTTTCTAGCTTCGTGCTTTTCCTGATCCCTGGCTTCATGGCATATAAAGGTATATCATCTTCTGACAAGCATCCTTGAACATAGATTGGGAAAACTGCCAACACAGGGCTGGATAGCTGAGTTTGACAGAACGCCTGTACAGCTATCTGAAGGTCGCAGGTTCAAATCCCACTTTTTAGAAAACAGAGGAAACATCCTCACATTTTTGGGGGTCTCGTAACTGGAATTCCTTACCAACACACACGTTTTTCACAAGTAATTCCACTATATCAGGTGGAATTTCTTTACATGGTGTCTTAGTCTGGTAGAAAGTTTTTCTTGTGACATTCGTAGGTCTGTTTTTGGATAACTTTTTAAAACAATGTTCCCGTGTACTTTAAAGTATCAACTACTTTTTACCTTCCACAGATTGATAGGCGCAGGTGCCTCAGGGATGACCGATTTCTCTCTCTCAACCGTTGGCATGCGATCAGATGCGATGGCACCAAGTAGCAACGATTCCGTCGAAGCTGCAACCGTCCACAAAGCTCTGTTCAAGACCGGAGCTTCGACGACAGCATCATCTAGGCCGGTGGTGTTTACTGTTAAGATCTAGAGGAGAAGCCTGAGGACAGAAGACCGATTCATTAAGCCCTAACCCATGGTATTTTTATCAATCAAAGCTGTGATTTGTGTCCGACATGCATTCACAAACATCCGATGTGCGTGTGATGTGCCAGCTGGAATATGCAGTGTGGCCTTAGAGAGGCATGTGTGTTGTGGGCGGGGCTTAATGGATTGGTGCGTGTGATGTGCCAGCTGGAATATGCAGTGTGGCATTGGAGAGGCATGTGTGTTGTGGGCGGGGCTTAATGGATTGGTGCGTGTGATGTGCCAGCTGGAATATGCAGTGTGGCATTGGAGAGGCATGTGTGTTGTGGGCGGGGCTTAATGGATTGGTGCATGTGATGTGCCAGCTGGAATATGCAGTGTGGCATTGGAGAGGCACGTGTGTTGTGGGCGGGGCTTAATGAATCGTTAGATTGTAGGCATGTAAACAGGTGTATGTTCATAATTTCTACAATGAGCAGTGCATTCAAATGCTAAAAATGTTGAATGACGTCCCAAAAAATCATTGCTTGAATTTCTGTTCGTGTGTCACGTAATTTTTCTTGTTGAGTTAATAATATATCAATGCTGCATAATGTACTCTGACAACTAGCCATATTTTTTATCAAAGCCATTACCAAGGAAACTACCGATTTTATCGATCAATTTATGAGAGAAACCTTGCTTAAGTGAAGATAGGACTGGTATCAAATACCCTGTGAAATTATTCCACCTGAATTGGAATCACTTGGAAGAAAACGAACGTCACAGTTGGTTTCAAAATAGGGTGCTCTCTTCAGTCAGGCCTTCCCGATGTGTTTTTTTTTAGCAAGAGAACTTTACGAGACCCAAAAAATTGTGCATACAGTTTATCAAAATGTACAGTATCATCTGAGTTAGCCAGGTTAGTTGTTTTCCCACCTTACTTAACATTTTGAGCAATTGTGTTGCTTTAAAAAACAAAACCAAAAAAAATCACAAACATCAATTGGTCCTACATATCTTCAGAACCCATATCTTATGCCCAGAACCGTCCTGAATCCTACAATATCCACCAAATTGTAGGAAACCATTGGAACATTCTTTGCATTTTTAATTTTCCAAGGGCATCAAATATACAAGCTTGTGAAATAGTTTGTGACTCACTGTTCCATCCTCAATCCAACAAAACCCTCTAAAAAAATGAATGTGTCATATGTTTCCCTTCCTAGGAAGTTAGTGTTAAGTACATGTACTTGTGGGGAACAGAGCACACTAATATTGTGTGTGTACATATGTAAATATTTTTGTATCATTATCTTGAATTTTTTCTCTCTCTGTATCAATGTTAATACTTTGCTGACATCTTTTGGTAGTGTTTCACGTACTTTAGAAAACAGTAAGAGGCATACTGGATGTACATGTATAGATATCAATTCCCTAAGCACACACGTAGATGTTGTAGTAACTGATTGTTCAACTTGAACTTGTAGTATAGTTTTAGATTTTAGATGAATTCCTGAGGGAAGTATGGATGTTGTGGGGAAGTACCCCCTCAATGGTGAAATAGTGTGGGAGATTGAAGGACACATGTGCAGCCATGACCCACACGTTGGTGCAATCCACTGTGAAGATGGTATAGGTTTGTGCACATTTAAATGAAGATTGTTGCTTACTCTGAACCATCTATTATCATGTCCTTCAGACTACCCTTCTCATGCATGGGTGTGTGTGTGGGGGTGGGGATGGGGTGTGACACGCCCGTTATTCCTTTTTGTTGGCAAAATGGTGTGTCCGTCAACAAATATGAAGCAACAAATAGTGCCACCTATTGTTAAATAGTGTCCAAAACGTCCACTTTGAAAGCGCCCTCAAACATCAGATGGTGTCCAGGTTCAACCCCCCCCCCTTTTGTACAAAAGAAATACAAAGCATTAGAAATAAAAAATAGTAATATTCATTCACAAAATGTGTCAGTTCCAAGCAGAACGTGCAGTACTGGGTGGTTTTAAAGTGTTGCAATCTAGTTTTACAACAAACTTTGGCCATTTATTTCTGATGAAAACGAAAACATCACTCAGTCTCTTTAGTGATAATTACCTAAAATGGAAAGCTAAGTTCTTTCAAGCGTTTGCTATACATATGCTGCTAAACAATCTGGGAAATACTCCTTCAAGAGCCAATAATAATATGGCCTAGTAAAAAAAATAAACTGGTTTCTCGTTCCTGTCCGCTTCCTATTTCCTGCCCACCTCATTTTAAAATTGACTTCGTACATTTGCAATACATTTTGCAAAAATATTGTCAATAAGATATTGTCTTTTTTTATTTGTTTCCAAAAAAATTGTAGCTATATAGGAAGGGTTGCTGCTTCTTTGGACACAATTTTGTATCGCAAAAAGAGTCGAGAAAATCTTGGAAATATCCGTCATCTTGGGAAAAATTAAAAAAAAGTCCCCGCCTCCTTCACTTTTTTCAAAGAGCCTGGACGAGGAACTATTTTATTATTTTACTTGGCCAAATAATGAAAATGTCTTGGAAGAGATATGTCGTCACATGTAAACTCACAATTAGAGTGATTTCCTAATAGAATTTCAAACCCACTATATTTTAATTTGCTCTTTTTAGCATAAAACTTTCTGCATGTAGGATGGTTCGTGGGTATGACATTTTAGACATACATGTAATATTGTTCTTGTTACCGCTATTCTAACTATGTTGTAAAATTACACCTTAATAAATTTACTCATTTACAATAACTCAACAAATAAGTCCAAATCCCCATTAAAAAAATGTGAATTTTAATTTTAGTTGAGGTCATTGATTTTTTGTAGAACTGTTTCTCACTTTGTCGATAAAGGTTTTCAGATGTTTTGGGTCAAAAAGAGACAGAAAGGCTAAAACAGAACAAACTAGAGAAGCGATATGTACATTTTTGTTTTAATAGGTGTGCTGGGGTCTGTCGTAAGCCCCTAAAAGGCCTAATGTACGAAACTATTTCCGTTTGTTGTTCTTTGAGATATTTAATTTCCCGTTCATGTCTACTCAATTAATTGCGTCTTTTTCAAATTCAGTAAATGGCCGTAAACATCCAAATAAGGTTTAAAGGGAATATACAACATTTGCAAACATCGAAAAATAAAACTACCAAGTTTTTACGAAATACCTTACTAGGATGTTGGTAAATGACAGTCTCAAGCATCTTGTAAAATTATGGCACCTGGTGTGAAGTCATTTTCAAGAAAATGGTATTTTTGTATGCATTTCCAACGATGCATGGTCGGCCGACCAGCGTTGGAAAAACCTAACTATTTTTCAACTACTGCTCCAAATTTACCATTTTTTCAGTCCAAATTTTGTTTGCTATTAGTTACATGTTCATGAACGGGTGCAGGCCAGCTAGACTGGTTCCCTTGCCTTACAATATTCCATCATCTATAAATTGATCCATTTTACCTTTTGTGGAGTCAGGGAACCAGACTACCTGAACATTTTTGTTTTTCTTGGTTTTTCCAACCTTTTCGAACACAAAACTTCAAAAATGTCAGTGTAACAATATTTGATCTATTATACTAACCCCTCAAATAGTTCATTTCTGAATATTACAGCAAAAGCCAATGATGTACATTCCCTTTAACGAAAAACCGTAGAATATTTTCGCTTGGCGATAAGGCCAAAAAAAAAAGTCTCCGGTTTCTGGTATGGAGCTTGCCCAAAAAGTGGTGCGGCGACGCGGCTTTTTTTTTTTTACCTTTTTTTTGGCTTCAAATGTCGGCTGATGACTGCAAATGGTGCCCGACTAAACTTAGTGCAAATATATGGGAGTCCAGAGAGGCCACATAAAGCTTATTCTCGATCATAACCCCATCTAAAAACACGTTAAAATTGTGCAGCAGCAGGATTCCAGTCAAACCAGTGAGTTTGGCGGTTTTTAGACATCATCTTTTATTGAAAAAAAAACCTTTTTCATGTTGCCGATGCGCATGGCTACGGCGACGCGCGCATACCAGAAACCGGAGACTTTTTTTTTTTTGGCCTAAGAACTCGATTTTTTTTATTTCGTCAGATTCTGTGAGCTGTGTTTTCTCATGGAGCAATAAGAACGTTCTTATTCCTCTATGAGTCCCTTTTAGACAGGCCTGCATCCCCGTTCAAACTGTGCATAGAACCGTCTGAGCGCCACATTATTTTTATGATTTTTCCCCCAGTAATCCTAAATGTCTGCAGGCCTGCCAAAATAGAATTTGGAGGTTCGCCAACTGCGAGAGTTGAAGTTGCGTTCACTTGGAATGTTGCCAACTGGTCGTTTTGGCACGCACGCAGTAAAAGAAAGAATTAACTTCAATTCAAAGAAGGAAAATCCCTCGAATTTTCTTCCTTTTGTTGAAACGGAATTCGCTGGATCCCATTATTGTGTGAGTTCGTGTGGAACGTTTACAGAGCAGATGAGGAAATATGTCTTTTCATTCCTGCATTTACAATTTTTTTACAATTATTATCATACCACATCCGTTTTGCCGTCATTATTTGACATGGTTTTGTTTGACAAGGTCTGCGTATCGTGTCCGGTTCGCCAGAGTTGAATGCATTGTGTGCAAATGAGCATTTCCTCCTTTGGCCCCGTGTGGTTGTGTATACGCATGGCGGTGTTTATACAATCGTGAACTTAACATTATCCTATCAAAAGGTTTCCGGAGAACTCAAGGACGAACGATTTCCATAAAATCCCGCCATTTCATCCGCCTCATAAACTTAAAAGATTTTACGATCACCGGGAACTGTTGTTTTTATACCAGTAGCAGCACCATCTCTTGAATTTGAAATAATAAGGCATATTTACTGATGAAGCCACACCTCTTTTGGTGTTTAACTCACCTGCGGTCAAAATGGTACAGGCCAGTCTGGCTTTGCGCCAATGTTTATTTATAACTCTTTTTAAAGAGCATCGAGCATGACACGGAACTGCTTTTAAGTTATAACATTGTAGTCAATTCGCCTATATGGATGTACCACAGTACATGTACTGTTTATTAAGCCAGGGTGGTTTGGAATAAACGATTCACCTTACAAACTTGCTGATAACTTCATTAAAAAATATGATAGAATTAGAAATCGTTTTCATCATAAAAAAAAATACTGAAAATATCCATTCTGTCATGAAGTAGGGTCGAAATTTGCTTCAAGAATACTCGTCGTTCTTGTTTTGAAAATATGCATTATATAGTTTGTCGTTGGGTAACCAAATCACAATATATTTTGTGTGTGTATAATTACTTCCATGCAATTTCTTTAAGCGTCTCGCAGGTTTGCTGCAGCTGGGAACATATGTATTTACATGTACATTGTACATGTAACGGTTTCCTGGTTCTATGCTCGGTACCATCATGGAGCTAGGAACACAGCTCCATGGTACCATGGAGGAAGTGCTGGTACCATGTCACATGTGACGTCATACACATGCCGATTGTCGCACAGCTAGGGCAGTCACCCTTCCTAGCTCATTTATTTCCTATATTCTACAATAAATGCCAGTAAATTTAATAACCGACCATGTTTCAAGAGATAGAACGGTTTGCTGAACATTCATCGGCATCGCGTGACTACACAGCAAATTCAGCATCCAAACCTAGGTTAAAGGGAATGTACATCATTGGTTTTTGATGTAATTTTCAGAAATGAACTATTTGAGGGGTTAGTAGATATAGATCAAATATTGTTACACTGACATTTTTGAAGTTTTGTGTTCGAAAGGGTTGGAAAAACCAAGAAAAACAAAAATGTTTAAGTGGTCTGGTTCCCTGACTCCACAAAAGATAAAATGGATCAATTTATAGATGATGGAAAATTGTAAGGCACGAGAAACAGTCTAGCTGGCCTGCACCCGTTCATGAAACATGTAACCAATAGCAAACAAAATTTGGACTGAAAAAATGGTTAATTTGGAGCAGTAGTTGAAAAATAGTTAGGTTTCTCCAACGCTGGTCGGCCGACCACCGTTGGAAATGTATACAAAAATACCATTTTCTTGAAAATGACTTCACACCAGGTGCCATAATTTTACAAGATGCTTGAGACTGTCATTTACCAACATCCTAGTAAGGTATTTCGTAAAAACTTGGTAGTTTTATTTTTCGATGTTTGCAAATGTTGTATATTCCCTTTAAAGGCATTTACAACATTTTTTTTGGCTATAATTTTCAGAAATGGATGGATTTGGGGGTTAGTATTTTATAGCAAATATTGTAACACTGACCTGTTTAAAGTTTTGTGTTCATACATGCTGGAAAAACCAAGAAAAGATATATTCTTGTAGTCTGGTTCCCTGACCCTATCTCAGACGAAACGGAGCAATCTATAGTCTTCAGGAAAATGTCAGGTCAGGGAACCAGACTAGCACCCGTTCACGAATGTGTAACCGATTTGCAAACAAAAGGTGGATTAACTAAATTTGGTAAATTCGGGGCAGTATTTGAAAAAGACAGTCTTTCCAACGATGGTCGGCCGACCATCATTGGAAATAAATTGATACGACAACTTCACTATTCTTGAAAATGACAGCACAGCAGGTGCTATTATTTCACAGGATGCTTGAGACTGTTATTCACTTAGTAAGGTATTACATAATAAGTATTTAGATATTTCTTACGTTTGCAAAAGTTGTACATGTATATCACCTTTAAAGGTGGTTGTCGAGCCATGGTCACCGCAAAACATTTAGTACACGAAGTTAGCTCGACAGCGCGCGGCCGGGGGTAAACAGTCATGGTGCGTGCGTGTTTGTGTACATCGTCTGGGACATTCCATTTTGGGGTTAGGTACTGGGTGGTTTTGTGGTTACACAGACAAATTAATGCGTTGTCCGTATTGCAAGGCAGTGAGGAATAACACCTCATCTATGGATCACCTCCGACGCCGATTTGCATTAAGTAATTTCCTCAAAACTACCTAAACTTAAACCGGGAGTAGCGATGACTCTCTATCACGCTACCGCACGGTGGGTTCCCCTAGGTCCACAAAATGGTAATTTTTGTTAAAGGGATGTTCTGATCATTGCTTCCATAGCGTGCAACAATCTATTCAAAAGTCAAAACCATAATAACAGTGTCGTCTCTCCAGCAATAATCATGAAAACTACTCATTTATTTTCAACAGAAATTACTGATTTTTGATATAAGAAAGAAAAAAGAGCTTTAGAAATTATATGTTTATGCTCTTTACTTATGTTCTTCACTCTATTTTTATTTTGATTGGGGGAATAAGCCAAATTTTATCAAAGTAAACAGAATGATGGATTTTACATATTAATTAGGAAACAGCTTAGCCTTCCTTTTTTTGTTTTAGTCGGATGCTATTTTTGTTTTGTTTTGTAGCATAGCCCCTTTAACGTGAAATTCCCCCGGAGTGCAATAGTCATCTGATGTTAACTGCATGTGTACGTGTTTATGCGTCGCGCACACAGGGTTATGGAGCAGACGGGTCATACCAAACTAACACGCGAACGCGAGCAATCATTTCCTGGAAATTCCTTGCGGTTACACTGTAGGGGATTGCGCAATGATATGAGTAATTTCATTGTTTTCAAGTTGAGGTCGTCGAAACTTAGAATATTTCCCCAGTCGACCAATCATTTAATCTGGCTATGATAGTAAACTATGAATAGATTACAAAAAATATTCATTTACCTTTCAATGGTTGCACAAAATGTCAAAAACTGAGTACATACAAAAGTTAGTAGTATAGGGTCCGATCCCAAACAATCTTTAGAGGTATTTAAACATTTTCGGTATATGGTTCCATTTACAGATCTTCTGACTTCCGGCTTTGCCTCGGATTGAACTTAGATATTTTTAGAATTCAAAGATTTGATCTTTTTGTCAGTAGATAAAAAAAATCTCTAGTACTGACTGACAAAAAGAATTGTAAGGAATTCGACACTTGATACTGGCCTGTGCTCAAGGTTTTTCCACTTCCCGTTGAACACTAAACGTGAATGGGGGCAAAGTTTACAAAACCGGTATTACCGGATATCTGCTAGTAAGAGCATGTAGGAAGGAATAGAATGGTTCATTTTTGTAAACGACTGCACCAAACGGCATTGCCCTTTCCGGATTCCGGACATAATTTTGAATGACACCGGTGCCAAAAATAATACATGTACATGTATATTCTCACACCATAAATCTATTTTGCGCGTAATTCCCTGGGTACATGTACATGTATATTGACGTATGAAAACAAATAGTCTGCACTTTACACGATTTCCTGGTCAAGAAGGAAGTTGCAAAAAAAATTCCACGGACGAGAAAAATCTATATCATGTAGACGGTCTGATAGCGCATAAAAGTGCAGTGAAGAAGTGATTTGCCGAACTTCTCTGTCCCCAATTCAGAGTTGTACGAAGTACTCGTACTCTCGTACTCGATCGTACTCGTAAAAAAATATCCTATACTAAGTCGTACTCGTACTCTTCTGTTCTCCCGCAAGAATTACAATTTTCTTTTATAGCTACTTGCAGGAAAAGAACCAGTTTTGTACTGTCCGGGAGGCTTCTGCATTTTAGCACAAAACATTTAACACATTGAAATTTGCTCCTACTTGTAAAAAGTTGTACTCGCGTACATTTTGGTACTCGTACTCATGGGGAAAAATGCCATGTAGTCGTACTCATACTCGTACTCATAACAAAGTACATGTACCCGTACTCATGAAAATGTGTACTCGACTACAATACTGCTCTCAATGGGTCTGCACACTTCGTTCTGCACGCATTGTCAACTTTGATATTTTAGACATCGCTTCGCAAATTCCACCGAGGTGAACTATATTTTGAAAATGCAACTTCGAGTTCAATGCCTGCCGAGTTCGCATAATGAACCATTGTTCTATCCGCAGTTGAAATAAGCTAATCATTTGAACTTTGGCACACAACAGAAAAACTGATAACCCAACTGTTCACAAAAGTTTGTTATTTAATCCTCAGTTTTATTATTATATGTACATATACAACTAATATATAAACCTACTGTACCTTTACACAAGAGAAAAGTCACAGTATAGTATACATTTAAAGCTTGAAACATTTACACGGCTTTAATATAATGGAAGTTCATAATTCTAAAATTATTAAAGAGCATTAACTTAGCGACGTCGCACAACTATGCATGCCAGTGACGTGCTATGTTTATTTACCCACGTAGGTTCGCAGCACATTGCTTGATTGTGTGCTGTTTTACAGTGAAAACATTTCGCAGAAAACAAAATCATTTTCCTCACTCAAACGTAGGTCAATATGCAGATATTATTTTGGTACTCTCTAAAGTAAATGGATTTTGAATGAACCTTTAAAGAATTTTCAAAACAAGCAAAGATCCATTTATGGAAAACACATTAGTGAAGCTCGTCTCCAAAGTAGCTACCTATAGAGCAAGCCTATACGAGCATAATCTCAATTTCATCTCCAACCAACGCGCAAACGTAACTTTTAAGACACAAAGCACGAGTCGTACGGGTGCAGGGCAACACATTCACAAGCAAAGGTGTGCATAGTCACGTGTACTGCCCGTTTAGCATTTCATAACAGTTGAACGAAAATAACCACAATATTTAACAAAACTGTCACCGATCTCAAATATGACAAGTGAATTCCCTTCATAACAAATATGGAAAATCCACCTATACCTTGACATTATTTATGAATGTGTTTTTTTTTTTACATGTATTACAATAATTATTGAGCCCTTTGTATTTACACAATTGATCAACAATTAAAATAACCAATGATTATATGCGGCAGCGGAGGTAGCTCGTGTTAGACTAAAATTAATCTTGTAATATTATACAAACAATATTACTACTGACATATTTTTCATGAAATTACATTTTCCACCTCCAGTAGGAGAGTTGTTAATCCTTATGCTTCGCTATCATGGGCCAGTTTGCGTAACTGCTTGTTATGTAACAAACCTGATAGCAGTAAAATACTACCAAGGTCAAACTAACAAAATATTACGACCAAGATAGGGGCACTCCATGCTATAATGAACGATCATGTATTGTACATCCACTGTATTCAATTTGAGTGAGAGATACCGTGAGTTAAATACAATAGTATTTGAGTAGGCACTGAATTTCAAACTTCAATTTAGCTACCTCAGGGTAAGGGGAAAATAGACATTTTAGTGTTTATTATCACATGCAACACATTTTTTTGGGACAAATTCTCAATTCCAAAAAGTACCATTTACGCGTTCTTCATTTATTTATCCACGCTACTGTTAATATTGTTCAGGTAACACTGAACTAGAACAAAGCACAGTCGTACTTCAGCATCATTCCTGCAAATTAATCAAAGTTGCCGAGTACAAAACATAATAAAACTCCCACACAAACATATTCATGTTAAAAGATGATTTAGCCACAAGATAGAGTATTCTAGGATAACCCATAAGACTCATGGAATATTAAATCTAAATTTGCCTGCAGATTTAAAGAAAGAATTAAAGTCAATAAGCTTAACTTTTTTTTCTCCGAAGAAAGGAGTGGTGAACCAACCTCAAAAACGATCAAAGGAAAATACACACACACTTGCTAAATTGCACAAAGTAATACTACTGCTATACAACTACGTGATTCCTAGTTCCACTGGTTCTTATTAATTTTCCTAAATCCAATGTCTGGAGAAATATTAGTTTTGGGGGAAAAAGAAAATAATATCCAGAATGTGCGTAGAGTTGCAGCATCTTGCAGCAATTAAATTTCGTACAAAAAAAAATTATGGTAAAACAAAACCTATACAAAATAACATCACATTTACAAAATACAGTTTTAGATTTGTTCAAAGGCATTTAATTAATTTGGGGGGACCTTACACTAGTGTATACATGGAACAAAAGGGCCGTCACATTTATTACAAAATCATACAAAACATGTTAATATTACTCATCGTTTTACTCGTACAACTGTACTTTTTAAAGGAAAAAATGTAAACAAATGTGTCCCTTTAATATCACCCTTTATATGTTTTGGTAAAAAATACAAGTTTATTCCTCCACATTAAGAAATTATTTTTAGGCATAATGCTAGCAATTTTTTTTCTAACTTAATTTTGCCCAGTCTGTAGACTAAACACAATTACCACTTGATCATTCGATTAAGGTTAGTTGATGTTACTGTCTCTTCATTCAGGCAACACTATCAAACGCATGTACCAGATTAAACTGACAATATGAACTCAGGAAAGTGGACCGTTTTTCGTTACAAACAAACAGTGATTGCAAGATTTTGTAAGAAAAAGAAAACTGAAGTGTCTAATATTAGACTAATGTGCATTGAGTTATGTGAGCACATCATTTCGTTAAGAATTCAAGCATTCAAAGAAAATTATTTTTCCTCTATGGTTAAGCCGAGAACCAGACAGTTGTCAATCGTATGCTTGCTTCACAATGGGACAAGTATTAAGCTTACAATAACATGCTAAAGGTCATGTGCTGTACTCCGTGCCTGACCTGAAAAGGTAGTGCACTTGTACCTTGTATAAGCCTGCGCAGCTGTACTGCTAGCCACAAATTTGTATAGAATAAAGGGGAATAAATGCCAGTGGTCTGAATGAAAAGAAAATCATTCTACTTCAACTGCATGCACTGCACAAACTTAATGTCATCTCAGGCTTTAAATGTATCTTCATGTCATGTTATAACAAAGGTTTCAATACAGTTTGCCTACACATACATGTACACTGGAAATTAAATGTCCGTTCTTGTGGTATTGCTCAGTGCCACATTTAAAAACCATGAGAATTAGTCATGAACAACATGCGGTGATGATTAAAGGTCACTCCTCCAGTTAAAGGGGCATTCAGTTTGAGCGAGGTTTTCTTGGTGCACAAAAATACATGTACAACCCTGAGAATCAAGTATGTATCACTCCAAGAAAGCGGGTGCCATTTACATAAACTGAATGCACAATAAGAAGTAGATTTTTTGAGGTTTCAGAAGTTGATAAGAAGTGTTTCAGTACAAATGCCAGTGAAATTCATGGGTGTGAAAGTGCGTTTGCAGTACCCCATAGCCTTGCACATTCAGTTGATGTTGTAAGAATCCATTTGAAACTGTGTACTGTACATTAGGGTCTTGTGACTCTTCCTAAAATATTGTATCGCGAGTCACATAGCCATGAACCATTCAATTACTTCTGTGCATCTTAAGTGAATCGGCAGTCGGCTCCATCAAAAACAACCTGGCGCTCCTGTTTTTTTTTCCAATTCAATACAAGTTTCAAGGGACAGCATTGTCCACTTTCACATGAGTACTGTACTAATATTTGAAATGCTGGGACTTTATAAAATGATTTTTGGGTAAATTTATGTTTGCATATTTTGGTAGCTTTCTAAAGTCTTTGTAAGTAATGAACAAACATTCCGCATTTAAATGCGGCAAACTTTTTAACCAGTCCGGATCAAAATTTTAGCACTCCACTAATTTTGCTGGGAAAATAACATTTTTGTTGTTTCTGCTTTTTAGTATATTTATACCATTAAAACACACAAAATTGTACACATACAAAATGTTAACAAAAATTGATACAAAAATTGTTCAACATAATTAAGCTTAATAAGGAACGATTATACAAATTTGACCATTTCTCACTGGTTTCAAACTTTCAATCTTACATGTACATTTTGTGCAATAAGTTAGACCAAAAAAACTACCAAATATTTTCTCCAAAAAAAATGGCAGCGCTGCACTGACTGCAAGACATGGTTAGTGTTACAACTGTATAAATAACGTGTCCAGGTGATTCCTACCATGGAGCTATTAAACACATGTTCTAACACAAGAGGAAAAAGGAGAGAATGAAGTATCCAGATGCCACTTTTGTACCAATAAAATACCTTTGTAACATTCAGTTGATGTCGTGCGACACCCTAAAAATTGGGATAGACCAAATGTTATTACATTTTGGTTGAAAACGCTTTAAAAGTTGTCATTGCTCAAAACATACTTTGTAAACACGCAACATCCAAGTGACATTGAAGTACTACATTCTTCCCCCCAAAAGTCGTCAGAACAATTATAAAACTTTCAGGGTGTTTACAAGAACTGAACATTAAAAAAAAGGGGAAAAAACAAAAAAAATAGAGAAAATCATTTCCACATCGCAGATCCATTAGGCACCCCTCTGCTCTAAAGTGTTGCTGTCTGTCAACGCTTTATTTTTCCAAGTTCATAATCCGATGGTACTAGGCCTACTCCACCCGCACACAACTGCAGCTGCACGTTTCCAAATATTCAAGTTCCATTTGAAAGATATCTTTTCCTTGTCTTCCACGATCATCTTTGTCCGGTGATAACATTCCATCCACAAGTGATGATCCGTGTTGTTTCCACTGCCAGATTTCCCCAACCCCCCAAATCCGTCCGGTTTTGGGCCAGTCTCACCTCTGCGGTTCCACCTCCATTTGTTTCTGGTTGTTGTTACCGTGTCCGTACTGTGTTATTGGCTGCATGGGGGCCGGCGCAGACGTCATACATGTTGGGGAACCGGCGTGATATTTGTCCGTTGTGCCCAATTTCGAAAGGTCCATCATTAAATCCGGGAAATTGGGAGGAGTTGCTGGCGTGTTGGCCGGTGCGTGCACCTTTAAAGGAGAGAATTAAAAACAATCATTAGCATAATAATGCAACTCGACGACTTCTTAGAAATCCTCCGAGCGGTTTCCACAGCACAGTCTGATGCCTTTGATAACTTCATGCATATACATGAGTCATTTTATTGTAAATCCACGCACCGGTAAACAGGCGGAACGTGAATGGAAAATAGAGGAAAAAAATTGCGATAGATTTCTCTTACCGAATGTCCACCTTGTCTGTAGCAGTGTGGATGGCCGTTTGGTATCGGTGCTTCTTGGAAGAAAATACTTAATGCCGTCTGAGGGGGAAAAGAACGGGAAAAGAAAACTCAATGAATGGCCGTGTTAACATGGTTAAGAGATTTAAATGGTTGATAACACAACACCCAATGTACACAACATGACCCCGCGCACTGCACGCATGCACGATGCAAGACACAACATAAACACAGGTATTGCGAAAAAGAAAATTTCCGTCGCCATTATGGAGACGGTAATTGTACCTCGAATTGCCAGTGTGCCGTTTGAAGTAAGTGCTTGGCAGTGTCCGCTGCACACCCGGCCGCCAGTACGAACTGGTTTATCATCACTTGTTCCTTCAGAGCGTCCATTTTGGAGAGATTTTCGAGCATTTATTCGGTCGACTAGAGGAACGACAACAAGCCCGAAACACTCGCCAACCAGGCCAACGACGACTGCGCGGTTTATTGACACATGACGTCAGAGAGCCGGGAGTGGAATACCGATCGCTGATTGGTCAGTCAATCAGGATGACGTGGATCGCCCCATGTTTTTGAGGGGAGGTCCTGTTTATTGATTGGATCCTGTTTTGTTATGGTTTTTGTTTGGGAAAGGGCCACCACTAATAAAGTAATGTTACACTTCCAATTCGGTTATTTAATTGCATTTGTATTTCTAAAAATAGCATCTGAATTGAAATGTATCTGATTTGAATAAATTTATACTGAAATAGTTGTACCAGGTCCATTTATGGTGTCAAAGCTGTACACAACTTTCAGAAATCATGAAATAAAAAATAATTTGTACAAGTAACAGTAACATAACTTTTAGATAAAGCAGTCAGGCTGGCGTTTGTAAACAAGATCTTTGGCAAGGTCGCCAGGCGCTGTTTTGCATAAAAAATGGGCATGTTGCCAAAACATAGATCGGGCATTCCTCAAAAAGTGTAAACAAGATGCATTTTGATGGTGCATTGTTGTGTATGTAAGTATTTAGGCCAAAGTTCGGGGGAAGGGTTTGGGAGTTTTTAATTTCTTAAAACAAAACAATAGTTGAAACGCATCAAAATTGGCACTGGTTTCATAATTCTTATTAATTTTGCGATACATTACAAATAAATAAATACAAATTCATAAATTATTTCCATAATAAATGTATCAGCAATTTATTTACAGGTTTTATTGTTTTCCTGTTAATGACCATCAGCTATATATCTTTTCCCATTATGTTTCCTTTACCTGCATATGTCGTTTGAATATTTGGTCAGACTTCAATTTGGCTCTGAGTTTTTGGTGCTGTAGGACTTAAATACTTGTGGTGCTAAATTCACAAATTGAGACTTTAGCTAGCACACCCGGCAGACAAAGGTTCCCAGATTAAAAGATTTTGACTATTTCTGACGAATCTTACGTCAGGTAGCCGCAGCGGTAATAGAAGTGGCCAAAAAAAAAAAAAAAAAAACCGGGCAGGATCCTGCCCGTTTCAGAGAATATCCGAAATTTACCGAATGCATTGCGTCGACACTCTCGGAAAGCGCCCCGGGTATTTCTGGGCATAATTTTTGTATATTAATATAAAAATTAGTATATTAAAACAAAAATGAGTTCATATATATATATATATATATATATCCAATGAAATCGTCTTCTATCACAATTCACAGTGCTCGATACATCTCTGTAGAGCTATAAACATGCAATAAATTCAGAATATTCTCTTTCTGAACAGACTGTTTCGTACCATAAGGCACTCATCAGCAGAATGACGAAAAATAGAATACAAGTAGCATCTTACCTTATTTCGAATCAAGCGCGCGCACGCGTTACGCGCGTTACGTCATTGAAGTTAGTACGCGTTTACGTCACTGAAGTAAGAACACATCTGTCTCGATGCCTGCACTTGGAGACGATTTCGCTTCTCTTATTCAGTGTACCTAGATCTGGCCTACATATGATTATGTACTTCTCTGCTATACATAAATTGCATCTCTTGTTTACGTTAGAGTATGGCAGTGCTTTCAGAACTATGTCCCATTTGATTTCATACTCTAACGTAAACAAGAGATGCAATTTATGTATAGCAGAGAAGTACATAATCATATGTAGGCCAGATCTAGGTACACTGAATAAGAGAAGCGAAATCGTCTCCAAGTGCAGGCATCGAGACAGATGTGTTCTTACTTCAGTGACGTAAACGCGTACTAACTTCAATGACGTAACGCGCGTAACGCGTGCGCGCGCTTGATTCGAAATAAGGTAAGATGCTACTTGTATTCTATTTTTCGTCATTCTGCTGATGAGTGCCTTATGGTACGAAACAGTCTGTTCAGAAAGAGAATATTCTGAATTTATTGCATATATATATATATATATATATATATATTTGATATTCAAGGACGACTTAATAATTGTGCCTCATCAAGTATGCACTCGGATCGTATGAGGGGCGAGCTTTGCTGCGTCATATTATGGTACTATTTTGAATCTAACGATGGTTTATACCTAGTCTATGTAATAGACCCTGGCCCTGGCGAACTTGGCTCCGTGATACTCAGACTAACCTGTTTTCCCAAAACTCAATTCGTCCCAAGTTCGGCATTGCCTGATTTGGGTCCCTAACTTTGGAGATTCCAGCTAAATGTCAGTCAATGTTTTTTGACATAAATATCAAACTGTAAGATAATGAAGCATTTAAAAAAAATGTGATCGGAACATTATAGGCTCTTAATGATTAAACCAAACCGGATAGGCCGGACATCATAAAAAAAAATTAAAAAAAAATATTTGTTTAGCCGTGGCGGCTACTTGACATAAGATTCGTCAGAAATAGTCAGAATCATTTTGTCCGGGAACCAGACTCACAAAGACTAGATAAAATATTTGTTCAGTGTTCATGCTATTTAAATCAATAGGAAAAACTAGAAAAACTGCTTCTTAAACTGTTATCACATTTTTTTTATGAAGCAATATTATTATCCATTCTTTTATTTCTCTCTGGCTTTTGAGGTTTTATATTAGGAATACAATTAATTTCACCATTTTAGTAGTTTTATTTGTTAATCTCTGACACAGTTTCCTTTTATATTCACGTCATATCAAGTTCTGGAGCGATGAATTAATGATGGACACTTGACCGGAAGAGGATTGAACTAATTTCAAGCAAAGTAACATTGAATAATTATTTGCTTGCTGTCCTGAAACTTTGTCCTTTTTTTTGGTACGGCGGGGATACTTCCAATTGAACTTTAGAATGAACGTGAATAATAACCCATGACAAAACAAACACCCAATATTATAAGGGTGATTTGCATGCCCTCAAATCTCCGGTATTGGAGCATTTTGTAAAGTTTGTAAAAAAAAAAAGTGAAGCTTTGAAGAGGACTGCTCGTATTTCTTGAAATTTTGATGAAATGAGCTCCCAAAATTGCTCTAGTTTTCCAATGGAACGTAGACGTCCTTTTTCAAAATTGCAATGGGCTTCAAGCTTCATTGGTGAATATCTTTGGATGACATTTCTCCCAAAAGTCATCGGCAAACTCTCCCAAAAAATGAAAACAAATGGAAAATTGATGAAATAAGCTTTAATATGATTGTGTCTCAAACACCTTGGCGATCGCGAGTTTTGAGTATTTTTCATAATGTTTGGAAGTGGGCGTTATGATCACTGAGGTCTATGGTAGTTTGTTTAATGGTGTCCGCAAGAAAAAGTTCGGTTATGGTGGACCTAAATTGCGCCCTCTCGCCAGAAAAGAATGATGATGTCACTTTTTGCCATTTCGATGACGATGCATATGCGCGACGACTGTTTCATGAAAGCTAGTTATAGCGAGGATTATGGGAAACGCCATTTTGTTATTCTGTCGTCAGATGCCGTGAATCACGGAAACTGGACTGCGGACTTAAAGTAAACGACGATTTCTTCTTCTTTAAGCAATAAGTGACGACCCAATAACGTGAAAATGGGAGGGCTGACGAGTATGCAGCGATCTAATGTCCAGGAACTCGACATTAGTGCATCTGCCGCGTACAGATATCCGCCCAAAACAGGTACGATCGAAGTCCGAACATTTTCTGCCTTCACAAGATTGAAGATGACATGGGATTGGTACGGGGTGGTACGGGCCAGAACGCGGAAACCGCGGGGACCAGCATGACCAGTCAGTGTCCTGCCCCTGGCTTTAGAAATTTGTTGCGAATGCGAGTTACTAAGTTTTTCCAAAACAACTCACTTAACATTAAATGAAACTATGATAATGATAATGTATTGTATTTATTAATTCCTTGGTCAGGGTAAGGGAATAGGCCCTACATTTTTTTGTCGTGTTTGTATTGTACTTTGTTGTGAACATGGCTTGATAATGATTTGGTGGTTTGTTTTCGGTTTGTTGACAATAGTCAATGGCATAACATATTAACAATGTCAATGACATGTCATGGTTGATGTTTTTCAACATAAATTTGGCCAAAAAAAGTGCCATCTTAACTAATTTCCAGTTAGTATTTCATTTTGTTTAGGGCCAAAAAAGAAGAAGTTCTGCTTCCGATTACATGGGCATTTGAAAATAGGGTAGGCCCTAGGTAGGTAGGGAATTTTTTTTTTGCAAATATTTTTTTGTGTACGATCATATGGAGGCTTCTACGTGTAGTCAAGGGTAAAAGGTAAAAATTGATGGTTTTGGGTGTTATTTTCTCATTTCTCCAATAAAACAATTAGGGTAGGGGCTGTCAGAATAGGGTAGGTAGGGAAACCGGAAGCAGAACTATTTTTTTTTTGGCCTTTGATGCATTACTTGTTTTTATTTCCCTGGCCTTGGTAACAATATGCGCCTCATTTTTTCTTATTTTAAGTTGTTGATACTGTGATAAGCACTTATTAACATTAAAAAAAATCACTTTATTTTAAATATTTTGACTTGACTGTTGCATAGGCCTAGTTGATTTGGGGACACTTAGACATGTTAGAGGACATTTGGGCTAATTATATATCTTATGAACATGATGAAGTAGGAAATGGAGTTCTGAATTCTGTTTCTTCTTTAACCTTGATTTTCATGGTTATATTTGAGATGTTTCAAAATACACTTTACTATTTTCTTTTGCCAGGCTGCTACTTTGGCAGTTACTTCAGTATGGGCGGACAGCGGTTTGACACCCCACAACCTGAGGCGTATCTGTTTGGGGAAAACTCTGATCTGAATTACCTCAGTTCAAGACCTGCCCCGGTAAATATTATCATTAACCCTAACCTTCCCAAATCCTCCAAAATCCTCTTTGCAAAATGCAGGATTTTGCAGGATTTGGGGCCATATGGCAAAAAATGTGTGGTTGATTATGCACTGTGGCACTGTCAAGGTCTTGGGCCAGATCTGGTGGTGTTTATGCTTAGCCGTGCATACATTTGGGCTTAGATTATACTTGAAATCCTGCGCACTGCTCCAGGATGTCACTGACTCTGCCTCAACTTGACAGTGATTGCCGGAGGATTTTGCAGAATTGAGGCAGTAGTCACCCCTCCAAGAACCACATTCAAGAAATAATGGAGGATTTCGCAGGATTGAGGCTGAATCCTAGCAAAAATACCTAAGGAGTCAAGGTTAAACATAAGTTAAACCAAACACGAGATGACAGACATGGCATCAATCTAGATTTTGACCTTCCTTGAAGATGTTTTATCTGATTTATGTCAACCTTAATATGTCATTTTCAACCAGTACTTTGAAGTTTCAGCTTGCATGAAATTTGCTTGAAATCACTAGGTCTAACCACTGGGACGCAAGAACTCCATTTTTCGAATTTTGTCTTTGGCTGGTCGTACTAGCACCCAAACGACAATAAATCAAAATAACATGTTCACCGATGTTTCACATACACCCAGCTCACATAAATTGCCAAAATCACAGCAAAAACGTAACAAAATTACTTTATAAGGCGGCTACTTGTCTGCCGCCATGTTGGAACGAAAGGGTTGCTTCCGAATTAATTGGAAGCAGCCGCAGCCACTTCCCATAGACCTGTGTGTTATTTCTAGCTGTAGTTAGGTGATTCAGACGCGACCATTCACAAACACAGGTGGCCATCACGTGACCTCTAGAACAAACAAAAAACAACTTGATCACGTTACATGTAGAGACATGTATTAAAACTGTTTGACTGTTTCCTGTCCCAGTTGGTGGCAATTGTCCGTTTGTTTTTAGAGACCTTTGTTTGACTTGAGATAGCAAAATCTACAAAATGGATTCTGTATATTTTTGATTTTAAGGCCCTACAGAACCCCTTAACATTTTTATCACCATTAATCTACTTTAATTTTCTTTAAAATTCTTTACCAGTTCCCGTACCCACACCTTCAGCCCAGCGAGCCGACCAAAACCCTGAAGAGTCTAGTCAACATCAGGAAGGATTCCCTCAAGCTGATCAAAGCTGTCAGGTGAGACCAGTTGAATACAAATCTTGGAATATCGTGCATTTAAATTGAAAAATAGGGCTGTCCCGACTATACAAAATATTCAAATATTCAGCCAAATATTCCAATAGCTTTTTGTGCTTGAATATTCGAAACAAAACAATAACGCACATGCACACATGATTTTGATGTGACTTTTTCATAAAGTTGCGACATTTTATTGTCAGGTGCCACTTTTTGTTGTCGACACTCGACAGTAACTTTTTTTGTCGACAGCGGTTCATTCTTTTGATCCTTTTAGCAGGTTAAAGCCCTTGACAGAAATAAAATGCTGCAAAACACTCCATATCGATTGCCGCTCTGGCGCGCTCTGCTTGCAACTTTTGACTGGCCCAGCACGCAGTTGCAGCTAGCAATTTCGAATTTCCAAATTCGGTCAAACACAGTTTTGAGTAATGAAATACTAAATTATTCAAAAGTGGACAGCCGTAATAAATAATTGAGTCTCGAGACTTAAAAATACTTTGATGTAACTCTGATGTAACCCCCGAGGACTGACACAAAGGGAGAACAACAGATCCTTTCAGTCCTCAGGAGTTGAGTCTTTTGTTTGAAACGATCCTCTATTGTACGGTTATTTGCTTATGGGAGAGTGTTATATTACAGGGACAAAGGGAAACACAAAGCATTGTCCTCGGGAGTATAGTAAAACAGGACTGCGTGTACTAGTCCATGTACAAAAATCGTTGTATTGATGTCTGTATTTCTGTGTAAACTTTAAAGTCTGCCGATTTAAAGACAGTTGGCAGCCCCTTTAAGTCAGTCTTGTGTTTTCCAACAGGGAAGGAGAGGAGACTGAAGATGGTCATTATTCCATCGAGTTCACCTTTGATACCGAGGCACGCACTGCCTTTACGATTCACTTCTTTGCCCGTGAAGAGATACAAACAGGCCATGCCATGTAAGTAGCAACAACAAATAACTTCAATGCACTGGTTTTGCCTCATATAAATGTGTGGATTTCGGTACTCGGAGCCATATCAGTTTCAAACCAGCTAGCCCACCGTGGTAAGCTGGTCAATTTGGTAAGGAATCTGCACTGGTAACCAGGAGGTTGTGGGTTCAAGTCCAACCCAAGCAAGCTTGCATTTTGTACAGAATTTAGTGACCAAAAACACAAGAAGTTGATGAAACTTAAATTTATTTTGAGAATTTTTTTCAGGATTCATTAATAAAACTACATTTTCCAAGTAGAACAAAAAATATTCAATCATACAAATATGGACAATATTTGAGACTGCAAAATACCAACATCTATAAGCCGGATTATCAGAGCCCACAGCTATTTTCAATTGTTGTGCCATTTTAAAGGGCGTTTTGGTTCCTTTAAGATTTTATGCTAAGGCAAATTTCCATATTCATGAGAAAAATTGTGATGTCATTCCGAGCAGAAGCCATATTATTACAGCTATTTCAGCACAAAAAGTTGATCGAATTTTTGAGATTTTGCTGCCATTAATTGTCTTTGTTTAGTGTTTTGTTGTTGTGCCAGTACATGGCAGTAAGCCAATGAGCGACCCTTTCTCACAAACATTTTCAATGATCAAATTTTGGGTTCCTGGAATGACATCACAGCAACAGTGCCCTCAGTTGTCCGGAAAAGCGGAAAAGCATTGAAAATTTCATTAGATTGAAGAAGTGCACTTTTCATTTAAATTAACCAAAAAGGGATGTCAAATAGTTTTCATACATTTAAGAGGAGTGGTAGAAAGTTGCACAAAATGTGTTCTTAAGAAAATTCATAAAGTTAAGTTCCAATTTTTTCTATCTCGAATTTTCAGATACACAGCCAGAGATCCAACTCTGAGATCAGAAACCTTTCACTATGAACGCGGCTCCAGCCAGACCTTCTATCAGCCGGCCTTCACCTTTGACCCCTCCATATTTGAAGAAGATGAGGTAACTAAAAAAAACTGGTAGCAACAGTAGTGCTTACTTTTCCTAAACACCCCTGTATGTAAATGTATGGAACATTTAATTTGAATGTAAAAACAGGCCTTTTTTGTATTTTCATCAAACCTGTTCCCGTTCAGCATGTCATAATTGCACCTCTGAAATTTGGTTAAATTCCATTTGTAAACAACAGAGTTATTTAGGATCAAAACTAGGACATGGTTTTTTGATACGTAGTTCTTCACCTGTAATTTCATGGGTAGCACTGCCAAAGTTCCCAAACTGGTTTAGATTCATTTTGTTGATAGCTACCTCTACTACAGCAGTGGCTTTACTACGCTAGTCAGGGTCCAACTGCATTGAGGGCATAAAATCCAAATCAAGTCTTGAACGAAGACTAACCAGAAGGTTGGTCAGGGACAACGTAAGTGAAATTAAACTGTTTTTGTAACAATGCTTCCCCTCTCCCCTGCCCCCCCCCCCCCCCCAGTTCACTTACATTCCAGGCAAGGACGTCATCCCCATCGTGATCCAGGGCATAGTCGAGGAAGGGGAGGAGCATGCGGGACACAGCCACGCCCTCTTTGCGACCCTAGAACAGACCATGGAATCCACGTACGTGATCAAAACACTCAAGCAGAAGCAGATGGTGGACGGGGTCTATTACATGCTGCAGGAGATCTTTGGCATTGAGAACAAGAACTCGGGCGAGTCGGGCAAGGTGAGTTGATCTATTAAAGTGACATCTTTTCATGACCAGGGATGCAAAGAACTTGCCAGAATTCCACTCACTGTGGAATTTGGGGTAAATTTTTCTCAGACAAGGCACTAGAGAATAGAACTCAAAATGTGCAATGTGGGACAGGCCATGTAGCTATATTTAATTACTATAGCACTAGCTCCTCATTCCTACGCGCAGAGATACTTTGAAGCTGTCCTTCGCACAGACATTTTGAATTCACGTGTGTGTTTGTAGAAAATAATGAAATTAGGTGGAGTGAATTTGGAAAGTGTACTCTAAATGCAATGCGCAAGTACAACATACACAAACAACTTAAGCCTGTCATGACGGTTAAAAACATCATGGCAAAAATCATCTGCAGCAGATACGCGCACGCGTTTGTGTTGTTTGCTCAGAGCAAAATGAAACACTCATTTACTGAGTGTGTGTTTCGTTTTTGGGTGTATCCGCCTTGATAACGCACCTGTGTAGAATACAAACGCAGATGCAAACAGCTGTACAAAAGCCACAGAATGTCGAGTTTTCCCATAGATTTGTGTACAAACATGGATGTGCCCAGCAGGCATCACTAGTAATTTAATAAAGATCAATGGTTGGGCCACATCACCGTTATTGGCTTTGCAGCGGGACCCAATTTCGAAGTGCTGCTTAACGGTAAGCAGAAAAGTTGTGCTATCTGTAGCAGAAATTTGTGCTAACCTTAAGCACTATTTCATGGCATGGATTGTGCTAACAGTTCCGCGCGCATGGAGATTTCTATTGTTACATCACTTATTTAAGCAACTACTTCCTGTGAGGTAAGCGTGCCTTTTGTGTGCTTACTGCTTATGGTCTCCATGAAATAGACGGAGGATCTGTTAGCAGAAAATTGTGTGCTTAGCAGTGCTGTCAAATGTGTAGAAGTTCACGTCAGTTGTGAGCAGTTTTAGATTTAGAAGTGGATGGAAAACCCTGAAGTGCATGACATTTCAGGGAAACAGACGCAGTCAGGTGGGGACTGGAAATTCCATCTGGGTCACGGTGGTGGAAGGCTAGGAAAGTCTGCTAGCACTGAGGGGTAATTGTGAGATTGAATTTGTCTTGATCTTTTCAGACGGTTGAAGAGGATGAGTTTGCGGATGATATCGGATCTGATTGCGTCATCTGTATGTCTGATGCTAGAGACACGCTCATTCTGCCCTGCAGACATCTCTGCCTCTGTAGCACGTGTGGTGAGTCCGCAAAACCCAGCAAAATTATTTAATTTATTGCATTATCTTTGGGCAATTCCATGGATTTATACACCTGAGTGTTAAAACTTCCAAAAATCCAAATGCCACAAATGACACATGAATATCCTATTGAAGCTTATTATCTGTATTTTATTGATATATACAATGTAGTTTATTTCAACAGTTCAGATAATACTTTTAACTGAAAAAAAATGAGTGCACAAAAAAATCTATTTGTCTCAGTACGTATGACGCAATGTTGTTTTGAGCCGATATCTACTACAGCAAGAAAGTTGGATGAATTTCTTGTTTAAATCATTGTAGTGACTTAAACTGGTATGTTTTTCCAGAATTGAAATCCACTTTATGATTATACCTGTATTATGCATACTGTTGAATTGTCCAAAACGTACATATACACGTCCGATACCATGCCGTAGAACTGCCCCATCACAACTTAATATTCCACACTTTGTCAGCCAAGACCTTTGATACGTGTAGAATATATGAATACTCATTACTGTGAGGGGTATAGACTCCGTGCAAATGTACCCCCTCAATGGTGGCAAAGGGAGAGTTGGGCAATTTAATAAACCTTCGACATCATGTTTCTTGGTTTCAAAGTTGGAAAGTTTGCATAACTTCAACGCTGTTTGTCTTTTTATTGTAGCTGACTCCCTGCGGTACCAAGCAAGTTGCTGTCCCATTTGCCGTGCACGTAAGTCAATAAGAAAGTTTATTAACAAGTATGGCGGCCACAGAATCCTCTTAATGTTTGAACAGTTCTGTATATTAGGTGCTGCCTGACAGCTATGCATTTTGCACACAGTGCGTATAGTACGTTGGTTGCTAAGGGTATAGTACTACGGTTGCTATGGGTAGAGTACTTTTGGCCGTGTACTGAAAGATAGCAAAAATGGAAAGTACCATGTGACTCGCTCTCGGCCAATTAAGACACAGAATCTGTGGATGAGGTGTTATAAAACTTAACATTTCTGCCAGGCAAAGATAATCAATCATTTGTTGCTATTAGGTGGTTTGAAATAGCATATGTTAATTATTTAAATGGATTTCCCCCCCCCCCCCTCTTTTCCAGCGTTCCGAGCTCTTCTTCAGATAAGAGCCCTGAGGAAGATTGGAACCACAGTGCCAACGCCAAACGACGACGAAGAACATCAAGTGAGTAACACATATGCTATCTGTTGTCTCCAACAAATTTAATGTGGTTTTCCAAATTGTTAATCTTCCAGCTTTGGGTGTATGGTCCACCAGTTATGGTTTCTGACTCCTGATCAGAGGGTCAGGGGTTCGAATCCTGCTGCTGGCCACATGTTGTGTCCTTGGGCAAGCCACTTCACCTTCACTTGCCTCTTAATAGAGATTTTTCCCATTCAAATCTATGCAACCAAAGCGAGACTGAAAGGAAAAATAGTCTGGTTCCTTTTTACACAAAAAACATTATCGTTCAGTACTGTTATTGAATACAGGGAACATGACTGAAATGGTGGCAGCATGATAAAGGTCTGTTAGTTGGGGAGCAACCTGCAATGGACTGGCATCCCATCCTGGGAGAATACAAATATTTTCATCTTATTTTTATTTTGCTGCAGAAAACAGACAAAAACTGACATGTTGTCTAGAAATAGTAAATTGTGAGATGTTTCCTGCAAGCAACTTATGCAATCTTTTCTTGTGCTCTGTTTATTTGTTTTTATTTTTATTTTAAATAAACAATAATATTATGATGATTATTTTGTTCTATTTGTAGGCAAACCAAGAGAATGTTCCTAGTGGCTATGAAGCTGTTCCACTAGGTGAGGCCCTCAATGGTCCAAGTCCAACCAGAGCTAGTGCAGATGGTAAGCGGTTTTGTCAATTTTTTCATTAAAGTAATTTAAACTCGCAGTATAGTCAATGCAGTAAAAACCATTTGGTCCAGTTCATTGCAGAAATATGAAGTTTATTCTGTGTTCATTTTGTTCAGGTGGTGCAGGAGAGAGGCTGCTTGGCTCTGCTTCCAGTGAAGGCAGAAGCAGGAGAGGTCGAAGGTCAGTTTACCTTTATTAACCACTTTGCGCCGGGATTGTTCTTGCTGAAAATTTCGATTTTCGCAAAAGGCAACATTTTTCAGCCAATTTCTGATATACAGCCAAACGCCACAAATACTGATTCACAAGAGTCATTTCAACAGTATTTGTATGATATTTCTTGCCGAAACTTCATATGTTTCAATAATTCGGGGTGTGCACTGGCGCGTAATTTGTAAAACAATAGGCCGTGCACAACAGCCAATTCAAGATCAACACACTGTCCGCTTGAGTAGGTCTATTCGATCTGTTGACTTGGCTGACCCAGCAGATGCGGTGATGTAAGCTTAAAGTCCTCTTGTCAATACCTAGCGGTTAAGAGCACCGGACTCATGTTCTGGTGTTTCAGAGGCAACAGTGACGTGGGTTTGAACCCGCCGGCGGACACTTGTGCTCTTAAGCAAGGCACTTAACCATTATTGCTTCGTCCTTCGGATGGGACGTTAAGCCGTAGGTCCCGTGTGTTGCATAAATGCATGTAAAAGAACCCAGTAAACACTTATCGCTAGAGAAGGGGTTTGTATAAACTCCCACGCGGAGTATTTAGGAGAAGAACCAACCAAGAACCAAGAATACAAATTGCCTTGACAAGCTCACAGGCTCAGTGTTAGTTAACTAAGGAAACATATTGCATCAGTAGATTCAGCAGATTCTGCGGACAGTCTGAGTTGAAGCCAGCCCTCATAGAAGATGCCTGAGCCTCCCAAATGGGCTCTGTGCACAAGTACCCCCTCAATGGTAAGAAAGGGAGAGTTGGAGGAGACCACTGGGAGAGACATTCCAACCCATCGCCAACGGCCCATGACATCTCACGCGAAGACGCTATTGCTGTTTGCACATTCAGAAATAAAATGAGTCGTGGGTTAGTCATACTCAACATGTGCCAACCAGTACGCACAGTGTGTCCCATCCGCTGGGCTCACGTAAGTAATACAAAAACCTACAGGTGTGAAAACTCTGCAGAGGAGATGACTTGGCATTTGTTCCTCGTCCTTTTACAGGAAGGCAAGATCTAGTTCTGCTGCTTCTCTGCGTAGCCGCACCAGCGAGGAGCAGACCACTGGCTTCCGCGAGGAGAATGAGACTAAGAAAAGCGCCATGGCCAACGGCAGCGTCCGTTCCCTGCCGGAATCCAAGAAGGCAGCTAAGGCGCAGGCCGTGGTAACATCGGGCGATGTGGTGGTGAGGAATTTTATGAATCAAGAGTTTGAATATGTGATAGTCCTTTAATCCTAGATAGTCAGCGAGTAGTAAGGCAAAAAAAAAATAGTTCTGCTTCCGATTACAGGTAGGTAGGTAGGAAATTTTGTTCCTAGGCCAAAATTTTTTTGTGTACGATTGTTTTGGAGGCATCGGCGTGTAATCAAGGGTAAAAGGTACAAATTGATGGTTTTGGGTGTTTTTTTTACTCATTTTTGCCATAAAAAGATTAGGGTAGGGGCTGTCAGAATAGGGTAGGTAGGGAAACCGGAAAAGTAAAAGTACACAAACGCATTTGCATGAGAGCCTGACAAACAGTCCGAGCAGGATCTTTAACGACGTTCATCTTCGATTGGCAGGAGCTGTTCCAAGATGACAATAAGCCAGCTATGCCACCCCTAGCCCTCAGAGAGACTCCACCCAGCTCAGCTTCGGCAGACAGCAAGTCTGGCCGCAGCACGGCCTCCCCGCAGAGCGTTGCCCTGGAAGGGTCCCTGATGAGCGCTGACTCGCGGCCACAGTCGGCCGGTAAGGGCTCCCTCAAGTCCAACCGGTCCAGGGAAGGAAGTCAGAAGTCTGTGGATACGAAGACTGTGGACAGGCTGGTGGTTCATGGTTTGCAGGAGACGGCCATTGACGGTGAGTACTTCTCATTTTGAGTCTGTTTTGCTGTTTCCAACCAGTGTCCTCACAAGTCCCTCGCAAGTTTGATGTTCCTTAGTCAACTTACAAGCTATTCAGATGAACACTTACTGAGGCATTTGCCCCCCGCCCTCGGTTATGAGAAGGTACTAAAACACTGAGCAGTTTAAATGGGAGATTTTTAAGACACAGTTCAACGAAAATACCAAATAATGCTGCCCCCTCCCCTCGGTTATGAGAAGGTACTAAAAACACTGAGAAGTTTAAATGGGAGATTTTTCAGACACAGTTCAACGAAAATACCAAATAATGCTGCCTACTGAACACTTGTCCATTCCACAGAGATTAGTGCAAATAAAGTACATATTTCATTCCGTTAAAATAAGTCAGTTGATATTTTTGCTTTAAACGATTACATGACTTCATGACAAAACTGGATTTGCATATTGTTGCACCCTCAGATCCAGAGAGCAATCCAGCCATGGGCGTCATGTACGACGAAACCGAAGAGCCCCAAATGGCCGAGCTGTCGCACAACAGTGCGTCCCTCAGCTACACCATGGATCTGGAGTTGCCCGGTACTCCGCAGAGCAACCCCAACGAGTTGGGGAACCGGGACAGCCAGGCCAGTTACAGCAGCACGGGGAGCACGCGCCAGCTGCTGTCGACGCCCAGCAACATACAGCTCGAAGAGACACATGAGCAGATGGTTTAAGGCGCCCGACTCATCAATCTTGCTCCAGGACTGGTTTTGTTCCACTAAATGCAACCGGCCCCGATCTTCCAAGCAAGGTCAAGCTGTAGTGCTGGCAGAGGGGGCTATCAACAACATGAATTGAATGCAGCCTTGGGAACGTAGGCACCCTGACCCAAGAAATGTTGTTGAGGTATGCTCAGAATATCGTGGGTCACAGTGCCAAAGTTCCCAAGACTAGCCTTGATTCATCATGTTGATAGTGCCCCTGTACCGCCGCAGCAGCTTAACTACACTTTTCAGGTGCCTGCCGCATTTAGAGGAACAAGTCCAGTCCTGGACGAAGACTACCATGCTATTATTAGAACACAGCAAAAATAGAACAATAGTTAAAGTCAAGTTCATCCTGGTCTCAAGTCAAGTCACGAGCTGTTCAAAGAACAGTGGCAAATGTATTCTTGTTTGACTTGTGATTTGACTTGTGGATGAATTACCATGGGCTTGCACTACAAAGTGATATTATCCCAAAATCAGCATACTGTAATCTGGTTTAAGGCTACAGAGCTGCGTAGCACAGAAATTTACTAAGATCAGAACATGTCTTACTGAGTATTCGATTGCACGATCCCATACGTTCCAAATTCTCCAAGATGGCTCCGAAAGTTTCCGGAAAAGGTCAGAAGGTGGCCGGAAACACTAAGGTTTTGGTTAGCACAAACAAGAAGAGGTACCGGCGTTGCAAGGAGAGCTACAGCTGTGGCTTGGGTTCGATTCCCGGCTTGGGTCATATGTGAGTAGAGTTGTTAGTGGATTCTCTCTTGTGCCATGAGGGTTTTTCTCTGGGTTCCCCTTCTCCAGCGCGCGCTGAATCAAGAGTTGACATGCATTTTGCTCGCGTACGCACATTATGATGTTCTAAAAAGGACAAGTTGAGAACAGATCTAAGATGGCAAGTTGTCCTTTATAGAACACCGACGCGTCTCCCCAATACTGCTTCAAATGACTTCGTTCTGTGGTTCTCTGCACGCTGTCCAGTCAGTATATAGCGATCAGTAGGCTCAATTTTTCAATTATTATGGGGAACCACCTAATTTGAAAAATATCGTCTTTTGGTTCTAAAGGATGGTCTTAAATTGCTGAACATTATTGCGGACGATCAAACATTCCTGTTTTTTTTTTATTGCATGATATCTCATAGAGTGTGGTAGAATTTGAAATATACAAATATGTTTCTATGGAACAGCCATAATATAGAGTGGAAACTGTTATTGAAGACTTTAAAGTATTTAAATGTGGGCCGAAAATGTATTTGTCCATTTTCGATGTGCATATTGCATTGTGTGTTTACCAGTTGTGAATTAGTTGTTTACCATGATGCGTACTCTGAAAATCCATGTGTATGTACAGTCGACTCTCGGTAGTACAAAATTCTGGTTATAACAAACATAAAGCCTTGGTCCCGACTGTGCATTTATGTGCACAATGAATGGGACTGATGTTCCTCTTAATACAACTGTCTGATATAACAAACAATTTGGCTAGGTCCGAACGAGTTTGTTATAACGAGACTCGACTGTATATCTTTGAATACTTGATGGCAAACAACTGATTTTTACACATCACGCAGTGTGCACTATACTTAACGAATGAAGGACTCAGGGATTTTCAGCCTAACGTTATCCAAATTATTTAATCTTCTAAAAAAAGAGTTTCAAATTCATAATTCAAGTAAATGCATATCCTGGCTCAGCGCAGACCTTATATTGGAAGCAAATTTTAAAAAATAAGCCGAACCTCATGAAACGTCACAACAAATCTTTTGGTAGGAAAATGAGTTTTATGTTCTTTAGTGTTTGCGTTTAGCATGTGCAACTCCCTGTAAGTTTAGATTTAATATTAACATTAATGTTCTTCACGCATGGACAATTAACTCAGCAACACATGGACATGGCTTTTCTTGGCTTGCTAGAAGCTATAAACTATATTGCTGTTTTGAAGCTAAATAATATATTATTTTGCTTACAAATTGATATTAATCTCATGTTAAATGTGTATAAGACATTACTCACATTGCATGCCGTGTTTTGGTCACTTAAAAAGTGGATAAAATGGGGATAAAACGACGAAATATCCAACAAATCGGCAATACACGGAGATACAGGTTTGTGTCCAAATTCATCTTGTTGCTATTATGCACACAATTTTCTATTTCTTTCATAAGCACTCTCAGAGCACGTTCACTTTGTAGGCAGAATTTGTTTTTAAAAAGAAAGCAACAATACAAATGTCCATGTGCATGCAAGTATTTCCATGTTTACGACTTACAAGGAATTACGGATCTTTTGCCGTTTGCGAATATTGTTTATTTCCAATAACACCACTACTCAAAATCCAAAGAAGAATGTTCAAAGCCTTAAAGTTTCAGCTAAATGGATGCTACCCTTTTGAGAAAACTGTGCAAAACCATGCACAACTTTGTGATCACAAAACACAATTTTGTCATTGTAACTCTTTATTCCAAAAATCTGTCAGTTGACTGATTGATGGAAATCACCTACATTTCTGAATTTCTTCTAAACTCCCTAGTGTCTTTTACTAAGTACTGGACCAAGTCCGCCAAAATCCATCACTGGCCCTGCTTCACATAATGCTTCAGGACCACACCTGCTGAAACCCACCACAAGACCACCACTACTATAGGTGGATTTGGATGGACTTGGTACTCACGGCTTGCCTACCAAAATCCCTAAAATGGGGGAAAAGATTTTGATGGATTTGGTCATGGGCGTCGCCAGGATTTTTTCCAGAGGGGGGAAAAATTTTTTTTTGGCAAAAAATGCTTGTATTTCTCAACACATTCTCGATTTATCAGTTTTAGAGGGGGGCAGGGACATTTTGCCCCCCCCCCCAACTCATTAAACTTACACCACTTTGTCTTCGCGCCTCTTTTTTTTCTTTGTTCTTTTTCTTCCTTTTTTTTGGTTTTTTGTTTTGCTTTTCCAGGGCGGGGGGGGGGGGGGGGGGGGGGGGGGGGGGGGGGGGGGGGGGGGGGGGGAGTGCCCCCCCCTTGCCCCCCCCCCCCCCTCGTGACGCCCATGGATTTGGTTAAGGTTTTCATCATTTTTTGCTCTCAGTTATCACAACTTCTCTGCTGTTATGCTACAACATGAAAGTGGCTGCTTGTAAGGTTTTCCTTCTTTGTCCAAAAAAACCAAAACATTGCAGATTTAAAGGTACGTGTACTTGCGTTAATTACATTGCTGGTAAATATCACTTAAGTAAAGCAGTACGTATATTTGGAATGGGTTAACACCCCTTTAAGAATTTCCACTTAAACTGTTAGCTCAAACAAATTTGAAGGATTTTTATTCGAACATTTTTTTTAAATGAATAAAAGGCTTGATCTTACTTGATGTGAATGCAAATGCAATATAGGCGGGTACTTGCTAAATGTTTCTCCAAAAAGTTATGGTTCAAGACATCGAATATGCCTTGTATTTGCACTCGCATGAAAGTAAGGACTGGCCTAAATAGAAGAGTGTTATTCATTGTACATATATTTTGATTTCTCAGAAGTATCAATTTTGTATAAATGATAGACTAACCTATTTGCAAATGTAACTGTGAATGTTTTTATTTTTAAAGGCTTAGTTTTCATTGCCGTCATCAAAAATATTGTTTTTATTCCCCCAAGTACACGTCAGAGTCGGACAAATTTGTAATGTGTATTAAGATCTGTAGAAACAGATGTTTGTAAATATGTGATTTAAAAATTTAAAAACAATGTACAATAATGTTGATGTAGGCATGCAAAGTGTATGGAAAAAATATTGGTTAATTTATATGTCTGATAAATTATATATGTACGTAAAAATAGCTCTTTTCAAAAGCACATGCTCTGTTCCAAATATTGTGTCGGTTATCTAGCTACGCAAACGTCACAAATGGACTGAAATGCACTCGATGAAAAGCGGCTTTAATGAGAATCTTAGTTTGTCTATTTCTGATTGTCAGTTAAATTGTTTGGATTTTGTGAAAACGTTAATCATGCGGAAAAGTATGCTTATGTTTATCAACATGGAACAACTGATTAGAGGCTTTTCTAAATCAATGCTTAATTGTTTTTTGCGTTAATTCATTACACTGTGTTCTTCCACATGTAGTAAATGCTCATTTGAAACGCGGAATATTTAAGAAGTTTTCATGGAAATAGAACAGATTTGTATATTTATCCAGGAAATTATTAAACATGTAACGCTGAAAAATTGAAAGCATACAGCAACATTTTGTCTCTTTTCTTTATTAGTATTTCCTCGTAAAATCAATTTTTAAAATGGCAAGGTATATTAGTTCACTGTATTCTTTAAACACATTCCAAATTGTTTTTATGAAGCTGACAAGCAGAATATCAGCAGAAGATTCATTTGATAAAACCTTCTTTATTTTCTGTTGAATTGTAAATTGTTGTCATTAAACTTACTGTTCAAAGTTTGCATCTTGCAACAGCAATTTGAAACAAATGGTAAGATACTTTCAACAAAACATTTTTATTAATCCAAGTTTAGTTGACACCACGTCACTGTAACGCCACAATATATTTTAAGTAAATAATCCACAAAATATAAATTTAATAATAATAATAATAACGCCACAATATCATAATTTAAGTAAATTATCCACAAAATAATGATTTGCAATTCAGTGGAAGTCACAATAAAATTATGGATTTATATATTGCATTTTCAATAAGCTTACAATTTAGCAAATATTTTGTCGACAGGTTCAAGAGAAAAAAAAATTGCTAAATATACACGTTACACAAAAATATAAAAAATAAAAAGTATATAAAAAAAATTAATTCACACGTATGTGGTTAAAGTTTACATAATATTTGCAGACATCACTATTAAACATGGTGACACGCAAATCAATGGATAAGTACTTCACAATTTAAGAATTTAATCTGTTTAAGCCAAATATACAGAAATGATACTCAATGGAATCTACACACCAAAAATTTAATTTCTGATCTTACATTTCTGTGTGAATACAATTCTAAGTACTTTGCCGATTCTGTTGGACGGAATCAACCTTATGCTGAACTTGACATCTGCTCACATTGATACTACGGAGGCCAAAAAAAATAATACGTCGGTCTCTGGTCAGCGCGCGCGTCGATTTTAATCATGCGCGTCAATCTTTTTTTCCCCCAAAATGATCCGCGGTAGCTCCAACAGCGCCCTCTATTGCTGCACCTCCACCTAATTTTTTTTTTTTACCAAAGAGCACCAAGGAATGGGAAATTACACCCAAGGCAAATGATCGAGAGCACCAACGCAAATTATGGAGGACACCAATGTACATGAGGACACCAAATAGCAATAGTACCCCACCTTGTCTGTACAATCCAAGCTTGAAGAAAAAAACAAAAAGCCAAAAAAAAAAAAAAAAAAAAAAAACCCGCGTCCCTGCATCAATTCCGGAACTTTGGTCTGACCAGAGACCGAATATTATTTTTTTTTGGCCTAACCCTTAAATAACAGGCTTATTCTTACACTGGCATTACACAGTCATGTTGAACTCAACTCAACCCATGGAGGAAGCAAAACGACACTACTAACCCATATGAACTTTGGTCTCAAACAGGAAAAGTTTATGATCTAATTTCCTTTTCACTGAACTCTCGAATCATTTTGAACCTTCATTACAGTCAATCTTTCACTTGCACAAGCTCCTAATTCTTTCACAGTCAAACTTAAGTCTCATCTTTGGAAAACTTTACTCATTCTAGAAAAAAAATCTAGTGCGGCATAACTCTGTAACGCCAGTCTGGAATGTGTTGTGTTCAACTCTCCGGATCCAACCTCTAGATATTATTTTTTCATAGCATATCGTTGCAGTGTTCGAAGTCTGCTTGGTAACACGTTCCCCACAGAGCCAGCGGCATCATTCCTAGTAGCACCACTATCCCAGTCAATAGGGTCAGCTTCCCTGTCGAACAAGTCCTGTGATTAGGAACAGAGGAGGATTTGATTAGTTTCATCACTGAGACTTAAACTTAACATCTGACCGAACCAAGAAAAATTAGTTGGAAGTTGCCAGAGATGGGTTTGAGTAACAAGCAGTTTTACAAATCTTGTGCAATGGATATGGAAACAGTCAAGATTTTCACCCACATGGGTTCTTTAAATGTCCCCCCCCCCCTCCCCCGGCCACCTTGAAAAGATTAATTATTGAATTTGCATTAAATCAATTACAGGCTTTCCAAAAAAAAAAAACAATTGTTTTAAACTGAAATTCTTCATGTAAACATGTGTTCAAAAAAAATGGTCCATTCAAATGTACAGCGCATCAATGAAAAAGCTATTAGGCCGAGTAAAAAAAATAAATAGTTTCTCGTCCGGGTTTTTGAAAAAAGGGAGGAAGCGGGGCTTTTTATTTTTTATTTTATATTTTTTTCAAGATGACCGCCTTTTCAAAATTTCCTGCAACCGTTGGTGTTCCACTGTTCAAAGACACTTTTAAAGATGAAAGACAAGTTGGACAAGAGAACTGAACATATTTACAGTGTCATTTAGAGTTGTATTGGTATTGGTATTTAATTTCCGATGAATTTGTAGACTTTTTCTGTGTTTTTCTACTACATTTTTCAAAAATAACAAATAATAAAAAAAATCCAGGCGGTCTCCAAAAAGGAAGCGGGCGGGGACGAGAAACTTGTTTTTTTTTTACTTCGCCTTATGAGGGAATTAAACTTAAAAAAAAAAGAATTTCATAAAAACTGCAAAATAGAATGGTTATAAGACAAGCACATCTACATGAATCAACATGATCACCATAATTATGTTGAGACCAAATCTAAATACAGCAATATAAAATATATTGACATTTGAATCTTCAAGAAAAAAACAAATCGGGGGGGGGGGGGGGGTCTTGAGGTCTAGAACTCAAGAGTAAAAAAGATTTCAGGCTGACACTGAACAAACACAAAGATTTCATGCAGACGATATAAAGACACATAAACATAAGACTTATCACACTCCATCCACAACAAGGGATGTGGTGGAGTAATTGCAGAATACCCAGCCACTCGGAAATACATCCCTAAAATCTCTGGCTACGCAGTTGGAATCACTGGAAAAGAAACAATTCAAGTCTATTGCCAGCTACACGGATACTGAGTGGGGGTCCATTATTTGAGAACGAAGCAACACAAAAGAAATGGGGGTTGCTGAAAAAATTCTTAGTCCAAACCAACTATCTTGTTGCCGGCTACGTGGCTACAGAGTGAGAGTCCCCTTGATATGCTTCAGAACGAAGCAACACAAAAGGAATGGGAGTTGCTGAAAAAATTCTAAGTCCAAACCAACTACCCTGTTGCCGGCTATGCGGATACGGAGTGGGACGTGCAGTGGAGCATGACATGTGTAGGCCTAGTACGTACAGGTTGCACTGAGAAGGTTTATTGAGGGCAATCAACCGTGACTCCATAGCCGGCTACGAGGTGCATAGATCGAGTGGCGGGGTATTCTGCAATTGTGCCGATGTAGTCAAGTCCATCACAAGTCCAGTCACAAGAAACAAAAGATGAACAATAACAAAGGAATTGTCAAAGCTCATTTCAATAGCTTGTGAGTTGAATAAGCCTCTGTACTAATGACGCCACACTTTGTTTACGTGTGTGCTTTCCTATGGTGCTCAGTGGACCGTGGGCCCCCACTGGCTCCCTAGGAAAGTGCACATGTAAACAAAGTGTGACGTCATTAGTACAGAGGCTTATTGGGACTGGAGGCCTTGTGATAGACTTGCAGGGACTTGTGATTGACTCGACATCCCTGCCAACAACCCTGCCAAATTCTTTCCCAGTCAACACAAGGAGGTTAAAAAGTACAGTGAAATCTTACGTCATTATGTGGCCACTGAACCAGCACATTAGAGTCCATCCCAATGCGATGAGAAGACCAAACAGCTCTCTGAAATGAAATATGACCACTGATATGAATTCATTAATTTAAACAAGGGATTTAGAGTTTTGCGTATTTGTGAGGCGTTCTGGCAAAATGAGACAGAACTGGGCAGATGTCGGCGTGAAGGTTTTAGGAAAAAGTATAAAATTCTCCTTACAATACTGTTTGTTGTACTTCAATTGGACATTTCTTCAAGTTATGGCTGTTTAAAATTTGCTTTTATCGACGTGTCAAAAGTGACAAAAAAGCCTATCCGGTTCGTTAGTGTGACGTCACCTCAATTCAACCATGCGTACTTCACACGGGTGTAGCATAGCACAAATGGAACCGGAAGTTAACACATTAAATCGCCCCATTCAGTTTTTTGCATTTTTCTCTACTACGGCCCGTGCCCAGTTCTGTCTCATTTTAACAGGAGGTCTCACGTTTTAGAATCTTGTCACAATTAACTGACCTTCCTTCCTCCAGACTGAGTGGGTTGAAGAGCCCTTCCTTCCTGTGCACTTGCCCCACCTGGAACGTGAGCAGGACAATTCCGAAGACGGCGAAACACATGTGTATGGCCGCAGTGACTCGCCAGTACTTGTGGTCTGAGTTCAGAACACAAACGAATAACCATTAAATCAATGAAAGTGATCTTCTTCTAGGGCTGTGTCGAATACTCAAATACTCAAATATTCAATCGATTATTGAATTTCTAAATATTGAGTTTTCGATTGGAATATTCGGTGGTGGAAATGCTATGATATACTTAGGTGGAAAAAGTCAATATTTTTTATAGTAAAATTGCTTTCTGAAAGCTTATGTCAAGGTGTTGCCAGACACTAAAAGACAGCTGATGTATATTCCAAATAGTAAAACACACAATCCATCCAAGAATATGGAAACAGATTTTTGATGAATACAATTCATGAATGTGCAAAGTTAGCATCTAAACTAAACATAACTTTTGGATATCAATGAAGTAAACCCCTTCAAATTGCTGCAAAGATGCAGTAACGCAAATCAGATGAAAATATAGACGTTAGGGAAATCTTACCTATGGAATCGCGGGACCAGACGATGGAACAGCAAAGTAGACAGGGAATTGCGTAAATAGGCTTGAAAAGAAACATTTGACAAACTTAGTATTATTTGGCGGTTCCTGAACCCGAAATTGTCTAAAATATCTTTGCTTTGAATGAAATTGGCACAAAGTTTCAAATCTCATGTCAGTCAATTGGTAATAATGTGAGAAGTACAGACTTTGCAATCTGAAGAGATAATAAGCCACAAGAAAAAAACCCAAAAGGGGTCCAAATAATATAAATGAAATGCCAAGAAATAATAATTATTATAGGTTGTCCCAGCTATTTTAAATTGTTTTTTTTTTAAATTCAAATTCACCAACTCTTATCATTAAATTTTGTCCGAGAAAAATTTCACATGCTTTTTAACACTGAAACCACTTTATTTATTTTTTTTTTAATACCATTCAATTTCAAAGTTTCGCCACCCTCTTTAAACTCCGAGTCGAGAATATTCGTCAAATCAAATTTGTCTAAGCTGTCGCCAAATAGCAGCATTCAGAGATTGAATTTGTCATATAATCAATCAATTTAAAACTTGTGTTCAGTAAGTTAGTCTGATGTGTGCTTGAGCATTTTCCTCGTGTTCCGAGGCACAATTTGCTCACACGATTTTATCGGACCAAGTACAGTACTGAACTCAAAGAACAGTTACCCATGAAAGTGTAAAGATTACCAAGATCAACAAAACAAAATAAATTCAAAGAAACAAACGAAAAGAAGAAGTGTTTAAAGGAAAGAAGGAAATGTCAAAAAGCACAATTGATAACCCTGAAATCCCTGTTTGTTCCAAAAGTATCGAATCTAACATATTTTATGAAATTAAAAATCAAAAGAAACAAAAAACAATAAATTTATGAAGAAACAGGGAAAGAAAATGTGGAGAATTATTCTTACCAGCACTAATATGCTTTCTACTGAAGATATCACAATGAAGACAGTATGATGAAATTGAACAAAATTATGTTAAATTGTGTGGCATTAGACGAATTTGATTTCTGACCAACAAGGTTGGGCGTAGACGAGACAAAATAAAATACTCCGGAAAAATGTGTGCTTATAGTTTGAATCTGCTGGAACTTAATTTGAAATTGGCTAATAAAAGACATAATTAAACATTGGAAGTGCACTAAATCAATGTTGCTGGATGAATTTGAATATAAGCATGATAAACGTTTTAGCAGAAACTTACCACCCAAATATATGGATCCGGATCATTGATCTACAATAGAACAAAACAAAAACTTGTCAAAAGGGGCATTTATACTTCCAATTTTCTTACAAAATACTTACAATACTTTAAATATAGTTTGTATAGTGATGTAATGATACTACATTCTCTCTGTACAGCTAGAAGCTTTTCTTTAGTGTTAATTTCCCATATTAAATGACAAAACTTTTTTAAAATCAAATTAAATCATGAAAGGCTGACCTGAACGAATGCAGCTAATGCAAAGAAGACGGCCATGACGGCGTTAATGCCGGCCCACAGCCACGACTGAGGGCCGGTGATTTCCCTTGAACCTGACCCATCGCTGTGATTGGATGTAACTGATGATTGGCTCTTCGACGATTGGCTCTTCCTCATGTTGCCATAGTCTGGTTAGACTGAAGAAAGAACGAAATCAGAACTTGTTCAGCTTGATTGAATTTAAACATTTTTAATGCTGGTTATCATGATTGATCTATCTATAACCCTGTTCATACCTGTTACGTCCCAACCATGGCATTGTCCCTCAAATGCGGAAAAACATGCACAAAAAAAAAATCAAGCCAAGTTTGCTCACTCTTTAGCCAACAAATTTCGGAAAAAATGTTGCAACCTGATGCTACTTTCAGACTTTCAAACAGAAAAAAAGACTTTTGGTTTTGATTATCTTGTAGTTGTACCTCAGAATGTGTGGCCAACTTAGTGAATTTGTACATGTCACGCGTCGGTTGAGGGCTTCAACATGCAATGACATGTAAAAATTCACTAAGTTGGCCACACATTCGCCTACAAATCTCTCTTAAAGACTTTGTCAGCATATTCCTTACAGTTCTCACATGAAAGTATACTTTCTGAGGTACATTGTAAGCCCAATTTTTTTTCTTTTTTCTGTTTCGATGTTTCGAAAGTAGCGTCAGGATGCAACATTCTTTCCCAAAATTTTCTTAGGGCAAAGTAAAGCTCCCCAACAGTATTTCACCAACCAAGTCACGCAAGTTTAAAGACTCAATTCAATTATTAAAGGAGACGTTTCTTCAATATTTTGCATGCGAGGGAAGTCAAGTGATTTTCAAAATGAGGCTAATATAAAACTAAAGACTAGACTGTACACGTCAAATTCATTTATTTTCAGACAAAATTCCGACATGCGCAACTGTGTAATAAAGCTGGTAACTAGAAATACCTTCAAAGAAGATGGTTGAGTAAAAAATTTAAATACCAACCTTCCGGAACCCTAACAATTAGTAACAATTCCCACTCCAAAAATGCCAACTCCGCCTACCCTTGCAGTGATCCTGTCTTGACAGTGAACAGCGCCCTCTATAGTTCATGTTTATTTTCAAAGGTGAAGAGTGAAGACGTATGAGGGCGCGCGCGTTTCAAAGTAATTTGGGCGAAACCGTTCGCAATCATGAAAATTTTACCGAAATGTTTCATTATGTGATTGAGAATTGGCATGATTTAAGAATCTCGGAAGTTACATGAGCAACAGATACATAACCGCTTTGCAGGGTTGTTTGCAAGGTCATTTTTATTGGTTGGGGGGGGGGGGTTAAAAACTTTTTGAAAAGGGCACTTGCACAACCGTGCTGAAATGTAGACACTTTTTTCCCGGACACTTGGCGTCCGTAAAATCAAATAGTGGATGGGGTTGGGGTGGGGGGTGGGTGGGGGTACATTCTGCCGATGGGGGCGCTGTTCAAAACCGACGATTATGCACACTAACGGACAATATATGTTTTTCAGGCATACATGCGCGAAATTAAAAACAAAGGCACCCGTGACGGCCGATGGCACAAAAAGAGCACGCCTTTATCTTTAAAAAGGGCACTTGTTCAGAAAAAAGGACACTTGTTAACAAATGAAGGGCACTCTGTACAAATATTGGGGGGGGGGGGGGTAAGCGCTAGAGAAAAAAAGGGCATTTGAATTGAATTAAAAGGGCAGTCTTTACAAAATAGTGGGGGGGGGGGGGGGTAAATACCCCCTTACCCTCCGCTGGCTACGCCTATGCTTTGGCTGCAGTGTGGCATTATAGACCTATAGACCGTATGCTTATATAAGGCGGGGTTATAGGACAGTGGTTCTGTACCATTCGGAAAGGACTGAGTAAACCAGCGCATTCATATTGTTACTTAATTAAAATAACAAAGAAAAGTACGTTCTGAGACACCAGCATGCAACGCAAAAAGTCTATGGGTCCATAACAATGCAGATAGTAGGCCGAGGCCTATACACGATTTCAGGGGCCTATTTCATTTGCGATTCTGTGCAAATGCAACCTCGTTCCCATGGCGTCGTGCAGTGCGCTCTAACTATGGCTGCCCTCTACTATTGTCTGAGGTTGAAAGCAGACCCCGGGAACGAGGTTGGTGCGAATGGAATTTGGTCCTCCATAAAAGTAAACGCCCAAGCTAGACGTCATTCCTTTTGTTTGTAGAAGTGTTCACTACGATAGATCCGTCCTGTATATCTTTCCAAAAACATGTTATTGCGTCAGGTGACGTAGTTACCATACGTGCAAATCATGAGAGTAATTTGTGTTCTAGTCTCGGTGAAGTGTGATATGGACTGTAGAAAATAGTACGTACCCATTGGTTGTATTGAGTATGCGCATGTCCCAGTGGACAATTAGAACATAACAGTTATTAACAAGCCCGTCAAGAGTGTAGCTAATGATATGAGTTTATAAAGGTGGCCAGATTTCACAGGAGTCCACATTTCATTATGACACCCAGCCCTATAGCTATACCTCTAGTACCTCTACAAAAATCTCGTCCAAATTCCACCTGATGTTATCATGATATGAGTACAGGCCAAGCGTGTGCAGGTACTTGAAAACCAATTAAGTAGTATCAAGACCAACAGAAACGGTGGTTGACACGGGTTTAAGAGGGTTAAAGTTTAAACGTGTAAAACAGGTCACGAGATAGTCGCAGGAATTAGGGCCAGAAAAGAATAATGGACAGATTTAGTTGGAATAGGTCCGTCGATATAGCGAAGGGCTTTATATTGTACAGTTAAGTGTGACTTAGGTATACTATAAGGGTTCTAGAAAGATGTGTATACCGAAAGCACGCATCAATATCAAAGCTTCGGTAGTGGTTGCATCAGAAAGCTGTAAACTGCACCCAGAAGGAGAATCGCTCTTGAAACGATTATGAGTTAACCACTGAAAATAAAACGAAGAATGTACGGCAGTTCAAGTTTTGTTTACAACGCCATGGCGGGAAGCTTAAGTCAAAATGACGATACGGTGCCGGTGACGTTACGAGAAGCCCTTAATGACGGCGACCGTGGTATCGCAAGCAACGACAGGTTGAAAGTCACCTGCATGGGCCCCCAAGATGAAACGTCGAGGTTTGATGCGTCATCAGAGAGGACAGACGCACCGGCCTGCCTCGCCGACGCAGGGGCGAGTGACGGAGGGGCGGATCAGGGGGACTCCAAGCGGCGCTGCACGGTGTGCAAGGGGTTAGCTACGGGGTACCACTACGGCGTGGCGTCGTGCGAAGCTTGCAAGGCGTTCTTCAAAAGAACCGTTCAAAGTAGGTGCATGCTCTATTAAAAATACTTTCCTCCTAGCATTTTGGCTTTTGGAGTGAAAACCCCCAAAGTTGGGGATAAGTTAGGAACCCTATGCCTCCACCATTCTCGATGTTGGTTTCCTCTCCAGATTTTTTTTGTCCCGTCAGTGTTTTTGGATATCGATACATGACTTATGGCGATTGTAAAAGTACATGTACGTTCCCTTTCCCTAGGTTACGAAAAGCAACCTTTTCTCATCCAAGTAGTGACACTGACCCCCATTAGTCAGTTTTGTCGGCAAAATCATGGTGCTGTCGGAAAAATAGACAATGAAGAATGGAGAAGGAAGGGGGAATTAAATGAAGAGGGCAAAAGATAAATGGAGAATGTAAATAATAACAAATGCTGCTCAAAACCCCGCGATGCTAAAATCCGGTTCTGCAACCCATGGCAAAAGATTGTACATTCTGTCCTGTCGGCACGAGCTACCGAGTGAGGTCGCTTCATATACGGCGGTTGACAGCTAGCTGTGCAAAACACAAGCATGTGCTCGCACGGAGGCTGATTCTTAGTGAGGACTCAAAATCATGGATCAAGCTAAAGAGGGCAAATCTCGAAAGAGAGTCAAGCTACAGTTCTGATGTGATGTTTGTGATGTAATATATCAACTTTGATGACCCACCCCCATCTCCGAAACACTAGCACATTTTCATTCAGGGAAAGTGGCCAGGAAATGCCTCAGATAGCTGCACCACAGAGCATCTAGAATCCAAAAATTTCCCGGGGCCCTTAAGCGGGAAAGAACATTGCATATCCCACCCAAAAACATCACAGCTGTTCAAATTTTACAAAAATAAGGTTATTGAAATTACGGAGAAGACTGTTTTAAAAATTTTACAAACCTGTAATTACAACCCGCAGAGAAACTCTCTTACACGTGTCTGGAGAAGCGGCAGTGTAGCGTCTTGTATGGGAAGAAGCGAACATGCCAGGCCTGCAGATATGAGAAATGTATCGAGGCGGGGATGATGGTCAATGGTAAGTACCCACACCCAATGCTTGCTTGAAGGCATTATAGGATAATCTACATTCAATGCATTTTGCTTGTTTCCGATAATTATTAATTTCTGGTAATGAAACCAAGGATTCCTCACTTGTGCTCCCACTATACTGCGCCTTAGGCACTGTAGCTCGAAAGCCTGAAGAAACCTGTAGATATGAGACAATGAGAAGAAATTACAGTTTTAGAGGTGGGAGGAAAACCCCAGAAGAATATTCTGGGGAAACTCACGGAATCAGGTAGGGACTGAAAACCCAATCCACATGTGGACCAGGGCAGGAATCGAACCCGGGCCATAGAGGTGGAAGGCGAGTAAAGCAACGACTGCGCCAACCTGCAATATCACCATTCAAAATCAAAAGAAGAAGGTTTAAAACCTAACCTGTTGGAGTTTTCACAGCTCAGCTCATTACACTCTTCGAGAAAACAGTGAAAACTATGCAGGGCCTTTTGATCACCAAACAGCATTTCGTCAATAGAACTCTTTATTCCAAAAATCAGTCAATTGACTGATCGTTAGAAATCACCTACATTTTTGGATTTCTTCTAAATGACAGCAAGCCAGACGGAATAATTTCATGGGGTGTTTAGTACCAATACAATCTTGAATCCAAGTAAGCCTTTTGACAATAAATCGGTAGGTTGGACAAGTGCAAAGTATCCTATGTCTTTAAGCTGTTCATCATTTTCCATCAAATTTAAAAAAAATGAAATGCTGACAACTCCTTGTCTGAATTTATACACGCGATAGGTGTTCGACAGAACCGGAGCAAAGGCGGTCGGCAGGAGTACAGACGCAGACCGGACGAGCGGGACTTCTCGCCGGCTACATCGGGCAAGAAACGCAAACACAAACTGGGTAAGACTGGGTCCGTCACGATTTGGATAATTGATACTTGATAGATACAATGACCCAACTGAACCCCAATGGGAAAATGTCCGAAGTTCATCTTGCAAGTTTAGAGCAACGACGTCGCTGTAATTTGCCTCAACGGACCGTATATTCAGCGAAGATCAAGCGGGCGCTATATTATCGAATGCTATTTTCACGTTAAAAATGAAAATATTACCGTGAATTATTGTTCAAATAAGGAGCAACATCAACCAATCATCAGATATTAAATGTTGACTGTTATTTCATCCTTCTAGAGTTTCATGAATTCCATTACCAAAAATACCCCTGGGTTCCGTTAAATACCTAAAAGGGCAAATTTTTCCAACTTTGAAATCGCTAAAAAAAAATACATGATTAGCCTACTACGTGTATGGTACTCATTTCCACCATAAAACAGCACTTGTTTCTTCATCTCGCTAGCTTTGGAGTTTTCTGAGCGACTCTTAGAGATCGAGCCGGAAGTGCTTCGAGTTCACGTCCCCGATGACATGAAGACGTGTTTCAATTCCGGTTCACGTGATAAGACCAAGCAGGTGCCGGGCATGATGATCATGGCGGATTTAGCGGACCGAGCCTTGATCACCACGGTGCGATGGGCAAAGAAAATTCCAGGTATGAGCATGGACAATCCGTCAATTAAAGACATGTGTTCGGTTCTGTTCTTCACAAAGGTAACTGCATAAGCACTGCATACTTAGTGCTGTCCAAGAGTTTGAGAGATAACAAATAACACGGCTTCCTCAGGTGGGACTCGAACTCACGACCTCCTGCTTACTAGTACAGTCGTCCTAACCACTCGACCACCGAGCTGTCCGGGGTCAGCTGGCTGACATGGTGGATTTCTCGTCAATATCTAAATAGGCCTACGAGGTATTTTAGATCAATAACTTGTCACTTTATTATTTTAATTAAGACTGGGTGACTTGCGACTGCTTCTGGTTGACTTATGATGACTTGTGATGACTTAATTGCGACTTGTGACGACTTCTTATGCGATCGCTTGTAAAGGCCAAGTCTGGATTATAGCTATTGTAGGAAGGAGGGAGCTTAGCATCATCAATTAGGTCAAGATGATGTGCTTCTGCCCATAGAGAAAGTTCTTCATGTTCTCTATGTTCTGCCCGACCCTCTTTATAGCCCCATGAGGTGCTGTGGCTTTTGAAGTCCCCAATGATAACATTAATGTGTTGGTAACTGAAAGATTGTGGTTCGTCAAAGGCAAATGTAGAGCCTGGCGGTTTGTAAACAGATGTCACAATTAGTTTCCACAGGTTCACAGCAAAGATTTCTATATGTTGTTCCTTTCTGTCTTGACTTGTGACTGACTGTGATGCTTACTGACTTGTGATAGCCTTGTTACTGACTTGGGATAATTTTATTACAACACCCAATCTCAGGTTTCGACAAGCTGTGCCTGAACGACCAGATGGCCCTCCTGTGCAGCTCATGGATGGAGATTCTCCTCATGAACGTCATCCACCGTAACTCCCTCCTGCCAGCCGCCGAGGCATGCGGGGGGATCGTCTTTGCTCCCGGTCTGGTCGTCTACCGTGAGGACATGAACTCACCGGAACGAAGCGTCTCGCCCCTCATCTTTGAGCAGATTGTGAACTTGGTAGACCGTATTCGACCGCTCAAACTCAGCAAGGCTATCGTGGTTATTCTGAAGGCTATGGTGCTTTTCAACGCAGGTATTCTTGAAAAAAATAAACCTCTCTTGTCAACAATTTTTTGTTTTCACGATTCATTCATGAATCAGTATTGGTTTTGCCCCATCAGCGACGTAACTTCATAAGCACTGTCAGTGGTCGCTCGCGTGGGTGTCACCCCATTATTCGTTTTTGCCGGTAAAAAGTCCTGTCGGTAAAATCGTGTGTTGGTTGGCATAATTATACGATTTGCAACGTATAACACCACCTGTTGTATAATAGTCCCAAGTGTCTCCGCTTTGGACTGAGCCCGATGAGTCAGATAGTGTCCCTTCCCCCAACTTTTTTTTAGTTTCAGTGGTCGGGTGACCAGAGTAAAAATTACAAGCAAGCTAAGGCCATCGGCATTTTTGATGTCACACCCCTATTCATATTGGATTTGCAACGCCCGTGGGCACTGGTATACCGATGTTACTTCGGGTGGGACTCGAACCCTCACCCTCCTGCTTAATACAAACATTTTGGAGTCCACGTCAAAACAAGCAACAATATTTTACCCTTAGGAGGGGGCGGGCTTACGCCATCCGATGTAAAAGATCTATTCATAGATCATTTGCACACCAGTTTTCATCGGTTGCTATGTGATACCATTCAGCACTCCAGACTCAAGAACCATTCCATTGAGTTTCAAGAACATACATGTAGGTCTGGGAGCTAGATAAGGAAAAAAATCCCGGATGTCCGCGCCTAACTAATGAAGGCGCTGATTTAAATACACATCGCATACAGAAAATATCAATAAGAAACATTGAATGAACTATGAGACGAGTACAACACTTCTGTTTTGACAGGCCCCTCGTTGTCGAATCGACTTCTGATGAAATCTCACAAGGAGTTGGAGGAAATCCAGTCAACCGTTCAAGACGCCCTACACTATCGCATCCAGCAGGAACATCCGGGCAACAAGCGTCTGGTATACCACCTCATGATGCTGTTACCGCTCGTCAAAGAAACGGCCCTGACTGTCTCCAGTCTGGTCTGGTCCGCGTTCGACCGGGAACGGGTGCCCATGCAGCAGTTGCTGAAGGAAGTGCTGCAGCCGATACTGCAGACCAGCGAACGGAACCAGCGAAAGATGCCGCGGTACTCTGCCGATGCCACCTCGACCTTACCCGAACAGCCGAACGATGACCGAGTCAAGACAGAACACACCCAGAACGCTTCCAAGCCAGCATTTGGCTACCCCACCTGAGTAACATAACACCGTGAAATAACATTATTACAACACTGACGATTGAAAGGAAATGTCAAAAGAATTCGTCGGCAAATCAAACTGATATCATGGCAAAGATCAAATTTCAAAGACAGAAAACGAGACTCGATAGTGGAATAATCTTGTGTAACTCGGGGAAGTTAACTTCAAGCTGTGAAAATCGTTCATTACATTAAAGTGAAACAATCAGTTTGGTACCGTACGGCAATGTTTAAAACATAAGAGAATAGAACTGTGATAGAAAGTGTATAAATACATGTAAATAAATAAATAAATAAACATTTTATTTAGTATTCTGTTCTAATGATGCATATACCTTTTGATCCAGATTGAATCTCCGATAAAGAAATCTGACTCCGCTACGATAATAATTTTATTTTCCCTGTTAAGTGTTTTATCCCCTTCGGGAGTGTACATTTTTGGTGTTTTTTAAAGCGAGTTTTCAGCATCGAATACCTTGAGGTATATATAGTTTTAGTGACTGAACAATAATTACAGTTCATTGGGGAAGGTCAGGCTGATATCAATTACCTCGTTAATAATTCGTCTTTCCGTGATAATTTGTCACGGAACACGCATGGTCACTTTCTATCGTTTCATTCACTCGGGCCATATCCCAATTTCGAATAATTCCGATTGCGAATTACGGTTAACTCAGCGAAAGCACACTTCCGTTCGTTGTAAAGTTATGAAGTTTCGATCAAGTGTGAATGTTGGTGTTTCTCATCTGAAGTTGAATTTCAAAGCAATATCTAAGCAAAAGGCGAAATATAAACCGAAATGTTCATACAACAAGAACTTTTTAAAAATCATAAGGAGCCTATCAACTGAAGAAATCCCGCAGTGATCCACAGAGGCATTTAATTAGCTGCATACATGTATATCAACTAGCACACATTTAACACTTAAAGTCAGCCATTTTTATTAAAATGAACTCATTGTTTCAACGAATGAGAGAATCACTGGCTACTAAAGTAAAATGGTATGGAGTGAGAATTTCAGTGTGTAATTTAGAGTGTTTTTCTCATTAAATATATTTATCACTAAGTAACATCATAAATGTTGTCCACTTTGTAAACAGAATTTAATGCAAAGAGAGCCAAGTTATTTTGTACCAAGCTTTCACCGATGTTCTGATTTTGTCTAATTTGCAGCCTTGCAGGTTATTTTCCAGTAACCACTCAGGCACAAACTTTGACATGTATATCAAGTTTGTCGACAACCATTCGCATAATCAGGTACGCCCACACAATATTGTTTTTTGGACCGAAGTCTGTGGTTCATTAAAGGGAATATACAACATTTGCAAACATCCAAAAATAAAACTACCATGTTTTTGCGAAATACCTTAATAGGATGTTGGTAAATGACAGTCTAAAGCATCCTGTAAAATTATGGCACCTGGTATACTGTCATTTTCAAGAAAAGTGCTATTTTTGTATCAATTTCCAACGCTGATCGGCCGATCAGCGTTGGAAACAACTGGCTTTTTTTCAAATACTGGCCCCAATTGACCATTGCACTTGTTTGCAATCGATTACAAACCTATGAACGGGTACGAGCCAGCTAGACTGGTTCCCTGACCTTACAATTCCCCAATGTATGTAAACTGCTCTGTTTCTTCTTATATGGAGTCGGGGAACCAGACTACAGGAAAATGATCGTTTTTCTTGGTTTTTATAGCATTTCGAACCCAAAACCTCCAAAAAGTCAGTGTAACTATATTTGCTTTATATTTCCAACCCCCCAATTCCATCCATTTCTGAAAATTACAGCGAAAGCAAATGATGTATATTCCCTTTAAAACAGGCTTAGCAATTATATGGGCGTGTTATAATATTACTTCACTATTACATGTAATATAAGATCGGCATTACTGAAATAGAAATCTAATAGATTGGGCACAGCCAAGATAATGTGCGTGTATGGTGTGCAAATGTAACATTTAGTCCCGAAATACGGATATCTCCATTGCCAGACGTGCCAGGTTAATCCCATTAAAAAGATAATCTCCTTTTGTAATAGAGATATCTCAATTTTTCCTATTTAAAACACAGACCGCTCTTTCAAAAAGAAAAAAAATATCTAAATATAGATATATCTTATCAGAAAAAGAAACTGAGATATTTCTCTTTCCAATGTAGATAATCTAAATATAGATATATCTTATTAGAAATAGAATTATCTCTTTTTTAAATAGAGATATCATTATTTTCGGGATTAAACGTTAACTTGGCACGTCTGGAAACACAAATATCTATTAAACTGGAGATTTCTCAATTTCAGGATTAAAATGTTAAGTTTGCACGCCGTCCGTGTTTCAATTTAGTTGCTCTTTGTACTTCTCGTTGGCTTGATACTATTATTAGTGCAGATACGATCTTACCATGACATCACCTGTCCCATGATCGGCCCACTTTTTGTCTCTTATCTACCCGTACATCTGGCTATTTTAAGGTCATGGTTACGTTACACTAGCTTTTTGACTTGTTGCGAACCGGTCTAACCATTATACCGAACTCCAACAATGGCAGGTAACACTGACAGAAAATCACCTTTAGCTGAAATCAAAGAAGCAAAGGAGCTGGCTTTTCAGGGATGTAACATTTCTCCAGACAGCTCCGTCCAAAAATTAGGTATAAAAGAGGAGGAATGCGGCAGTTCTGGCGGATGTCGGGAGGATGACGGGACGGCCGTACCGCGACGACTGTGTGCCGTGTGCGAGGGGCTGGCCACGGGGTATCACTACGGCGTACCGTCGTGCGAAGCCTGCAAGGCGTTCTTCAAGAGAACCGTACAAAGTAGGTAGTTCACATTCACGGATATTCATTACTGATAGTTAGGAACTTTCCCAAACTGAAGACGGTGGAAGTAGGAACAAATTTGGCATTGTGTTTTTAATTTGTTAAAGAAGACACATTGGTCAATTGGTCAATCGTCCCCAAGAATAACCATTGGTTGGCCATTTTGTGTGTGCAGGAAATATGTGCTACACATGCATTGAGGAGGGACAGTGTGACGTGTTCCGTGGAAAGAGGCGAACATGCCAGGCCTGTCGATACGACAAGTGCATTCAATCCGGAATGATGATCAATGGTAAGGTTGAGTTTTTTCTTTAAATTTACATCAGAACCCCTAATTCATTACTTCGGGAGTATAATGACATGACGTAAAATTCATCATTTCGTCATGCAGTTTTGTAGTCATTTTGCATTCGAAATGAAAGTTCCAATATCCCGCATGCACCTTTATCAAAATAAACGTAAACCAGCTACATTTCGTAATATTTGTTCTCAATAATTGATTTTCATTCGCCGATTACAGGTGTTCGACTGAATCGATGTAAAGGCGGTCGGCAGGAGTACAGACGCAGGCCGGACGAGCAAGGCTTTACCCCCGTGTCGACCGGCAAGAGACCGAGGAAGAACAGCACACAGAGTACGAAGACACTCATATTACTTGTCACATTCTCTGGAGAGGCTCACCTTTATCGAAAGTTGTTTTGGGTGATGTCCTACAACTCGAAAATATTACATTTCTTTGAAAGAGTCATAGTGGGTCATTGGAAGAAGAAAAAGAAGCAGAAGTCAATCATGTCAGTGACAAGTCAATCGCAAGTCCCTCACAAATCCATCAAGAGGTCATCACAAGTCCATCACAAGTCGTCACAGGTCAATCACATGTCATCCAGTCTCAAACTATTCAAATGATGCGGCAAACATTCCCTTGTCAAAGTTAATTTCCTGATTAACACTTCTCAAGCCGCTCGCGTGACGTTTAAATTGACTTGTGATCGACTTTTGATAGCCTTGTAATTGGCTTGATAAACTCGACTTAGAACTGGAGTCGATGGGCGATATTACGATATAAAATAGCGCGCTTTTTCCCCCAGACTATTACCGATCCTACTCGAGACTAATATCGCAATAACTTTGACGATTTGGTGCAACTCTTGAATGGTTAATTCATAATTTTCTTACCTTTACGTGACTGCGAACGATGTTCTCTTATTTTTTTATTGACATCAGCTTCAGAATTTTGTAAGCGGCTTCTTGAGATTGAGCCGGGGGTTCTTCAGATGTCCCTACCCGACGGTGAGTGGGGCTGCTCGGATCCTACCACCGAAGGTACCAGGAGAACACCGACCCAAAGGATCTGGATGGAACGGATGGCGGAGGTTGCAGACCGGGCATTGACAACGACGGTCCAGTGGGCCAAGAAGGTCCCAGGTGAGGAAGCATGAAAGTTGACCTCAAATTCCGCCATGGGTTTAAACACAATATGCAAGAAAATATGATAGCTCGTTGGCCATTCCGAGCACAAACAAGTGAAGCTACGCACTCGTTCCCGATCCCTCCATTCGAATGTGGGCAGGGAACCAGCTGCAACAACTCCCATTATTCAGAATAATTAAAATAAAGTCATCTAAAAGTATTAACTGTATTTTTTTCAAATAGAAATTTTATAAAATAAATTGTTGTTGCCACATTGTTAAGGGGGAAGCAAAACATGTCAGTTAAATTAAATATCTTTCTTTGCAAATCTATTGTTCTTGGAGTGGTACGGCGGACGGTGACTTTACTTCTAATAGTCAATGGGTTGTCCCGATTTTTGTATATGGAGATCAGTGGATTTTACGAGAATACCCGGTGTTTCAGGGTTTCGTTGGTAACTTCCTTTTTATTTATTTTATTTCCTGGATGGGCTTATTTTGAAAAATGGCAATTAATGAGCTATGTTGGGTGGTGGACCCAGAAGCAATACAACTTTAACATTTTGAAAAAAAATATTGCAAATTGATAACCAACCTCCGGTGAATCGAAGGACCGGCCTATTGTCCTCTGACCGACGGACTTACTGACTGGCTGACTCAGTCACTAAGGCTACAAAATAATGTCCAAGACCCTAAAACTGAGGCTTTAAACTCAACTAGACAAGCGGAGTATTGTTTAGTCCCTTGTCAGACTTGACCTGGAATTCGTGTTTGGCCTGACACTTTTCAGGATCAAAATTGACACTGCGTCAAAATGACACTTTTACCAAGGTTTCCGGGTCAAAATGAAAAAAAAAATGAGTGCCATTTTGACCAGAATAGTGTCACTTTTGATCCTGAAAATGTCAAATGGAACCTGGATTCGATCTGACCAGGGACTTTTTAAAGTGTGCAAGACCATCCGATCTGCTGTTCTTTTCCCGAACTGCACGGCGCAGGTTTCGACAAGCTGTGCCTGAACGACCAGATGGCTCTCCTGTGCAACTCCTGGATGGAGATCCTGCTGGCCAATGTGATCTACCGCTCCATCCTGCTCCCTAGCGGCATCTACTTTGCTGACGGGTTCATAGTGACCAAGGAGATGTCCAAGGGAACGGAGAGGGGTCCACTGATCTACAACCAACTCACCAACATCGTGGAGAGACTGAGAGAGCTGAACGTGAGCAGGGGGATCATGGTGCTCCTGAAAGCGGCAATCTTGCTGAACTCGGGTAAGTTAGCTTTTGCCTTTCTTCTATGAAGGGTATGACATTTTTGTTTCAAGCGCTTGTACTGACCTAGATACTTCAGTTTCAAAGAGGAAAAGTGTTTCACATTGATTACATGTCATTGCCCATAATGTTGTTTATAACATGACATTGTGAAATGATAACATTTTTCAAAGAGCCTCGTGAGTTACCAAACACATGGAAATCCAACACTACCAACAGTTTATTCTGCAAACTGTAGAGATTGTATATTCTACTACTGCTTGGTTGATGACTGCTCTTCCTGACAGTCAGTCTATCTTGGCTTGATCGACAAATCAGCCCCTTTCGGCCAAACTGGTAGGCCAACTATGGAACATCATCTGGTCATACAGCAACCGGTTTAACCCAGCAAGTCAGCCAAGGTGGCAGGCATGTAGTTTGCCTGCTGCCTGACTTGATAGTCCTCGTGCAGGTTGGTGGTTGGCTGGCTTTCCGGTTGGCTGATCGGTTAGATTTCTCGTTAGTTGGTTGGCCGACCGGTTTGCTGGCTGGCTGACCTGGCCCCGCCACTTACTGGTAAAACTGACTGACTTGCTGGATGGCTTGTTAGCTGGTCGACTGGCGAGTTGTCTGTTTGGTTGACATGACTGGCAATTTGGCTTTCTGAAACGTCTTTTCATTTATTATTCCTCCCAAGGTCCATCACTGGCCAACCGCCTCCCCGTACAGTCTCCCAGCGAGGTCGGCGAGCTCCAGACCCAAGTCTACGACGCCTTGCATTACCGCATCCACCAAGAGCACCCAGGCGACCCCCGTCTAGTCTATCGCCTCCTCATGATCCTACCACTCATCAAGGACGTGGCTGTGACGGTGGCCAGTCTGGTCTGGATCGAGTTCAACCAGGAACATGTCTTCATGCAGGAGTTACTGAGCGAGGTGGTCCAGCCCATCATACGCATCAAGTCCCACTTGGTGGCGCCCTGCTGCAGGGCCAGGCTGGAATCTCGAGGCCAAAGCAAGGACCGAGTTGACGTCGAGGCGAATATAAATGACAATATCGCGGCAGCTGCTGATGATCAGAATTGGTCAGTTACAAACGCCACCGTATTGTAGATTTTGTTTATATAAACCAAACCCGCAAAGCCATAATTTGAGTGAAGGAAAGCACAAAACTGACATGATTTTCTAGGTACTAATACTACAAATCAAACATTACGTTTATTAAAGCAACGTAGGAACTGTACTTGAATAAAACATGTTAAAGTTGCATTCCCGTGCTAGTTTTGAGTTTCACCTCGAAAATACATTTTTTTCCAATTGTTATTCACTTTCGAATGAGACATCGAACGCAAAACTCCACAGACATGTAACGGTTATAAAATTATTTCTTCACAAAAATATAATTATTGGCTGCCAGACAATAATTCGGCTCTCGCAGGGCGGGTTCATTTGTACGCAAAAACTGAAATCCCTTTGCAGCGGGTTGCAGACGCTCAAAATCGGAATAAAGTAGTAGAAAAACTCCTTTAAGAGCATGGGGATTGCATCTTTAAAGATTGTAAAACTGCCATTTTGAAGTAATGCAAAATGCAACCTTACCTCAATTGCCTAGCTTGGAGTCAAGTGTGTTTGTACGTACCTCCAAAATGGCGTAATAACAGCACTGCCATTCACTTTAAAAAATGTTAATAGTTGCGTGCAAGTGCGCATGCTCACGAAACCACCCAACTGGGATTCGACGTATACGTGCAACATTATAGAGCGTACCAACGAAATTGAAAAACAGTTCTTGTTTAGCAATGAACTACAAAATTCCAAAACAATGAACATCATACTTCACTGTATGCAAACTATTTTCATCTTAAATTTGGAATTTATTCATAACTACCGTGGGAAGTTATATCCGAAATGAAATAAGTAATAATGAAGTGCGCTTGCGCAGTTGGAATCTGTAACAAATTGGTCCCGCTGTTTGCTTTTATTTAATAAAGAATATTTGAATATCAGAATTGTTTTATACTTGGTACTTGGTACTTGGTGGTTATCCTCTTCAGAACTCCTCGAGGAAGTATAACTAAGAGGCTTGGAGAGTGGCATAATTAACTATATCAAAGATTTAAATTGAATGTGGTTTGGGGCATTGATGACATCTTGGGGTAATGTGTTCCATTTTCTGACTGTTCTTGGTAAGAAGGATTGCATGTAGACATTGGTTCTTGCAGTGATTTCATTAAATTGGCAGTTGTTCCCCCTCCTTTGTCTGTTGCTTTTCGGTTGCAGTGCATCTGGTTGAATGTTTACTGTGTTGTTGATGACCTTGGACAGAAATACTAGTTGGTTTAATTCCCTCCTCTCTTCAAGTGATGTCCAGCCCAACGTAGCCAACATCTGAGTTACGCTGCTTCTTCTTGAAAAATCCTTGCAGACGAAACGTGCAGCTCGCCTCTGGACTCTTTCAAGTGAAGAGATGTTTTTGGTGACATATGGGTTCCAAGCAGTACTCCCATATTCAAGGAGGGGCCTCACCAGGGTGAAATATAATTTCTCTTTGACGGACTTTGAGGCTGGGTAGAAGTTTCTCATGATGAAGTTGAGGACACGGGTGGCTTTATAGGCTGCATGTTCAGTCTGGCGGTTCCAACTCAAATTATTCTGGATGATGATACCGAGATAAGTGATCTCAGCTTTTACTTCAAGATTTACCCCTGACATGGTGTATGATGGTTTTACCGAGTCTCTTTTTCTGGAGATTCTCATGATATTGCATTTGCTTGGATTGAATTTCATACCCCATGTATCTGCCCAGTCAGCCAAGGTATCAAGATCTTTCTGGAATGAATGCTCATCGGATGGAGAATGAATCTTGCGGTACATCAAGCAGTCATCAGCAAAAAGTCGTGTTGTTCCACCCACAGAGTCGTTGATGTCATTTATGAAGAGTAGAAACAAGTGCGGTCCCAGGACTGTTCCCTGCGGAACTCCACTTAATACTTGATGCCACTTGGACGTTTCACCGTTGACCATCACCCGTTGTAGCCTGTCTGTCAGAAATGATTTAATCCAGTTCTGAGTTTTACCTCTGACTCCATAATACCCAATTTTTTGGATTAGCTTCTTGTGAGGGACGACATCGAAAGCTTTCGAGAAGTCTAATACTGCAACATCTGTGGTTATCTGGTTGCCGAAATTACTGGTCAGATCTTGCATGGTCATGACGAGCTGTGATTCACATGACAAGCCTTTCTGGAAAGCGTGTTGGTTCGGGTTCAGGATTTGGTTGTCTGTAAGATGTTCCATAAGATGGCTGTCTATGATGTGCTCTAACAGTTTACAACTAACCGACGTCAGTGAGATTGGCCTATAGTTGGAAGGATCATATCTGGAGCCCTTTTTGAAAAGTGGCGCAACATTTGCTTTTCTCCAATCTGTAGGCAGAGTGCCAGTATCGAGTGACTGTTGAAATATGACTGCAAGCATTGGTGCAATGACATCAGCAGCCAGTTTGAGTGCCTTGTTGGACAGAGCATCGGGTCCTGCAGATTTGCTGGTGTTAACCTCCTTCAGCAGCTTGGCAACGCCATCCACGGACACCACGATGTCAGGCATGTCAGGATATGGACTGGATGGTAAACTCTGCTGGGTATCTGCATCAACCTCCCCTTCTCTGGTGAACACACTACTGAACTGGTCAGCTAACACATCAGCTTTTTCTTTATCTGTGGTGATGTTTGTGTTATCTTTTTTGAGAACCTGTATGGCCGTGTTGTCTTTCCTGTTGGAGTTAATAAATCGCCAAAACTGTCTTGGATTTTCAGTTGAGGTAATATCCTGTAGGTGAGAACGCTTTGCTCGGCGAACCTCACGGTTGACTTTCTTCTGTAGTATTTTGAAGTCTTCCCAGTCTGATGCTAACCCACTTTTCTTTGCTTTCACATAACGCCTCTCTTTCTTTCTGCACATGCGTATTAGGTCAGTTGAAAGCCAAGCAGGTCTAGGTCTGCCCTTGGCAATCTTCTGAGGAACTAGTTGATTTATGATGTTAGTCAGCCCATTTTTGAAGATATTTTCCAAAGTTCCATATTTATCATGTGAACTGTAAAATAAAACCAAATGAAAGCCTCATAAAATGAGCTATATTTTTTTAATAATAAGTTTCATTACTGATCAATGGGACAAAGCAATATTATCATAATTTGTGCAATTATTCATGTCTCTAGACTGTGTAGATACATGGAGCACGTTTGTATTGGTTTCATATTTTTTTAGGAAACTATTTCATTAGTTACAGAATCTGTGCTGCGCCCTGACACAAGAGGGCGCTGTTGTTATGATGTCACTTTTTATACATGTATTAACTTTTCACAACTGTTTAGTGATTTTCTGGACAAGTTACTAAGCTAAAATGGTATGTTTTGCTCACTGACTGGCCGCTATGTACTTAAGTATAAGAAGGTTAAAAACAATATTTCTTGATTTTTAAAAAGTATTGGGGGGGGGGGGGGCGCAAGCAGCAACAACACTGACTTTTTTTGCCTCAGATAACGTCACTTATTTGCTCACGAATACGGAAATTCGTATTAGTAATATCCTTTCAAGCAAAAATAGCAATGAAACACAAAGGTACCATTTAACTTCATTAAAGTAACTTTTTAGAATGGAGCTCCATATTATCCCGTTACGATACGGCGAAATTATTGGGCCAATACTTTCGCCGTATCTTTTTTTTTTTACTGGGAAAATTAGGAACTTGCCAATAAAGAAGATAACATGATTATAATGACTGTTATTGTTACTATGTCACTCAATGAGACACTGAACTCACAGAAAAAAGCATTTTACAAATTATTTGAATATGGTGAATTTGAGCGCAGATGGTTTTTGTCACTGTCGATAAGAAATATCTCTGTCACGGTAATAATGGTTATAGTAAAAAATATGCCAACTATTGAATCAAAGGGACATTTTAAGTTCAGATTCAAACCAATAATTTTGAAAGAGACGTTTCTTGCAACATTTTGCAATTGATAGAAAACAAAAGCTAATTCGTCGGTTCACCGTGTGCAAAGTGCATGTGTGGGAAAATATGAGAAATAAAAAACTGCTGCGCTTCCGATGGTAGACGTAAAATACACATAATACACATAAGAAGTCCTGAGGTTTCGGTAAATATTAGCAGGACCTCCGATCCTAGCTAGTTTATGGATTAGCCGCTTGGACACAAACTGCGTCTATCGCGTAGATTTGGCGATTATTTATGCAAAAACAAGACTGCGTCTTGATCTCGAGATTCTGACAATTCAGCGAGCGCCTTCTATCGGGTGTTCGGTAACCGTTAACATTACAAAAACATGGCAGCCAAATTAACCAATCAACAGCTTAGTCCACATTTTGATCGAAATGACGACACAATTTCTAAAATCGACTCAGATTGGCTGGCGCGCGGGGTCGCATAAAATTTGCATACACGGATATATCAGACGCTCGTAGTGTGGCTATGTACGGGATCTACCCAATGTTCCCCACTACCGATGTTCCCCGAAATCCTTAGGATTAGGGTTAGGGTTAGGGTTAGGGTTATATTGGTAGGGATTTCGGGGAACATCGGTATTGGGGAACATAGGTATGCACCCCTCTGTACACGTGAACGACTGATTCTCAGACTCGATCCTATAGCTGGACCTTTTTCAAAAGGCAAAAATAAAAGAAAGACAAAAAGATGAAAGATGGCGAATCAAGTAGGCCCTAGATGTGCGTCTGAAAAAACTTGGACTTTGTTAGAACTATGCTTTTGTCTTCAACCTGTCTTCTCTGTACATTTTGGTGTGACTATGGCAATTAATCTACCGGGCGGCAACCGTATACGGATAACGTGCCTTGTGTGGCACTGTTTTTTTATAGTGGTTAATATACCGTATCTTACCTTCAATAGTTCGAAGAAATTACAACAAAACATTATTGAACACAACATAGGCCTAACCCCCAGAAAAAATGTACGCGCATTATTCCACTACCCGGCCGATCGAGAGAGTGAAGCCTTCCAAATTCCCGCATCCTTCGCAGACAAGGCTAGTCCGCGGATGTATTTACAAAAGGCAGCATGTAGGTACATAATAAATGGCATTCACCGATTGTTGTTTGTTCACTCTCAGACGCGGACGTTACGGTAAGAGACGCAGTATATTGCTTTGAGGAAAACAACGTCAAATTGAGCAATGCAAGGCCAGCTTTTGTACGACATACATGTACAGCAGTGTAAATGTTTTGAAGCATTACTTAGGTTTCTCCGTCGCAAAGTAAACTACCATCAAAATACCGTTGTGGTGAACAAACACAGCCTGTGGATTTGTGTTGACTTTGCAAGACTTGAATGTAGGCCTACATGATTTTTATTCAAATTCTAATTTTGATATTCACTCCCAATTTTCACTGATTGCAATACGGGCACAGAATTGGCTACAACAATTTTGCTGGGAGTTGTCGGCCATTATAATTTGTGTATGATTTTCGGCTCATTCTTGTTAAAAAAATTACAGAAACTGCTTTGCCATGGGGCACAGAATGCAAGTATAATGCAACGGACCGCCAAATTTATCATTTCATGAGACTTATACCCAATAATCAAGTTTCATTTCATTAGGTTTAAGGCACGAGATAAACTTTCAGACGTTCTCAAATAAAAAGGAAATAACTTGAATACTGTTTAAGATAAAACAAAATCAACAGTATCAAGTTAAAACCCGTCTTACATAATACAAAAAAATATATTTAATAGTTTACAGCAGACAAATTGCATGTATTGTGATGTGAAGCGAATAAAATGTGCTTAACTACATGAAAGAACTGTCAGTTTTAAATCCAATGGCATGTAGACCTACCTTGCCAACATGCTCTCCTGTGTGGAAAAGTATGATCCGTTTTCCCCACCGATATGACTGTAACATGATTGATTAATGACCTGGGTTTTGGATTTCATGTACCGAGTTATCGGAATCCCACCGAATAAACGGTGCCGTTGGCACGGACGACGACACCAGTGAACCCGCACGTGCCGATACGAGCACCCCGCGACCTCGGGGAAGTTCGTTGCAAAGCTCCGCCATAAAACAGTCTGGTTTTCCGGATCCATTGGTCCACTTTTGACAGTTTCAAAACATAATGTGTTTATGCATTCAGAGCATTTACTCATGATCATCACAACTCAATTTTGGAAAGTAGGACTACATAATGTATTTTCAAAACTATATAACCAAATTTAATCTGTTTACTGCATTTTTATAACTTTACAAAATGAGAAAACTCCAAACCATTTGGTCTTAGGTTCTTTTAAAAATAGTTGTTAATAATTTTAACAATTCTCTGATTTGACCTGACCCCATCCTATTCGAGAACATGAAAAAGATATCGTTTCGGTTTGTGTTACCGGTAACACAATGTGGCATAACTATTGCTCAGTTTATATTTAGTTCTGAAAAGAAATTGTCCTGCTTATATTCTATCAACTTTCGCTAAGTTGTTTTAGTTCTGATAAGAACAGTCAAGTTCTTTTATAACTTAAAGCATGACTGTCATTCTTATCAGAACTAAAACTACTTAGCGAAATTTGATAATAAGCAGGACAAGTTCTTTTCAGAACTAAATATCTACTGTTTTTATTCCACATGGTGTTACCGCAAACTGAAACGATACTGAATCTCCACCATGGAAAGCCTAATAAAATCTTATATGTAGAAGATATTTACATATAAATGACCGATGTCAATGGGTGGGCGTGTTTATTGAACTGGTTTTGTGTAAGCTGGAAGGGTGGCCCATTATTATGATCTGTGTTACCGAGATATGAATGGGCTCGATGTACACACACACGTACCCCCTACCTGTTCTATAGTTCCAGGTCATGTGACAAGCCCGATCGATCAAAACTGAAACCTCCACGTGGGGTGCGTTGCTAAGGCAGCCCATTGATAGTCGTCATGGGGTGGAACAGACCTTTTGTCCCGTTACATTCACTGGTTCGTCAAACAGCGCCATCTATACGACCCCAGTTTTTAATCCCCAGTGTACACACACGTTCACGATGTTAACCTAACTACTGGCGCGACCGGGCGAACAATTGCGTCCGTAGCAACACGGCTTGCACAGCACTGCATTATGCATTAAGCGGATCGGCGCGACGTTTCTATAAACATAAACCCGGTCGTGAAGTGAGTGGAGTGTTGGATTGTAGGTCTACCGAAAAGGATTTCCCACGTCATTTGGAGTGAACATATCTAAATGTCAACACGTTTTGGGAGTTTCAGAATCCTGATTTCCCTCGATTTGGAAGAAATAACTGTAGTCGCTAGTTTGTCTCAACCTTTTGAAGTTTCCGCAGTACAAGCTCTGTGACAGGAAATTCCTGTGACACACCTGTTGATCCTACGCGTTTACACCTGACACCCCAATCATTTAGTACTCTAGATACAGTACGAGCGATCTATAACCAGACACCATGCAGGACTACTACGGTCAAACCATGACGGCAAGCTACTTCTCTGCCCCCAGAGTGGGCATGGGAACGAGCTACTTGCCCCCACTAGAAAGCACCATGCAGGCCTCCTACAAGAGCTACGCACCTCCATTTGTTGTCAGCCAATCTCTCAATCTACCGTGGAAGCCTAGCACTTACCAACGCGGTGCTATGAGGTCCATGCCGACCAGTCTCAGCGCTCCGGAGCTCAACCCCAGCACCCTGTACCGAGACGATGTGGTCTCCAAAGTCCCTCCTCTCATGCCCTCAGCCCGTACCGCCCTGTTCTCCAAGTATACCCCGACAGATTGGTTCAAGTCCAACAACCAGAACTACCGCTCCTCTGACATGACGCGCAGCGCAGCCCAACGCCTGCGGGACGAGAACGTGCGCATCTGCCACGACACCGACGCGCGCACCGTCAAGACCCAACAGGAATCCAGCAAGAATCTTGGCAATCGGCTCCAGGACATCAACTTCTGGAAGTCCGAGATCAACCACGAGCTGGACGAGATGGGGAAGGAGATCAACGACCTGGTGGCCTGGAAGCTGCGGACGGAGAACGCCTTGAAGGAGACTGAGGGACCGCTACAGATCGCCCAGGAGTGCCTCTTCAACAGGGAGAAGCGACAGGGCATTGATCTGGTCAATGATAATGTCGAAAAGCAATTGATAAAGGTACCAGAACATTTCTCCATCGTTTTCTCTTTCACAGTTCCGCCAGGCTCCCGAGCTTCAGTGTTTCAGCACTTTTGACGAGCCCTTGTTCTATTACCAGATAATTCAGATAAATTTAGTTATCATTTTGAAGAACCTAGCCACTTGAAAAAAAACCCACAAAATTTTCCTAAACACAACTCTAAAAATTGCAATTCTACAATACTTTGTAGTTAGAAGGCCTAGCAGGATCTTTCTCAAAGGCATAAGAAATGAGTCTCTATATTTCTCATAAATTTGCTTGAAATACAATTTCCTTAGTTTGGACTTATTAAGTGTAATCGTAGCTTACATTTAATAAATGTTAAACAAATTGTCAATAATTATATAACACTTGTTGGAAATAACACAAGGCCAGTCCTCACTTGCACCACAGAACTTTACCAAGGGAATAAAGTTCAAAATGTCGCTACCATAATTCTAAAACACTCATGTCCAGGTTGAAAGGTGCTGTGGTGCTGTTAAAATTTGATTAAAGGGAATATACAACATTTGCAAACATCGAAAAATAAAAGTACCAAGTTTTTGCGAAATACCTTAATAGGATGTTGGTAAATGACAGTCTAAAGCATCCTGTAAAATTATGGCACCTGGTATACTGTCATTTTCAAGAAAAGTGGTATTTTTGTATCAATTTCCAACGCTGATCGGCCGATCAGCGTTGGAAACAACTGGCTTTTTTTTTCAAATACTGGACCCAATTGACCATTGCACTTGTTTGCAATCGATTACAAACCTATGAACGGGTACGAGCCAGCTAGACTGGTTCCCTGACCTTACAATTCCCCAATGTATGTAAACTGCTCTGTTTCTTCTTATATATAGTCAGGGAACCAGACTACAGGAAAATGATCGTTTTTCTTGGTTTTTATAGCATTTTCGAACCCAAAACTTCCAAAAAGTCAGTGTAACTATATTTGCTATATATTTCTAACCCCCCAATTCCATCCATTTCTGAAAATTACAGCAAAAGCAAATGATGTATATTCCCTTTAAGTGCCTGCAGTGTGTGATAAGGTTTTACACTTGTCAACCTTTAGTTATTGACTTTATGGAAACGGACAGCCACTAAGGTGCAAAGTATGGGTTCAGATTAAACAGTGCTGGGGTACCTAACCAGTATAACGATTATGAATTTGCATTCAATCGTATGGGAGGTGTAAGTGACACATAATTCTTATCAAAGCAAATCTTTGTGACAGAAACAACTGGTTACTCGCATCATAAACGCAGAAACCATGCTTTGCAATTTAAGCAGCATGGCTCTATTTTCAGAATTGGAGGAAAATATTTACGTCTTACAGATGCATCACACAAAGATAAGGCCTTCAGGGTACGGGTTAAAGTTGACTTATTACAAGCCGAATGTAATCCGGATTTTAGAAGACTAAAACCTCGGTTGCGCGAGACTCAGCCTATTGTAAGGTATCTGTTTTTATAAGGGAGTGACGGTCGGACATGAGGGTGTGTTCTTTTCAGTGTTCATTTTGGCTTTGTGACATTTCACGATGACAAGTACATTCTGTCTCCAGCGTTAAAACTATTGAACAGTTCAGTGGTTTGTTTTAAATAGCTTTCACCGCTTGCTGGGGAACTACGTCATCACACTCCACTATTTCCTGGTGCTGTAGGCGCGGTGTATTTGTTTACACCATAAATCATTGATGATGTGGGAACAAGACGAATATTAACGTCATCAATCACCTGTATCAATAACAGCCTCAACTACCTTTGCTGACAATCAATTTTCGAATAACGAACCAATTCTAGTTTCAAGTTTATTAAAATCCACATTAAAAAGAAAAGATTCCGTAAAGCCTTATGCATGAATGATTCTTCAACTTTTTCATTCTGTTTAATTCTTTTCATTCTTTTTTTATATTTTTCATTTCTTTTATTTTAGGAAGTAAATACTATCCGTGAGAGCCAAAACAAGCTGAGAAAAGCGATTGACCGCGCAAACACACATATAAGGTGAGTGGATAGGCCCCCAAAAATTGACACTGATAACGGACCAAATTGGTCTAGGCCTGATTTACTAGACTTGTCCAGTTTTGTTTCTTCTAAACCGATCATAAAATGTAAGGGTTCATTAACAAAAAACATTACATGTCCTTTTTGTAATGACATATCCCTGGTATACTCAGAGTCGTATTTCATTTGCATAGTGCTTAAATTGGAATTCAGCTGTTACTAGGGTTTGTAATTACACCGTGTATTCCTTTTGTATAATCAAATTAGCCAATACATTGCAACATGACTGTATCGCTTCTTCACTGACAACAATCAACACGGCCGAAATGTTTGACTTACACGTTATCGCATGACCATAGGTAGATCCAACTTAATAAAGTCACATGTCATTGCTTAGCAACGAGTTAGTGGTCGACTGTAGTCATTCACGCCATTTTGAGAACGCATCTGAATGGAAACAACGATAATAGCTTATCTCTGACCTAATACCTACATGATATACAGTAGTGAATTAGCCAACCCTTAAAGAAGAATATTAAACCAGCTTGTCCATACCCTGTTAAATCCCGAGTGGGGGTCGGTACGGGGGGGGGGGGGGGGGGGGTTAAACCTGCCAATGTATAAAAAACACTTCCATCTTAATCACATATCTTGAAATCGTTTTCAATCATATGCAGGAGATATGAAAACATCCAGAAAACAACACTTTTGTTGGGGCTGTCGTGTCAAGAATGGTCTAAAAACATGAAATAAAACAAATGACAAAATTAACTTTCCAAAAAAACCAAGCACCACCCTAACAGAAAACCCGTCACCAACCTCCCCCCGCAAAAAGAAAAAAGAAAAAAAACCTGTCACTCAAGGCTTTACATGACGCAAGCGTCCTTTGGACCTTTTCATCCAAAACTTTCCCTTTATACCAGCTGATAACAATATGTTTAATCATTGCTTTGGTCCACTTCACAAACTAAGAAGACACAATTAAAGGTCTTTGGCACGTAACATGACACTGCGCACTAATTGCTTAGGATGTACATGTAGATGTACATGTAGATGTACATGTACATGTGATCACTCTACCTTATGATTCGTGGAAGAATGTAACTTAATTGGCAACGTGAGTAGTGTCACGTACAATAGACTCGACCTCAATCCCATTTGGGGACCATTCAAGACATAGAATTATTGGTACAATGACCAGGATGTTGTTGCCAAGGAGATAATGTAGTGTAAAATGTTGTCAGATTAGTCACGTGGTTGGTCAGTGGATTACGACGTTTTCCCGCTGTAGTTCCAATCAAGTCATCACAAGTCAATCACAAACAATCACGGGTAAATCACAAACAATCGCAAGTCAATCACAGGAAATCAAAAGTCATCAATTCTTGCATAAAATTATGACAAAGGCATTCCTCAATTCCTAGGCAATGTTTGGCCACTGTTACTCGTGGCCCGATTTATGATTTGACAAGAGATTTGACGTGTTATTGACTCAATCATAACTCTGAATTTTACAACATATCTCGTCACCCGTAAAATAATTTACAGTGTGAAACAGCTCAGGAGAGCATCACGGAAAGTTATTTCCGTTTTATGATACCATTGTCTTTTCTTGGCATTTTACATGCACAATGAGTTACTACTGCACTAAAACACTTTCTTTTTTTTCGAGAGGAGCACCTGCATTTTTGCACATTTTCCATTTCTGCCAAAAAAATGGTAGAAACACTTCCAGGCACTTTCACGAAGATGATCACAGCGAAATGATCGAAACTTTAAGTCAAAACCAGTCGTCGAACCGTGCGACTTAAAAGTACATGTACATGTCTTAATTATTGCCATCATTATGCTGCTACTATTATATCGTCATTAATTTAATTAACTACATTATTATTTATCGCAATTACAAGTTGTCTAACATTTTACCATGTTGGGCCTTCGGCAATTTTAACAGTACATGTACATGTCTTAATTATTGTCATCATTAAGCTGCTACTATATTGTCATTAATTTAATTAACTACATTATTATTTATCGCAATTACAAGTTGTCTAAAATTTTACCATGTTGGGCCTCCGGCAATTTTAACACCTGTTGTAGCTTGATATTCCATCCGCAATTAAAAGACAAGTACAAAAGGCATTCACGCATTAACGTGTTCATGAAAAAAAAAAACCATTCCGGCCCATTTTCAACACCCATAATAACGAGAACATGTTGCCTGGATTGTATCCAAGGAAAATATCTGACAACAAGGAAAAAGTCTGACAACGAAGCGCCGATGGCCACAAAACGCAACACAATGCAACAAAAAGTCCAGGAAATTGTGGTCAGAGATGAAACCGCGCCCGACCTACGCTGGCATTGAAGGTGTACATGCACTTTAGCCGAGAGCTCAAGTGAATTGAAATGCGTCATCGTGTCTGGCATGTTTCATTCTAGTCTGTTCGTTTCAATCTTAAATGATTGAATTTAAAATAAATCACAGGTTTGTGTGGCAACACTGATTAAACAACAAACACAACTTGATGAATTGTAATTGATTATCTTCCAGGTGTTACTAAATCGCACCACGAAGTGACGTATAGTGTGCACAGTCCATAGTCCATAGACGATCCGTCACTTCGTGGTGCATCCAATGCTCACAGCCATTTTAAAGTGGTGTCATTCTGTTGATTGTAACATCTAGACTGAAAATACCAAATAAAACTACTGCTTTCTATGCCTATTACTGGCCATCCTGTTTTCCTCTGACTGAGAAACTGACTGACTGAGACACTGAGAAACGGACTAGCTGACTGACTCCCCGCCAGACTCCTCGACTGACTGACTTCCCGACTGAGACATTGACTAACTGAGATGCTGACTTACTGGATGACTGGCTGGGTATAGGCCTAAACAAAGCTGCTCCCACAATGCACACAATGATATTCCATATTTTACTCAAAATGGCTTTTCACTGGAAGTCTTTTCGTGCATCCGGTCTTGGGTGGATTGAGCCCATTCATTTGCGTTATAGGGTAATACTACACGACAGCACTGCCCGACTCACAGGTGACAATCAGTAATTCAGTTTGTCACATATAGGCTTGTCCTCTTGGACCAGCAATAGACCATTATCATGTTGCAGTCATTTTGATTTTCCCCTATTCAAATCCATGTAACCAAAGCGAGGCTGGAAGGAAAAATAGTCTGGTTCCTCTTTGCACAAAAACATTATCATTCAGTACTGCTAATTGGATGCAGGGAACATGCCTATAATGGTGGCAGCATGATAAAGGTCTATAATGTCCCAAAACTGAGACTTTCGGTCGCAGCTTAACTGGGCACACTTAACGTCAGGAAGGGCAATACATGCATTGATAACTTCTATTATTTTTTTTACAGCATGAGTCGCGCCGCCCAGCACGAATTGGAGAAGGATCTCACAGACAAGTTCCGCGCTCTGACCATCGACAACAAGTGTCACCAGCTGGGCAACACCTCCCACGGTCTGGCATACTACCGCGGGATTGAGGGCGTGGATCAGTGGTAAGGATATTCCCTTAACATGTGTTAATGTCGTCTGACCAAAGACGGTCAGAATCCTGCCCGTCTCCGAAAAAAAAAGGAATCCAAAGTTTTCCGCATACGTTTCATTGACACTCGGATATGTTCGCGACAGCTCGGGTATTTCCGGTTAGTTAATGTTTCTATTCACAAACAAAACGGCTGTCGTGCTTGTAATCACTCCTGGAAGTTTGCTTTATAATAATCAAAGCTCGCTTTTACGAAATTGAATGCTTGCCTCAATGCCAAGTATCTGTATTTAATGTCCATTTAGGGCACGCATTCCAGATATTTTACCATAATTTGCCATTATATACGCATATGTTACCATTATAAACAGTTCTTTTCCAAAATATGTATTGAAGTGTATCTCTTAAAAAACATATTGACTTGTACAAGTAAAACCTGCGGGAATGACGCGATTATAAGATACGTTGGATACCACAGAAGGAAAATGAGTGGTTTAACTGCTTGAGTTAATAATGGACATAACACGAGCTAGGCGCAATTTCGAGTTGCTAAACTCGTTTGAACTTACCCAACTTTACTCATAATAGCCAATTTGGTTTGTCTCCGCGCAATACAAAGCATTGTTGGTTCTGGACTTAAAGACAATTAAACCATACAAATGGACGATTTCAGACATTTATAACCCTTTTAATAGGCCATCACATCCTTGCCCCAACAGAAAAGCTATATATGCACAATAATGAGATCATAAAATACTCTAAGAAAATCGTTTACTATATAAGAACATTTGGTAAAACATAAACGAAACTTGCTTTTGCTAAATAGTAATTTTATGTTGAGAGTTTTTTTTGTTGACGTTGCTTTAGCAACAACTCCCACGTGTGCACACGACCCTGCTATAAGACTAGATAGGAACCAGCAGCATAAAATATGCATAGTGTTTATGGTCTCTGCATGATATAGATAGCGAGAACCACCGAAACAGTGTAACTAATATCTCATAGACTAAACACACACAGAACACAATTCTTAAGTCTTGTACTAGCAAATGTACGTCTGGCGGTTGCTAACTACTAAGGCAACAGCTTCTCTTACATTGTTGCTTTTAGTTGTAACAAGAGAGAGAAACAGAAGCCGCACGCGGACAGGGATGCTATATATTTTTCCTCGTACATCGGTTAGCTAATAAGCTTTAGCTGACCAAATATTGTGAAACCAAAGATGAGGGATTGCTTTAAGTGGTTTATATAGTGCGCCAGGACTCAACAAACATTTGAGACAAATAAGGAATAATACTTAGGAACACTCAAGGCAGGGGGTTGGTCAATCAACACAAATAGGGGCGCGCAAACGGACTTTGAGAAATGTAAACACTAACCAGCAAAGGTCTGCGGTGACTTCTCGCATGCTAACCAATCTAGCAGTCAAACAAAGTTGCACAAGATGGCGCCTGTTGCTAGGCACCGTGCCAACACGAACGAGGTTGCTGTTACAATGGTTGCCATGGTCAGTTGAAGGACTGGCAGTGAAAGGTCATGAATTTTTAAGTCCGGTTTGCACACCAGATACAATGTTATGAATAAATTATTGCGAAGGTTTGGTGTTTGGGAAAGGGGCTTATTGGATTCGAAATAAATAATGAACAAGACTAGCTGTGTAGTTTCCTTTCTTCATAGCTTTAAAAACCTCCCTGTGACCGCCTTACACCCCTTTCCTATATTGGTCTAAACAATATGGTGCTAGGCAACAAGGGGCACGTTGAGACGAGGCCCTGGTTAAAATTAATTTGCCTTGGGGAATTTTACACGAAGAATAATTTTCTTCATTAAAACTATCAATAAGGTTCCTTCTTAAGACTAGTGTTATTAATTCCGGAAACTTTAAGATGGCCTGTTGTTTTGGTCCTGACAGGATCTTTCTAAAATTTTACAAGAATCACCATGACAAAATTGCTCTCTTTTGTTAGACTCCTTCCCAGTGTAATTGGAGTTTGATCCCGGTAGAAAAGCAAAATACTACACTTGGTCTCCTTCCGTAGTCATAGTTTACTGGCGTTTAAATATTCCTATACTTCTCGTAGGATTGGAATGCATGTACATGTATTACCAATGCTCACTCTTTCGGTGTCGTTCTGTGGTAAACATATATCAAAACACATAACCATGAAAAAACAGGTCATGGAGGCTATAACATTTACAACGTCTTTTTTCTTAACAGTGTCTCAATTCCCGAATCCTGGGCCAAGTTCTCCAACGACAACATCCTGCGGTCCCAGCGGGAGCGCAACTCCTCCAAGGGTCTCCGTGGCGATATCGACAGCACATTACAGGAGACGTCCAACGACATGTGGACGCAGAACAACGGTGTCAACGTGGCTTTCTCCGGGCGCATTGCTGAGACTATGGACGCACGCAACAGCCTGCAGTCCCACCTGGCCAGGGTAAGATGACCAGCGGTTTACGGGTGACCTAACAAAAAATCCTGGCTAACTTTCAGCACGGAGTAGTCTGTTGGCAAGTTTACCTGCCCGTGTTTCCCCCTTGAAAAAAAAATCATATGGTGACGCCATGGTCAACATGTTCCCCCTTGAAAAAAATCATATGGTGACGCCATGGTCAACATAGCAGTGGTACTCAAGCTTGATTAACAACTGCGACAACTATTAAACACAACACCATCATGGTTTAAATTCAACCGAATCATCACCAGCAGGATCTAAATCCTTATTCCATCATCACCATAATTTACAGGTTCTTCCATGACAACATCTCTGTGTCCTTATATAAAATTCCTCAGCCAAACTAGTACATCCTTTGGGCCATATATAGGTGCTTTGTGACGACTTTTAAAAGTGGCCTTAAAATCTTAAAACCTATTTTGCCCTAAACTCCACTAAGTCATCACCAGCATATTATCAAGGATCTAAATCATTATCTCATCATCAATCACCGTAATTTACAGGTTCTTCAAGAGATTAACGAGATGGAGAACAACATCGACGTCCTACGCAAGGCGATTGCCGACAAGACCGCGCCGATGCAGGTGGCTCAGAGCAGACTGGAGAGCAGAACACGCCGCCCCAATGTGGAGCTGTGCCGTGACCAGCCACAACACAGGTGAGTGGAGACCATCGATCTAAAAAAAAAAGGGAGTTTGTCACAGAAGTTTACTTCGCACCTTTCACCGGCTTTGAAACTCACTATTGGGCCTACAATTTCCTTGGAATGTCAGTCTAGGGTTTTCTTCAAAATGGTCTTATCTTTTCTTGCCTCTCATGCGTTCTTTAGGCCTTGGAGCTACTGTGCCTGTGCCCTTTTTTTTTTAAAGGAACCGGCGGTATACTAGAATAAAAAATTACTGGATTGTGGGTTCCGTCAAGGCTATATCACTAAAATCAAGTCTTTACCATTTTCATATGGTATTCTGAAAAATCGACACAAATTCAAATGAAAGACTGAAATATCTCCTCAATATAAACTTCCCATATAACTTTCACGATAAGGCATACAGTGACACTTTGTGCCTCAAGAAAGCTTCGAAGGTTTCATTCAAATAGAATATAAGAGACAACGAAGTAACGTTCAATACTGGCACATTGATGTATTGTAAACACTTTTTTTAGAAGAGGAAAACACACTTTTTTTGGAGACTAGAACCGAACACAACTCAAACTCATGTAGGCCTTCATGGTTGAAAAACCACTTTTTCATGGATTTGCTATAATCTTCCATTTGTTCTCTCCGAAGGCTTTTCCGCGAAGTTGGTGAGATCTACGAGACGGTTGACGTTCTACAGAACCGCCTCCGCGCGGCAGAGTCCGCCCTTCAAGAGCTCTGCAACACCAAGACCACCCTAGAACACGACCTGGGTGTCAAGAACAACAGCTTGTACATCGACAAGGAGAAGTGCATGGGTACCAGGAGGACATACCCAACCACTGCTAAGCTGGCCGGGTACCGGGGACAACCATGAAAACTGCGCATGATCGCACAACATCCCGCGCATGCGCGTGCGGAGTAATCTGACAGATTTGCATACATGTTGCATAAATTTGCATGCTTTTTTGTGGTGCGTCCATTCAAATTTGATCGAATGTGGCAGCTTTAATTAAAATTCCAAATGATGTAAATTGTTGCACTCACAAGTACTTTTTTGGTTTGTAGGCACATGGTCTGAGACAAAAGTCTGAGAAACAGCTTAGGCACCACATGTTGCAATTATTTTTGGACATGTAATCATTACAAGTATTTGTAAAGGGTATATACATGTAATAGTCATATTTCTGTTGCCTTTATCAATGAATTCCGTCCAGAAATAAAGAAACTTCACAAGTATATCCTTGCCTGATTGTTCACATTTTAATTAAAACAAAGAAACTATTTTAGTAAGAAAGAATATCTAGAGAATAGGCATTAGTAACACTTAATGAGCATTGATATGTCAGTTCAAAACATATGCAAATGCGACTTAGTTCCTGAATATTAATAGGGTAGACCTACATCATGAAGGTAAAATTTGAAATGTACTAATTTGTTCTCTAATAACACCCACCGTATATATTTCGAAAATATTTTTTGTCAGATATTGCAACAGCCGTCTGTTAACATCTGTGTTACGCAAATTCCTAATTTCAAGTTGTAGACGACTGTTAGAAATATCAAAAAACTGTCAGCTGTGCATAATCAAGTGTGCTTTAACAAAACCATGAAAATATTTCAAGTAAAAAAACTTAATTTGTAAAGTATGTCCGATAACAAGTATTAAAAGAAACGATATGGCGTTTCAGGCAAGACCAATTACGACTGCCAATCTTTCAAGGACAAAAACATTAAGCAATGCCAAATAAAAAAAGTTAAGTAAATCATTTGTTTGATTTTTTTTGTTTCATATTTTTTAAATCTGAGCACGAAGGATGCTTCTGTATATAATTGGGAAAGTTGATTTCAAGAGGCTTTGAAAATTGTATAATTTCTGTTTGGCAAAAATATTACCAGTGAATAATTGTAAATAACGGCTTTTTCTCTTTTTTTCCCACACTTGCAATAACTATGCATGAAACAAAATTAACGTAACGTGTGTGAATTGGTGTGTATCCTTGTAACAAATTCGGCGGTTTGATATTTTTCTTTACAACTGAAAAGTTTATTTATACACCTATTTTTTTTTGGAATTTAAGGGTATATAGGACTACGCTATTTTTTAGATTAAAATTCACAGTTTTATTCAGTCTTAAGGAAAAATATCAAAATACCGTTTTTGTCTGTTTTACTGCATGGATGTGTTTTTAAGCAAATAACTGAACATTATACAAGCGGCTGTGCAAAAATAAAAAAAAGTGTAAAAAATAAAGTTTGTTCAAAAAGTGGACTACCTTGTGAATTCTTTACTTGCTTATTTGAATTTCAGTACTTGTACAAAGGGCAAGCATTTACAATGCCCGGAAACAAAATGAACAATATCCCCTCCAAAAATACTGACGGGGCCTAATGTTAAAACAAGTTAGGTATCTTTTGCCCAAAATAGGCCTACATGCCCATTAGGCCCAATAAACATAAATTTTCCTCCATGTTAAAATGAACAAAATGTAGGATATCTTTTGAGGAAAATGGACCATTTTTGTTTCTAAAGACAAAGATGTTGGAAATGATAAGTTTACACCAACGTCCTTAACTAAATACATGTAGGGTAAGTTTTACAGTGTAAACGGAGCCCTTCCCCAATCCATAGATACATGTAGGCCCTATAAATCATAATCGTTTAGTTACTGAAGACCCACCTGGGCCCACGTGGTTTTGAGAGATGTCATTTTTTTCCCGTGACCAATAAACGGAAATGTGTAGATATCATTCTATACAAAAACAAATCGAATCTGGAGGCTGTTTGAGAACTTCCGAGGCGATATTCTGCAGTACACAGACAAATGAAACAACATCTTTTTAAAATTAAGTTCAGAGTTTTGGCGGCCATTTGACTTCGCCCGCCATTTTGACGGGGAATTTTATCGTCTGCACGCAGCGGCACGCCGTGCTCAAAATATGCCACAACATGGAGCAAGGAAACGGGCACAAAGCAAGAAATTTACTCACCTGTTTTGAAGTTTATTCACTCTTATCCCGACACCGTGTTACGAAAGCCCATTAGCGCCACTGCTAGTATATATGTTGCGGATTATTTAATTCGTTATTACGGATTATTAATTCGTTATTACGGATTACTAATTCGTTATAACGGATTATTAATTCGTTATTACGGATTATTAATTCGTTATTACGGATTACTAATTCGTTATAACGGATTATTTAATTCGTTATTACGGATTATTAATTCGTTATTACGGATTACTAATTCGTTATAACGGATTATTAATTCGTTATTACGGATTATTTAATCCGTTATTACGGATTACTAATTCGTTATAACGGATTATTAATTCGTTATTACGGATTATTTATTTCGTTATTACGGATTACTAATTCGTTATTACGGATTACTAATTCGTTATAACGGATTATTAATTCGTTATTACGGATTATTAATTCGTTATTACGGATTACTAATTCGTTATAACGGATTATTAATTCGTTATTACGGATTATTAATTCGTTATTACGGATTACTAATTCGTTATAACGGATTATTTAATTCGTTATTACGGATTATTAATTCGTTATTACGGATTACTAATTCGTTATAACGGATTATTTAATTCGTTATTACGGATTATTAATTCGTTATTACGGATTACTAATTCGTTATAACGGATTATTAATTCGTTATTACGGATTATTTAATCCGTTATTACGGATTACTAATTCGTTATAACGGATTATTAATTCGTTATTACGGATTATTTAATTCGTTATTACGGATTACTAATTCGTTATTACGGATTATTAATTCGTTAATACGGATTATTTAATTCGTTATTACGGATTACTAATTCGTTATTACGGATTATTTAATTCGTTATTACGGATTATTAATTCGTTATTACGAATTACTCATACGTTCCGAGTCATTACTCGGCAACTTAGTATGGTACGAAAGCCCATTAGCGCCACTGCAAGTATATATGTTGCGGATTATTTAATTCGTTATTACGGATTATTAATTCGTTATTACGGATTACTAATTCGTTATTACGGATTATTAATTCGTTATTACGGATTATTTAATTCGTTATTACGGATTATTTAATTCGTTATTACGGATTATTAATTCGTTATTACGGATTATTTAATTCGTTATTACGGATTACTAATTCGTTATAACGGATTATTTAATTCGTTATTACGGATTACTAATTCGTTATTACGGATTATTAATTCGTTATTACGGATTATTAATTCGTTATTACGGATTATTAATTCGTTATTACGGATTATTTAATTCGTTATTACGGATTACTAATTCGTTATAACGGATTATTTAATTCGTTATTACGGATTACTAATTCGTTATTACGGATTATTTAATTCGTTATTACGAATTACTCATACGACCTCATCAGACCTAATTCGTAATAACGAATTAATAATCCGTAATAACGAATTAATAATCCGTAATAACGAATTAAATAATCCGTAATAACGAATTAATAATCCGTAATAACGAATTAGTAATCCGTAATAACGAATTAATAATCCGTAATAACGAATTAATAATCCGTAATAACGAATTAATAATCCGTAATAACGAATTAGTAATCCGTAATAACGAATTAAATAATCCGTTATAACGAATTAATAATCCGTAATAACGAATTACATAATCTGTAACATATATACTTGCAGTGGCGCTAATGGGCTTTCGTACCGTGTCCATGGTTACCGAAGTCAACTTATGTCGTCTTCCAGCTAGTCCAGTAACTGGAATACATGCAATTGTTGTTTTGTGAAGACAACACTGCCTTAGAAGGGTATTGACCTATAGCCGTTTTCGAGTTAGCCACGCCCCTTCGACAACCCATGGAGTTATTGTACACTTAAGTTTTGTTTTACGTCTCAGATTTTGCGACTTTCGCGTCCATTTGTATATCATGTAATTGGACATGTATTTCACAAGCTGCGTTGACGCAAGTCTAACGCGATACCATCAAATCTGGAAAAATATCAAAATCAACAACAACAAAATCAAGTGCGAAACATCAATCCTTGAACTGGTCTTTTATTTGTCAGTTTTCATCCCGAATTCAGAAACACCAAACAAAATCAAAACCTTGGTCAAAATCTGGCATCGATGTAATACATGCCTTAAGCTAATAGAATTCTCACTCCAAAACAGTCAGCAGTTACTAATTTTCTTACACAATAGTTTATGAAAAGAATTGCATCTTATCATTTCAATACATGAATGTAAAATGATCTGTGTATGTAAACTGGAAAAGAGGGAGAAAAAATCCAAACATAACACATGCTAGGAACCATCTTTATCATGTCCATGAATTTGTCTGCCCTAGGTAGTCAAAATTTGGTAGTGCTGGAAATTTCAAAAGGGGACGCTAACTTACTGTAGTTGGTATTATTTCTGGTACAAACTTATGAATGTATCTATATTTTGGGCATGCTCTTCGCATGTTCCTAATATTAAATAATCATATTTTAATAGAAGATGGATAACTATGCAAAGTTATGAACATCAGATTCGAACCAGCCAACCGATCCCATAGGCTCGGTGGTCGAGTGGTAAGACATCTGCACTAGAAAGCAGGAGGTCATGGGTTCGAGTCCCTCCCGAGTGATTTTTTTCCAACTTTCACTCGGGAAGTAACACACTGAGTATACAGTGTTTAAACGTTGGTGAAGGGCAAAAAGCTAATATTGACATGTTGAAGATTAAAGTAATGTCAGTTGAAATCAATATGCGCACTGCAACAAATTTTTCTAGGCTTGCCCTGTAGAATTTTAAATATTTCCTCTGAATGTATACATAACATATCCTGCAATTGTTAAAGTTAATAAAATTCCTTCAATTGCTAGTTAATACAATATAGCCATCTACTACAAGTTCAATTTTTAAAAACCAATAACAAAAACAATAGCTCCTTTAGAGTAATTACAATACTATTATTTTTTTAAAATACTTTCTAATATCAAAGGCAAATAGGACCGTTTGCTTCTCGTGAATTTTGTTTATTTCCGATAAAAACACCGCTCAAAATCCAAAGAATGATGTTCAAACCTAACCTGTTGAAATTTAAACTCAGTGGATATTACACTTTTTGAGAAAACAGTGAAAAACCATGCACAACGTTTTGATCACAAATCGTGATTTTGTCAATAGAGCACTTTATTCCAAAAAAACAGTCAATTGACTGATCGTTGGAAATCACCTACATTTCTTGATTTCTTCAAAATGACAGCAAGCCAGATGGAATAATTTCACAGGAGTGTTTATAGTACCAGCACAATCTTCAATCCAAGTAAGCTTTGTGATAATAATTCGGTCGGTTTATACTTTTGGGACAAATGCAAATGATCCTATATGCCTTTAAATCTATTTTATTCATCATCGCTGATCCTCGCATATTTTATTTATCCCAGAAAGATGACTCTGGGTTTGTCCTCCTCTTCCGTTTCAGTTCCTAGGACTTCTCTGTCTTCTTTCTTGGTAGCTTTGATGAAGTCGTTGAGTTTGCCGATCATGTCGTCCAGTTTGAACTTGAGGTCATCGCACTCTGCCTGCTTAGGGTCGATGCCTTTTGTGTTGAGATAAAAAAACAGGGGTCAGATGAATGAACATGGGGTATATCGTGAGGCGTCGTAGTTGACTCAGTCACAAGTCGATCACAAGAGTCACAACTCAAAATCACAGGTCAATCAAAAGTCGCATATTAAGTCAAAACATGAATCAATCAAACACAATTCATTCATGTGTCAAATCACAAATCAATCACAAGTCAGACACAAGTCAAATTAAAATGTAAATCACAAGTCAATCACAAGTCAATCACAAGTCAGTCACATGCCAAGTCAATCACAAGTCGATCACAAGTCAATCGTTAGTCGCTCGCAAGTCAGTAACAAGTCAATCACGAGTCGATCACAAGTCAATCACAAGTCAATGCACAAGTCGATCACAAGCCCTTACAAGTCAATCACAAGTCGATCAAAAGTTAGATCTCAAGTCAGTCACATGCCAAGTCGATCACAAGTCAATCGTTAGTCGCTCGCAAGTAACTAACAAGTCAATCACGAGTCGATCACAAGTCAATGCACAAGTCAATCACAAGTCAATCACAAGTCAATCACAAGTCAATCACAAGTCAATCACAAGTCAATCACAAGTCAGATCCCAAGTCAAATCACATGTCAATCAGAGGTTTCTCACAAGTCTATCACAAGTCAATCACAAATCAGATCCCAAGTCAGTCACATGCCAAGTAAGTAAATCACAAGTAAATCACAAGTCGGTCACATATCGATCAAAAGTCGATCACAAGTCGATCACAAGTTGATCACAAGTTGATCACAAGTAAATCACATGTCAATCACAAGTAAATCCCATTAAGTCAAATCACATTATATATCAATTATCACAAGTCATTGAAAATTTAAATCGCAAGTGAGGTCACAACCAGCTTAGACTATTTCTTGCATCACCCTTTGGTGTAAATATTTCACATGGCCCAATATCTGCATTCTAACTAGGTTGGCGTGAGTAGAATAGCGCCGACACCATGCCAAATGAAATAAATAACCACACAAAACAGCGATGTAACAGATAAATATCTCTGAGCCGTATATGTCTCTCCCAGCTACTTGCATCGTGTCTATAATGGGTTCCCTTATATAAAAAAGGGGATTGCGTGGCCTAGTGGTTAGGGTTCGTGACTCATGATCAGAGGGTCCGGGGTTCGAATCCAGCCGCTGGTCATATATTGTGTCCTTGGGCAAGCCACTTAACCCCCACTTGCCCCTTTCCACCCAGGAGTATAAATGGGTACCGGCATTAGCTGGGGAGTAACCTGCGATGGACTAGCATCCCATCCAGGGGGAGTAGAAATATTCTCAGTCGTTTCATGCTACTGAAACCGGAGATAAACGCCGGCCTGATGAGCCACATTGGCTCGGGACAGACTTTACTTACTACTTTTTGCACTTATATAAAAAAGGAGTGTCTTTGACACGGTCCTTCTTTCTGGTTCGGACATCAAAGACTTCGGACTGATTCTTGTGCTAAATGATTCTTATGCGAGAAATGAAGCACTGTTTTGAAAATAGCCAAAGGTTTTATCAATACAGTGGAACATGGCTATGACGAACATCACGGTGTCTATACAAATTGTTCGTAATAGCGATCATTTGGTAAAGCAATTTTAAGCTGTCGGTGCTCTGGTACTCAATAAAAAGCCCCCTTCAGAACTTCACCCGGCACGCCCTGGTAGTTTACTGAAAGACGACTTTGAACACATGCCCACTACTCACTGAATTATGTTTTTGAGCTTACTACCCACTAGTACCTACAGCTTACTACCCACTAGTACCTACAGCTTACTACCCACTAGTACCTACAGCTTACTACCCACTAGTACCTACAGCTTACTACCCACTAGTACCTACAGCTTACTACCCACTAGTACCTACAGCTTACTACCCACTAGTACCTACAGCTTACTACCCACTAGTACCTACAGCTTACTACCCACTAGTACCTACAGCTTACTACCCACTAGTACCTACAGCTTACTACCCACTAGTACCTACAGCTTACTACCCACTAGTACCTACAGCTTACTACCCACTAGTACCTACAGCTACCACTAGTACCTACAGCTTACTACCCACTAGTACCTACAGCTTACTACCCACTAGTACCTACAGCTTACTACCCACTAGTACCTACAGCTTACTACCCACTAGTACCTACAGCTTACTACCCACTAGTACCTACACTTTTGAGCTTACGTGGGGTCTAACGTACCACTGGACCACCAAGCTTGTGAGGGTTGGCTGGTCATTTTGAATGTGATAAACCACACAGGGAAACTGACCGGTGCATTACGATAAATAGGGCTGGATAGGGCAATTCCTTGGTCGCAGATTCAAACCCTGCGCCAATGAATTTCTTTGTTCAACCTGAAAAAGTTAAAAAAAAAGACATATTACCTTCAATGTAAGTGTGCACCTTGCCGTCGTTTTTGATTCTCTTCTCGGAGAAACCGCTCCAGAGCTTGAAGCGGCCGACCATGAAGTCCACAATCTCCAGTTCGTTCTTACGCTGGGCTGCCTCTTGTTTCACCTGGCAAAATCAGGGGACACAGAAAAAAACAAAAGGTAAAATAAAAAAAAATGTAAACAAAAAAACTCATTACAAAATGGAGCCGCCCACCCACATCCAACTTTAATCAGAAAAAAAAGATGTCCCCTCTGTTTTCAAACTAATTCTCAAAAGCAGCAAATTGGTGTGTTAGGGTTGGGGCAGGGTGCAAAATTCAATGTCACACCATTTTTTAATGCAACAAAGATTTCTGCTTCTCAGAAAATATCCTTCTTGTCATCCGAACATGTTACTACAATTCATACCGGGTTTCGCCCTTCACGGATGTATTTTATTAACACTGTCTACTAAGTGTGGTCCTTGAGTGATAGTGAGAAAAACAATCACTGGGGTGGGACTCGAACCCACGACCTCCTGCTTACTAGTGCAAAGGGCTAACCACTCAACCACCAAAGTCGCCTGGGTCAGCTGGCTGGTCATTACAAGTAAATAAAAAGTCACCACAAGTCAGTGGAAGTAATAACAAGTCATCGCAAGTCAATCACAAATAAATCACAAGTCATCACAGGTAATAATCACAAGTCATCACAAGTCATTACAAGTCAATCACAAGTCATCAAAAGTCAATCAAAAGTTGGAATTGCTTTTGAATTGACTTAATAATAATAATAAAGGGATTTCTATGGCACTTTATGTAAAAAATACCTCAAAGCGCCTCACAATAAAAAACTATAAACCCTATAGGCGATGAAAATACTAAAAATATGAAAGTTACTTAAAGTGCTACACAGTGACAAGTACTAAAACACGGAAGCAAACGAAACTAGAAGGCAAGTTACTATGCCAAAAGAAAACAATTCAAACCTAAAAACTATAAAAAGCCAAAAGGAAATTTAAGCATTCAAAACATCAATTATTTATAACTACCACATGCACCTTAAAGGGAATATACAACATTTGCAAACATTGAAAAATAAAACTACCAAGTTTTTAAGAAATACCTTACTAGGATGTAGGTAAATGACAGTCTAAAGCACCCTGTAAAATTATGGCACCTGGTGTGAAGTCATTTTCAAGAAAATGGTATTTTTGTATACATTTCCAACGGTGGTCGGCCGACCACCGTTGGAAAAACCTAACTATATTTCAACTACTGCTCCAAATTTACCTTTTTTTAGTCCAAATTTTGTTTGGTATTGGTTACATGTTCATGAACGGGTGCAGGCCAGCTAGACTGGTTCCCTTACCTTACAATTTTCTGGCAACTATAAATTGATCCATTTCATCTTTAGTGGAGTCAGGGAACCAGACTACTTGAACAATTTTGTTTTTCTTGGTTTTTCCAGCATTTTCGAACATAAAACTTCAAACATGTCAGTGAAACAATATTTGATATATTATACTAACCCCTCAAATACTCCATTTCTGGAAATTACAGCAAAAGCCAATGATGTACATTCCCTTTAAGAGTGCTACAAGAAGAAAATGGCTACAATAGCAAAAGGTATCACGCAACACGTAACACCAAACCAAACAAGTAAAATGCATAAAAGCTACGCACAAAATGTATAAAAAAACAATGTATACTGTAACGCGGAACAACAAGCCATTAGAAACACGAAAAAAGGCACCGGATGACTTGTGATGGTTTGGGATCCAGCATGATTAGCTAGTCTACAACGCTGACATATTCTTGACGCTTACCTGAGAGAAGGCTTCACAGATGATGGCTAGCAGCATGTTGGTCAGTGTCCACATGACCACCATGACGTAGGTGAAGAAGAACATGGGCCCCATGAGAGGATCAGCGCTCACCAGTTCCTCAAAGGAGAACTTGCCTACAAAAACAACAGAACCAGAGAAAAATAAATAACGAGTCAACCATTTCTTTGAGTGTAAATCCTTCTATTGACTCGTGCGCAAATAATAGATAGCGCTTTTTTTTTATCACTTGCAAAAGCCCCATTGGCACAAACCATTTGGTGAAAATTGGTAAAAAAAACCAAATTCCAATTGGAACCTATTGGTACCGATTGGAACTAATTCCAATTGGAACCAATTGGTACCAATTGGATCTATATCCAAATGGAAATAATTGGAGTTAATTGCAACAGGAATTTGAATTGGAATTTGAATTAACTTTAAGTAGTCCCAGTTGGTTTCAACTGTTTAGGAAACACTTGAAACCAATCATACAAGACAGCCCCATTTCAACAATAACAAATAGAGCCATTTTAATTTGGTTCCAGGAGGGCGCTCTGTGCAAGGGGTCTATAACAACCATAGAGCTATATTCAATTACTAGAGAGCTAACTTTGTGTACAAAGTAATGCCTGCTGGGCGCATCCATGTTTGTGCACAAACCTACGGAGACCTAGAAATTTTGTACGGCTTTTGTACGGCTATTTGCATAATATCTGCGTTTGTATTCCAAACCGGTGCGTTATCGAAGCCAATACGCCCAAAACCGAAACGCACGATCAGCAAATGAGCGTGTCATTTTGCTCTACGCAAACAGCGCAACGCGTGCGCGTATTCGCTGCAGATGCTTTTTGCCGTAACGTTTTTTTGAACCGTCAATGACGCGCTTAAGTTGTTTGCGTATGTTCTACTTGCGCGTTGCATGTAGAGTTCACTATCAAAACTCAATCCATCTAATTTCATTATGTTCTACAAACACGCACATGAATTCAAAATGTCTGCGCCCAGGACGGCTTCAAAGCGTCTCCGCGCGCAGAATGAGGAGTTAGCGCTCTAGTAATTTAATATAGCTCTATGATAACAACTGACATAAACCTTACCCAGTAGTGTGCCAAAGAGTGATTCCAGTGTCGTCAGGAAGTTTCTGTAGTCACGGACTTGGAAGAAGACTAGGAAGCAGAAGCTAGCGTAGCCCATGTACACCACCATGAACATGATCATGAAGAGGGAAAGCTCGTAGGCAAATCTCTGAAGAACAAAAACAGGAAAGAGAACTCCATTTGTGACCTGTTCTGTCAAAATCAGACTTTTCTGGGCATAAGGTCAAAAATGAGATTTTTGCATACTGTTAAAATATGTTCTTTTTCCTTTTAATAGGCGGTTTAGTTTTTGAAACCGGTCATTCCTGGGCAGAGTTATGCTATTTTGAAGTTCATTGTGTCGAAAAGTAGAAAACAGAGAAAATGGCCACCAATGTCACAAAACACTAATTTCTTTAACTGATAAACCTTAACAAATCATCAAAAATACTATATTTAGAGTTCAAATTAGGGTTTCAAACTTTTATAGTGTATTTTAGACATGTTCAGGATAACAAATATGCAAAAATTTTAAAATCGAAAAAAATCACCCCCACAGCGTTTTTTGGCCCTATCTTAATATCAACCTCTGCCCAGAAGTGTTTGCTTTTGACACAACAGGTCACATATAACCTTCAATTCAAAGAAAGTGATGTTGGATTGCTATCACTGTGCGACCAGATGACGTGAAAACCTTTTGTTGGAACAAAAAAACATGATCAATAGGCTTACTTTCCACGTACTAAAATAAACGTGATAAGTCCGCTTTCAACTTATGGCAAAGTATCTTGTATTTTTTGAGGTAGCCCCATTGCTAGGGTTGATCCTTCGCGTACAGAATACGTGAAAACCTTGCCGCGCAAGCACCCATTGTTGGCGGATTAATCGAGGTGCTAATATGGACTGCTTAAACAACTAATCCATGAACGGTTACCAACTAGAGACCCAAGGCTGGTTCATATTGAATGCGAATTTATGATGTCATAGAAAGTTTTCGTGCTGTGAATTTGCAAGTTGAACCCATTTCAACTCCAAGGAGACCACGAATCATCATCTAATGGTCATGCATGAAGTCCAGAGACTAATCAAATATTCAAGGGGGGGGGGTTGAGATTGTGGGAAAATGAATAATCCTGAAATCAGGACAAATCCTGACCAAAAAAATTCTGAAATCAGCTAAAATCACAAAATCACAAAAATCCTGAAATTAGCAAACATCCTGACAAATCTCCCCCTCAATAATAGTGTATTAGCTGACTATTCAACAGAATTTCACAAAAATGCGGATGTTTGTCCCAAATTCTTGAGCTTATGTTGTAAATCAGATGAACCAAAGTTGCAGTAGCCAGTAAGAAGGAACATTTAGGAAAAAGTTGTGCTGTCGACAAATGTTCCAATAACAGTAAAACAAAAAAAATCCACAAATTTGGAAGAAAACTCTGTGAAACTATTGCGTATTATAATAGTCTTAAAAGGTACCCAAGTCACCCGACTACAAACTCGGACAACTTATGATCTGGAATGCGAAGAAAATGGCAGCTGAATCACTCACACTGACAGTCTCCGTCAACATGAGCATCTTAACGTTGAATCTCAGGAGTCGCGTAAATTTGATGACCGCCAGGAACAAACACAATGTAACCATCGTTAGGTATATCTGTGGATAGAAAGAAAAGAAATAACCCATTGACCTTTCAGCACTTGTATAAAATTGTATTACATTGTGTTTACTCTTCAATGAAACCATAGAGTACTGATGGTGTTTGGGGCAGTATGAGGGGTAACAGGCAGGGCAGTATGAGGGGTAACAGGCAGGGAAGTATCGCGTAGTACTAGGGTAACAGGTAGTGCACGAAAGGAAGTCCACTTTTTCACTATTAACCAACTGTACTACAATTGTATTACATTTTATTTTTCTGTGATGAATAAGTCTGGTTACGACCGTGAAACTAGAAATAGCACGAGGAAGGCATCTTTAATGCAGAGTTGTTATGACTAGAGTCAATGACTCGACTCGAGTCCGACTTGAGTCACAAAGATCTAGACCCGAAGCCAAACCAGATAACTATTAGTGATACAAATGACCTTCTCTCTTGTCTTTATTTGTTATATAGCATTCAAATATGCATGACTCGAATTGACTCAAGCTAAATATTCTACTTGACTTGACTAGAATTGACCACACAACGTGACTCGACTCAACCTTCTTGACTTGACTCGAGTCACTTCCTTAAAATGACTCGACTCGACTTGAGTCACAAAAATCAGTGACTCGTTACAACTCTGCTTTCATGGTTCTGATTCTTGCGAACTGACTTGTGATTCTCTTGTGACAAGACTTGTGATGTTCTTGTGATCTATCACAAGAGCCTTGACAACGACAATCATTAAGTCGCTCTTCCTTTCATACGGTATTAGCGCAAACGTCTCCCCTCCCTTTTTTAACAGTAACCTATGAAAAGCACACTCTTGTGTCGAGCAGCTAGAACTTCTTTCAAAATATCTCAAGCTGTTCAGAAATCTTCACATCATCTAGAGCATAGGACTTACGTCGTCCCAGTAGGCCAGGTACTGGAAGTTGTGGAACTCGGTCGGGGCAGCCAGTATTTCGGCCGTGAGTTCGTTGGCCTGGAATAGACGATACATGTAAGCCACTATTGCTCCGATAGAGAGCCCATGGTTGATAACCTTCACGTCAAAAAGGAGAAACAAAACAAGTTTTTAAATTAACTTTAGTAGGTGGTCCAAGGAATGGGAAGGTTTCTGCCTGCGTTAAAATTGTGGCAGGGGGTGAAATTACATCTGTTCATAGTGATGTTCAGGTCCCGCTGAACAAGTATAAACGCCAGTTCATTCTTCATGCAAATCGGAAGCAAACTTGACGTCACCAAACTTCCACAGCGAAATTCGACCGAGTTGAAATGTGTTCAACTATTGCCGGTTCGCAGAGGGAAAACTTGCAATAGCTGTTGCAACTTTGCTTTGACATCCTTGCCGAGTATGACCTAGCCCTTAGGAGTGACTGAGTTTGACCAAAACTATTTCAACTTCTGAATGGTGACTTAAGCAGTGACAAAGCAAAAGGGCGGGGGGGGGGGGGGGGGGGGGGGGGGGGGGGGGAGGGGGGCCTGGGAGGCCTGGAGGCAAATTCCAAGACCCCCCCTCCTTCCACAGGTGCCTCCTTCCCCCCCCCCCCCAAAAAAAAAACCCACAGAATTTTCCCCTCGCCCAAAAGTGTCTTTTCAAGTAAATTAACCACAGGGGAATTTTGACCAACACTTTTCAACTTGATGCTAATTCCCTAAACCCTGTGGATTTATGAAATCATTCTGAGAAAGAGATGAGAAAGGGACAAAGAGCGCCCCCTAGTGTCAAAAAAAGGTCCAGCCCCCACAAACCCCCACCCCCTGGAAGAAACTCTCTGGAAATTAGGGGAAATTTTGTTGTGGATACGCCCTTTGCCACCCCACCCATAAAATGCTGGTGCCCCCCGTCCCCCACCACTGGAAATATCCTGGCTAAGCCACTGTCGTTAAATCAAGATAAGTTGGGTGAAATCCATCTGTTTGTACCTCGTAAACATTCCAAACGCTCTTGAAGTAAGCCTTCTTCTCTTTCTTGATTTTTCTCGCCTCTCTGACGACGTAGAAGAGCAGCAACAGAGCAAAGATGATCTCAGCTCCCAGGACAAAGTAGGCAAAGGGTCCATAGTAGTGGTCCAACGTCATGGTTTGGAATTTGATGTACGGGAAAGCGCCTATTTGCAGAAGAAAAAGGAATCCACTGGCGTTTGCACAAATATTTACAACTACTCTTTCTTTTTAAGCTCTGGAGGAGGCTCTTCATGTCACTTGGTGGTTGGTCAGTCCCCAGAAAATTGACCAAAAATAAGGCCCGCTAAGTCTCCCACAAAATATAACTACCAAATTTTATTTTAAAAAAAAGCAAACAAAATCAATTAAATAGTTAACAAATATTGTTTATGACAATTTGGAATAATGTTTATAAAAAGTTTGTAAATGGAGGCAAAATAAGTACAGAAATATTCTGAATATTACAACAAAAGCTGTATATTCCCTTTATTATTGAAGGGTGCACAGATAACCTTTTTGAAGTTTTAGCTCAGATATTTCTATTTAGAGAAAACAGAGTGAACATTATGTGATGCAATCAAGCTAAATGAGTCGTTTGTCGACCCTGGTCATTATTTTTTTTTTACAGATTTGAAAAGAGCACAATCTCAGTATTACTGCTGTGAAAACCGCATGCTGATACCATCTTTAGTTCAAAAATTATGGAAGTGGGAACACCAAGAGATGTGATGAAGTGATGTGATGAAGTGGCCCTATTTTGGCCTGAATCTCCAAATGAAAGTTCCCGACAAACGACTCATTTAGCTTGATGGCATCAAATATGTAAAATTTGTTGTCTTGTAACTGGATAAACCGCCTCGATTGTTTTTTTGGCTCTGATCGATACCATTTAAGGCAGAATATTTTCACAGCCGGGTATCAATAAGAATCAGCCTTATCTTGAATTAGAGCAAGTTTTCTCATTAAAATGGTAAACATATTTCTGGGTAATTACCAACTTTCCTATGTTCCTTAATAGGTAGGATCAAGACGGTTTTCTAAAAGGATTCCTGATTCCAGTGTTTTCAAATAGCCTCACCTCCAATGGACGGGAATTCCACCACATTCAGCGACAGCACGTGGGTGTTGGAGACAGGGTTGTAGAGCACGTACTCTAGGAACACTGCCCTCGTCTGCTGGTCTATCCACGAGTTCTGCTCCAGGTAGTCAATCATCTCCATATCCGCTAGGATGTCGACGCCAAAATTGACCGTGAAACCCCCGCCGTAGTAGCTGTTCTGGTCGGCGAAGGCCGGGTAGGAGTCGAGCTCCAGCCAGCCCCGGTACTTCCAGACACCCAGGAACGGCGAGGATTCGTAGTCTGGGGGAGCTGTCAAGAAAGAGTAATTACAGGGTGAGACAAAACAAAACCCAAATGTCGGGAATATTGTTTTAGTGAAGTTCTGCATTTAGCCCTTTCAAAATAAAGGATATGAAAGCCCAATTCAAAAGCTTTCTTTTAGTACAAGAATCATTCAAATCACTCAAGTACTTTTCAAGTTACGGAAGTTTAAAAACAACCACCATTTTTAAAGTTCTGTCCACAGATCACAAAAAAGGTGTGTGTTCTTTCAGCAAAACAAAAACAATTCCCACACATCCCTATGTGATTTGTTTTCATTTTGCTGAAAGAACACTTACCTTTTTTGTGATTTGTGGACAGAACTTTAAAACGATAGTTGTGTTTAAAATTCCGTAACTTGCGAATTACATGAGTGATTTGAATGATTCTTGTACTAAAAGACAGCTTATGAATTGGGCTTTCATATCCTAGATTTTAAAAGTGCTACATGCAGAACTTCACTAAAACAATTGTCCTGACAATTGGGTTTCGCTTTTTTTTACTCACCCTGTATATATACAAAAAAAAGTAGGCTACTTTTTTTTTTTTTTTTTATCCCCGAGATAAGGTTTTCACCTAAACCTCTGCTTTCAATTGTCTCTGCTGCAGCTGCAGAATATTTTTAGTAGAAAAAGTAGATCAGTCTTTGTGGATGTTCTGCTTGCAAGTAATAATTTTAAGGACAATATTACCCGTGATTTACTACATGTGGCCAAAATAGACAATGGCTATTCAGCAAACAGTTTTCAGAGATTCACTTGAATAAGTTTCAACTTCCTTCCCATCCAAGTGATTGTGAAATTAGGGACAAGCTCAGCCACTTATAAAACTGCCAGCAGAAACTATGGCTTAGAAAATGCATGCGTCGAGCAAAAAAATCAGCTGGGTACCATGACATTTAGCTGGTAACCAGTTCTTGTTAAAGGTAGAGTAGATCATTTGTCATTTGTGCATTTGTTTTGTTTGAAGCAACAAAAGTGCTCAAAATCTTAAGAAGGGTGCTTAACAACTAACCTGATGATGTTTCAGCTCAGTGAATGCTGTATACTCCGAGTAAACAATTTTCTGGACTCTCAATTTCAATTCAAAAGTTGACGAGTAATGTTTTGAATTGCGCACGTGTGCATCGTGTCAACGCTTGCGCGCACCCATTCATGGCTTCACCATATTAATAAATGACCTACTACTGGAAAATTCAAAAAATTCGTCTTTAAACACATCTTTGGAAATGACCTTCTCTTATTGTTTTCTTCAAAATGACAGCATGCCAGAAAGAATAATTTCACAGGGAGTTTAGTGCCATTACTATCTTTAAACAAAGTATGCTTTAAACAAAGTGGGGTGCTGTGGTCCCATGGTTACGGTGTTTGACTCGTGTGCCGTGGTACATGGGTTCGAATCCTGACCGTGGGAACATGGTGCTTGTGCTCTTGAGCAAGGCACTTTACCATTATTGCTTCGTCCTTTGGATGGGACGTAAAGCCGTAGGTCCCGTGTGTTGTGTATATGCATGTTAAAGAACCCAGTAACACTTATCGCTAAGAGAAGGGGTTTTGCCCCAGTGTTTCTGGCAGTGGCTGCAATATGCGCCACAGCACCTTGTAAACCATTATAAGGTGCTACATAATGGGTCTCATATTTCTCATAAACTTTATTTACCTTTCTTTAATAATAGACATATCTCCAGCGCCTTGAGTACCTAATAGTTGGTAGATACGTGCGCTATATAAGACTCCGATATTATTATTATTATTATGCTTTTCAACAATAACTTGGTCAGTTGCTTTTTGGATAGCTGCAAATGATCTACTCTACCGTTAAGCAAAAAATCGGCAAGGGAACCATGGCCAGTCACAACCAACGTACATCACATGACATTTTAGCTGGTAACCCGTTTTTGTTAAGCAAAAGTTATCGGTGCTTAGTCAATCTCTGCGCCATTGCAGTCTTACTTGTCTCGTTGACTGGTTGCCATCCCTCGTTGTACGAGATCTCCACATCATCAGCGGCCGAGTACTCATCATAGCAGTGGTTGATGGTGGTTCTCATCACTTCTTCAATCTTGCAGGAATCTGTTAAACAGTTTCAGAAAAAACAGTACCCAAATGAGAAGGTGACGTTTAAAAGGACTTCATGTTGGACTATTTAGAGGGCAGTATTTTTTAATTTTTGATGCTACATTGTGAACCCAAAAATGTCTAGGGGAAAAAGTCCAACATTCATACAATTTTTGCTTTTAGAATTTTAAAGTGTGAAACAATTAAAAACGAATTGTGCCGAAACGAAGTGTCACTGTGAAAAATAAATTTTTCTTACCAAGAACCCTAAACTGTGTAAAATCTTGTTTTGTTTGATAGAAAAAGTTCTTAAGTTTGCACCATGGTTTGTAGAAATTTAGAACAGTCATTGAACATTCAGACACATCCCAAAGTAAATAATTTCTGATATTTGCGCTTTTTCAGTCATTGGCACTTGTGCAGTATTCTTGTTATAAAGTAAACAGAAAACTATACTTAACATTAAGAAACACTATGAATTGGTCCAAGTGGGAACTTTTTTTAAAAAGTTTAAAGGAATGAAACTCACTGCTGTACACTCGGACTTGTCGCAGACGGGCCGTGCCGAGCAGTATGTGTGCCCGATCGGCGACATATTTTTGCTGGAAGGAATCGTCGTCCAGTTCGTCATTGTAGTGATTTCCCGCGTACAGCGACGGGACGAAGACTTCCTTGATGTGCTTCCAAAACAGAGGTCGGTTTTTGACCTGTATTTTAAACAAAATAGCTAAATTGAGGGTGCGAAACTTGAATTGCAACATTTCAATTTGTTGCTTAGATGGAATTGTATGGTCACAGTTCTTACTAGATTTGGAAGGATAGTCGATTGTCCTCTGACTGAATGAGTCAATGACTGACCGAGACACAAGACTGACTGACTGACTGACTCCCCGACTGACTCCCCCCCCCCGACCGACTCCCATTGCCTGACCGACTGAGTCACTGACAGATTGACTCCCTGAGTCACTGATGATTGACTGACTGACTAATTGACTGACTGAAACTGAGTCACAGACTGACTCAGTCATTCACTAAGTCACTGACTGACTGACTCCCCCACTAAAACTGAGTCACTGACTGACCGAGTCATTCCCTGACTGACTGAGTCATGACTAACTGACTCCCCGAAGCTGAGTCACTGACTGACTGACTCCCGAAACTGAGTCACTGACTGACTAAAACTGAGTCACTGACTGACTAAAACTGAGTCACTGACTGACCGAGTCATTCCGTGACTGACTGAGTCATGATTGAGTCACTGACTGGGTGACTGGCTGAAGCTGAGTCACTGATTGACTGACTCCCGAAACTGAGTCACTGACTGACTAAAACTGAGTCACGGACTGACTGAGTCATTCCATGACTGACTGAGTCATGATTGAGTCACTGACTGGGTGACTCCCCGAAGCTGAGTCACTGATTGACTGACTCCCAAAACTGAGTCACTGACTGACTAAAACTGAGTCACTGACTGACCGAGTCATTCCCTGACTGACTCCCCCATGATTGAGTCACTGACTGGGTGACTGGCTGAAGCTGAGTCACTGACTGACTGACTCCCCAAACTGAGTCACTGACTGACTAAAACTGAGTCACTGACTGACCGAGTCATTCCCTGACTGACTCCCCCATGATTGAGTCACTGACTGGGTGACTGGCTGAAGCTGAGTCACTGACTGACTGACTCCCCAAACTGAGTCACTGACTGACTAAAACTGAGTCACTGACTGACCGAGTCATTCCCTGACTGACTGAGTCATGATTGAGTCACTGACTGGGTGACTCCCTGAAGCCGAGTCACTGACTGACTGACTCCCCAAACTGAGTCACTGACTGACTAAAACTGAGTCACTGACTGACTAAACCTGAGTCACTGACTGACCGAGTCATTCCCCGACTCCCCGAGTCATGATTGAGTCACTGACTGGGTGACTGGCTGAAGCTGAGTCACTGACTGACTGACTCCCGCCCCCCCCCCCCCCCCCCCCCCCCCCCGAGTCATTGACTGACTGAATGGGTCACTAAATAACTGACTGACTGACTCCCCTGCGGAGTTACTGACTCACTAAATGACCGAAACTGAGTCACTTACTGAGTATGAATAATATCCTGAACTGAGACTTTTATAATCAAGCTCAACTTGGCAAGCTCAGTCTTCACTATTTGTATGCTGGATTTGTGTGTCGGGGAGATGTAAAGTTAACATTGGATATTATCAAAAAGTAGGCTAAAGTTTGTTCACACTGCAGACTTACAGAAGAAAGAGGCGTGATGCCGTTGTAGTGAGCATCTATGAAGGTATTCTTGACGGATGTGTAGACATTATGACTGTTGGGATCCTTGTTGCCGTAGCCAATCAGCAGGAGGATGTAGAGATAGAACATGTACAAGGCAATCTCCTTCAAGATTTGGTTCATCTTGATTTCTTTGAATCTGGAAGATTAAAAAAAAAAAGGAGAAAATCCATCTTGATCTCAATTAATCCCAAGGATTACAAATTCCTTGTGCAAATGTTAAAGCTTTTGCATATGTTAAATTAGTTTACATGTTACATTCATTTTTGTTTAAATTAACTGTCTAGTCCTTTTGGTTTATAATTACCCACAGAAGTGTACTTTTGCTTCCAGAAAGTACCTGTACTCGTACTTAACTCCTGAAATGTTCTTGTACTCATATTCGTTGAAATAAACGCAACTGCAACACTGGGGACATGGCCGAGTGATCAGTATTTGTGACTCATGATTGAAGGTTTAGGGGTTCGAAATCCAGCTACTGGCCGTGTGTTGTGTCCTTGGGCAAGCCACTTCACCCCACTTCATGCCCCTGCCTCTCTCCACCCAGGAGTACAAATGGGTACTGACATTAGCTGGGAGTAACCTGCGATGGACTTGCATCCCATCCAGGGGAATAGAAATATGCTAAATCTGCTTGCCATATGTTGTGTCCTTGGGCAAGCCACTTCACCCTACTTGCCTCTCTCCAGCTAGGAGTATAAATGTGTACCGGCATTAGCTGGGGAGTAACCTGCGATGGACTAGCATCCTATCCAGGGGAATAGAAATATGCTAAGTCTGCTGGCCATATGTTGTGTCCTTGGGCAAGCCACTTTACCCTACTTGCCCCTGTCCACACAGGAGTATAAATGGGTACCGGCATTAGCTGGGGAGTAACCTGTGATGGACTGGCATCCCATCCAGGGGGATAGAAATATGCTCAGTCTGCATGCTGGCCATATGTTGTGTCCTTGGGCAAGCCACTTTACCCTACTTGCCTCTCTCCACCCAGGCCAGGAGTATAAATGGGTACTGGCATTAGCTGAGAGTAACCTGCGATGGACTGGCATCCCATCCAGGGGAATAGAAATATGCTCACTCTGCATGCTGGCCATATGTTGTGTCCTTGGGCAAGCCACTTTACCCTACTTGCCTCTCTCCAGCTAGGAGTATAAATGTGTACCGGCATTAGCTGGGGAGTAACCTGCGATGGACTAGCATCCTATCCAGGGGGATAGAAATATGCTAAGTCTGCTGGCCATATGTTGTGTCCTTGGGCAAGCCACTTTACCCTACTTGCCCCTGTCCACACAGGAGTATAAATGGGTACCGGCATTAGCTGGGGAGTAACCTGTGATGGACTGGCATCCCATCCAGGTGGAATAGCAATGTTCTCAGTTGTTTCATGTTTCATGTTTCAAATGGCTGATGAGCCATATGAGCTCACCACAGACTTTACTTGAACACTAAATTTAAACAACCCCCCTTTTGAAATATCCTGGATCTATATTTGAAGCAGTACCTGGTTTCCCTGGCCTCATCTAGTTCATCAGTATCTGGTGGCTTGACAGGGCAGGCCTGTTTCTGCCGTTCCAGCTGAGCCAGTTTCTCTGGATCCTTCAGTTCTTCTTCTGTCAGCCGCTCGTGCATGTACTCCTCGTCCGACTTAAGGTGTGGCGTGGAGGGCTGGTCGTCTTCCTTGTCTGGACGCTTGATGACGAGAGCGTAAAATGTGGCCAGGCATAACACCTATGACCAAGAAAAAAAAAAAAATTCAGTGAAAATTTAAATTATATCCGCTGTAATGGAACAGATTTAATTTAAGGCCCTCATACTTAAAAATAACGTTTTGCCCCTTATTTGTTATTATGTGAATTATTAGATTTGTTAATGATTCGGCCACCTCTACTGGCCATTCTTATGATTTAATATACTTTTCGATACTATATTTCATTTTTCCATGAAGAACTAAATGCTTAGATATACAACAACAGGCCTTTGAGAAAAGAAAAACTTGAATTTTTTGTCTCAGTCCTGTTACACCTTCAATGCAAACTTTGAGCTAAAGGGTCTCAGTTACAAGCCTTGTTTGAATCGCCAATTTTAGATGGGAAAATGTGGTCAAGTTAAAATATAATGCTGCACTAAAAAGTATTTTACAAGTTGAATTGAAGAAGGAAAACAGCAGCTATTGCAAATTCCTCCATTTATTGACTTTCAACTTTGCAAAGCTTCTTGTCTCTATAAAAAATAGAGATTTGGTAGACGCACCTTGATGGGTTGGGAAAACAAAATGTCCTGGACTAGGGAGCAGGCAATGGATGAGAGCCACTCGGCAGCCTTCTCCGGTCCAAACTGGCCAGCTACCTCGATGGTCAACCAGAAAGAGACGCCTACTGTTCCCACCGCCACCACCCAGCCGATGAACTGGCAACCCCAGGGCAGCATAAACTTGGGCTTCTTCTTCTTGGTCTTGACGCCAGCGACAAGCTTCATCCCCTCGCTGTCAGTGTTGTTGCTTCCGCCGTCCTGCTCACCGTCTTCTTTAACTTCCTGGATTCCTGCGGACTCGTCTGCAAACCGCACCGACCGCCTCCGGGCTGACTTCAGAAGCCTCTTGTCGTCGTCGCCCGTGTTGAGAAACTCCAACTGCTTCTCCAACTCTGAGGTGGCCTTCTCGTCCATCCGCTCAGCTTTGTCCCGTTCCACCTCCTCCGTAGATTTGTCCCCGTCTTGGGGATTCTCTTTCTTCTTCCGGAACCAGGAGAACCAATTGATCTTGTCTGGGATGGGCTTTGAGAGCCGGAACATCTGGACAATGATGAGGTTAGCTGGCATGACCATCAGGCTGCTGATGACCCCGACGCAGATCTCGCCGACGGAGACGCTGATGGGGCCCAGGACAAACGAGCCGCCGCTGTTGCCGCCTGTCACGTCCACATTGTAGAAGAAGATGTTGGACATCATCGTTGAGAAGAGCAGGGAGAGACAACAGGTGCAGCGCATCATGCGGGTGAAGCTGCTGCGAGCCGGCCGGGCAAAGACCGAGAACCACAAGTGGCCGTCGCTCAGGTTACGCCGGGTTTTGGAGTAGAAGAGGAAGCCGAAGCTGGTCAACTCGCTCTTGCCAGCAATTGGAACAACACGCTCAATCTGCAAAAAACAATTGAAAAATCCAATGCAAATTTACTTCATACAGAAAAGCTTGTGGTTTTCGAACATTTTTTAGGATTTAGCAAATTTCTCTGCTGAGCTATTTTTTTTACTAAAAAAATTCTGTGTTCAGCATCTCCATGTCCTTAACCCCAGGTCACGAATTTTAGCCTCCAAGCCCGAGAGTTACCTGCCCATCATCTTCTTCCACGGCCAGCCACCTATCCAGCATGAAGTAGTACATCTTATCCGTCTGTAGGTCCTTGATGGACATACGGCTCAGGTACCAGCTGGCCGACTTGCCCGTGTTGTCATGCCAGACTCGGATGTGCTGCAGATTCCCCAGGGATCTCGGAGCAGCCACGACGAAGGTGTCGATGCCTGCCACCTGGAAGACCTTACGCTCGGGATCGTCTAGAAGCCTGGGACGGGATTCCTCCGCGTCGCCTGTGATGATCAGCGAAACTTTGGCTGTGGTGTCTGGTAGAGAATCCAAATGAGAATCACAGGTCAATCACAAGACAATCATAAATCGTCGATTCAGTGCTGAAAGGTCCTTACAGCAGTCCAATGATTTCTGGCGGACACTCTAACGTCAGATTTTGAGAATGCAAAAGTAAATTATTTTGGATTCAAACAACTTCCAGACCATTCATTTTAAAAACAATTTTTCCCCCAACAATATGCTTAGGTTTTGCAATTGCTTGCTCTTTAGTTTGTTGTTTGAAGCTTTTTTAAAAAGAAGAACCTTTTGCCCAAATTTTCCAATACATTTTTGATATGAGATGACAAAATCAACAACAAGTCGATCACAAGTCCATAACCAGTCGATCACAAGTGAATCACATGTCGCTCACATGCCAATCACATGTCAATCACATGTCAACTGCAGGTCAATCACAAGTACTTCAATCACCAATCGATCATAAGTCAAATCACAAGTCAGGTCACAAAGTAAACAGTAGACTAAGGAATGTCACATCTTTTTTTTTTTACTATCTTCAGACAGGGTGACTTGAGATTAGTTTGTGATGACTCGTGATGACTTGGTCACAACTCCAGCAGAGTAATGCTTGAAAAACCTCAGAATAAAAACTGTTTAATTGTCTTCTCTTTGCATGCCGGAATAGAAGTTCAGTTATCTGATGTCCCAGGTCAAAGTAGGAAATACTCAGAGATGAAACTGGCATGTGGCAAAAAAATCAGAAAAAAGGCCGAACAAAAATACGTGTCCGAAATCTGGGCCGCGCTGCCATTACACACATATACATGCATGTACAATACACTTCATGCCCAATTTCCGGACACCAACTCCTGCTTTATTTTTGATTCAAACAAAATTTTACGATGAAAAAAAAACGGTTAGTGTTTTCATTGCATAAAATGCCTGAATTACGGTTAGAGTAATGGAGTCATCAATAAAGAAGTTCACTTCTTATTTGAGAAAGTCGAGGGAAAAGTCCGAAAGACACCGTTCATGGTGCTTCAATCATGTCCATGATTCAACCACTTGCATTCATACATGGGAAAAAATCAGGCATTACCGTCTTTCTCTTCCAACAAATGCCAGTGAAATGTTTCGCTAATGCTCTCTTCGTTATCCTCGAGATAATCATCATGATTTTTAAAGCATTGCATTTTGTACAACTGAATCTGAAACCTCCGAAAATCGCACAACATAATGATTTTATCCACAGGATCCTTCACAAGGCTACCCGTCCCGGCCGGCCATGTGCTAGCGGACGGTACGGTGGTGCCAACGTACGCACGCTGGTACCATTGCATATTCGCACGCACGATTTTTCCATGTCGCCTGTTAATGTTTAACCTTTTGTGCAGCCGGAGAAGGCTCCGATCAGTGTTATGCCCTGTGTTTCTACCGTTGAAACTCTCCAATAACGACTGGTGAAAGAGATTAAAACTACGTTCGCGATGATTTAAGCACGCCATTTCCATCGACTTTTCTTCGAAATTATGATTGAAATAAAATGACATTTTGTGAAAAAATCATCAGAAAATCAAATTTTGTTGGACACACTGTAAAAAAATCGGAAATTTTGTTGGAAAATTCAAAAAGTCGGTTTTCCGATTAAAATCGGAAAAGTTTCATCTATGAATACTGGATACTCACTTGAATTAGCACGCATTCCAGTGAAGACTGTGATCTCGTACATGAAATGGTCACGTGGGTCATTGTCTGGCAATGGGGTGGCTCCAGCCTGAGTGAAAAGACATCAAAATGCCGTAGATGATCGAACTTCAATCACATCTGAACATTGTTCTCACAGGCACAAACTTAACAATCCTGGGTTTTGCCTTATACCAATATAACTGTGTAAGCTCTATAATCTTAGTGCCGTAAAACAGCTTGCAAGAACAAATTCACAAGCTTGCTTGGGTGGGACTCGAACCTATAACCTCCTGCTTGACAGTGCAGATGTCTGAACCACTGGAACACCAAGATCATGTTTTATGGATATACTATAAATACTACGTGCTATGGCGCATCGCGCTTACGACATGTTTTGTGAAATGAATCGCAGGACGCTTCTCGTAGGGATGTGAAGCGTCCCAGCGCTGCGATGCATCATAATTTACAATGAGTTTCATGAAACTTGAGAAGCACAGTACTTGGACATGACTATTCAAACTCGTACTTGATTATCAAAGTACTCATAACCGATTATAAGGACTCAGGGAAAAAAATGACTAATTTAGTTTTGAATGAGCAAATAAAATCTCCTTACTTGGAAACGCACATGCTCTATTTTATTGATACTGACTGAATTGTACTGAGATATGGACAGGATCAATTTCATTTGTGCTGGTCCATGCACAGATAACATGTTTTAGATAGATAGACTGGTTTATTAAAAATCATCGTGGCAGCACATGCCGAATTAAGATGACAATACAATGTTAAACCATTAGAAACAAAAAATCAATTAATACGGAATTTACACAAAATGCAATAAGATACGGTCCCCATTTAAATTTGTCTGATGTACAATGTCCAACCAGCATCTGTGTGGTATCTCATTACTTGAAATTTTGTTTTCACTTGAATACTCCAAAAAGTATTTGTACTCATAGCTGTACTCAGAGGTCCATGTACTCAGACTCAGCTTCTTAAAACTTGTACTCGAAGGTCCAAGTACTTGGACTTGGGTACCTGTACTCCTTCTCAAGGGTCAAAGTACTCAGATGCGACTGCTACTCGATATCTTGGCACTCAGCAATACTATGTACTCGGATAAAAAGTACTGGACTACAACTCTGGACATCACTTACCTTGACCTTATCCCTCTGGTCGGCCTTGTAAGTCCACAGTATGACGATCATGTATACACACAGACATGACGTCATGAACATGAATACCAACGGGTTCTCGTCGAGCTTGCCGAAGGCCGAGTCTGAGAGATCGATGCCGTTGATGGGGACTTGGAACCCACCGCCGAACGCCGTCAGGTGAGTGGTGAAGCACTGGGTTTTGTACAAAGTGGTCAACGGTCCCACCTACAATCCAGAGGATTGGGTTGAGAAAAAAAAAAGGTCAGTGTTTGAATACACACATTTTCATAATATAGTGTGCTACCGAGTGTTCGACTTGAAAATGTCATTTTACAACTTCCTAGATTTTGTTCTGTCCATTGTTTAAGCTGTTTGGGTGCTGTGCCACAGAAACACAAACACATTTTGAAGCCTTGATAGGGCTGTCCCGAATATAACCAAAATTTGAATATACGATCATAAACCAAATATTCAAATAGCTATTTGCTCGTGCGAATATTCAAACGATAACAAACTTCACACACGACTGTGGGCAATGTTTGACATGTACAGCATGCATTTGCAGCATGTGTCAACTTGACTGCTGAGTTTCAAATATGTGAATATTTGAATATTCGAATAATCAATTAGTCGAAAATGGACAGCCATAGTTGATAAACTCTTAGGTTTTCACACAAAATAATTTCAGCTCCAAGGTTTGACAAAATGTATGACAAAAAAAAAATCAAAGAACTGAATAAAATATGACACATAAACCACAAAAGAAAACTAACTAGGTGTATTAAAATAATTTCTTTGTTTATTTGAAAATTTGTAAAAAAAAGCCGTATCCTCTCTGAGTGATCCCCGTTTGCTATTTCCCTGGTTTGCAGCATTGCTAATGTTGCTAGCATCGTGACTTTGGGCGTGATCCCTGGCTACATGGCTTTATGGTTTCTGACTAGCACCTCTTGATAGGGCTGGATAGCTCAGTCGGTAGAGCACCGGAACGGCAATCCGGAGGTCGCAGGCTCAAGCCTCGCTCAAATAAATTTCTTTGCTCAAGTTTGAAAAAAAATGAAATAAAACAACGATTGAAGTACCTCACAGCCGTCGCTCAGCCACTCTTCCGTCTCTTCCTCATAGTAGGAGCACTTGGCGCTCCACGGTCGCAAGGCGTAATGAATCTGCCAGAAATTATTGTACTGACCAGTCTCCAGATACTCCGGATAAGACGCGTTGCTGCCTCCGGTATGCTTGATGATCACATAGATGGGAACAGTGCTGCCATTGCCGTAACTGAATCAGGGAGAACAGGCAATGCTTTGAAACATACAATGAAAAACAACTTATGAAGATTTACTTTCCAAAACGCGACAAACGCCATGTTGTTACTTTGTGGAATCCCACTCTCTTGGCTGCCCAACAGTCAGTTTTGAGGCGTTTTATATTATACAAATATTGAATGGCTCAGCATGGAATGGGAGAAATATTATCGCAAGGCAAAATCTGGACTTTTCCATTTCAAGAGGCAAAGCCGAGTGAACTGGAAAAGTCACATTTTACCGAGCGATAATATTCCTCCCATTTCACAATTTAAAGCAACTCAATATTTGTTTTATATAACTGACATATAGATCCTTGTCATTTGACATATTTGAACTTTTATTTCAACACAAAATTGGTGAAAAATGTATTTCTCTCTTCCAAACCACCCCTCTACAAAAATGTTTGAACCCAACGCTGAAGCGCTGGCTCTTTGGAACAATACGCGCTATGCACAACGCTGAACGCACACCGCTGAACGCACACACCAGCATGCATTTACACACAAATACCGCGTCATGGAACAAGACTGATCCTAACTGTTGAATAGTATTTCCCATTCCCCATGGGCGGATAGTACTTTTTGAGCCGCGGCGTGAATGGCAGTAATAACGAATGACACATGATGTGAGTTCCACCAATCAAATGACAAGGATCTGTATGTCGGTTATATAAACAAAACCGGCAGCAGCAATTTTCTGCGGTGGCAGCAGGCTCACGCGTCGAGTCACGCTCAGGTAGTAGGCACGCACTCCGGGTTCTTTCCAATAGAAATACCATAGAAATACCAAAATTAGTGTGCGCCTTTAAGAACGCGTGCAGCATGCGTGCGAGCGTGACACCCCGCCAGTAAAAGCTTCTAATTCTGATCACCAGATTCCACGATATATAGTTAAACACAATTCAAAAAGACAACAAAGCGAAGAAAAAAAAACCCAGCTGTTAAACTCTTTTTCTTCTTTTCACTTTTATTTCAAATGGATGTTTTATTTTATACTTTTATTCCAAAGGATATTCTAAATGGAAGTTCCACTTCAGAATGAAATCACAGCAGTTCAATGGTTACCGTGTTCAACTCATGTGCCGAGGTACGTGGTTTTGAACCCTGATTGGTAACATGGTGCATGTGTTCTTGGGCAAGACTCTTTACTACAATTGCCTCTCTCCACCCGGGAGTATAAATGGGTACCTGTGAGGGTAGAGACCAGATTGTGCCGACCTCAAGCTGCTGCAGAAAAAAATGGTCTCATGGCCTGATGAACATCGGTCAAAACTGTCAATCGCTTTGAGACCTTTGGTGTAAATTTAAAGCGGCATATAAGTACCAAATTTTTAATCGATTTATAATTAATTTTTTTACCTGTCCAAAAGTGTGTTACTGAAGAAGCACGTGTTTGGATCGGGTAGTTCATCCAGCGAGACGTTGACATATTCGTAGCCATCATATCGTTTGGGAAGAGTGCAGTTGAAATCATAGAGGTCAATCGTCGGGGCCTGACCCACCCTGATGAATAGCTGCATGGTCACGTTGTCCACGTTGGTGAAATTATGCGGCATGACGTTGACAGTCAGATGCATACTGGTGTGAGGCGAATTCACTGTATGCAAAACATAAAAAGGAATAGTAGTTTTCAGGGAATGAATACTAGAGAAAAAAATAATGACCAAAAGACTTACGCAGAGCTCCCAACATTCAGTTTTCAGAAATAGTACTTTTCAGCGAACCGGTGGGACAACTCGACCATCGTCACACCACCGGACCCCTGCATACTATCACCCTGCGATGTGTACCTTCACGGCGCCATCGTGCATGCAGCGCCATGCATCCCTGCTGGGTTGTGCCTACATGCCATACGCAAGTCGCGTTGTCTCATGAAAAGCATGCCTGCGCAGATTGTCACTGAGCACTTTGTTTCATAGACTAGCTACCAGTCCTTCACTCTCTTGACGTTACAAGCAAACTCCTCACGTGAATATAAGGTTGGATGGGGCTTTTTTTAAATGAAAATATTTTTTGAAAAGAGCATCGTCAAAAATCGTAAATTTGAAGAACGAATCATAAAATGGATGAAAAATTGTAATAAGTACGCCCAAATCATACATGTTGGGAACTCTGTTTACGATGACTTATGATGACTTATAATTGACTTGAGATGACTTATGATTGACTTGTGATGACTTATGACTGACATGTGATTGTCTTGTGATGAATTTTGACTGACTTGTGATTGTCATGTATTGACTAATAACAACGTCCAGCCACGTTTAGTAACAAAACAGCAGACTTACTGATAGTATGGACGACAGCCGCCTCCGTCATGGGTGTGGTCACATCATAGATGGTCTGAATGGTAGACATATCCATCTGATCTTCCGTCCGTTCCACCCAGACCTCGATGGGTTCTGGTAGCTCCTTAATCTCCATGGCTCCTCCCGTCTCGTTCCGGAAGCTTAGCTTGGCCGTCTGGCCGGCAATGTCACTGGAAGAGTTGGACCAGGTCTTACTGTTTTCCTTTTCGATGACTACTTGGGCGTCGACGAAGAGCGTGGTTGCGTTGCCGCTGCCGAACATGGAGGTGACTGAGGGAAGTTTGAAGGAGGATCCGCCGGAAGTGCCGTATTGCCCTAAACACGTACCAAACGATTGTACATTTGTAAAAAGTGCAGAAATCTGCCACAACTAGATACCGTCACAAGACCAGACGAAAGACCAATTGAAGAGCAAGCACAAGGCAAGCCACAAGTAACAGGGCACAAACAATGACAAAGGAATGCCTTTGCTACAGTTCATTTGAATAGCTTGTGACTTGAATTGTGACTGGAGCTCTTGTGTTGGTCTTGTCGCCAATGATGAGGAAAGGGTTAAATAAAAAAACAACAAAGAGATTTCATACATTCTGGGCTTATGGGCTCCGTGCTCCAACAAAAGAGGACACCTTATAAAAGAGGACACGTTTTTTTTCCACTTTAAGAGCCCCTTGGACAGGACACTGCATGTGCATACGGACTGGTTCGCACGACTTATTTATCCTGAATGTGGAAAAAGCTAAGCCGTAGCCTCTTCGCGCATGAGCGTCAGGCGTCATCGGCGCGCGAATTCCGAATTTAACTTGCGATGGCCTCGCAGACTAATCCCTGCCCCCAATAACTTTGGATCATTCGAAATACGCTGTGGATGGACCGGGAACCAGTCTAGGTCATCCCCAACTCTCCTTTTCTGGCCGTTGAAGGAGAACTTGTGCACGGAGCCAAAGTATCGCGGAGCCCCTTAACACACTAGACACACCTTTCTCAGAATACAATGCTGACATACCCAGACCATTTCGTTTTATTTTCTAGAAAGACGTTCTACAGAGAGAAGATGGCTTACGGTTATCCAGACCGGAGGTGAAGGATTTGTCCACAGTCAGGTTGAGTCCCGCCGAAGGCATGGTGATCGGCGCTTGGCCGGTAACCATACCGCCGTTAACTGTATCCATCAGGTTGCCTATCATGCTGTTAGTGTTATCGCTCAACTCTTTGCTCTAAAGGAAAAAAAAAATTATTTGCAAAGAAGTTTCAGAACCACAAAAGGAAAATTGACTATGATAATTTGAGAGGCGTTCTGACAAAATGCGGCGGAATGGGCACAGGCTGTAGTGGAAAAAAAATGCAAAGAACTGATTGTGTTTTTTTTTCTTTATCAGATTTATTGATATTTGATATGTCTACTGCACATACTCTGAAGATATAGTCGTCGTGTGCCAAGGAAAAGGACGTTAGCAGCCAAGACACGCAAAAAAACCCACTTTTTGATATAATCGAGTAGAAAGGTTTAGTGCCCCCATTTCTAAACCAAAATTCACATAAAGCTGAAATTTTGACTCATGAATTTTATTAATAATTGAAATAATATTGTGCATTTTTATTTCAAAGTATTACTTAATTTTGAAGTTATTTACATTTTTATGCTAACGTCCTTTTGCTGGGAACAAACTTGGCTTTGCGTACCCATTTCAGTGGTACGTTAGGGCACTTTGAACGTATTTTACAAGCTAACGTCCTTTTGCTGGGAAAAATAATGAAAAATCTCCTTCCGTCTTTTTCATACTGTTAATTACGTCAGAATGACGTAGCCCCTTTCGAAAATATGTATATCAAATGACAGATATTTCATGCTCTATCGATTACCCGAAAAATCAGAATTTTACCTTTTGCCGTTATGACCTTCTTCCATACACCCGACATAGTATAAAAATCATGGAATGAAATTTCCTTTTTGGAAAACCAACTGGCATCTTGTATTTTCAGAACTTCAAAACAGTCAAAAAGTTTAAAGGCCATTTCCTCAGGATTTTACTTTTTTGATATGCCGATAAACGCATACTTTAATTTAAAGCCATAACTTGTCAGAGGAATGTCCGATTGAAGTGCAACAAACAGTATTGTAAGAAGAACTTCATTATCTTTCTTAATACCTGAAAAACCCTCATTTCGACCTCTACCCTGTTCTGTCTCATTTTGCCAGTACGCCTCACATATTTAGTTTCGCACAACTCCTGATGACCAGTATGAAACGAGTCTTATAGTTAGTGTAAAGCTTCTACTGACCAGGTCATTCATAGCAGCCACTTCGCTAGCCGTCTGAGCTTCTAGAGCTTCAATGTCCACGGAGCTGGAGGAGCCGGCGTAGTCATAGTCAACACTGGGCGCCCCCGTCACCATCATGGCTGCCCTAGACGCAGCCACTGTTGCAGCCGCTGCTCGGGCTTGGTTGGCCTTGTTCTGGATACCGCTGACGGCGTTACCTGGGGTGTGAAGAGAGGGAGGGGGTCAGGGGTGAGGGGTGGGGAACAATTGAGAGGAGTGACTCAGCTTGGTAAAGATTCCATTTCTGAACCCTCCTGCTGTTTAAACTGTCACAGACAGTCTAAATTCACTTCCACTTCCCATGCTTTACTTTTTACAAAGGCTAGTCACCAGCAGTCAGATCAAATTGGGTCAAAAAGCAGGCAAGTTTATTCTCAAATCTATTTCTTGAGATGAAACTTGAAAATAACATGGAGATTGCATCTTTAAAGTAACATGGAAAGGCTACTGGAAAGAATGGTGTATCCCGACGCCACTTTTTTTCACCATATATCATCTTAATGAAGGTCAATGTTGAAAAGACATGAATCATGGATGGAGAAACATAATCCAATTTTGTTAGAAAACACTTTGAAAATACACTTAACTTTCCACAGACTTTGTACACAACCAAAGATGTGGCGTCAGAATACTAATTATTTCAAGGCTACCCTGTATTGTGGATTGTCTGGAGCCAGTTCAAGTACAAAAAAAAGTTTTTTTTTTAATGATTACATTATTCAATCGCTCCCTACTAAGGTACATCCTTGTAAATATTCCTAGTCGTTGAGAGTCAACTATCTGCATTCCAGTGATCTTTGCCCTTTGAAACAATTCTAACAATATCTTGTAATTCGGACGTTTCACAATGCAGTGCGCCATCAATAGTTTGCCACGGAGAGTCCATTTTTCAAGTTTACGGTCGACAAAACACGGCCCATTTGAACGAGCATCAGTTGACCACTTGAGCTTATTTGTTAAGGATTGGGGCATAGCATTCTGCCGCCTTACAAAAAAAACACCATTTTGAAAAAAAAAAAAAAAAAAAGGGCAAACACATACTCAAATCATACGCTTACGAAACTACTGACCGGACAAACAAACAATTTAAAATATCCTGCGCTGTGAATTTGTTGACCATCTCCCACAATGCACCAGGCAAAATGAACTCTCCGTGGCAAACTATTGGTGGCGCACTACATTGTGAATCGCCTGAAGTAATGAGAATTGATTCAGAGCCTGGCAAGAAATCAACGAGTGTAAGACCTTTTTTGGGGTCAGGAAATGATAAAAAAGAATAATGTTTGATATACCAGTCATGGATAGGATTCCTTTGCCACTTTCCTCCACTTCGTCTGCTCCTGCCTCCCCCGATTTCTCTTGGAGAAGACTCATGAATTTCAGACCGGTATTCATGGAATTTTGCTACGAGACAGAAAGAAACAAAATTGAATAAGTTTATACTAAAAACTTACCATCCAAAACAGTCCATACTGTCTATTTTTTTTCTAAGGCATACTCAGGATCACTGATTTGCCCCCCCCCCAATGAAAATGTATACAACGATGGCTTCGACATCATATTTTGGTTGTATAACAACCCCCCCCATAAAAAATAAAATAAAAAAAATAAAAAATAAAAAAAAATAAAAGTAAACCGAGAGCCTTGAAAGTGCCCTCATTTTCACAGCTTTAAAAAAAAATGCATCGTACTATTGATATAAAATGAAAAAGCGGCCCTTTTTTTAATTGGCCATAACTCAAAAGATATCTTCCCAATTGAAAACTTAAGTAAATTTGTTAAAGATGTATCAATGTTTGCAATGTAGTTTTAAAAGAGCTGTGAAAAATTCCAAATTCTTACCGCTGTCGTAGATGAAATTTCCTGGGTTGAGCCCGATGCCTGGACGAATGCCGACGTAAGCTGCTTCATAGAACCAACGGTGTTAGGAGAGGATAGGGATAATGCACCCACCATGCTTTCACGCATCTTAAAATAAATAAACAAATAAACAAATAAACATAAGTAATTTCAATGCAATATAGTACAATAACAATATACCCCTTACATAGACAGGCATTAGATTTTGTTCCTCTTCGACACGTGTTGCTATACCTCAATGTAGAACAAATATTCCTTGATTCCAACATGCTGCATCTCGTTGGAATTCCTTGCCTGGTGATTGTTTCCCTCCAATTTATGATCTGTCATCGGGGAGTGTGGGGGAGTGTGACCTAGTGGTAAGGGTTTATGACTCACAATCAGAGGGTCAGGGGTTCTGCACCTCCCCTGCCATGACCCTAGCCCTGGCAGATCAGTGCTTCCCTCAACTACCACTGCTTGGATCCGGGTTTGAATCCCCACCCAGGCCAACATGTGGCAAGTGTTATCAGTCCCCACCTAAGTCCATGGGTCTCCCTTAAATAAACTTTCTGGGGTTTTACCCCACCTTGAGAATTGTAATTTTTCTTCCTCATTTTCTACCAAGGTAAGTAAGACCAGTCTGTCACAGCCCATATGGCCGATCAGGCCGGCGTTTATCTCCGCTTTCCTTGACATGAAAAGACTGCGAATATTTCCGTTCCCCCTGGATGGGATGCCAGTCCATTGCAGGTTACTCATCAGCTAATGCCGGTACCCATGTGTACTTTGGCAAGTGGGAGATTGGCAAGTGGAGGTGAAGTGGCTTGCCCAAGGACACAACATATGGCTAGCAGCTGGATTTGAACCCCTGACCCTCTGATCATGAGTCATGAACCCTAACCACTAGACCACACGCCCCCACTTTCTACCACAGGAAATAAGTCAGGTTTTACACAAGAGAATTGGCTGACCTGTTCTCTTTCCAGTCTCTTGGCTTCTGCTAGCTCAGCGGCGATCCTCTCTGCCTCAAGACGAGCGGCAAGGAGTTCATCTTCCGTCAATTCTCCATCCTGGCCAGCTTGTCGCTTCTTTCTTCTCAGATTTTCGACTAGTGCGAGTAAAAAAAGTAAAAAAAAATAGAGAAATTTATTTGCATGCAATCTTGTTGTAGCTATAGATTTCACTGCTGGAGACATGTCATTAGCATTTGCCTGTTTGGAGATCTGGCGGACGCAATTTGGAGTCGGAGAGGAACAGTAACCAACAGTTACACCAAGTTGACATGTGAGTGCTGTCATGACTTTGGTAACATTAAGGTCATTCCGTAAATTTAGGGTGGAAACTTTATTTTAGGAGATTAAATGCAGTGAAGAAAAGAACAGCTATCTGAGAGTTGGAATCACGTGAGCACAACGTCAACTTTTCTAATCGGAGATGGTCTATGGCTGGGAGAAGCAAATCAATGTCCCTCATTATTTCTCGCAGTGATTTTAAAAGGCGTCACTTAAAACTTCATGATATTTTTCATCCTGCCAAAAAAAAAAAACTAATAGTGGAATATGCAGTTGTTGTCAGAATGATTGTTTCTTGTTCACACCAGTTGATGCTGCGTGTGTGGCAGCAGTTGTGGCCTGGGTAGCGGCAGCGTTACTGGCCTCGATGTTCAACATTCCGGCACACGCCGCAACGATGTTGGCCGCACCACCGGCGTCGCCAGACGAGATCATCTCCGACATGACGCTGCCCTCTCCCGACGTTAGATTCTTGAGTTTCTCTGTCATGTCGTCACCACTAAGAGATGGGGCAACAACCTGAACAACAAAGGGGGACCAAAAAATAACTTTAATTTGTTTTTAGATATAATATAAAATCAGGACTCATTTTTGTAGTGTTGTAAGACAGATGATAAATTGCTAAAAGTCTCTGTCCATTTCACGAAGACCATAAGTGACTAGTATCCCTGAGTTGGGGAAAAGTGCATCTGCAACAGGCGCATGTTATATGCTAATTAGTTGTAGAATTCTGAACAACTTGGCTGATATCCTTTATTATATAACGACATACAGATCCTTGTCATTTGATTGGTGGAACTCACCAGTGGCGTCGCCAAGGGGGGGCCAGGGGGGGCACGTGCCCCCCCTGGAAAACCTAGTGCCCCCCCGAGTGCCCCCCCATCTGAGATTTGGGTTCGTAAAAAAAAATTCTGCGCGTTGTTAAAATCATTACCTCGAAAATAGCAATTTCTGGAGATATCTTCAGATCGAATTTAGCATCAAATGTGGCACCATTTTGCATCTAGCCCATCCTCCGTATGCGAAAATTTTCCAAAGGGGAGGGGGGCACCCCCTCCCCTTAGACCCCTCCCCCAGGACGGCGATCCGTATCCACCTAAGTGCCCCCCATCAAATGCTGGTGCCCCCCCTGTGCCCCCCCAGACTGAAAAGTCTGGTGACGCCACTGGAACTCACATCACGTGACTTTCATTATTGCTCCCATTCACGCCGGGGCTAAAAAAGTACTATCCGCCCATGGGAAATGGGAAATACTATTCAACAGTTAGGATCATGACGCGGTATTTGTGTGCAAATGCATGCTGGTGTGCGCGTTCAGCGTTGCGCGTAGCACGTACTGTTCCAAAGAGCCAGTGCTACAGAGGTGGGTTCAAACATTTTCGTGAAGGGGTGGTTTGGAAGAGAGAAATATATTTTCCACCAATTTTGTATTGAAACAAAAATTCAAATATATCAAATGACAAGGATCTATATGCCAGTTATATAAAACAAATATGGAGTGGCTTTAAATCGTGAAATGGGAGGAATATTATCGCTCGGTAAAGTTTGGACTTTTCCAGTTCACTCGTTTTCGCATCTTGAAATGGAAAAGTCCAGATTTTACCTTGCGATGATATTCCTCCCATTTCACTCTGAGCCACTCAATATTTTTATACTGATCAAGTCATTGTGGGAATATTCTGGGGAGATTGTTAAGAAACCTGCAACAAATAGTTGATACAATGCGCCAATTACGGATACATTTTTCAGCAAAAAAGAGCACATTAACATAAAGTTGTGTTCCCCATTCTCTTCAACAAATTCTATTTTTATTTTATTAATAATTGTTTAACATGTACATTCTATTTCAATCCAAAAACCTCTTTCCCCCCATTTTTGGATGTCTGAAACCTTCTGCAAAAAAAAAGTTTTTTGTTTCAGGCACAAGTAGATCTCCGTACATTATCAATACTGATCATTTGGCTCGAAACAGCCTACCCTGCAAGAATGGAATTATTGTCTGGTGGCTAATAATTCCAAATTGTAAAGTAACAATTCAATAACTAATACATGGGTCATTTTTGTTCAATCGATGTCTCATTCAAAAGAGAATAACTTTTGTATAGCTAGAAAAATAGCAATTTATGAGAGGCATCTATTTTTCGGAATGAAACTCAAAAACAGCATGGGGAAGCGCAACGCAACATTAAGAGGCAGAATTTGATCAGTGAAGTAACAATCAGCTTGTTTGGCAAAGGCGGTGGCAGTAACAATTCCACAGGAATCTACACAACGACTTCCAACGTTGAAACGTCAGACTTACCTGAACCCTGAGCTCGAGGTCTGAATACGAGCCGATGTAATCGTCCACCCTGACCAGAATGTAGACGTAGTAGTCCTCGCTTTCATAGCCCTGGGGGAATATAGACGGCTGATCCATGTAGGGCTTCTCTCCTAAGTAAGACAAAGAGAGTACAACAAAAAGTGATTGAAGAATCATCCCAAACAATTGGCTCGGAGGAAGAGTAGAGGTAATTAAGTCCGTCACAAGCCAATATGGCCCATCAGGCCGGCGTTTTTCCCTGGTTTCCTTGGCATGAAACAACTGAGAATATTTCTATTCCCCCTGGATGGGATGCCAGTCTATCGCAGGTTACTCCCCAGCTAATGCTGGTTCCCACTTATACTCCTGGGTGGAGAGAGGCAAGTTAGGGTGAAGTGGCTTGGCCATGGCCAGCAGCTGGATTTGACACCCCTGACCTTCTCATTATGAGGCACAAACCCTAAACACTAGGCCACACTAACCTCGGTGGAAGAGCCTCATGCTATCATGCTACGTGAATAAAAGGCAGAACATACTTTTCAAATTCCCGTCTCCCTGATTCGCCCCAAAACAGGTACAACCATACAAAAAGTCTGTTTCTGTGCATACCGCTGTACATCCACGTCCAGGAGTCCGTGGGCAGAAGGCGTTGGGCGTAGCGGAAGTTGAGGGGTAGGTCAGGGTCAGACCAGTCATTGCAGAAGATGTTGAACTCCGTGTCTAAAGCGGTGCCGTTCTCTGGAACCATGCTACAGTTGCCGACAATGGGCCGCTCATTAGTGATCAGATCCAGGGATGCCATGCCTGAAAAAAGGGAGACAGTATACTTATACAACATGGTTTGAAGGGAAGTAGTGTAGTATTGGTCCTAAGGTATTTGCTGATTTGAAAACACCCGATGCCAGGTAAGGTTGTCAAAATCAGACCGTTAAATTAGCACAACCCCTCCCCCCGAAATATACCATGATGTACATATTTAGTTTCATAATTGACCTATCGCCGTTTGCGAGTTAGCCACGCCCCTTAGACAACCCTATTGAATTTTTGTATACTAAGTTTTGTTTGTCTCAGATTTTGCGCATTCCGCGTCCATTTGTATAACATGTAATTGGACAATATTTTACAAGCTGCGTTGACGCGATTCTAACACGATTCTACCGCGATAGGTCAATTTAAAATGGAAACACAGTTGTTTCTGCGAAAATGACACTTCAAAATTAAAGTATTTTTGTGTTGTTTAGAGCGTTGCAGATGCCAAAAGTAGAAAAAAAATAATTCCTGTTAAAATAAAACATTGCAAAGTCTTATTTTAGTCAGTGAACAAAAAATTGAATTTTGTTAAAGATCACGGACAGTACTTCTTAAAAATAATGCCTAAAAGCCAGTTCATATTTCATGAGTATTAGCGAATTTCATGACGTCAACAATAGAAGTTCCATTTGGACGTTCGTCGCTATCCCAACGAATTCGCTTTGCACTGAAGTTCACATGAGATATGGCCTTAACATACAGCTTTATTAAATTACTAAAGCGCTGACTCGATCTACAAAGTGCTGCCTGCTGGGCGCATCCATGTTGGTGCACAAACCCATAAAAAGCTCAAAATTTTGTAACGGTTTTGTGCAGCTATTTATATATCTTCGTATTCTATATAGGTGTGTTATCTAAGCCGATCCGCCCAAAACCGAAAGCACGATCAGTAAATGAGCGTTTCATTTTGCTCTGCGCAAACAGCGCAAACGCGTGCATGTACCTGCTGCAGATGATATTTGCTGTGACTTTTTTTTAACTGCCATGGCGGGCTTAAGTTGTTTTACGTATTTTGTTCTTACACGTTGCAATAAGAGTAAACTTTCGAAATTCACTCCGTCTCATCTCATTATGTTCTACAAACACGCACATGAATTCAAAATGTCTGCGCGCAGGACGGCTTCAAAGTATCTCCGCGCATAAGAATGAGGAGTTAGCGCTCTAGTAATTTAATATAGCTCTATGGGCCTTAAGGACTTACCAAAGTTTGAGAAATCGGGAGACCGGTCACAGTAGATACGTATCCTGTATGTGGACTCATCTGTGAAGAAGCCTGCATCCATGGCTAGGTTAGCCATGTCGTCTCCGGTCCCTGAGTAGGACAGCCACTGCTCTCTGTCTACCACCTCAAGTGTCGTGGCCGTGCCGTCAGAGATTGCTTCGTAAATCTCCCATCTTGGGGAGGAGGGGGGAAGGGAGAGAACAGTACCAAAAACACAATCAGATCTAGTAATCAAACTACAGATGTGGCCAGAGCATTTCAGGATTGATTCCACTTGAGTATTAAAAGCAGCACTGTCTTAATAAAAATGGATACATAGCACTTTAAACTAAGATCAAAGTGCTTTACATTATTATTACCCATGTTCATCGATCCACTAAACTATTCCAAAGACTATCTCAGCTCCTTGGAGAGTATGCACCTTGATGTTGCCATTTTGATGCCAAGCAGCTAAAATTAATCACAATAACCATCTCTGCCCTTACAGGTACCCATTTACTACTGGGTGGGGAGAAGCAATGAGTGACAAAGTGCCTTGCCCAAGGGCACGTGCACCACGACCCCAGCTGGACTCGGACCTACAACCTGCAGAATCACCCGCAGACTATGAGTTCAACACTCCAAACAATTCACATATTGTAAATCGCTCACAATGTGATGCGCTGGTCCCATTCGTTACGCACATAAATGGACGGTAGTGATCAAGATCTGATACACCGTACCCTCTGGAGACATGCACACAATAGGGAACAAAAGACTGTATACGTCTCCACAGGGCAATTTCTATAGATGAATACACAAGGTTTTCACAAAATAGATACATGGATTTTACCCCAAAACTAGGAATTTTCAAGGTATGTTGATTTGTCCCAAGTAGTAGAGTTTTAGAAAAGGGATATTTAGTCCAAATTTCAGCCAAGGAAATTATTCTGGTTAAACATGTTAAAATTAAGAGCATTTTGAAATTGTACTTTCAAACTCGAAAAACGTTAGTACACGAGAACAAAGAAATGTCTCCACAAGGATACAAATTTCAGCATGTGTGGCCTATTTTGATTACTGTTTTTACAACCAGATCCCAATTTCATGAACCGGCAAACATGCCGTAAATCCTTTTATACCAGAAAACCCGAGTATAGAGCTTATAGTCAGGTTGTTGCCTGAGCTTGTAACCAGGATTTCAACGCTCTCTTGCGGTTGTCTTTACCTGTAATACAGAAAAGCCGAAAATAATATCCGGGAGAAACTACCCAAACAAAATCAAAAGTTAAACCCACTCCCGACCTACTCCGGCTCTTCCGAAAAACTAACGAACCCGATTGCTCTCCTTACTAGAGGAACAAGTTGAAACCAACTAAAGTCACATGGTTGTAACCACAACACTTCAAACTTACGATACATGATTGGAATATAACCAATCCCAACCACAACTTTTTCGCGAGTCAGCTTCGATTCTTTCTTGAATCACCTATTTGCAACTGAAGAGTGCCCAACAGCAAGGCACGAAAGCATGCTATTGCTAACAAGAGGATTTGCGAACATAATCCTCTGCTCGCACCTTTAATCACATTTGATTACCCAACCTATCATAGTCACTTAATCTCTTATGTCCGCCCACTCTACATTTCAATCGGACATAACCGGCAAAGACTCAGTCATGCTTAAAACCCATACTAAGCCATACAAGTCACCAGAGAAGAAGTGTCACTAAATGGGATAGTGCCATCCCTTTTCCAAACAAAAGTCTTTACCTGTAATACAGGATCATGCCTCTTCTGTAGTCCAAGTTTCTTGACTCCAGAGCGAATCGACTGGTGGGGTTCAGCTTGGACTTACAGTTGGTCTTACAGCTGTTCTCAGACGAAACACAAAGAAAAGAAATAATGCACAGAAAATCAAATTAATACTGAAGCGTTTACAGAAATAGAAATTGAAAGATAAATATGCTATTAATGGTTCTGAAAGAATGATTTTGAAGGTTTTTTGTGTTTCAGTAATTTGTCGAGACTTGAGACAGGCAAAAAAGTTTTCTTGTGCCCCTGTTCCGTCTTTAGACCCACAAACATGGAGGTGTACACCACCATGTTTCGGAAGGGGTACAGACATCAATTTTTCACCTGTGCGTCCCCTACGTTTTATGAGCTGAAATTGCACCAGCATGTTCAAAGCACATAGTCTATCCGTGAATAGCTATTTGCACAGGACCTGTCATTTCCAGAAATTTGAGAAACAATTGGAGTCTGAAACAAATGTAAAAATGTCAGGAATCATGCAACAAATTTCACAACCATTGCGGACTGGTTTGTGCACTGTATCCGGACTCCTTGACATGCAAAATGATAGGAGCCCTTCGAGACACCCGTCTATTGGTGATGTGTTTACCTCCATGTTTATGGTTCTATCCCTTTTTCAGGACTTGACGGCGGGATAATTTTTGTCCGAAAAATCCCATTTTTGAAAAAGACAAAATATGTCGGCCTAATTTTATAATCAAGTCAAACACCACAAGAGCTGACTCTTCAGAGTTTGTTGTACAATATTTGTATGATGCTTCTCACATTAAATTTATATTTTGCAACATTCCAAGGCCTTGCCATGGAGTGACAATTGCTGCTACGGCAGGTCGTGTACAGCAGCCAAGTTCAAGTTCAAGACATGATGTGTACAAAACCAATTTGAACAAATTACTTGTATACATGTACATGTCGGCCGCCAGAGACTTGGGCAAAGCTTGATGATTTAAAGCTATAGTCCATCATTTGCAGCTATCCGAAAAGTAGCTGGCGTAATTATTGTTGAAAAACATACTTGGTTGAAAGATAGCAAGGGGACTAAACTCCCTGTGAAATTATTCTTTCTGGGAAGCTGTCATTTTGAAGTAATCAACGAAAGAAGGCCTTTCCAACGGTGCGTCTTAAGACGCACAGTAGGAATATTTAAATTAGTAGTACGTTTTGTTATTCGGCGCAGCGCGTGCAAGCATTGGCACGACGCACAAGCGCGCGCGGTTGCTATAATTCGTCGGATCAGTGCGCGACATCGCGTATAGCTGCGATTCAAAACAATTCAAAACATGATTCAGCAACTTTTGATTTGAAATTGAGATCCTAGAATGCTGTTTTTCTCGGAATATACAGCTGAAGCTGAACTGAAACTTCATCAGGTTAGTTGTTCAGTATCCTTCATTAGATTTTGAACACTTTTGTTGCTTCAAACGAACAAAATGCACAAATTACAAATGATGGACTGTATCTTTAATGCGATGTCATTGGCAAAATAGCAAAACAAGAATGGGTTTTAAAAGCATATATACACAAATAAATGGGTCTTCAGTTTGTGTAAAATCCTCTCCGCAAAATCCTTACCTAATTTCCATCCGTGGCGGGTTACCGGTGGCTACGTATAGCACTTGTGTGTATTCAGATTGCCTGGTGTCCTTGAACACGATCAGCTTTAACTCGTAAACCATCTGCTCATGCATGTAATACGTGTCCATCACAAATTCTCCAGAAGTCACGTTCAACATGCCTAGACAAAACAAGGAGAGTATAATGAGTGCTATGTCCAAAAACTAATGTTGATAAGGGGCAAGACCAATTACTGTGTCCAGTGACATATTAAACTAGGGTTTCATTTAATGCATGGAGGAATTTGGGGTTATCCATTTCCTAGAGGGTTGGGTGTGGTAGTGGACTTTCTTGTCAATCAGAAGTCATTTATTCCAAAGTGAACTCACAAGCTATTCCAATGAACTACAGGCCAGTGTCCCGTCCCCCCCCCCAACCCTCAAATGCCCTCTTTTTTCAGTTTCTAAAATTACATGGCAAATATCATTTTATAACCTATACAAATAGATTTCAACATTCAATATGAATAAAAACCCTTTCTGTCTCATTTTTTTTGTTATTCCTTTCACATTACTGAGAATGCTAAAGGCATTTGTGTACACGTCATTCACGCCTAGCCTGTAGCAAAACTGACACGTCTCTGCATATTTTGAAATAAGAGGTAAGAAGCATCCCATATCATTCGCTCAATGAATCATTTCATTACTATAATGGCACTGCCAGTTTTTAAATAACTAACTCACCTCCATATCCAGAAGTGTCATAACCGTATCGCCCAAAGCATCCTCCCAAGTCACCCTTCTCATGGATGTAGGACGCGTTGACTCCACCCTCTTTGATCATCACCGTGTAGTCAGCGTTCCACTCTTGATACGTTTCATGCTGCCGACGGCACAGCCAGACATAACGGATTCCTGATCGGTCAGACGGGTCCACATCCGGGTCCAAGGTGTCGGTGTACCCGTCCACCGGGGCCTGGTCATTCCAGCGAATGATGCGCTCAGACCCGCCGGAGATCCTGGAAACCAATGGGGTGGGTACCACTCGGATGGTGGCAGAGTCTACGGACTCTACTCCGCGCTCCCCCCACATGGACACGTTGAGCTCGAAGCGGTACAGGCCGTAGGGAAGGACAAACCTCTTGACCGCTAGCTCGCGACGGGTGAAGCCAGCCATCTCCGTCTCCCCCAAGTCAAATATTTCAGTCTCCACGCCGGTTGTGTCGGCGATCTCGAAGGCCCTCCATGTGTACATGGTGTATGGAGTGGACGTACAGTTGATCTTGACATAGGAAAAGACGAACATGTCCTTGGATGCAAAATACTCGCGGTTGCCGTCACTGTCGCAGAAGGGGTAATACTGATCACAACCGTTGTTATCTCGGACGTTCACTTCAGGGTAGTAGCAAGGGCCTTTTGTCACGGCAGTCCGCAAGTAGACGGTCTGTTCAGAGACTTTATTGTGGGCATGAACCACAATCCTGAAGGCGTTAACCGACTGGAAGACATTGGTGAGGGTTATGTTTGGAGACCTCCCTGCTAAAAGAAGGCCCGCCAAGTAGGCATTGCTGACTTCTGTAAAGCGCAGGAAGGGATCCTGGAACTCATCTGGGTACCGTTCCTCACAGGTCTTACGATGCCCCCACATAGCAATGTTGTTGATATCAGATTGCTTGTCCCGGAAATCCACATGGTAGCACACGTCTGTCCCTGCATTTCCGGTGTCCAGCTCAAACTCGATGGTCGTGTTTCGGGCCCGAGGTCCATGATCTGTGAGTACCATGTCAAAGATGCCACGCTGGACCACGATGGTCTTCTCCACGACCACCCAGTGTACGGGGTTAGAAACATTCAGTGTGATCGTGTAAATGCCTTTCTTGGTGTACCACCAGATCGCCCGTGGCTCGGTGGTTTGAACAACGTAGGGAGCTAACGTTGTTGGGGTTTCAGTAGGTGGTGTGGGTGTGGTTACAGCTTCAGTTGTGGGGAGTTGTGTCGGCTCCGGCAGGGGACAGAGGGACGGAGTGGTAGTGAAGTTGTTTTGGAGGAGGTATTCACCTATGTCGAACAGAATGTCCATGTTCAGACAAAAATAATCCTTCAACTCATCCACCAGGTCAGTCAGTCGGACGTTTTGGAGCGATGTGTCGTTCTCGCCGCGCATCCGCTCAAAGTGTGTTGCGTTTGTGATATTGTCGATTCTTTCAAAGGTCCTGTTGTAGAGAACAATGCCGACAAAATTGTCGTATATCTCGCACAATTCCTTCTGGGTGGGGAGATATATTGGCGAGACATCACAAACGAGCTCGTATATCGGACCGGGATCTGTAGTGTTGGTGATGTTCTTGACACAGTAGATGGATGTTGTGTTGAACATCGTGTCCGTAGAGTTCCACATGGTGTCATTGCCACCCATGGATGTGTCATTGGCACCCGTTGTGTTGACCATGATGCAGTAAATATCAGTGCCGTTCTCATCCGTGGAGTTCATCCATGTTCCGTTTAGAACCACTGAGGTATTGGCCACCACCTCTTGATAGGAGCAGTTGGGTATCAGGGATGCATTCATCGCTTCAATTTTGACCTCATCTTCAAGAAGCAGCTCATCTGCCATACTCACCGCCCATTCTTCGATTTCGTAGGTGCAGTTTGGAGGTAGAGTGGTAATAGGCTGTGTGGTTGGGGGCTGTGTGGTCGGAGCCATAGTGGTGGGCCCAAATGTGGGTGCAGGTGTGGTGGGTGGCGGCTCGAAATACAAATCCCCAAAGTCCCAGGTGTAGGTGAGACCAGTGCCGGATGCCATGGTAGCCTTGACGACGATGGCCTCCTCCAGCTTGAAGTAGTTCTTGCCGACGTCAAATCCTTCCTGGTCCAGTGTGTCATTGCCGGGGGAGTAGCTTCCATCCATGATGAGCTCGTTGTAGTTAACCTCCTTCTGCAGTTGGGTGATGGTTTCATAGATCCAGATGTCAAAGAGGAGTGTCACATCGCTGACGAGATTCCAAATGCGGATGGTGACATTGTAGTGGCCCCACGTGTCATAGTAGTGGGTCTCACTCAAGACATGGTACTGGGTTTCTGTGTCTTTTGAACTGTCTGCCCTGTCCATATTAAGATCTCGAGCAGCTATGGTCTGGCCATCACCGAAGTCTATCTCGTAGGATGCCTCGGTCGGGAAGTGGATATCTTTGACAAGGAGAAGATGGAAAGGTACACCAACGTAGATATTGGCTACATACAGCCGACTCAGTCTTCGGCCAATCCACTCCATGCCTTCGACTGGATACTGGACTTTCACTGGGTCTGGTAGAGTGTACTCCACCTCCCCGAGAAGATTGTAAGCCACCACAGAGACATAATATGTGCCTTCATCTCTGTACTTGTGTCTGCGAGTCCGAGAATCACGGATGCCCAATTCCACTGGTTCGTCAGCGTCCTGGAAGTACCACCGCCACTTGACACGGGAGCCCCAGTCTATGGTGGCCGTCAGCACAGCCTTGTATAACACCCTAATGTGTAGATTCTTACAGGTGACAATCAGACCTAGAATGGGCCTCTCCATCTCAATCTCCTTGGTGAAATTCATCCAGCTCACCAGGTTGGAGATGTTGACAAAGGTAGAGTAGGGTCCGTGCAGGGCCAGAGAGAGATTATGAACGACGGGATTGGTCTCAGCAATGGGGAAATCTTCCACAGGTTCAATCCCCTTGGCTAAGTAGTACTCGACTGTGGCGTCAGTGGGAGGCATGGACTGGTCCCCATTAAACGCGTATTCGTACTTGATGGTACCTATCTCCATGTAGGGAATGACACCAGGGGTGTACACCGTCATGGCCAGATCGACAACCGGATTCTGGACTTTGATCTCAATCCAGATCAACTCATCACTGACAGCACTGGTAGCGTGGATGGTGATATTGTAATCCCGGGCGACTCCGAACTCATGCCACTGAATGTAATGGTCGCCATCTGACCGTCTCATCTCCTCATCAATGAATGTCCTGGACCATCCGTCGTCAGTGTCCATCACTATGGTCAGATCGGAGCCAATCTTCATGTCAAATCGGATGGAGATGCTCGTGTAGGGAACAATGTACATCTCGGAGACCTCCATCTGGAATTCCTTGATGGCATACTCCACTTGGACCTGCACTGAGTCCGTTATCGGGCCGCTGACCAGGTTCCAGGTGGTCAACTCCAATGCATAGAATCCTTTGTCGTCGTACTTGTCCGGGCCGATGACGATGTACCCTTCCCCGTTCCTGTCATCCATGTAGTACAGCGAATGGTTAGTCAGATCCAATTCATTGCTTGCAAAACTTCCAGTGAATGACAGATTGCTGCCGGTGTCATAGCCCACCCCGACAATCTCGGTGTCTCCGAATTTCATCGGGGGCGGGTCCACAATGTGGAAATTGGTGATCTCAATCTGGACAACGGCCGTGGAGTCAATAATGGCCCAGCTGACTCTATTGGAGGCATTGATGGTCACGGGATAGTAGCCAATTTTCTCGTACACAGTGAAGACGCTTCCTAAAACACCTGCAAAGCCAAAACAAAATTGGAAAAAATAATTATCAGAGAAAATTGCTACGCATAGATTAATTTTCACATTGCTCCATAAAATTGGATTCAGTTGGTGTCCCAACTGAACATCCTACCTCTTGTGAGAGTTGAAATACTTCTAAAACTTCTTTAAAACTGTAAAATAACAGCAGTCAGAAACAGACTTCTGGTGAAGTTTCGCTGATGAACTGATTTTCCCTAATGACGTTGTGAATTGGGATCTTGAAACTCTTTGCAAACATACCATTGTGCTCTACTGCAAAACGATCAGAGAGATTCCGGGCCGGTTCCATGGTGGGTCCCCCGCCAGCGTTGTTGCCGTTGATGGTCACGTTGACGCAGACCCACTGGCCCGGGGGACCGGAGGGAGTGGTCGTCTCAAACACCTCATAAAACGAGGTTCCATTTCCAATGGTCTCGTTACCGAAGGTCCCGTTGCTGAAGGTAGCATTGCCGATGGTCATATTACTGATGGTTGCGTTCTCGGTGAGCATGGGCGGGGTTGTTGGCGGAGAAGTGGGCGGGAAAGTGGCAGCCACCGTAACATTGTCAAGGACAAAGGTGCAGTTGAGTTGGTACATGGGCTCAACGGTTGTGGTGGGTGGGGGTGGTTCGTATAACAGCATGCCTACGTTCAGGACCTCATCGTGACGAAGAAGAAACGTGGGTACTATGCCGTCGCCAATATCAATCTCGTACGTTACATTTGTGCCTGCATAAAAGAAACAGAAAATAGTAAATCTACGCTTATGGGTGCAGCAAAATGGAAAAAAAGTTTTAAAAATGAATTGGTAATTTTCCCAAGTTATGAGCTGTTCAATTAGACATCACTTGAAAAAAAAATTGGCCACTGTGAGCAACGGATAGAACAAGTTTCAAATTTTGAATTGGAAACGTGTGTTTGACTTGTGATTCATCAACAGTATTTCAACTACAGCACTATTAAATATCCACATGTAAATTTGTTGTGTAATTAATTTTTTTTTACAGACATGCAACTGTTAAGTTATACAAAAAAGAGAAACTCCTAGCTTTACGAGATTTAAGTTACACAGTAGCGGTAGTTTTCACCTTTTAAATCACTTTGCGCCAGGATAATTTATGCTGAAAATTTTGATTTTTGCAAAAGGCAAAATTGTCCAGCCAACTTCCGAAAAACAGCCAAACGCCACAAATACCGATTCGCAGGAGTCATTTCAACAGTATGTGTGCGATATTTTTTGCTGAAATCGCTTATGTTTCAATACTTCGTGGCGTGCACTGGAGAGTAAATTGTACAACAATACGCCATGCACAACGGCCAATTCAAGATCGACACACGGTCCACCTCCACAGACTTCACAGACTTTGTCTGTGTGTACAAAAGGCACGAGGGATTAGCATGTTTAGATGTCACCCGGAGGCGAGTCAAGGCAATCTTGACGTCTTATCCTGTCAGCCGTGCCTGTGTATAAAAACACCCAGTGAGTGTTATCACGTCCTATGACGCGAACTGGTTAACAGCAAGTGTGCATGAAGTGAAACAAGGAAATCAGTTGATCTGAGAAAAAAAGTGGCGTGCCTGTGTCGACTGTTTTTGTCTGTTTTGTCGAGCCACTCACCCAGGTCCATGCCAAAATTGATAACGGTCTCCATGCCAAAGATCTTGGGCGTGATGGGATAGTCCGTCCAGCTAGACACGGGGATGGAGTCCTTCCAGTCAAAGCCTTGAATGCGATGCTGGAGGACCACGTAATGCTGCGAGGAAAGAAAAGTGATTTTGGAACAACAAATGAGAAGGGCCAAAAGGGGAAGACACAAATTTTAAATGATTGTGTGGTAACCATTCAATGATGTATGCATTTTATAAATTTGTTTTGCTAGAGAATTCTTTTCAACTGGTCAATTTTTGTGACAAATTTCCAATAAACTTCAACATTTTCAGTGTTGTTTAAAACGGTTTACTTCAATTTTGCAACCGGGTCAACTGCAGTGGGGTTTAGGGCTGTCCGGAACATACCGACTATTAAAATATTTGATTATCAACAAACTATTCGAATAGCTTTTTGCTGGTTTGAATATTCAGGGAAAAAATATAAACCTGTGCACGTATGTACACACACAACTGTGATGTTATTTAATCGTTAAGTTGTGGTAATTTATTGTCAGATGCCACTTTTTTGTTGACGCCAACTTTTTGGTCAATGATGGTTTACTGTTCCCATCCTTTAAAAGAAAAAAATTCTCAAAAACACTTTTTGTGGAGCACTGTGGTCTAACAGCTACATGGTCCATTTCATGTGTAACGGTACATGGGTTTGATGGGAAAATGATGCTTGTGTTCTTGGGCAAGACACTTTACTACAATAGTCTCCCTCCACCCAGGAGTATAAAGGGTACCTGTGAGGGTAGAGACAAGAAAATTGGCCCATTGCCTGTTGATAATAATAGGTCTCTCTCAAATGATGTCATTTTCTACAGCATTTTGAGCGCCAACTTGCATAATGCGCATCGGCTGCGTCGTATTTCGAACACATTTCAAACAACAAGCATGCGTGTTTGGAACATTTTCAACACCGCGTAATGCGTGTTTGATTGCCTAAAATACACAGTTGCAGTTCTCCTACAGAGATGGCCGTCATTGAGCGAGCCCTATTGGGAAGGGTGTAGGCCTAATAACTGTGCTTTGAGAAATTGGTCCAAAAAGGTTATCTAAGGACTAAATTATTGTTTTTCTCACTTCGTAAATGTCCTGGCTGATGTCGTTGTAAGCTCTCAGCGTGACGTTGTACACCCCGTCATCTTGCCAGGTGTAGTTGGTATACATCGCCTGGGTCACATGCTCGTCACCGTTGCCGAAGAACCAGTGGTAAGTCACCTCAGTACCCAGGTGAGAATTGATGGTTAGAATCTGTGCTTCCGTTACAACAGCTGAAAGGGAGGGGGATATGATAATATGTTGATGCAATATTGAAATAAAGCTCCAAACAAAGATTTGCATAGTTGTGAATCAATGATTAACAACTGTATCAGAAATAAGTGGAATGTTTTAAACAGCTTTTCGACAGTTTAGGTTATTTGAACTGACACCAGAGTCTAGTTAAGGGAAAATTGAAACATTTTAACCCCTCCTTCTGCTAGACATACAGATAAATCCAAGCCGCGTGCCAGCCAATCATAGACGACTTTACTAAATCATGACATTGTTTCATTCCCAAATCAGGACTTAATGGTTTGATTGGTCAATTTGAATGCAGAGTTTAGTAATACAACAACAACCAAGCACATTATTGTGTAACATGATACAGAGCTTGTGACACAGGTTTTTTTTATCCATTGTCTATGACGCGCAACGGGTGAATGACCGAAGATCCGATATAGAAAGCGCCTGCTGATTGGTCAATTACTAGAGGTCAAGAGGCGATTGTCTTTCCTAATTAATCAGCGAACCTGCTCACATACATGTATCAAAGACCACTTCATACATCGTGGTCTATTACATAGACTATCCTTTTGTATGAACAAGGGACTCACCCAAAAGAGGAGCCTCAAATGACAGCAACGAGACTTTTTCCATGACCTTGATCTCCTGTTGCATGTCCCAGATGCCCGAGGCAAGGTTGTTGCTGGCGTTGACCGAGACGTTCCTTCGATTCTCCGGCCAAGTGTAGTTGTGGAAGACGTGCAGGTGGGAGGGGCGCACCACGTGGGCCTTGAGGGCGTGCTTGTAGCTGTGGGCGGACGCGCCAGAGGAGTAGGCAATGTACCCACTGGAGAGACGACTGCCGTAGTTGCTGGTGCTCGGGAGAAGCTCGGGTCCATCGATTGCCGCGTCGGCTGACTGATACGCCAGCTTGCCCGAGTTGGAATTATACCATCCGATGACGTCCCCTGGTTTCACATCCACATGTTCTGATCGGGACAGCGTGAGGAAGTTCCGTCCGGTCTCACTGATGCTGTACGTGAACTCCGACAGAAAGTCGTAGTCCAGGGGCAGGGCACTGAAGACATGGCGGCCCTCGAACAAGCCGTCTGAGTTCTTGACGCAGTCACGGCGGGTGAAGCTGAAGCGGCCCGTATCGCCACAGGTCTTGCTCCAGAGGCTTGCCTGCTCCTGGCAGTTGATGCTGGGCCGGTGGCAGCTTGCTGTCCGGTGGCAGTACACCTCGTTATTGGTGCAACGTGGTCGATAAACCTGCAAGTAGTGTAAAGCACACGTCAGACAAAAATGCCACTGAATTCCCAATAACCAAAAGTTGTGAAGCGAAAAAAATAACATGAGAACCAATCACAAGGGATACATATTTTGTGGCATTTTATTTTGGCATGTAACCAGATTTCTCTTTAGCAACTGTGGTTAGCTAATTTCTTTGCATAGCAGAATTTGTCACCAGGGAAGCCTTGGAAGTCACCACGTACCTGCAGCGTGATCGTCCCCGTTTGGATCGCGTTCATCTCCCACGCCACAATGCGACCTTCGTGCTGAATGACCGAGTTGATCATGAGGTACACGCGGCTCACTGGCTGGTTGCTAATGGAAGCATCCTGGTCAACAATCTGGCCGTAGAAAAGCGTCTCAGCATCTGCAGAAAAAAACGGGAGACAGATACGTATCCAAGTTATGTTTAAAGCTATAGTCCATCATTTGCAGCCATCCGAAAAGTAACTGGCGTAATTATTGTTGAAAAACAAACTTGGTTGAAAGATAGTAAGGGGACTAAACTTCCTGTGAAATTATTCTTTCTGGGAAGCTGTCATTTTGAAGTAATCAACAAAAGAAGGCATTTCCAACGGTGATTCTTAAGAAGCACCGTAGGAAAATTTAAATTAGTAGTTAGTTTTGTTATTCAGCGCAGCGCGTTCAAGGTTTGGAACGACGCACACGCGCGCGCGGTTGTTATAATTCGTCGGATCAGTGCGCTACGTCACGTATAGCTGCAATTCAAAACAATTCAAAACATGATTCAGTAACTTTTGATTTGAAATTGAGATCTTAGAATGCTGCTTTTCTCGGAATGTACAGCTGAAGCTTAGCTGAAACTTCATCAGGTTAGTTGCTCAGTATCGTTCATTAGATTTTGAACTCTTTTGTTGCTTCAAACGAACAAAATGCACAAATTACAAATGATGGACTGTAGCTTTAACACTAGTCCGAAAATTTTAGAATGGTTCACAAAACAAAACAGACAGGTGCGAAAAATATGCAATTGAACTCTTCTGTAGCACAGCACAGTGTATGTCAAGAGAAGCATCTGGTACCTAGTCTCTACTTTAGTACATTTAAATCACAGTTGTGCCACCAGTCTAAACTGTTCTAGTCTCATATGCGTCAAAGTTTTATAACTTTCAGTTGTGAATTGTTGAAAAAAATATTCAAATTTGACTGGTGAAACACTAAGGCCAAAAAAAAAAAAAAGTCTCAGGTTTTTGGTCTGCGCACACATCGGCGTAGCCATGCACGTGGGAAAAATTTAAAAGTTTTTCAATGTAAGATGATGTCTCAAAATTGCCAAACTCACTGGTTTGACTGGAATCCTGCTTCTGCACAATTTAAACAGTTTTAAGATGGGGTTACGATCGAGTATAAGCTTTATGTGGTCTCTCTGGGCTCCCGTATATTTTGCACTTAATTTTGTCAGGCACTATTTGCAAACGGCGTTGAAATTTTGTAATTGTGCGTCTGGAAGCCAGACTGAGGGAGCGATGGTCGTGTATCTGGAACCTGTAAACGCTGTTTAATTAGCGCAATATGTAAGGGAGCAGACTAATGATCAGCCTGGCAGCACATGCACAATGTCGTTGTTGCCGTATGGTCTAACGCTACTGTTTTCTCTGATTTTTGTCTTGACTATTCAAATTTTCCGAAGAATGTTCGTGTCGGTCGAGATCGTAAGTGGGTGCAGACTTCCCAAGCCTTATGGCCTTACTGAGGTCACCTCAAGCTCCATGCTGAAGGATATTTTTGAGAGTTTTAAGGGGATCGAAGCGTCATCTGCAACATCAGCTGACATTTGAAGAAAAAAAAAGAAGAGAAAACAAAAACAAAAATCTTTCAATTATTTTTCTCCAAAACTATTTTTGTTATTATAATGAAAAAAAGAAGAAGTCCCATCTCAGTGAAGAATGCTTTTGAAGTAATAGATTTTTTTCATGCACTTGGTGACTTTAATTTTCAACGCGTATTTCGTGCAGTGTAACCTCTAATGCCATACAGTCTTGGGTTTCTGAATGTAAACAATACCTTCGGTGACAAAGGACACGATGCGGCCATCTTGAAAATCAACCGTGGCACTCAGGTTGGTGCCTTGGTAGATGTAGAAATCACAGCCAAAGCGGTGGTCGTACTCCACCGCTAGAGGGCAGTCTACAAGCACGTCGGTCATGTTGGTTTCCACGGTGGCGCTGATGGTTTGATTTTCCTTGTTCAACCACAGGTCCGTTGCAGTGGCAGTGATCGAGTATGTCCCGGGTTTGCTGCAATAAAAAGAGAGAGTTTCGTTATTTGAGAGTAGGGTCCCCAATGTTTTCGATTGTACTGTATCAGTCATCCGACAGAAATCTTGAAATGAAAACTCATAATTTTTCCAGGACAAAATTAGCACTTTCCATGACAAATTCCTGCACTGTTTTGGCATCTTCTCAAAACTGCTCTGGAGACAAGATACACAACTCCCTTTCAGCCATCCAGTTAGACACAAGACTATGAAGCACCATGAAAGCAGCGCAATGGTGTAATGGACGGGCAACAGGTACAGAGGAATACATGCATATAAAAGAGAAAGTATAATAAACTGGAATGCAAACCAGAAGACTGCAAAATATTACGCATCATCACATATGGGCTGAACAGTATTCCAGGACTTTCTTAATTTTGGAATATCAACTTTTCATGACCCCTTGTCAGTCAGATAAAAAGTTAAGTTTCCTAGAATTAAGTTCCAATGTCATTAGGGTTGTCAAGGAATAGGCACACTTATCACCAAAATGTCATCATTTAAGAAGTTTTGAGACAAACTATTGATATTAGTACCCATTACATTACCGTACCAAACTACATACATGTCAGAAAAAGTCATATTCTGGAAAAGTTTAAAAGGGCATCACGAATCTTGTAACAACTAAATCACAAGTAACAACTAAAACACAAAAAAAGGAATTCAAAGCGTTGAAAGCAAAACAGTGTTTTTTAACTTTTAATAACATAAAAATGAAGAAAATAACCTATCTCTGGAAAATTTGCATGGCTATTCACACTCCCCTAGGTTTTTCTCTCACTAATAAAACTGTAAAATATTCTTTCTTAGTTCAATACTTGGAAGGAGACAGTATTGTAGACACTGATTAGGACTCCCTGAATAAATAAAGAACAAAAAAGCACGGCAATTACGTACTTGTAGTGGTGGATGATTTCTGCGTCAGACAGTGCAAGGTCACTGAACCCGTCGCCATAGTAGAAGTCATAGGTCACACCGGTCCCCCGCGTAATGTTACCAACCATGTCAACTGGCTGGTAACAGACCTCCAGATCTGTTCAGTAGCGAGTTAAAAAAAATGTTTATTAAAATGATGCTTCACTGTTATGCAAAATCACATTATTATTCAACAGTAGATCAAATCTTTAAGAAGTTTAGAATGTCTAAAACTTATCTACCCATACAATATGGCCTAAAAATAATAACAAGATGATGTTTAGAACATTATGAACATGGCCCTTTGGTAGTCCGAGTAACTTGGACACAACTTATCGCCTTTTTAAAATTCAGACATGGACTGTCCGAATGTTAAAAAGGCAATAAGTTGGGCATTTAAGTTACTCGGACTGGGCCCTTTGGAACCAATACCTTAGCTACCCCTAGAACTACGGGTATTAATACGTAATATTACGTGTAATACCCATAGTTCTAGGGGTATACCTTAGCAGTATGGGAAGAGCATCGCTTTTAAGATAAAAAAAAAAGGTGTTTTTAGTAAAGAAAGAGGGAGCAACTCAGCAAGTGGCCAATATGCATTATTATCATGTTGCGGCCATCTTGATATATATCCCTTTCAAATTGAAGTAACCAAAGCGAGGTTTCTGCTTCTTCTGTTGGCCAGACTCTATGACAAGCACTATTAGTAATAGCTAGGCTTGTGTGGGGGTGTGTGGGGATGAGGTTGAAAGGAAAAACAGTCTGGTTTTTCTTTATTCTGCGCTAGTTCTCAGTGGCGCACAACCTCGTATGCGAATACAGATCAGTGTACAGGTGTAGGTGGGGCTAATATGTGGAGTGTCCAATCAAACCATGCCTGGTAAATCCCGACGTCATCAAATTATTTGCCGCTATTTGCCTTTTGTGGACGTGTCAGAAACCACATTTTTTTTGTATCGGTGCTGTGTGTGTACATTGTGAGACCATGGAGGAAGGAACACAGGTGTATGTTATGTACAGTACATGTCACATGTTGTAGCTATATGACCTTTCACCGCGCGCTAACTTTAATATGCAAATTTCCACGCATCCAATGATCTAGCGCAATAATCTAGCGCAGAATAAAGTTCAAAAGTGACCTGTTGAGTGTTGATTTACGAAAATACGATTTTTAAGGTCAGCTCGAGCACCATCCCCAAAACCTCACATGGCGAGGATATGCAATTGAACCTTCATGCTCCCCGTCATGAAATCCAATTTGCCACAATTTTGACAATTCTTCTGTGACAGAAATGTGAGAAAAGTGAGCTCCATGAGGTTCCTTCACGAAGACCGTATCTCGATTTATTCATGCGCGCCGCCATCTTCCGAAGTTGTACTGAGCTCGTAGCAAACATAGAGGGCGGTACATTCCAAGATTACATGGTGCTGTTTTTATAATATAAGGCTGCATCCGAATCAGCTGTCTAGCTAGGTCTAGGTCTGCCCCCATTGAAATACGCGGGGACGCGCTGACAATAGACGTAGCCGTAGCTCTGGAAGCCCGTTTCGGACACGGCCTAACTCTATGGGTGCAATGGATGCAACCCTGCATTAAAATTCCCATAGATACTAGTGCTAATGCCCATACTTCAAAATTCTTTTAAAAATACTCAGAACTTTCACAGGTATTGAAACTGCACAGAAAAATTATGATTGACATGTCATCTTTCATTTTCTTTTCATTTTTAGATGGGTTGACCGTTGACTTTTCGAGATTTTCTCACCCAAAGAAGACGACCCCCATATATTCCCCAAAGTGGAACAGAATTGAAAAACGATCCCTCCACAACATGGCAAAATAGCGCAACCCCCAAGCCCAATTTCATCCCAAATGCTCAGAATTGGAAGCCCCAAGTCCGGGCCAGAGGTTCATTGCCGTATATCTTGAATTCCTCAATTTATGGCTCTCAGGACTCTCGATACAGAATATTTTGTTACGGTATAGCTTTTATTCATGCGCTGCCCCCCCCCCCCCCCCCCCACACTGACAACACTATTTCTTGAAATTACTGACGTGTCTTTTTTAAACTAAAAAAATATATACATGCAACGCAAAAAAATTATTCGCTCACGATTTTTTTTTCTTAAATGTTTCCTGCACGCTAACTTATTGCAAATCTGTGGACTTTCATGCCGCGCACTCATGATGGTCCCACATGGCCCACAATGAATTAATGTCAACCCAAAGCAAAACTCAGGAAGGCACCGCTCATGGTTCTTACCCCAAAACCTTTATTTACCGATCGCTAAGGCCCATGGCAAGAATAAGGACAGGCTTGAACATAATGCTGGCTTGATAAAAATCAATAACATTTGGTACCGAACTACACAACTTGAATTGCAGCTATACTGGATAAACAGACTCGACGTTTCAGCCGATAAAATCAATGGGTTTCTATTTATTCAGTGCGAAAACAGCCAATGTGAACCTTCTACAGCGTATTGATTGTTTAACCCCAAAAGCCTGGATATAATTGTCAGCCCGCTGTGCGTGTTTCGGCCATCGAATACATTCCTAGATCCGAATAATTGGACCACCTTTTGCTGTCACTACCTTGAATAATTTGAGCCAGAATTTACCATAACCCCAATTTCTTTTCCCCTTATCGTAAAGATAATGCTTTTCAGACTGGCAAAGAATGTTCTACGTATTTCGATTTAAAAAAGAATTTCCTTTTTTTGTTGTTGATCGATCTCCCAACCCTCAGAAGGCAAGTTTTTGGTTGCTTTTACCTTTTCGAAACAAAACCATCCCCAGAATTTTAGTTGGGCTGCAAATCATGGACATTTTTGTTCATTGATGATTCCATACACGTTGGTGGATTTTTTTCGTGAGAAATCTCATTCGAATGGGATAACATGTAGTGTTGTATTGCTTTAAAACTACTTTAAATAAACCTGTTTTCCGGATGAAATCCCCCAAATCAAAGATGCCCAGTCTGCCATCGAGTCCAACTTTTTTTGCTTAAAAAATAAGGAAGCCGTGTCAGGATTAAAGATCCGTTCCCGGTCTCCGTACTTTTTATATAAGTTTCACTTCATTTAAATATATATATATTTTCAATTGGTCCTATAGAAATTTTTAATTTTAGAAAACATTTCAGAAAATTATTCACTTTTGAACGAGACATTGAACGGCAGAAATCCATCGATGCTTTTAATTGAAATACTTCTTCTCAGAGAGGATGCTACTTTCATACTAATTTTGCAGAGGGCTGCAGATCAGACGACCAAAATCGAAAAAAAATTCTTTTTTCCCGTTAAACGACATAAATAAGAGACTAAAGGATTGATTTTTGGTGGAGAGGGGGCATGGGGTTTCAAGTTTAACTCAAATTCATAAAAGAAAGAGTCGATAGACGAACTTACCTGGTAGTTCATCCAAAGTAAATCCCACGAGAACCAGAGGCGTGGCGTAGACTTTATTGGCCAGCACGCCGCCGCAGTTGTACAGGGGCTTACCGGGGCACGGGTAGTCACCGCATGAGGTGGAGTTACCTATCTCACTCTGGCCATAAGATTGACTGCAGAAACACAGGTTGCCTTCCTGAAGGGCCGCATATCTATTGGAGTGGAGATATTGGTTCACAAAAAGGTAAGCAAGTTCTCTCCTTGAAGGTATTTTAGGATCGTTTGCATTTCTTCAAAAAAGTAACCTAGCGAATTCGTCACCGACACTACGAAATGATACCCAGTTTTTTAATTTTTTTTTTTTTTATAGTTTTTACAGAACCGCGGGTTATTTTCGTTTTCTTCTAGCGCGTATCGATCCTTACATTTTCGTTTTCACGAACTGACACTGATCTTAATTTCACCAGTTTAAACGGTTTATAATCAATTTTTCGTGTAATTAGCCCACAAGTATACAAGTCAACATTTTCTAAACATTTTTTTTCCTCCGTACTCTATTGCCGCAACATGCTTTGCTTTTGGGTGTCAGTTCGTGAAACCGAAATGGTTGATTACGCAGTTTTACGAACTGACACCCACTAGCGCGTGTCAGTTCGTGGTGGTCGGTGACAAATTGTTATCAGAAGGCTTTACGTGGATTAAAGGCGATATGTTTGGGTGTGGCAGCCCGCTAAAGAAAGATTTTCAAATTGAATTGATAATTTTCTAGCATTGCCTTAGTTATGAGCTTTCCAATGAGACATCGAACACAACAATCGGCCAACAATAAGTAACCAAAAAATTAAAGTCAACGTTTAGTTCTGAAGCCAGCGGGACCTAGTTACGCGGACGCTTTTGCGACAGTGCAGTTAATTATGAATAATCATCTCAACACACGGACTGACCGGCCGCGATCATTGCGTAGATAAGATCGGGCCAGGCTAGGCGAATACAAAACGCGTGGACTTCATTGTTTACATACATGTCGTCCCCGACACCACGCGTACACCACACAAAAGTGCTACTTCGTGAAAACCGCAAAATGACAAATGTTGGTTTCAGAAATTAACACTCAAGTGTTCGCGCGCACACCGGACACTGGCGCAAACAAGTTCGTTTTCACAAAGTAACAACACCTTTACGGCAAAACTATTTGGTAAAAACGTTTTAAAACGTTTGACACGAATGTGATTAATCTATAGTCTTGTGGAATTGCAGAAAAATTTTACAAAAAAACTTTCATAGCGGTGAAATAAAGATAAGTGTTTTGTGAAAACGAAAAATATAGTGCACACTGTGTAGGCTACATGAATGTTACTTAATTGGTGAACACGAAAATCACTTGTTTCTGTGAAATACGCGCGCGTGGTGCGAAAGCAAGTCCACTTGCGTTTTACTTTGTGGTGTCGCTGATTACCTGGCTACGTCTCTAGATATAAACATTATTTAGCATTTCACTCAAAACTTTCTGAACTGGAGCGTGCTACTTAAAACCATTTTTGAAAACTGTATAGGCCGCATAAACAAGCAAGCACATTTATTTGTAAAAAGACATTACATTCCTTAATAATTCGTTCGGAAAAGAAATTGTTACTTACGTGTATGACTTCTTGGCGCACCGTGAGATACATATCTCGGGAGTCATTTCGGCCAGACCAAACTGGCCCACAGGTACAGTGAACTCGCGATCAGCGTAATTCTCGAAGAAACATCCCTTGTAGCCTGTATTCAAAGGAGAAAAATACTGATCACTTGAATAACCTAAAGCGAAATTCAGGATATCGGATTTTGAGTGAGCATTCATGGTCTCTCTCACAGTGTTCCTGCATTTTCCCTTTATGTATCCCTTCCCACACAATAGGCCTAAGTTGAATACTTTAGCAGGTGCGGATCCGGGGAGGGGGGGGGGGTGCCGCTCTGTTTCATATTTTTCCCCGTAGAGATTGAGTAAAAAAATGTGAAACCCCCCCTGCTCTGACACTCCAAAAAAAAAAAGTTATGACAATTGCACTGATAATACTTACGCATTTTGTCCCCAAGAGGCGTTGACAGCTGTATTTAGTGGGTATTTGTATACAATTATGTGATAAAGTGTGCACGATCGTCCGATATGAACAGCGCCTCCACTGAGGCCCGCAACTACTGATTTTACGGAAGCGAAGTGTCGGGAGAACAAAAAGAGACGTGTGTACATTTAATGACTGATGACCCCCCCAGCAAAAATTATTGGATCCGCCCCTGTTTAAATTACTTAAGTACAGAAAAAAAATATCAATTTTTAAGAACATGTGTTGAAATCCAGTATGGTATATTAACCCCCACTTTTTTTGACCTGGAGGTGGGTGGGATGTTGCCTTCTTGGATCATCCCCACTTTTGTGGTGAGAATCCAACAACTGAATCGGTACAATAGCTCTGAAAAAGTAAGAGAACAAGTGTAGCGCCCCCTATAGTCGAATTTCCCGTAATTGTTGGATTTGGCTCATCACCCCTCCCCCACCTTCCGAACTGCTAGTTCAGACGAAATCTATAATGGAAAATACGATGATTTTAATTTGAGTAATAGGCGACAAGACAATAGAATGCTCGGACAGTAAAAATGAATAATTCTTTTAAATAACCGAAGTGTCGGGAGAAAAATAAACGTGGGTGAATCACTGATGATATGAACCCCGCCTGCAAAACGTCCTGGATCCGCCCCTGTTTAGATTGCTTAAGAACGGAAAAAAATAACAAGAAAATAAACAACCCGGCGCACACTTTCCCGGTTTTACGGGTTTCCCGGATCACCCAATTGCCGGTACGTTTTTTTTCACCGTTACCCGCACAGTCATATCCAATGGATTGGACCAAATCTTCAGCACACCCCTCTGTACGATGGCCCGATGATCTAGTGAACCGGTACAATCGGAAAGGTGTGCGCCAGGCTTTATGATGTAGTTTTGCAGACCTACCTAATGGCGAGATAACAGCTTGCAATGAGTAGGCTCTTTCCAGGGAGCTGCCGACAGTAAACTCATCCCCGACTTTATAGCTGTTATAAGCGTCGTCGGAGTGACTCGTGTAGCGCATGTCCATGAACTCATCAGTGGCCGTGTCATGCCGGATCCGGGACCCGCCGCTGTTCCATCGCCACCCGAGGACGTCACCAGGCTCGAAGTACAACCACTCAGCCTCGTCCTCAATCAGGTGCGTGTTGGCCTGGTTGTTGGTGTACCCGCTGGGCACGTCCGTCTCCCCAGTCAGACGAAACGTGGTCTCGGCCTCGTTGGTGGGTCTGTAGACGCCCGCCTTGAAGCCCCCGTCACTTGCCGCGTAGAAAGTCCAGCCCTTGATCTGTTTGGAATTCAACGATAAATATTTGTAGCCAAGGGGCGCAATGTGTTCCACTGAACAGGAAAAGACAGCTGTAAAGACGGTTCTCCGGCGGCGAGAGACATGCGTCCCACCACCACCCATCAGCAACTTTACGAAGTGAGGATGTTTTTACTTGCACCTAGGGCCTATCTATGCCGCACCTGCACAACTGCACAACTTGAGTTACCTCGACTTCTCCTTGGACAAATAACACTGCTTTTTAGGAATCTACACATCAAGCATCAAGCTCTATTTTCGGGTGAACCTTCCCTTGACCGGGCTATACCCACAGACAGCGCAGTTTTGTAGGGAATCGTTAGTACTGCAGGAAAGCGCCTCCATACAGGTTCGAGGCATGTTCGGCTGACTCGGCAGCCAAGGCGCCCAGGGGTGGTGTTAATTCCCCTTTCTGGTACTAGGCTGTTATGTGCCGAGGAGGGACGTTTAGGGGGCCCGGAAAGCCGACAAGCAGATACTCCTTTAGATTAAAACTTTCAAGGTAATTTTTTTTGGAGCATAGGCCTACTCAACTCAATATTTCCTTTAAAAGAAACTTGGTTGAAACGAAGAACAGAACCTTAGATTAATGAAGAGATACCGATCAGTATTCGTGAGAAAAACAGGTTATTTTACTTGGTTGAAACGAAGAACAGAACCTTAGATTAATGAAGAGATACCGATCAGTATTCGTGAGAAAAACAGGTTATTTTCAAAATTACAAAAATCGCGAGATGCCGCCAAAATAATGTTCTGAGTTTAAAGAGGCAAGGGCTTAAACTCGACAGTCGAATAAAAAATGCAAAAGCTTCCTTTATTATGAATAAACTCGAAGAGGACAAATCATCTCCAAAAAAACTTTGGCAGACACTTAAAGGTCTTGGATCTTCTAGCAAACCCGTTCGTCTAAATCATATGTCTAATGTGGACGGTACGCCAGTTTTCGAAAGAACGGACCTCGTGCTCGTGTTTTGGGGAAAGTTTGCTTCTCTACACACCACAGTGATCCCGTTGTGAAAAAAATCAGGTTTCTAATGTTTAAAGTAAGAATTGTCAGTCTCAATGCCCATTCTCTAATGAATAAACCCAGACAAAGAAATCACCAAATGAAACAACGAACAAACGAAGAAAAGAAAAACCCATGATTTTTGTTCTGTCAGTGCATGACTAGGCTTAATAATCTCACCTGCCCATAGCACGTGAAGGGTTGGCTGTGCATGATCATGATGTAATTACCACCGTCGTTCGAGGAGCGAGATTTGGGCTCCGGACCGTGGACCTCGTTATCGCAATCGACAGTGAAATCTGGAAGGAAATAAGGCAAAGCAAGAGTCATAAACTTGGCCCCATGAGCACACAAAATAATATTCCATTGATTCAGAACGATTTTTCACAGAAAAATAGTCTTTACGTTCATTCGTTGTACACATTGGTAATGCAGAGTTCGCCTTTTCCGAGGTTATGCTATAGGATAGCACTGCCCTGCTTCGTTCACCAGCCTACATCCAAGCTAAGGTAAAATAATGACGGTCAGTAAGCGATTAAGTCTGTCAGTAAGTTGTTGAATGTTGTAGAATTAGATAATTAATAATGATGTGTTGAAATAGCGCTTTAAACCTAAGGTTTCAAAGCACTTTACAATTATTATTATCCCTGTTCATCAGGAATGAGACAATTTTTTTTCTGCAGCAGCTTGAGATCAGCGAAATGTGGTATATAATCTTACATGTCTCCCATTCATACTCCTTGGTAGCAGTGGCGTCGCCAAGGGGGGCCAGGGGGGGGGGGGGGGGAACGCGCCCCCCCCCCCTGGAAAACCTAGTGCCCCCGGAGTGCCCCCCCCCCCATCAAATGCTTGTGCCCCCCTATCCTCTGCAAAATTCTGCGCGTTGTTAAAATCATTACCTCAAAAATAGCAATTTCTTGAGATATCTTCAGATCGAATTTAGCATCAAATGTGGCACCATTTTGCATCTAGCCCATCCTCCGTATGCGAACATTTTCCAAAGGGGAGGGGGGCACCCCCTCCCCTTAGACCCCTCCCCCAGGACGGCGATCCGTATCCACCTAAGTGCCCCCCCCCCATCAAATGCTGGTGCCCCCCCCCCCTGTGCCCCCCAGACTGAAAAGTCTGGTGACGCCACTGCTTGGTAGAGAGAGGCAATTGTAGTAAGGTGTCTTGCCCAAGAACACAAGCACCATATTCCCCGTCAGGGTTCGAACCCACATACCATGGCACATGAGACGATGTTCGACTCATGATGAGTCGAACATCGTAACCATGGGACCACAGTGCAAGGCCGGTATAAAACTTGGCAGAAACCTGGCGGTAAAAGTGTATTTTAGGACACCTCTTTCTCTTCAGTTTGTTTTCATAGTTCCAAATGACGTCCAAAAACCTAAAATAATCTTTCTTTCCCCTAAAGTAATAATAGATAAATACATAAATACTAATAAGTAAAAGATAAATAACTAAATAAAAGGAGTTCAGTCTGTTTCGATTCCCTGTAGCGGCATTCATAATCGCACGAGAGTGGCCCTTTCCAAGCAGTTTATTTTGCGCTGGATTTATTTTGCGTGTATCATTCATAATATGCTTACCCTCGTCTTCGAAATACGCTTTCAGAGAGTAAGCCCTGGTCGTCGTCGAACTGACACTGTAGGTCGAGCCGACCGTGTAGTCGGTGGAGTAGTCCGACATCCCCCTGTATCGTAGCGTCACCGACTCCAAGCTCAGGTCGTAGTGCAGGGCCGGGTATGCGTGGCGGAAACCTGGCGGGGAAAGTGTACTTTAGGGACGCCTCTAGTCTCACTGTCATATTCTCTCAAATATTTTTTAACCGTGTATGGACCAAAAAATATGACCTTTTTTAACCGTTTTCCCCAGTAAACGAATACCGCAAAAAAATCAATAAAGTTTTGGTATTCCTTTGGATCGCGAGTGAAATTTTGGTAAAAGTGTCGTTTTGATCCAGAAACCTGTCATTTTGACCCTGGAAATAATCAGGTCAAATCTGATCCGAATTCCGTGTCAAATATTTCCGACCCTGAAATCTTGGCAAAAGTGTGATGCTGATCGCCAAACTAAAGTCAGTTTGATCCTGAAAAGTATCTAGTCAAATCTGATCTGTGTTGTGTTAGGTCTTTCCGACCCGGAAATCTTGGTAAAAGTGTCATGTTTATCCAGAAAAAAAAATGTAAATTTGACCCTGAAAATAATCAGGTCAAATCTGATCCGACTGCCGCATCAAACTTTCCGACCCTGAAATCTTGTCGAACGTGTCAGTTTGACCTACGGAAATGTCATTGTGACCCTTAAAAAGTATTAGGTGAAATCTGATCCGGATTACGTGTCAAATCTGAAATCTTGGCAAAAGTCTCATTTGAACAAGAAAAATGGTATTAATTTTTGGAACCTGAAAATAATCAAGTCATATTTGATCCCGATTCAGGGTCAAATCTGAATCGGTCTTTAAAGATTGTTAACCTGTAACTAACCTAGCATGTCCCCCGGCTGGAAGGCGATCCGGTCACTAGCCGGTACCTCAACCGCCGTGTAGCCCGAGGTGCTGGCCGAGACCGTATTCTCCCCTACCAGCTTGTAGTAGTTGCCCGCAGTCTTGCGCCAGACGCCCGGCTTGAAGGGCTGGTCGAGCGTGCTGTAGAACACCCAGCCTTTGATCTTTCCGTAACAGCTCAGCTCCGTGGTATCGAAGATGTAGTGACGGTTGCTGGAGTCGCTGATGATACGGTCCTTGATGGACGCCACAGCCATCTCGGTGTAGGCGCAGTATGGGTCTTCTGTCGAGTGTGGGCATTTTGAAAGAGAGATACTTACTTAAGTATGTATTTTGAGTGGTCATTTATTGGAAATTGAAAATGCATGCAAAGATCCTACACATGTCATCTGGGGCACAATTCGAACTTACGATCTCCGAAACACCATCGCCAGCGCACCGGCATAACCTCAGACCCCGTATATTCCAATTGACATTTGGCCATCTTGGAGTTGGTTTTGGATATTGTAATTATGATTCACTAGCAATGAATGCACAAAAGTCCGACTCATGCTTTTTCTTGTAAAACGAAAACCCACACCTTCAAGATGTCTGCTAAAGAAAGGCGTGTGATTTTAAAAAGTAAAAACATGATACAGCCGAAAAATTACTTTCTGAATTTTGAACTTAATGTGGCCAGTATACAGGCGCGTATGGTTCGTGCATTAGATACTCAAAAGCAGTATCAAAATAGCAATACCAAAAGTGTTGGGTTTCTTGGTTGAAAAAAAAAAACAAATCGAAAATTAATTAAGAGACAAAATTGACAAAAGCGTGAGTTACGAGTGTTTCTGTGGCAGTTTATATAGAATCAATGAAACTACGTACCCGCAGAGCCAAACGGTGCTCCAAGCATCAAAACCTGAACACAGAAGTCAGAACAAGGTTATCAAGATTTTAATCAATAAAAGATAAATCGTTCGTTGGCTACTTCAGAAAAAAAAACTCACTAAGATTATAGAGGAGAAATAAATAGCAATATCAGTGAAAATGGTATCAGTGAAATTTGGGGAGAAAAAATAATGAGGATCAAGATTTTTTTATTAAAATACAATCAGGACTCAATTAGAAACTTACAGATTTATAATTAGGACATAATTATGCGAGCTTTTTATCATTCCAAATACATAAAGCCGTAACCTAGAAAGCGGGATAAGACATAATATGGAGATATTATGGCATTTTGCTAGGCCAAATCGAACAAGTTCTTTTTTGTTTGTTTTCTTCAACACAGCAAAAGATGTTCAACTCACCAGAATGGTTAACAATGCAGCTCCGACCCTCGTCATTGTCGCCATATTCCACATACCAACAGAATTATCTTTATGATCTGCTGATATTTCTCGAACTTCTTAGCTATTCCCAGACGAATGGACCCATTTCAGCCCCCAGCAAAGAGGAGAACTGAGTTTCTTTAAGATGGCGTCCTCTGTTTCACAACTCTTTCCCTTCTTCTGGTTCTTTCCTTGCAAGACGTCTGTGCGGTGCGCATCGTCTTACATAATTAATGAGACTTTGTATTGATTACTGTGTTACTTTGACTCCCAAATCCTCCCCATGAACAAGAAGCCCACATTTCTGATCGCCAATATCGATTTTTGGAACACAAAGTAATAGCTGTTAATAGCACACGTTATGAAAAGGCTAAACGTGCGTCGGCGAAATGTTTAACCATCAAGATGAAAACGTTTCCCTTTTCTTGGACGGAAAACATCCTGCTGTTATTTTCTGAATTTAACTCGAGACTCTACTTAATTCGGCCTAAAAGAGCTGTTGTTCAATACATAGGCCTATAAAGGATCTTAAATATCTTGTTCAATTAGATCTCAGTAACAAACTAGAACTCGGAGCACCACCGATTTTTTTTGTTGCTGTGCACAAACCCATATAACATTTCAATGTCTTACCACAGTGCTCTTGGTATTATTATTCAGGTTTTGAAAACTTAAATAATTGTAGTAGTATTTCAAATCGGATCTGTTTGTAGACGAAAAGAATTAAAAGACCTTTTCAAGAAGGTTGCAGACACCCAAAATAGAATAGGCATGTTTTGGGGGATACAAATACAACACTCGCTGAGGTCAACATTCGTTTGGAGAAAAAAATATCAAAATGTTATAGTGGAGTACGGATATATCATTAAACTGCACACTACAGGCGAGCCGAGCTGCATATACCATTGGTTTAGTTGCCTTATACGCGCAACAATCACCTAGAGTGAGAAAGGCAAGTTTTTTAACAGCAAAATATCAACAGCCAATCAAGGACCGCATAATTTGCATGTTACTGCGCAGGATTATCCTCATTTGCATATACCGGTAGCTGCATTGAAGTGGGCATTGTTTTGGCTGCTTTCCAACTCCTGATCGATACTTTCGTGTCCTTGCTATTCTTCGCTGTATTTTATTTGGCCTTTAAGCGCAATGAGAGAGATGTTGTGAAATACATATCAAATTGAGGGCGCCCTATAGTAGGTGCACTGGAGTCAGCTTTGAACAAGGGTTTTATTATATTGATTGGGGGACATAAAAGACTTGGAAAAGTAGCGTGGAATTTGTGCGCTGTCTTTTTATTGGCTGTCTGCTGGCGCACTTACCGACCAGTAAATAAATCGCCATGGACATGAATGAAAACTACCCTCACTTCACCAAACAAAAATCTTTTCGGACCTCTGGAAGTTTTAAAGACAAACATCAAATTAAAGCTGAGATTAACACTTCGTTTACTTTCTAAGTAATTATTTTATGTTTGATATTCATTTGTTTAGCTACTGACTTAATATTTCTACTACATTAAACTCAAAAAGGCACGAACCATAACGGGCACCACGTTTAATTAAATATGCCAAAACTATTGCCCCCTGACTCCGCCTCCTGGCATCAGGTCTATATACAGTAATGTCACACAGTTGCTCTATTGAAAGGTTAACAATGAAACTGAATTTTTTCCACCAAAATTTCTGTCAAGAGTTCTACAACTATTAGTTTCAGCACAATGCACAAATACAATATCAACACCTTTTACTCAGATCCAAAACTTGTCTCGGTAGAAACAGACTAAAACAAGAGCTGAAATGGCAGCTAACTTTAAGGTTATAGATATATTTTTGCTAGACCAGGCATATTTTATCTACATTGAAAGTAGAATTTGGTATTTACCATTGCCATGTTGCAGCCATTTGATTTTTTCCCATTCAAATCATTGTAACCAAAGCGAGGGTGGAAGAAAAATAGTCTGGTTCCTTTTTGCACAAAAACATTATCATTCAGTACTGTTATTGGATACAAGGAACATGACTAAAATGGTGGCAGCATGATAAAGGTCTATTGTCTTTGTTGGGGAGGTAAAGGGGTGCAGAGGAACTTCTAATAGCCATACTATGGCCAGTGATTAAACCACTTTTCTACCTCAACTGAAAATGACCCGTCATTTAAATTGAGTGGTAATGAAATACAATTCATCTGCTCATGCGTATCACAGGAGAACAAAGACCTGCCATCAGATGTGACTTCAGATACAAGGGGTCTATCAACTCTCAATTATATCTAATTTAGTATCGCACATTATGTTTATGTCAATGTGCATTCGGATCACTGCAATACATATTAAGAAAATATTCTACACAAATTCTTTTACAAATCTGCAGGTATTAAGCGCAGCACGAACCCTGTTACTAAATACAAGGCTTAAGTTAAAGTATAATTTCGAGGTTTTACCATTTTCAAGAGTGAGGCATTATTATGTTTAAGAAAAGCTACTCTTTTTTTGAAGAATTTAGAAAGCTTCCTTCTGTAAAACTGTATCTGGGAGTAAGGTAAGGGTCAAACTAAGGTGGCAATGTTTTGGTTGGGAGTTTTGTTCTAGCTGCTGAGGTATATCCGCCTGTCGGATTTCTGTGTTCCCCGCTCGGCTCGGATGAACAGATTCAGTCGATCCACCATGGTGGTCAGTTTGTTCCTTAGCAACCTCATCTCTGCATCTTTAGGATCAATGCCTAGGGAAAAAAGTCATCCGTAAATATGAAAGTTTCTATGATGTTAGCTTGCCCCATGCCTTGAATGGTGTTGAAATTAGAGTTTCCATTTGGGAAGTTTTACGACTGTTATTAATTTTATAGAAGTCCTTTTACAACTTTCTTTGACATTACCTGCGCTATGTTTGGTCTTTGGGAGCTGTACATTCGGTGTACGTTACATTGTGGAATCAATTTTTTTTATGTTATGCACCATCTACTCTTGCAGCAGTACATACCTTCAATGTATTCCTCCTTCTGGACCGGTTTAATGAGTCGACGTTCAGAGTAGCCGCTCCATCGCTTGAATCGCTGCATCATGAATTCCACAATCTCCAGCTCATTCTCTATGGCTTCATTGTCGTGTCGCACCTGAAAGGGTAAGCAATCGGGAGGCGATAGTCAACGGTGATGCGCAGTGCGCCCCCTAGAGTTTGCATGGAAAATGCCACTTTTCAAACTCATGGTCGACTTCGCGCATGTACCGGCAGCGCAGTTTATTACCTGCCCTGTAATGTTATCATGTGGTACATACAGCACATACCAAAAACGTTTTTGGAGACTCATGATAATTACCATACCAAATATACACACGAATGATTTCTTACCTTCCCGAATGTCTCCATGATAATAGACAGAAACATGTTGATCATGATGAAGACAATGATGACCACGTAGGTGAAGAAGAAGGCGGGACCCAGGAAACTGTGCACGGATATCATGTCTTGAAAATCAAATTTACCTGCAAAGAGAACAAGTTGTTCATCAAATTTCATAACTTTTTCAACATATTCTCAATTTCCGAGCGTGCCCCCCCCATCGCGACGTCCATGGCTGTCACGTGGTTTCGTGGAATGATGAACAGAGAGAATAATTGTAAAGCGCCTTGAGTTGTTGAGGCGATGAAAAGCATTCAAAGAAAATATCTCTTGTAAACCAAACTGCGCTCGGACAACATTGAGTGTACAGTGTTTATGAAATTATGAGCTGATGGGCAAAAACCAAATTATGTTGAATTCACATTTCCGCAACACATCAACTCCATCATATAAAAAGTAATTATGTGTATCAGTTGAAGCTTTATTTTCATTTCAGATATTAACAAAAAAAATCTTAAAAACTTAAAACAATTACAAACTCGGAAAAAAAAGACTTTTTATTTCAACTTTAATGCTGAATTTCTGCCCTTCCTAAATTCCAACCCCTAACACAACTAACCCAACATTGTTGAGAACAGCGTCTCAAGTGTCCCAACAAAGGTACTGAAGTCTTCCAAGTGAAGGTGGAAAATGGCGTAGGCAAAGAGGGCGTAGGCGCCAAAGACGATGCCGAAGACCACTGAGTAGTAGGCCAGGTCCTTGGCACATTGTCGCAGCGTCATGGAGAAGAGAAGGAGGCGACGGTTGAAGCGAAGGAGACGGATGAACTTGACGTTGACCAGGAAGAGGACGAAACCTGAGATGTAGCCGTACAACTGGAATGATGATGCGGTAAAAAAAAATCGTTAAGTGATGTGTGTATGTGTCTCTGTATCTAATGCTAGGTTCACACATTCCCGAATTACTTATGAATACAAGAATAAACCAAGAATTAAAATTGATCCCCGAATCACCCTGCCAATTTTGAACATCACCCTGACAATTTTGAACTCACAGAATAATCCCGAGGCAGCCAAGAACCATCCCCGATTTACTCAAGATTCTCTATTCGTAAAGCGATTCAGCTTAAAATTCGGGAATGTGTAAACCTAGCATTACAGGCATGCATAATGTACGATATAAATGTGCAAGTGTGCGCACAGCTTAAGGTCTGCCGTCCATTTCGGGGGTACCACCCCCACTCCCTAAAACCCAGGGTAAACCGATATTTACATTGGCTGCAATCACAAATCAAATTTGACACATGGGATAAACAAATCAAATTATCTGGAATTCACTAAACAGTATATTATTTTGTCAAAACGTTCTGCTGCAGCAACGAAAAAAAAAATAAAGTTTCTAAACTACTCTTAAAGTAGGCGTATACGTGCTTTTTGGGTGTGGCACCTTCAAAGTAAATTTCATATTGAATTGATAATTTTCTAGCATCACATTAGTTATGAGTTTTTCAATGAGACATTGGACGAAAAAAAATCGGCCCTCGACAAGTAATCAATTAATTATTTTCAACTTTTGAATTAAGAGCGGGACGCTCCTAATTCGTTCTGAATATAGTGTGGGCAATATCTGAACTTGAGCGCGCCATTTAAAACCACGTTTTAAAACTGTACAAAGGCCTGTAAAAACAAACAAGCAAATTCACTTGAACAGGACATTATATTTCCTTTAAATTTCGTTCGGAAAAGAAAATCAAAGTTTTAAAAAAGCACGTATATACCAACTTTAACATTTTAGAAATCAACTGCTTTCAGAGAAAGTTTCCACTGCGAATGACTTTCAAATTCTTACATTTCTTAAAATAAAAAAAAATATTTTTTTTCCCAGAAATATTTTCTCGTCTCACTCCTTATATTTTTTTTGTACCTGGTCCCAGTAGGCCACAAAGTGAAAGTTCAGGAACGTCTTGGGTTGCGTCCGCCATTGCTCCATCAGGTCCCAACCAACGAACATCCGGTAGAGATAGAAGACGATACTTGCCACCGCTAACCCAATAATACAGACCTCGCACAGGTTCCAGACGCTGTCGAAATATGCCCGCTTCTCCCGGAAGATGTTTTTGATCTCCCGGAACAGGAAGAAGACTATGAAGAGCGTGTAGATGATCTGGCCGGCGACCACGAAGTAGGCAAAGGCACCGATGTAGCGGTCGAGTCGGATGGTCCAAAAGTAGGGGAAGGGCAAAGCCCCTGTTTGAGAAAAAAATGTACTAAGTAAGAAGATAAGAAAGAAAAGTAAAAATAAAATCTGGACAATAACAACTTCTTTTCTGCAACTATATGGAAAAGTCAGCCAAAACAAAATAAAAAAGTAATCACAAGTAACGTCACAAATTCAATCACAATACAAGTGACAAGTTGTTTGAATGAACTACAGGGTGGTGCAAAAAGACGGAAACTCACTTTTGACAGAACTTTTAACCTGGTTTTAAACTGCTTTTTTTATTTATTTATATTTTTACATATAATGTATATAGTGAAGTATAGCTTTTCAACCATACGCGGTGAAATTTTTTAAAAATAAAGGCCAGAAGAGTGCTTTTATGCTAATTTGAATACAAGTCACTAACATCACTGTTGTCCACGTGTAAGTCTAGTGTAGTGCTTTTTTCTCTTCAAATCAAGCTCCGGAGCTCATGGAATAAAGCCGTCCGTGGACAAACAGGTTTGGCACATGAAATATTTAAACTACTATATCTCAGAGACAAAATATGCATTTGTAATCATTTTTTCGTCACTTAATGTTTTAAGATCACTATTTTAATAGGTGAAATTGAATTTTTGAAATATGCCCAAAAGTAGGTGAAAATTGCTGTCAAAAGTGGGTTTCTTTCTTTTTGCACCACCCTGTACGATATTCCTTTGTTTTTGTTCAAGCGGTAGCTACAATTTCAGAAATGTCTGAGATTGTTTAGGGAGAAGTATTCTGAAGTTCCTCCAATGGGTGCTAATTTGCAAATTTCAGCAATTTTTCCCAAGGCAATTTGAGGTATTTTTTGTGGGTGTCATATTCCTTATTTTAAGGGGAGGCGGGTGATTTAAATTGTGACCAAGTTAGCTGAAACCTAAGTTGTACAGCTAAATACATATGTGCTAGTTTGGAGTTACGTTATACTTTTCGTTTTGTTTTGTTTATAAACACTTTTATTTACCAATTACATTGGCAAAGCATTCGCGATATTGGCCACCAATTCGGGTCAAGCCTTTAAACACAATCTTGCAATCCAAAACTTTCTGGTTCGCAGGAATTAACCCAGGTTTTTATTTCTTAAATCTGCGTTTCACCTCCTTGGGGTAGAAACTCCACCAGCAGAAACGATGTTGCGTACATGTTGATGTTCACATTGTACACCACAAACTCCATGAAGACCGCCCTCGTGTGTTGATCGACCCACATATCTCGCTGGAGGTCGGCCACGATCTGTAGGTTTTCCGCCAAGCTGTCGCCGAGTTCGATGATGTAGCCGCCACCGTTATAGAAGGCGTGCTTTCCGTTGTACGGGAACGAGGAAACGTCGTACCAGTGGTTGTACTTCCATGAGGCTTCGTACCGGTCGGCATAGTTTGGCAGAGCTTTGAATAATGAATCAATGTTTGTTTTTTATAGCGACAAAAACAAAGAGTTGATTCAAACCTGTGACCTCAGGAATGCCAATACCAGCAATTAATACAAACTAAACTATTGGCCACAAATTGGCAGTCTATCGATTTGCGAGTTAATATGTATACTATTTTTTTTTTTTAATATTGAGTTCACAAAGAACATTTTTAAGATTGGTTTCGAACCTACCTTCAGAAAAAATTTCACTTGCAAGAGATCAGGCAGGACCGGCTAAATTGAAAAAAATATCTAAATTTGGTTTTGGACCGAGACTAGGATTTGCTTAACGCACACAAGAAGTTATAAACAGCGTTCAGTATTGAGTGCCATCGGGATGAAATGTGCCATCAGTCCAGGGAAATTCTAATTTTGAGGATCTTTGGCCCTTAATGCAAAGGTTATTTCTAAGAAATAAAGAGACCAGAATGCCACAAATTGGACCAACCTGATGCATTGAGAGGTTTCCAACCGATGTCATAGCTAGTAGCATCTTCGTTACTGATACTATAGGGTGCTCGGCAGTCGTGCGATTTCATCGTGGTCTGCATCACATCAGGAGTTGCGCATGCATCTGCGCTCATCGGACGCAATCAAAGAAATCCAGCTAATTGTTTTGTGTATAATAATGTGTCTGTTTCTCCCTAAAACGACTTGTTATTGCCCAAGCAGTATGCAAATTTGTTTTTTTTCCACAACAATTAAAAAAATTGCTTTCAATTAACTTTTAAGTGAGGCGGGAACTGAAAATTGTGCCAAGTAAGAAGTGTGTTAAATAGTGATGTGTTCCGTGAAAAGCAGACTCTTAAAGCAGACTCTTTGATAAATACACAAATGTAGGTCTGTAAATTATGTCATTTTTCGGTGGGTGATGTCCAGTGGTAAAAACCCCCGAGAAATTATCTGTTACAGTTTTCTGCAGGGTATTTTCTTGATTTGCTACAAATCGTCTAAAATCTCCTTTGAGGCAAAATTTGTACAATTTATTTGAGACATTTTTAGGATCACAAATTTGCCCCCCGTAAAAAATCATCCCCTATAGATTTTTTTTTATTCGTATAGCCACTTTACGATCTGGTTTAAAGCTGCTTGTCTTGAAGAAAAAGAAGCACATGCAAGATATAAATTAACACATCAGATCGGAAAAAAATCTGCCATCCTTGAATTTGCTCCTAAAGGGTCAAACTTACCTTTCTGGATTCGAAGCTGTCGGAATCTGACCCTCCCAATAAGATGCATGTTATTATCGGCCAGGAAATTCTCCCTGCGACCAATTTCATCCGGGTCACCATTGTACCAGTTGTACGAATACAAGGAAGGAAGGAAAACATTCTCCGTGTAGTTCCAGAAATGATCACGTCCACGAATCTTAAAACAAACAGAACACAAAACAGTTGCGCAAACGAAAAGAGAAACGCTTTTAAAGTTAATAGACACCACTTGCGGGTTTTTTTGGGCCGATTTAAGGAACAACAGTTTAATATCTGAAGCAGGTTATTAAAAAACTAATTTGTCGAAATTTCAGCTAAGTATAGATGTCATGGCCCTCCCTTCCAAATGTTCATTAATACGTTGTGACTGGCACTCCCTAGTTGGTCACTCGAGAAAAATAATTCTCTCTGGGAAAATATACTGTTAATTTTCTTAATCGCAAGGCTTTGTGAAATAAATGCGATCCACCTTAGTGAACAGTAAGCGGCCGTTGTACGAAGCCTTGACGAACATGTCCGTCATAGATTTGTTGACGTAGTAGACGTTAGGGTCCCGGTCTCCGAAGCAGATGAGCATGGTGACGTTGAGGAAGATGAGATAAAAGATAATCTCCCGGATTATCTTGTGCATCTTTATTTCTTTGAATCTGATGAGCAGAAAAACAGGGAATTAAGTTTTGAGGCTTTGTTCAGCAATAAATCTCAGCTTACACAGTGTCCATCTCAATTCATATCCGGGACGAGTTCCAGACAAGTTGCGGGTAGAATCATTCACGTTGTCCAGAAGAAGTTCTGCGATTGTCCCGGACATGTTCCGGGGAAATCTTCATTAGCAACTGCTTGACTCGCCATTGCGGGAAGATTACGGGGAAGTAGTTCAGACTCATGCAACTTATACCCGATACAATGCCCGCAAGTTGTCTGGAACCCGTCCAGGATATGAACTGAGAAAGGTCCTTTGCAGCTTAACAACAGTGGCCCTGGTTATTAGTATTGTAATTACTAGTATTGTAAAAAGTGGTTGGGAGTAAAGCGCTTTTTTTCCAAATAACATAAAAATGCAACTCTAATAAGCAGTTGGTAATCAGTATTTCAAGATGTATTATTCATGCTATTGTTGACTTTCACTGCCCTTCCGTTTTACTTGCCTTTTTTTGCTAGTAATATACACAACTGTTCTTCGATTTCGAATGAAACATTGAAAACAAAAATTGCTCCACATTAAAAATGGCACAAAATTGCACACATTTTGCTTTGTTTTGCAGCCAGCAGGGAAGACTGGTTTTAGCCCCTGCATCCGGATCGAAATGTACGGAACAGAACCAGGAACCAGTCTGCTTGCAGAGCATATATACTGCAACCTAAAAAGAATACCGTTTAGTTGGTTACATTATGCCCAAAATAGAAACCAAGTATTTTTCAATAAAAAAACAAAACAAGCAAAATGAGCAATTGTTGTCACCTGATGTCTCTTGCTTCAGCCAGCTCCTCAGGGTGCAATGGAGCCAGGTTCTTAGCCGAAGCCTGGTCCTTAATTTGCCTCAGTTCAGCCTTCTTGGCCGGGTCTTGCAGCTCTTCCATCGTCATGCGATCGTGAAGCCACTCCTCGTCATCTTGGAGATGCGGCGCCATCACTAGGTTGCTGTTCTCCTCCTTCTCGGGGTCGCGGATAACCAGAGAGAAAAAGAGGGCCAGAAGCAGCACCTGTGGGAAAAGGTTGAGATGGAGGTTAAAATGGCAGTTTTAAAGGGCACATTGCCCTGAAATTGCCAATTATTTTTTATGATTTAAATTGTTTACCTTATCTTATTTGAGAGGTCTGGTTGACAGGAAGCTATTCGTAATGGCACACTGTTCCTCAAAAACAGACAAAAAATCCCAGATTGTTCACTTCTAACACGGCAGACATTTTGTGGCTTACACAGTACGAATACAATTTTCAAACTTGCCTATGGGAAGTGAAATTCAGCCACTTCTATACAGGTGCATGTGTTATTGTAAGCCATAACCAATTAATTAAACGTGACCGTAGATAGACGACCCATGTCCACTGTATGCACACGATAAGATGATTTGAGTCTGTGTCCATTCAAGGAACCTTAGCACTAGGTTACGAAAGCTGTACATGACCAGAAATTTACTCTGAGCGATGAATGTTTGTGCATTTCATTTTCTCATGAGTTGGGGAGGAATTTTTGCCCACCTTACCTTGAAAGGCTGGGTGAAGAATATGTCCTGGATCAACGAGAAGCACATGGAGGTCAGCCACTCGGTGGCTTTAGTCCGGCCAAACTGACCGGCAACCTCAATGGTCAACCAGAACGCCACGGCAACCGAGGCCACCACCAGCAGCCAGGCCAGGCAGCAGAGTGGCCAGGGCAGCTCCAGACCCTTCCTGACCCGCCTGGTTTTCTTGAATCCCAGGACTGGCCGGAAGGTTTGGCCATCCCGGGGTGATTCGGTGTCAGAAGTGGGATCAGCGAGGAGGTCTGCCTTTGGTTGCGATTGCAGGCTTGTCTGGCTGTACACATTGAGGGAGATGCTGGGAATGCTGCGGCTGGACTCCTGGGCATCCATGCGAGCCAGTTCCTGCAATTTTGACAATGACATTCCAAAAAATCTTTGAAATTGTGTGCGTTTTCTTTGGTACATCTGAAATTCAACACCTTTATGCCAATTGAAGAAAAATTTTAATAGTAAAAAGACAAATGTTACATTTTCTAGGTCGTTAGTGGCACTGGACTGCTCGCTATCAAAGGACGTTCTTCGGAATTTATCCACTTTTGCCTGATTCTTCCTGGTACTAGTGCATGATGGGATAGGTCTGGACAACCTGAAGAGCTGAACCACAATGAGGTTGATTGGCAGGACCATGAGGCTGCTGATGACCCCGATGACGACCTGGCCAAAGGTGAAGCTGATTGGTCCAATGGTGTACACCAACTACGAGGAGAAAAACATACGGAAACGTTTGCCAGCTTTCATCTCATGAAAGACTTTGACACACGTGGGCCACACTTGACTCCAACCTTCCCTTGTTGAAGGGTTTCACAAGGGTGTTGCAACTTCCCAGTAAGGTGGAAAACAGGGATGTAGTCGAGACCATGACAAATCTCTGCAAGTGCACGACAAGAGCTCCAGTCCCAATTCAAGTCACAAGCTATTCAAATGAGCTTTGACAAAGGCATTACTCTGTTATTGTTCATTCACTGTTTATACTTGTGACTGGACTAATGTGGTTTACTTGTGACTGGAGTTGTGATGGACTCGACAAGATCCATGGTGGGAAACCATCCCATGTAAACCTGAGTGCCGGAGACGTCTGCAAAGTCCACGCCATAGAAGAAGATATTGGCCATCATGGTGCAAAAGAGCAAGGAGAGGCAGCACGTGGCACGCTGGACCCTGGTGAACTTGCTCTTGACCGGCCTGGTAAAGATGGAGAACCAGAGATGCGAGTCGCTCAGGTTGCGTCGGGTCTTAGTGTAGAAGAGGTGGCCGAAGCTGGTCAACTCACTCTTACCAGCGACTGGAATGACACGCTCGATCTGAAAATGAAACAGAATGGGATTTTTTTAACACGAGTTACAATTATTGTATGGCCTCTGACAAACAGCAGTGAGATTGTGGAAATATGAAAAAAAATCTACGAAATATCGGCAAAGGATTTGAGAGACTTTGAGGGCCACAGAGCAATGTTGGAAGTAAAAGAGTTCTATAGACGAAAATGAGTTTCGGCATCCAAAGGCTAGGAATATTTTTTTTCACTGTTTTATTGAATAAGTATAATATTCACTGAGCTGAAACTTCAACAGGTTAGGTTTTTAACAGTCCTCTGTTCATTCTGAACGGTGTTATTTATAGTGGAAACGAACAAAATGTAAAAAAGGCAAATGATCCTATTATGCCATTAATGACTGTACCGTTCTCTTCAAGGCAATTTTAACTGCTAAAATTGATTACTTTCAATAGCCTATTCTTTCCTTTTCAGATTGTCTTTTTTCCCTCTTTTTTTCATTCTGGAGTGTGGACGGGGGTTGGGGTGGGGTAGGGGTGGGGTGGGGGAGGGGTGAGGTCGTTTCGCCATTACAAAGTGCTAAAGATTACCCACCATGCCGTCGTCTTCCTCCACCGCCAGCCACCGGTCGGCCATGAAGTAAAACGTCCGGTCTAGGCGCAGGTCCTTGACCATGATCCGTGCCAGATACCAGGAGGGCTGTTTCCCACGATTGTCGTGCCAGACCCGGATGTGATTCAGGTTACCTAAAGGGGCGGGGCTTGCCAGCAGGAAAGAATCCACGCCCCCGGTCTGGAAGACCTTGCGTTTGGGATCGCGCAGGACGCGAGGGGCGCTGTCGTCTAGATCACCACTCATTAGAATCGTAACATTGGCTGTTGTACCTGTTCAGTATTTTAAAAAAAAATCATTCAATTCAGAATTTGGGCAATTGTGGGCAACAACACGTGCGCGTCTCCATGCAACCACACTGCATGATCCAGATGCGCACAAAATATTATACAAACGCACGCATGTCGTACGTTTGTCTGACATTAGTCATGTCTGTTTGTAGTCAAAATGATGAGGGGCAAAGCTTTGGAATAATTTAATAATTGGTTATGCATACCATACCCGTACTCCACGCCATTAGTGCGAAAACTAGTGAGTGCGCAAACCAAGTCCAACCCACCCAAAACCCAGATTATAATAAGCGATTTTGGGGACCACACTCCTTACTGCTTTTGCACAAAGACAACAATTTTGAAAATTATAAAATACCGACAAAGAAACATCCGTAAAATTTCTTACCAGCATTTCTTTTCACTCCGGTGTATACCGTAATTACATAACGGAAGCGGTCTCGTGGATCATTGTCCGGTAAAGGAGTAATGCCAGCCTGGAAAATAGAACAGTTAAACATTGGGCAAAATAAAATGATTATTTAGTAAAAACATTTTTTTCTGTACCAATTAGGTATCGGCTGAAAGCTGATGTTGTGGCCTATTTATTTTTTGAGCAACCAAAAATGCTTGCTCACTGTAATATAATTGAGTGGGATTTATATTTACTTCAATGCCGTTTCTCTCAAACTAGTTTTTTCAACTTCAATAAAATTGGCAATCTGTATTTCTTATCTGACTTTAAAAGCTCTTGTTCAGGAGCAAGTTAAACCACTTTGTTGTGATGACAGGTCACGTGACCTCTGTTCAATGGCGTAACTGGGTCCAATTTGCAAAAAAGTAGTGGGGGAGGGGGGTCGCAGATTATGGAGGGGGCACTCAATAGTTCTTACAACAAAAAGTTATTTTTGCCGTCCCAACTTCTGAGTATGGCGGAGACAACGGGGGGGGGGGGGGGGGGGGGGGCAAAAGGGGCCACAGGCCTCTAGGGTGAAGGGGGGGGGGGCAAATTCCTCCGCGCGCCCCCTCATAATGGCCCCTGCCACTGCAAGTATACCTTGACAATGTCTCTCTTATCAACCTTCCGTGCCCAGATGATGACCAGCAGGTACAGCGACAGGCAGCAGATCATGAAGATGAAGACTACGGGGTTCTCATCCAGCTTGAGGAAGGCCGAGTCCGACAGGTCGATGTGGTTGATGGGGATCTTCAGACCTCCACCAAACATGGTCAGGTGATTGCAGAAACACTGTGTCATCGTGTCCGTGCTGTTCTCACCGACCTGTTTCCATCAGGTTTACAATTTTAAAAAAAGTTGCAGTTAAATACATGATAATGCAAAGGCATACAGGATCATTTGGTTTGGCATTTTGTTCGTTTCCACTCTAAATAACACATTCAAAATCCAAAAAGGCTGTTCAAAACCAAACCTGTTGAAGCTCCAGCTCATCAGTGGATATTACACTTTTCGAGAAAATAACGAAAATCCATGCTCAACTTTTTGGTCTATAGCACTCTTTGTTTCCTATGATCAGGCAATTGACTGATTGTTGGTAGTCATCTAAATTTCTTGATTTCTTCTTAAAGACAGCAAGCCAGTGGAAATAATTTCACAGGGTGTTTAGTACCAGTTCGATCTATCAGTCCTCTATATATGTATGCTTCTTGATAATAACTCAGGTGGCTACTTTTGGGATAAATGCAAATGATCCCATATGCCTTTAAATATATGCGACTGGATGACCTGTGACTGACTTGTGTTCCTGGACAAGATATATTATTTCAATTGCCTCACTTCACCCAGAAGTTAAAATGAGATTCCTGTGCGGGTAGAGATCACATTGGACTGATCTCAAGCTGTTGCAGAAAAATGGTCTCATGGCCTGATAAACAGGGGTAATAATTCGTCAGCGACACCACGAAGTGACACCAATGTACATACCAGTAAAAACTAGCAATCGGAGAAAACGGCATCTAAAGTTGAACGCCTTCTAAAGCAACACTTTGCGTCAAAACGGCAGAGTATTTTCAGATGGGTTTCTCGTTGTGGACACTTGATGAATTAAATTTATTAAATCTGCTGTTTTTCACCCGTTTGTGTATTAAATCAACAAGAAATAAGAAAGAAAAAAAACCCACGTTTTTAAGCAGAGTGCGCGTCATGCATTGCAATGGTAAATGGAACTTGAGTGTTACTTCGTGAAAACGAAAATTGTCAGTTTTGCGCAAAAGTTGCCATGAATAATTAGCGTAATTATTAAAGTAAAGCTCTTGAAACTTTGAACTGTGTGCAATGGTAGGCCTTGATGAATAAATGTTTAAAAATGTAAAAAACTGAAAATCGAAAAAAAAATGGTTTAACACGTAGCGTGTTTCTTCGTGGTGTCGGTGACGAAAGGTTAAGTTCTTTTAGACATTGCTCTATAAGAACAACCTTAGATATTAATTATTATTATCATCATCTAATCCAAAGTAGTCTTCATTGTTATGGTTGTCACATAGTATATAGTGCTACTTGAAGTGGGTAAGCCCTTTCTTATTTTACCAAAATTATTTAAACCAAATAGCGCATTCATAATGTGGCCACCGAATCTCAAAAAGAGTAAATGCATCTAATTTCAAAAGAAATGAGATAGCTAACCCTTTAGTTGGAATTCATTCAATTTAGATTTCGATTGAGCTTTTTGTTTTTATTTATAACACCTTCGTAGCCCTAAAGCCAAATTGCGAGTGTGTTGCATCAGATAAATATCAAAAAATTAAGCAGAATAAGACGATAGTCATTGGAGAAACAAAAATGAAGAAGGCATAAAATCAACGTATAAAGGAAAAAAAAAGAAAAAATTGTTTAAACCATATAATCACAAACATACTTACACATAAACAGCAAAACAATACAACTAATAATAAAAAAACCCACAAAAACAAAGGCCAGCAAGAACCTATTGAATGGAAGTTGTAATTTATAAGTAGAAACTAACAAATAAAAAAAAAATACGTTGGGATACATACAAATATCATGAAGGAAAAAGTATATAGAAACTATTTATTTAAAAGATCAAGGAGAAAGGAGACTGGACTTTTCATGAATATATGTGTTCTGCTAGGTAAAATAGACAATTTGCACGATTAGCTTTTGGACGTTTGAGCAATGTTGCAACCTTCGGCTGTTTCAAGGGAGTCCAAACTACAAAGGAGCAGATCGTGTTTGCATGTATCGGATTTATTTTCTCAAATTATCGTGCAAGCTCTTTCTTGCAGAAAACCAACACAAACGGAAAGAACTAAGCGAAGAAAAACATCTGACAAAAAGTTTACCTCACAACCACGGGTGGACCATTGAGTCTGCGTATCTCCGATTGCGAGACAGGTGTACAGGGACGATGTAAGAGCGTAGTACATGGGATGAAACCGTCTGTTATCCAAGGACTCTGAACTAGTCTTGTCACTCTCATCCATTGCATTGGATGAAAGCGATACTTCGTGGTTCACGCCGTATTGTAAGGAAAGCAATCCTCCATTTCCGAGGCTGAATAAAATAAAAAGAAGTGCAGAACATATAACAGGACATAGTTATAATATGAACCTAAGTTACCTAGCCCGAAATGTTTTTGGTTTAGAGGTAATGTCTAAACTTTTGTATGCTTCTGCCCTTTCATATAGGCAGGTTCCAGTTCTACGAATACTTCTGCAAAATGTCATGCCTGTAATTCCAAAACAAAGAGATTTATATAGAAATGTTTGGGTTTGTGCATCCATCTTCAATCTGTTGCTAATGAAAATATTTCTGCTTCCGGAAAGCACTGTGGTCAAGTTTTACATAAGACATCCGCAATGGTAAGCAGGAGGCTGTGGTTCTTAGTCCCAACTGAGTAAGACAATTACGTTATGTCATTGAGGAGCAAAGCCCAACATTGAAACTTAAATCCTTACATGTCCAATTGATCGCTGACAAAGAAACATCTTGTCTGGGAGTCGTTGGAGAGGACGGTGCTGTATCCCAGATCCCAGGATTCATTGCTTGGGATATAATCCTCTTCTACTGTCACTCGTTGTCTTAAGGTGCAGTTTAAGTCGTGTATTTCTGAAAGAAAATATCAGGACGTTATATCCTTTAATGTCTGACATGGAAATCAAAGTTGAGAGTACCTGAAGATAATTGTCTCAGATTAATGACATATCAATCACAAATCAAATCAGAAGTCATATCACAACTTAAATTAAAAGTCAATCCCAAATCAATCACAGGTCAGTCACAAGTCAATCAAAAGTCAATCACAAGTCAATTATAATTCAATCACAAGTCAATCAAAAGTCAATCATAAGTCAATCACAAGTTAATCTCAAGTGAATCACAAGTCAATCACAAGTCAATCACAGGTCAGTCACAAGTCAATCACAAGTCAATCACAGGTCAGACACAAGTCATTCTAAATCAATCACAAGTTAATCATAAGTCAATCATAAGTCAATCACAAATCAATCACAAGTCAATCACAAGTCAATCACAAGTCAATCAGAAGTTGATCAATCATAAGTCAATCAACCACAAGTCGAATAAAAAAAAGCAATCATAAGTCAATCGCAGGTCGATCACAAGTCAATCACAAGCCAGTCACAAGTCAGTCACAAGTCAATCAGACGTCAATCCTAGTCAATCACAAGTCATGGATAAGATGTCACGTGATGTATGTTGCCTTCGATTGGCTCCTATATGTGCTACACAAGAACACTTGAAAACGTTTTTCAACTTTTAGGCTAAGTAAGATTGAAACCAAGGTTAAAATACCTAGTGACGGGTTTCCTCCCTGTCTCAAGAAGACGTAGAGAATGACGTCATATGACGAGCCTTTCTGCATGTCGTCTGTACCCAGGGATCTCACTTCTAACGACAATGCATTGCGAGACGGCACATCTAAACGATGATGATGAAAATCAGGTTTTCAACATTTCATAAAATTGATTGAATAATGTATGGAGGAAAGTGGTGCTTGACTCGTGCTTCAGTACACGGGCTCAAACCCTGACGGGGAGCATGGCGCTTGTGTTCTTAGGCACGACATTGTACTACAATTGCCTCTCTCAATTTTTGATTTGTTTTATTGTTCATTTTTTTTGCACTTCCTCATAAGTCTAAAACATACTTTTAAAAATTTAGACTATGATTCTTTACAGGTCATTTTATTTGGGGTATATCAGTTCAAGAGTTACATAATCCAAAACCTAATTAACATACGATTTCTCTGTGTTCACTTTTGTGAACTTTCTGAATTCCAAAGAGTGACATTAGGGACTAGACGTTTTAGAGTGAAAATTACTCTCATTTTAGGTTGACAAAGTCTGAAAAACGAACCACTTCAGTCAAAGCTCGAGTGAAAACTCGATCTTTACGATGGAAGGAATTTCACTCTAAAACGTCTAGTCCCTAGTTTCCGACTTTGGGGGTGAATCTTTACTCAAATGGAGTGAATTTTCACTATTTGGAATTTAGAGAGAAACCAAACTTTCAACTTGGCATAAATTTGCCAATTTCTAAATGTACATGGACAAAAAATTACAAACAGGAAAACTTATTAAAAAAACCTCAATTGTAAGAAATGGAACACATTACAAGTGTCCAGGTTTTCCAAAACTTGACCCACCTATCTGATGGACAACCATCTTTCCCCCGACCGGCGCAGTCCGATTGACGTAGACCACTTTCTCAGTCGAAGACCCATTAACAGTCAGGTGATCTTTGTTCCTGACCACGCTGATTTGGATTGGGCTGGAGGTGTTGGCGACCACCAAGGGCGATTGGTCCGTGTCGTTGATCAGCGTCAGGCTTACTACCATGGAGTTGACTTCCTGGGCGCCGGTCGCAAAGACCTTGGTGTTGCGATCCCGCATGATGAACTGAATAGGCATAAAGGTTTGAATTAAAAGGCTTTTTTTTCTAAATAAACAAAAAGGCAAGCTTCTGACTTAAAACTTTTGTGCACAAAATCTGTGGTATAAATCTGTGTCAATAATGTGCACGTATCCATCAGTTTTGGTGCTCAAGGCGCTTAATAATTTTTACCCTGCTCATTTCAAAAGACAAATGAAACATTCCTAAGATAACACAGCTGCATTCAACCATTTCAGCGCAAAGCAGTTACAATTATCACAAAACCATCTCTTCCCATTTACCCCAGGGTGGGGAGAAGCGATGAGTGGCAAAAGTGCATTTCCCAAGGGCACAGGCGCCATAACCCCAGGCTGGACTCGAACCCATAACCTGCAGAATTAACCACAGATACGAATTTTTTGATCCAGACCACGAGGCAAATTTGTATAGATTCTTACCTTTTTGTTTTCAAACTTGTTTGTTATAAAAAGGCGTTTTTTTAAAAAAGATTGGCCTACTTTTTGAGTAACTGCCGTGTAATTGTCGGTGTCTTGAAAGAGATCTTCATACAGTGGCAGTTGCACGTTGTTCCCATCACCTGAACTGAAAGTTTCTGAAAGCGAGAAGAAACGAAAAACACAAAAAGGGTTCCTTTCATCATTTAAGATGAAGCGTGGTCTCGTTACAATGGCGAAGCATGGTCATTCTGATTGGGAGGGTAATTTTCTTTTAAAAGGGCACTTGCACATCCGTCGTAAAATGTATGCACGTTTTTTTCCCCGCACACTTGACCTCCGTAAAATCAAAAAAAGGAGGGGGGGGGGGAGGTACCATCTGTTGGTGGGGGCGCTGTTCAAAATCGACCATTATTGACACTAGCGGACAATATATGGGGTTATTCAGAGCGATACGTGCGTCAAATTATACCAAAAACGGCACCCGAACGGCAGCTGGAACAGAAAGGGCACAAATTCTTTTGAAAAAGGGCACTTGTTCAGGAAAAAGGGCACTTTTTCATAAAAAGGGCAAGTAAGAGCCGGGGGAAAAAAAGGGCATTTCAATGAAAAAGGGCAGTCTAAAGAAAATAATAGGGGGAGGGGGGTAAATACTGGTCAATAATATAAAAAAAACATGAAATGATACTGACTGTTGCTGATCCACAGTACTGGTGACCTGGCCAGGATCAGAGTCGACTTCGACGACAATACTTCCACGTCACTCTGCCCAAGTACCATCTTGGCCGATATGGCGGACGCCAACCTATCGACCACTTCCTCCGATTTCTTCATGTTGTCGATCCCCTGGAAAGAGTACACCCCCCCCCCCAAAGTAAATCACTAGTCTGTTCACAATTCTGGTCACAATTTCATTACACGACTGGCCACAAGTAAATCACAAGTCTGATCAAAAGTAAATAAAAAAATCAATTCTGGTAACACAAATAAAAAAAAATGAAAAGATACACAAAAACAAAATGGCAGGAAAAAAAAAGGAAAGAATTATCCATATGACATTTCAAACCCTACTTACAGAGCCGTCAACCGCTTCCTCAACACCAGTGCTGTGGGTAGCCTCTACGATGTTTTCTGAGACGAAAGAAATGGAAATGTGGAAATTATCACGGACCTAATACATCGGACTTATTGGCACAATGGACTCTGTGCACGAACAGAGAGGGCGCTTCTTCACCACTCCGGTGCGTTGGACTGTGTGGGTGTACTTGTTTGTGCATTTTATAGCGCAAAGGACGCAAAAAATATTAAATTCTGAAAATGCACAAATCTCCCTTTGTGACCGTTGAACAGAACAGTTCAGAACACAATTTTGGGGGCCGCAAAGAATTGAGTCCCAAAAATGACGGCGTGGGGTTCGGGCCCGGTTAAGGCCCCCCGAAAATGTTTTGGATTCTAGATGCTCTGTGGTGCGATCTGAGGCAATTTCTGACCACTTTGACAAATTTGTTTTGAGGAAAAGATAGTGGTGAACGCAGTGCCTACCTTTATTGCGACAGTCACTAAAGAACACTGGGTTCGTTTTTATAAATTTGTTTTTTTTTTGGGGGGGGGGCATGGCCCCCTTTGGGCCCCCCGGATCCGCCTTTGAATCCACTTACAAAAAAAAACGTTGACTAGTACACAAGTTTTGACGTGATCTTACCGACTACCTCCATGCATACTGCAGTGGCCGCCTCCAACATCTCCACACTGATTGGATCATTGGATCGAGAGTTATTCTGCAGTACCTTGCTGTACCCCTCCATGGATCCCAGCAGACGGGTCTGCGTTTAAGAAACATAACATTCGTTGCAATTTCAGAAACGATTCTGTGGGGGATATTCAAAATTGGGTTTTGCCCTTCACCGACGTATTTTTTTTATAAACACAGTATACTCAGTGTTGCCTTCAAGTGATTGTGAGGAAAAATCACTGGGGTGGGACTCGAATCCAACACCTTCTACTTACTGGGTCAGACGGCTTAACCACTCGACCACCGAAGTTGCCTTTTGGCCGTCTGGTTCAGATATAGCAGTGGGAATCGCAATGAAACTATTCATAATATGGAAATTGAATTCGAGGTGATGCAAATTCAATATGGGCCTTATTCACGAGTTGGCTTTTTTGTCGAGTTCCCTGAATGCATTTTCATCAATTGTTAACTGTGTAATGGGATGGCGCCAGACTATTTATGTAGGCAAAATGCAGCCTTATTTTACTGTCATTTTTGTTAAATATTGCTTTAAACATTGGGGAATGTTTAATTACAAATTTCAAATTATTCATCGAAGCAGACTGAAATTTATTACCAATGAACTAGCTTTCATTTCTCTTCGCAAGTTACAAAAATTAAGATTTTACCTAATTTTCAGTCCAATATTCAAGGCCGACTTGTGAATAAGGCCCACTGACTTTTGCCCGTCATCGACGTATTTTTATAAACACTGTATCCTCATTGATGACCCGAGTGATATTTTCTCACTGTGTCAGCAGTCAGTATACATACCCTTGCATTCTGGGATACCTCTTGTGGTACCTTGGTAACAGCTGCCATGGCAGACGAAAGCTGCTGTACTCCCTCCACAGTGCCGACTTGGGCTTCCGACAGCATCTCTGCCATGTTACCTCTCATCTGCTCAAATACACAGAGATAGACTTGAAAAACATATTAACAAAATACTGTGATATCGCACGGATTATCTCCATACATTAGTGTGTATGCACTCTGTTCTAAAACATAAAAAAGATCCTGAAATTTAGTCGTTAATTATCACTCTTTAAAACAATATTTTTGCAAATTTTTATCACAATTTGACACTGGAAAAATATTCACCTTGGTCCTTTCCTCAGAAGCATCAGGGTCCACGACATCTGCTCATAAAGAAAGGAGTACTAACTTATTAATTCTGAGGCAAGTTTCGTTCTACCCAACAGTAAGTAAAAACTTTTGGACAAGATTTGTATTTTCACAAAATGGGGTAGTAAAACAAGCTTCATTGACCTCCAAGATAAAATACGGACTTGATGTAACCACACTGTACCTGGTGAGTCAAAAAAAAAATCAAACAACTTAAGGCTGCCTTTGATACGTGGTGAATGTTTTTACAGCTCACTCCAAACAAAAGTATGTGTTCCAAGCTAATAACGATTCAGCAGGCTAGAAAGTAACTCCAGTTTCCTTGGCATGAAGCGACTTAGAATCTTTCTCCCCCCCCCCCGATGGGATGCCATTTCATTGCAGGTTAGTCCCCCAGCTGCTATTGCCGGTATCCATACTCCTGGGTGGAGAGAAGCAAGTGGTGGTAAAGTGGCTTGCCCAAGGACACAGTATATGGCCAGCAGCAGGTTTCGAACCCCGGCCCTCTAATAATCAGCCACAAACTCTATAGCCACTATAGCAGCACCCCCCCCCCCATTTCACACAGCAGTAAAGTCTGTCACAAGCCAATATGGCCCATCGGGCCGACGTCTATCTCCGGTTTCAGTTGCACGAAACGACTGAGAAATTTTCCACTACCCCTGGATGGGATGCCAGTCAATCGCAGGTTACTCCCCAGCTAATGCCGGTACCCATTTATGCTCCTTGGTGGAGAGAGGCAAGGGATGAAGTGGCTTGCCCAAGGACACAGCAAATGGCCAGCAGCTGGATTTGAACCCCTGACACTCTGATCTTGAGTTACGAACCCAAACCATTGGGCCACACTCCCCACACTCCTTTCCACACAGTGAGCTAATAAATGGGCACAAAATGGTACATCTGCAGGAAATGATTAAAATATAAGTTTTGAGGCTTTGCATGGTGGGGTATCGGTATCGTTTCGGTTAATATATAGCAGCTCAGCATAATAAAGTATTTTCAAAATTTAGCCTAATCAAAGAAATTAGTTCTGGAGTCCAAACGCTAATTACTACCAGTGTTTGAGCTTTCAGTTCCGTTGTTTGCAGTGTTGAGGAAGTCTGCTGCGGCTATGACCAGGTTAGCTGCTGATCCCATCTTGGCATCGGCAAACAGATTCTCCATGTTGGATTCAATGGTCTTGAGCTGGCCGGTCACATCTGTGCTGTTGTCTGGCGGAAGAACCTGCACAGGTTATATCAAAGAACAAGTGGGTGATTCATGACATACTGTGTGCTTGCATAAGGGCATCCCTTTTGGGGGTCCCAACCAAAGATTTTTTTATAACCGCTGATCCTGTCTAGAACCCCCACTATAAATTAAAGTTCAGTTCAACCCAATTCTCATAATTACAATTAGTGGACGAGGTCTCCATAAAGCAAAGTTTGTAGAATGGAGATCCCCTTAAGTTGTGTACTTACACACATTGAAATTACTTTCATAAGTATACTGAAAATAAGCGTGAACAGTAAGTGGATTTCAGTTAATGTTACACATAAACAGACACAGGACAAACACGACAAGACAACATGAAGAGGCTGACAATTCGACAATTAAAAGTGTAACATCAAAAGGGGTGATTATACAAAGGTATACAAAATGAATAAATAAACAAGGCAGGTTGCCCCCCAAAAATATGAGGGGTCTAACTTTGCAGTTTATCTTTACTTTTATTTCATCGCTGCCACTTCTGTCAAAACATCAGAAAGCTGCATGATGCAGATATAATGTATCAACTACATCTTTCCAAAGATGGCTTTATCATTTCGTTCAGTCATAGCAACCCATGATTATGCCATGCATTGCAATAAACGAAACCAGAGACAACACTTAGCATCAGTTAATTCGAACTTTTAAACGGGTGCAACTGCATAATCTTTCGTCAGATTTGTTTTCTCAGAAACACAGTTAAAGATATGAGAACCCTACAAATAAAAAGGATGCCCTAGTGAAATCAAAATGGGTTGAATCACTAGGTAAACTATGGTAAAATGTCACTTTTACCAGCAAATAACAAACATCACATTCAAATTGGCAAGCTGAACAACAAGGTGGCAGCTGATTAATAATTAAACTTTACCATGAAACTATATGGCGGCAATGCATTACACGAGTCCCTTTTTATTCTCTCTTAAACCTGTCAAGGAGGTACATTTGGACAAAATCACTAAGTACTGCAATACCTTGACTTGTAGATCGACTGTCTTGAAGCAACCTAAGCGATCTGTTACATCAATGGTGATGCGCACCACGTAGTCATTCTCTGGCAGGCCTTGGTTGAGTTTGGTTGGCCGGTCCAGTTCAGGTCTAGTGCCTTATTTAAAAAAAAAATAACCAAACTTATTTTTAATAAATATTCCTCGGCTTTCCACTTCCACTCCTGGATGTTATCTATGTTGTAATCAAGTTTTTACAAAAGTCCTATTATCATGAACCACGACATGAACCAATTCCTCTGTTGTTGTTTAACTATTGTTGCGCAAGAGAAACCATGGTTCTTACTTGCGTGAATTGTCCTTATGGAGGATGCGCCGCCATTGTCCACTTTGAACGTATATGACAGAGGGAGATCTTCAGGCACGTCCATCCAACCCTCACACGAGATGCTGAAGTCAGTGGTGAGCGCCTCACCCTCTAGTGGCGCGATTGAGCAAGTGCCGTTGTGGGGACGATTGTTGACGTCAGCTTCCTCTGACACTGATCCTGAGATGAAAATTAAATGAACGATGACATTTCAAACCTGCTAAAATAGAAAATATTACGAGTGGTAAACTATTATCCTTGGTATTTATCGCTCCTTATGAACTCAACCAAAGTCCTGAAGCGTTCCACGGTCACCAACTCAGATTTTGATTTCTGTACCTCTCTGTGTTATATGAACACATATAACAATTTAGGCGTCAAGTCGTGAGGGTTTCTGATTATGACCCTCCAAAGACGGTATGTCACGCCCACTTTATGCACTCGCGAGTCGCGAACGTTAATTTATAGGTCTTTCTAAGACAATATCTTGGAACTTAATCAGAGATCTGTGGTAAGATTTGCTACCCCGGGTAATCTGGCACCAGGCTTTCATAATCTGCCATAAGAATTGGCACATTTCTTTTCATTTTAGAGTTATTGGGCCCCTCAGTATGAACCGTTTAACCATCGGACCTCTGGTTGAGTTCATATGGAATGACCCCATGTTAATCATACAATTTAAGGCGCGCCCCCAAAAATACGTCTGTCTCAAGCCAATATGGGGCATCAAGCCGGGTTTTATTTCTAGTTTTCTTGGCAAGAAACCACTGCAAATATTTATATTCCCCTGGATGGGATGCCAGTCCATCGCAGGTTACTCCCCAGCTAATGCCGATACCATTTACAGGTGAAGAGGGGCAAGTTGGGGTGAAGTGGCTTGCCCAAGAACACATAATGACCAGCAGCAGGATTCAAATGCCTGACCCTCTCATCAGGAGTCGCAAACTCTAACCACTGCGCCATATTCCCCTGCGATGCGGTGTTTATAATTTCAGACCTGCATTGGAGAAATCAGGATTTCTGGAGCCGATCAGCTTCAAGAGGTACGTCGTAGATTCTTGGAAGAAGCCAGGGTCGATGACAAAGTTTGCTCGGTCCGGCGGTGTCCTGGAAAATTCCTCCCATTCCTCTTTTGGCCTCCTTTCCCAGCGTCCAGTCGCTGACTTGGAATAGATTCTCCACCTCAGAAGTTAAACAATTGGGGGGGGGGGGGGGGTGGCAAAATGAGGTAGTAATGAAAGATTCACATTTGAATGAACGCAACAAATCGACCAATGTTTAATTACTGAGTTATACTTTACAAATTTTCGTTTTTGACACGAAGGACAGGTTACACAATTGTTGACATGCCCACTTTGTAAAAATACCAGCCATATATGAGTTGAGATTTAGAGGTATACTCGCTATACATTTGCTTCAAAAATGTCGTTTTCAATAACATATTCAACTTCTTTCATACTCATCAATACGACAAGAGAAATTTTTTTATCATAATACATTCCATTTTAACATGCATGTTAATACTGCTGAGTTTGGCACTGAGGGTCAGGCAGGATTTTACGCTGCAAAAGTTAGGTTTATTATAAAGCTGGTGGTTGACGAAAAAATAAGCGCTCTCTCGACCAAAATGGTTTTCAAACTACACCCACGTGTAAAGGCATATTTGCACATACAATGTCGCGCGTTTTTATAAATGCACACAAGTCAATGACCGTGTTAAAACTTACGCGACAAAATCGTGCGACTTATCGCGCAATTGTTTTTAAATAAATTCAAAGTAATTTTTTTTATCGCACGACACAAAATGTCACATACGTATAAGTTAGCCTGAACCTGTGTCTGACTAGATTCGTCTATTAATTTTGTAAAACATACTGCGTCTTGACTGCGTCATTCTGACCATTCAGCGGGCGCCAGCGGGCGCTGTCTATAACGGGACTCGTCATGGATGTATATAAATAAAACCTAGACACGACACCTGTTATTTTTAACGATCTGAATTGAGCAAAAAAGTCTGCGGTCACGCGTTTTGTAACGATGTTACGCGATATGCCAATCAATAAAAGATCCGGCCAATCACGGTCGTGTCTTGGTTTTGTAGATCTATGCGCGCCCGGCCGCTGTTGTATTTCAAAACCACTGCATCCGAATCGACCATTCACAATCTTAGTCCAGATTTAGAAATGAAATGACGTCAGTAAAGTCGACTCGGTGGACAACGGGTGATACTAAGACTGGTGCCTGATCTGATTGGTTGAAAAAAGATTGACGAACAAATCATGTGTCACAAAATCATCGTGTGTATGTGTGAACGCCCGTAACGCGCATCTGCGACGTTGCTGCACGACAAAGTCGTTGCGACAAAATCGCACAAGATAAATTGGTCTTACATCTATTGTAATAATTGACTGTATTTGAGACTTACTCGTAATACAGACTGAAGAAGTTGTTTTCACCAAAGGCCTCCTGCGACTCCAGGGTATAACGGTTGGATGGATTCAGCTTTTTCTTGCAATTCACCTTGCAACTGAAAATAAAACAAAACCCTAAAATATTAGTTGATTGCATGTTGCCCACACAATTGGTTGAGATGTCTTTAATGGGGTCCTTAGTGAAAATGTAGACACAATTACTTTTTCTATTGATATTACCCAAAGTTCAGCTGTGTTACTTCCATATGAACTATTGGTCATGTGCAAGGCTGTGAAACATTTCAAATGGTGTACATCCTGAACTACATGTATATAGCATTCTTATAGTGGTTCCTGCACGGAGCATGCAAGAGTTGTGTAAAATGAGCTCCCTAACACCTGTTCCACACTCCCATTCAGTAATTAAAACAGAAAAAAAATTATTGCACGGAGAGTCTGACATCTGAAACAGTTAGGAGTGAATTCAAGGCATCATGAGACTGACTGGCGGAGACTTTGAACAACTGAAGAGCTTCTGCATTCAGATGTCGCAAAGTCATGCCTATATACAGTTCACCTGTTTGACACCTGGGTCACCCCTAATAGGTGGGGCGAGCTGACGTCATCCGGTGAAAGCATCTATTCATTTGCACACCAGTTTTCATTGGTTGCTATTTTGTGCTACCATTCAGCACTCCAGACTCAAGAACCATCGAGTTTTAAGAACCTACAATCCTGTCCAAATCTCGCTGCCCCCGGCCTCTGCTCAATGTTGACGCGGTGTGTGCTCCATCAGCTGGAGAGAACAACATTGACCGGGGAGCGGTGGAGTGGGTGGCCGTGGGAGGCTAAGGAGTGTCCCAACCATTTTGGCCAGGATTGTAGGTCTAGGAGCCAGATAATCCAATGTAAACAAAGCCCGGATGTCCGCGAACACCCTTACCACTTGATTTGACATGCATGCAGAAATGCCTTATTGTTCTTACAATGTTTGTAGTATCGGTGGTCGTCCTTCCTTTATGTCCAGTGTCTGTCTGGCCTCCGCCACTCTGTCTCCTTTAATGACAGCCACTTTCAACTCATACTTCATGTTGTAGTACATCGACGTGGTGCTAAATGATATCTCACCCGTCGTGTATTCCAGTTTTCCTACCAAGAAAAAACTCACTCTGGTTTATCTTTTACCTATCCCAAGTAATCTGAAACACTAGTCGAGGAAAGGATATTAGCATAAACAGACATTTAAAAAGAAGAGCTAAGTAAAATATTCATTTCATACTTTTAATACATGAGGGTTGCTCAAACAAACTCAACAATAGCACAACTATCAGTCCAGACAAATTTGGTTAAAGGTAAACATCTGATATTAAAGCATAGTTCCAACTTCTGTGAATGAACTAGAAATGATAAACAATGGAAAACAAATATACATATCCAAATACCTAACACATTACCGAAGATGTGAATTTTAAAGGCCTATCCCTGTTGGTTTGATAAATAGGTTTCATCATAAAAACTTGTTGACGAATATTCTTATCAATGTTACCTTCAGCTTGCAAGACAGAATAACCACTGCCAATCATTTGGTTAAAGGTCTTGTATAGATAGCTATCAATAACCTTACAGGACTTTCAGCACAAAATTACTGCTTTAATTAGGTTTTTAATTGCACACAGAGCAATAAGCAACATTTGGCAAAGAAAATAATGTTGAATGTCTTACCTCCGGGCGCAGGTACGTTCCCGTCTTGAGACAAACCGAAGCATCCTTCACGATCACTTATGCCAACAAGTCTATCACTGGCATCAATTTCACCGTTCTTGTTGTCCGAACCATCTGTTTCCAATTTGTCATAGAATTTGTCCCAGACTTCAAAGGGTTCTACGTCGTAAGTGGTGTTAAACGTGTTGGTGCTGTAGTATGACTTACGACGGCACAACCAAACGAATCTGAAGTCATCTGGTTTGGCGCTGCTACGCGGGATGTCGGGATCGTACGTCAATCGCTCGGCGTCTATCGTGATGGTGTAGTTGTTACTGACGGTGCGTTCGTCTCCGCCGTAAATGGAAACTTCCAGCGGGGAGGAGACCACGTGGATGTACGTGGAGTCGGTGGCAGCAATTGGCGGGTATTCCTGGTACATGGAGACGTTTAGCTCCAAGTGGTACCAGCCGTACCTCAAGGAGGCTGGCTTGATGATCAGGCTTCCGAGTGACAGACCAGCCGTCATGATGTCGTCTGGAAGGTCATAGTCCTGACCCTGGTTCCCTGTGCTGTTTCCCAAGAAAGAAACGGACCAGTCGTACCAACCCTTATTGCTGCTCTTACAGTTCAAAGAGACCTCCGAGTTGATGATGATTTGCACAGAGGCTAAGTAAACTCGGTATTTCGTGTCTTGCGCACATTTGAAGAGAACGTTGTCGCAGAGGTTGGGTTTATTCACGGACACCTTCGGGAAGGAGCAATCCGGTTTAGAGACATATTGCGACAGCACAAAAAATGAGCTTGACACGATGTTACTGCCTGTTACTGAGATTGCATAACTGCCGTAGCGATCATAAATGTTGGTGATGTTAAATGCTCCAGGTGCTCTATTCTCTTCCCAGTTGCCAAGCATGTCTAATGGTTCGAAAACAAACGGGTACTGCGCATAGCTAATTTCGGTTCTGTAGGTTTCCAGACAGACACTTTGAGAGCCGAAGTAAACAATGGGGGCGATCTGTGAATCCTGGAAGTCAACTCGGTAGCAAGCGTCTGTTCCCAGGCTGACAGCACGAACCTCAAAGTACATCGTCACGTTGCTGGTTTGGTCGCCGATGTCGAGAACCGTCAGCGTGACATCAGTGACCGGGACTTGGACATTGACAGTGACACCGGTCGTCATGTGCGAAATCGGGTTGGAAGCGTTCAAAGTGACGTTGTACACTCCCGGGTCATTGTACTTGTAGATCTCACGGGGTTCGTCTGTTATGGTGTGCAGACCTGGGGTTTCGCCAAAGTCCCACGTAAACGTGAGGCCATTGCCGGAGGCAAATGTCGCAACCAGGACGACTGCGTGGTCGATTGGAATAAACAAACCATCAGCTACGAAGGGTTGCTGATCCAACGCGGGATCACCTGAGGTGAAATTGCCCACGGAAAACTCGTTGTATTTCAGGAATGCTTGCAGGTCAGATACCACCTTGTAAATCCAAAACTCGACCATGAGATTCTGAAAACTAGCCGGATTGGCAATGTGGGCCGCCGCGGTAAATTTTCCTGTCTCGTTGTAGGTCATGGAAAAGCTGGCCATGTGAATCGCTGTCGACGTGTCTAATTCTGGTCGGCTCATGTTTACAGCCGTCAGACCAACAACGGTAGGCTTACCATCATCAAAATTGATGCTAACTGTGACATTGTTAGCCAGGACAGCTACCCTCTTAATGTACAGTTGAACTTCTACCGTGAAAGATCCGACTAAGGGTAACCTGTGCAGCAATGGTGCTTGCAGAAAGAACCCTGTGACTCTGCCGAACAATCTGACCGATGCGCTTGTATTGACTATCCCTAGACCATTCCATGCTTCTGCGTAAATCTGATATTCACCGATAGCTGCATACACGTGGGACACTTGTGTCCCTCGCTTCTCGCTGTATATCAATCTTGACGTACCGTCTCCAAAACTGACACTGAAATCGATCTGTGAGCCCCACGATACGTTTAGATCAAAATGGAGCACTTCGTCAATCAAAAGATCAAAACCGTTGGTGGGCACAATGGAAAAGCTCTCGATGAATTCTTCAACATTGACGTTTATTTGGAACGTAACTTCGCTGACGAGGTTGAACACTGTGACGTTGCCAACGTACCACCCATGGCTTGGTACTGGCAGCACTTGGGTAACAGGGTAGTGGGCATTGTTGGTGATACCTAGAGCGTAGTTATCATAGAATGCATTTGGGATGAAGTACGCCGCTGTTGCGTCTGTGGGCTGCAAGGTACCACTCCCATTAGTGTAATCATCAATATTGAAATCGACAATTATCTCGAATGAATCACCCTTGGCAACACCAATCAAATCCGAGGGAGTGGGCCTGTCCATTGACAGGATTGTCACCGGGTTCTGTACCCTGACTTCCATACTGTAATTCACACTGCTGACTAGATTCCAAGTAAGAACCTGACTTGCGTACACTCCGGCAATAGAAAACACACGATCGACTTCGATTTCGTCCTCGCAGCCAGGGAGGAAACAAGACGTAAAACCGGTCACGTGATTGCTGCCGTCTCCAAAGTCAACCAAGTGGTGGACGTCAGATCCTTGCAACATGTCAACAACAACACTGAGACTGGTTCCGGTGGCGAAGACCAGACCGGGCGAGATTTCTACACTGAGATTGCTGCTACTAAATGGCACCTGTATGGTGATATTTGTCACCACAATGGCTGGTCCACTGATGCCATTGTAAGCCGACAATTCGACGCTGTATTCGCCGTCTTCAAAGTAACCCGTTAGATAACCCAGCATGCATTCGCCCTCAAGATCGGTAGTGACGCAAGTCCCATCTACCTGGTACCCGTCCACAGTCATTTCAACAATGACAGTACTACCGCTCGCTAATTCATACACCAGGACAATGTCCTCGCCAAATTTTTGAGGCGGGACATGAAAGACGTTGAACCCAGATATGGCAGACTGGACGACGACACTGGCCTGTATGCGCATGTCGCTAACAAGGTTGAAGACATGAAGGGAAACAGTGAGATTTCCTTGTCCCTCTGGGATGAAGGTTGTCATACCACTCAATGCTGTTGGTGAAAGAACGACTTAAGGTTATCGAAACTTGTTACAAACTATGTTGGGATAGGTTTTTTTTTAGCACACACTATTAAATTTTAGAGCCATTATGTATGAAAGAACTTCACTTTCCAGCAGTTTTACCAAGACTTGGGCTCCGTGCTAAAGTACCCCCTCAATGGTAAGAAAGGGAGAGTTGGGGGACACCACTGTCTAGGGATAGACATTTGAACTCATTGCCGACGATGCCTGACGCAATGACTTTGTGCACATTCAGAATAAAGAAATGGAAATCAGTTTTAAACAGTTTGGGCATACCCTAGGTAAAGAAATGTAATAAACAAATAAATAAACTGTGCGTGCTTTGCGCCATACGAGCGCAAACCAGTACATGCACGCGCTGTATCCCATCCACGGGGCTCCCGAAAGGGGTAAAAAAACGCCCTCTCTTGTCCCTGCACGGAGCCCATTCTCGAACAGTGACTAAGTCAGTCAGTCGGTCAGTGATCTAGTCAGTCACAGGTACGTGGGCTGACCTTTCTGGGCCAAATTTCATACTTTTGCTTTATATCGAAAACGGGGGAGTCAGGTAGGTGCCGGTACTTGCTGCCAATTTCACTTCCGAGTCCTTGGTTCAAATCTCATCCAGGCTGAAATGTGGATTGCGTCATCAGTCCTTGCCTGATTCAGTTGGTTCCCCCTCCCACCTCCCCACTCCCCCCTGGAGTTTTTCTCCTACGTTACAAAATCAAAGCCTCTTGTCTTTTATCCAAAGATGCTTTCAGACTTACGATTTCTACATTGCCAAAGGCGCCATGGGCTGGAACCTATTGTCCGATAGTGCCCATGATCATTCTGCTTTGAACAGCGCCCCCTATACGTTGATGGTATTCAGACCCCCCTTCCCACTTTTTGATTTGATGGAGGCGCACGGGGACAAATCCTGACTACCTTTTAGCATGGATGATCTGTCAGCAAATGTGTTGTCTACCCCCCTTCAACCCCGCCCCCATTCAAATTGGTTTAGCGATGCTCATGCTAAGAACCATATGCTAAGAGTAATTACAAATGAAGCAAAGTATTACCATCTGTTGAGAGCTGAATAGTGAAGCTCTGGAGAGCCCAATCTGACGTAGTCAATGAGGCAACATAATATGCCCCGTCGCTACCAAATGTGAAGTTTGTTACGGGTCGACCGAGGTTCCAGTCAAATTCAAACACATATTGCATATCCGTTCCTGAGGTTGTAAAAAAGGGGGAAATAAAGATAAAAGATAATTCTGTTTTGGATTTTGCACTTCAATGACTCAGTTTGAATAGCACCATATACTTAGTGCTCTTGCCCACTATTGAAGATGTCTGAACAATCAACCACTAGGCTTGCCTTGGTCGGTTTGCCCCTTTAATCAATCTGTATGTGAAAAAATGGAATTTTGCGTCTGGGAGATAATCTATCAGGTTAAGCTCCTGAACAAAATAATGCATGGAATACTGAGTGATGTCTAAAAGCTTGCAATCTGCAAACGAATTCTCAAAGTTGTAGATTTCCAAAAACGACCCTCTTCCCCTCTTGCTTTGAGTTTCTGGAAACCTTGAATATTAAGACCTAATGAAAAACAATGAACTAAACATGCAGATCAATATAATCACTAACTTATCACTAACTAGGAAAACTCTGCATACTTGTAGTTCATGAGATACAACATTTCAAACGTATCCACTCATTGCGTTTTACTGTTTGTAATTATACCTGAAGATGTCATCATGAATATAGCCATTTGTATAATTTCACCAGATGATAACGTTTTGGTATAAACACAAAATTACCATTGTCAGCAGTCCAGTTAAGAACTGCTTGGCTGCCAAGCAGGATTGGGGTTCCGAGGTCAAGAGTTGTCCAGTTGAGGCCAAGAATTCTCTCCTGGACTGTGATGAGTTTCTGTGGGACAAAAATCAAAGGATCAGGAAATTCCAAGTTGCATGAGACGTTTAACAATATGCAACACACTGAATTAAAAAAAAAATCAGCTGATTTAAGGAAACGCCTGTGCAAAATGCATTGTTGAAGGTATGTAATGGGTGAACTAGAACAGAAGACTTTATGCCATGTTTTAAAGCATATCTGGGTTCTTGGTTTAAATTTGACAGCGCATGAAATTAACACCTACTGTATCAGACTGTGCGTTGTAATGGTTGAGGACCCTGACGGTGATGTTATAAGAACCATTTGTCTTCCACTGATAGGTAGTCGAGTTTTCTGTAGTGTTGTACGTTATTCCGTCTCCCATGTTCCACTCCACAGCAAATGCTTCGCCATCGTAGTCGACCGTTAAGCCAACAGTCTCATACGTCTCAGCTTCAGAAAAAAATGAAATGCATTGATAGTTTTCCTATTGGTGTAAATGCTTTTCGGCAGTGTTTAAAAGGCGGCAAAACCTTTATTATGTCAAATATCCAGGTTCATATTAGCATAAAGCTAAACCCAAAAATTGTGAAGCAGATTAATAAAAACCGAAAAAACTGCAATAATTTTTGCTGTGTGTTTCTTGGGCCAAAGTTATGCTCTGCATTTTTGTTATGTTTGAGCAAACTTTATATCTGAAAGCAAATTAAAGCACAATATGCCTTTTTCAGGTTATTTCTTTTTCTTAGAGCTATGAACAAAACATAAAGATACAAGTTTACAGATATCTAATCATATCAAGTATATTCACAGAAGAGCTTTCATCAGAGAAGATGCATGTACATGTACATATGCACAGAAGTAGTAAATTCAAGAAGATAATATTGTATTGAATAAGGCCAAGTACACCTTTGTTTTTACCTAATCTAGAGACTATGAGGCTCACGTTATCAATCACATTGTCAACATAAATGACCGTTGCTAATGTTTGACTGCTGACAGCATTCTCGACCGACACTTTGATGCTCCGGGGTCCTAACGTGCTGTTTTGGGCGTACATTCCTCTGACGTGGAGCCGGGAAGGCCGCACTGCGACTGCCCGGAACAGAAACTGTCCAGAACTGGGAGGAGGATTTGGAGGAACGGAAATTATATCGCTGTCCGGAATCTGAACATCACCGTTCGATGCAATTGGAGGTTGTATACGACGGATCACACTGGTTCCCGGGGACTGGAAACCAACCAAATCTCCTGCCTGTAACTCGAATCTCTCTTCGTTAGGTAGTGGAAGGAACTGCTTTCCCGGTTTGTCGGTGGTGAAATTGTAGCGAGATACCTCGGAGTAAGTTATTGCTTCGGGTTGAGAGGCATCTGGGTTGACGATAAGTTTGGTGTCGGTGTCGAAACAGGAACGCTTGGTGAAGCTGAACTTCTCTCCTTGCAAGCACCTGTGCTGCATGAGGCTGGACTGCTGCAAGCAATCCTCGGCCTCATCTATGTAGCTGAGGGTCCGGTAACAAAACTGTAGTCCGTTTATGAAATGGGGTCTGAAAACCTGAAAAGATCAAACAACAACTCTTTTTTTTAACTGCAGTATTTAAAGAGCTGCCAAGTTCCAAGTGACAACTGCCGGGAACTGATGTATGATGACAGTAAATTCCTGAGTACACATACGGGTTTATATACTATGAAAGGCATCATCTAGATTCTTATAGCGTTCCATAGCTTTTTTAATTTCACACTACAAGTGACAGCGAGTATTTAAGGCATTGTCGCTGCGTCTCCTGCACCCACTCGTCGATGCACCAAGTTTGTTCATATTTAATTGAAACTTGGTGTGTTCTTGGTGTCATATACCAGTAGCCTGCACGCGGGTATATGATTTGTGTGGATTATTCACACATATATTTTGTAGGTAGTTTGCTATTTATAATCGCTCTTAGAGAAATCATAGACGTCAGATGTGAAGAGACATGAATAAATAGCGGACCTCAAATTTATAGGATGACCCGCGTGCCAAACACAGCAAATTGCTTTTTATGAGTAGTCACAAAACGCCATTTACTGTCTATGCACACAACCATACTGATTCTCAGATCTTGACAAAATATCACCCCTGCATAAAACAAAACACAAGACAAAGAGAGAAATCAACAACTTGCCATAAAAGTGACTAGTCCTGGGTTTTCCGCGACGAATTCCCAACCAACCAGTTCAGCATCGTCCGTGACTCGGTCAGCTAACTTGATGAAAACGCCAGGTACGTCTGGCTCTGTAGGCTGTTCAGTCTGGTCCAGGTTAGGCCCAAACATCAACACCGATGCATCTATTACAATGGACACCAAATAATTAAGTTTAAACCATGCGAGTTGATGCCACTGGAAGTTTATTAAAACTTAAGTTACTGAGAGCACCGCTTCCAAGAAAGCATTCAATTAAATTTTGAGAGCAGGGTACTTATGCCCATGGATTTAACTAACCAGCCAGTGTCAAGTTGAAGCTATGCATTCCCTCAATGTCCACCGAGGCTCGCATGCCTGTCCCGGCAGTGGTGAATTCGCAGTCAAACACCTCCCCTTGCAGGACAGCGATTGGGCAGAGCCTCTTGATGTCCATGATGGGCAGGTGGATCTGCAGGTAGGCTGCGGTAGGGTAGGGGGCTAATTGGGCTGCATCCAGCACTGTGGCTTCCATGTGCGCCAGGCCTGGGTATCTGAGTGCAATGAAAATATTGCGTATTGGTCACGGCTGTTGGTCTTGTTTTTTGAGGGAACCAAATTGCTCAAAATCTTATGTTGGGTGCAAAACACCTAACCTACAGGTTTGCATGGTGGACGCAACAAAGAATGGAATATTTTCGGTAACAGCATTGTGAATAACTAACCTGTTTAATTTTTTTTAGCTCAGTGACTACTGTTAATGCTTCAGTTTCTATCGCAAACCACTTTTAATGACTGTTTTCTTCCGAATAATACCATTTCAGGCAAGATAATTGTATGGAATATTGCTACCTTCCCCATCTTTACCTTGATCAAGGTTTTTTCCATTAAATCAGTAGGCCCATTTGGTTGTAATTACCAATGTTCCTTGACTAGAGTTTCATCGGCCCGATGATAAGAAGTAAAAACAATGTAAAGTGCTTTGATCTTAGTTTAAAGTTCTTATTTCATTCGAATGGGCCTTATTCACGAGTTGGCCCTTTTTGTCAATTTCCCCGAATGCTTTTCATTAATTGTTAACTGTTAAATGGGATGGCGCCAGACTATTTATCCAGGCACAATGCAGCCTTATTTTACTGTCTTTTTTTAAAATATGGCTTTAAACATTAGGGGATGTTTAATTACAAATTTGAAATTATTAATTCAGGCAGACTGGATTTGATTACAAATTTAGTTGCTTTCATTTCTCTGCGCAAGTTAAAAAAATAAAGATTTTACCTAACTTTCAATTCAAAATGGCCGACTCGTGAATACGGCCACGCCCCCCCCCCCCCAAGTGGTCTCGCCAACTCTCCTTTTGTAACCGTTGAGGGGGTAATTGTACACGGAGTCCAACACTACATTTTTATAGGACACATGCATGCAAAAAATGAGACTCACAGATATCGGTGACTAAATGAACGATTCGAAAACGATTCAATATATCCATCTCCAAACTCCACCACAACGGATGCAAATCCAGAACCTTCAACCTCCAGGGCAAAGAAAGTATCGCTGAAAGCCGTCACATCCTTGCGAGAAATCACTGCACAAATAAGATGAAAAAAAGGAACAGCAGTTTCTTCTTGTGTGTTATACTTAAACGGGGGAATGCTTGTTTTCTATTCTGGGCGTCTGCAATTACCATCTAAAAACAAGTTTTATACTTTTTGATGCTTTTACATACAAACAGATCTGCCCTGCAGGCAATAGTGTCCCTACTTTACTAATTCTGATAATTTCTAACCAAATGAGAACTGAATTATTGACTGGCCGGAAATAGTTTGAAATTTGTAATTTATTCCCTGACTAAACTCAGGGAGATTTTGTTTCATGTCTCATTCGAAAGTAAGTAACTTCGTATTGCTAGAAAATAAAAAAAATAGATAAAACATATATGGAGGGAGTTTGTTAAAAAAACTTGAAAATAGCAAAGCGATAGCAGGTTTAATTTTCAATCAATTTCAAAATTGAAATAGAAATTTGATAATTGCTTTCATTTGTTGAACAGTACAATTAGCCCCCATCTGTGATTATTGGAGAGTTCTAAATTCTTACAACTTTGCTCCATAAACAGCATCATCACAACAAAACAGATCATCCTTTTGACTTATTTTTGTTTTTAACATGTTTTATTACACTGTTCAGTTACTATAGTGTTTGTATGCTAAAGGTCAAGTCAACAGTCAAGCTAGTCTTGTTTAGACTGTTCTGGAGTTCCTTACACTGACAAAGAAAAATAACCCCCAATTTGGAACCACGCTGAAAATTGATTTCTAAATACATTATTTATTTGTTGATTGGGCGGGATCCTCCCTCTTGTCCAATCAATGGCACAAAACAAACAGCCAACAATTCAGGATGTCAATCAAGGAGTCAGTTGCCACGGTAACCTTTTTACCAATAGCCTAATCAATACAGAGAGGGGAGAGCAAGGTCTTCTTTGCACAGTTAAATATTTAATGTCGTACACATCAGTGAATTTTAAATGAATATAGATTGTCCCTTGACATTCAAAGTCAGATATGTGTCTCTTCAGCTGAAATATATACATTTCCTTCCCATAAAACTGGAAAATAACGAATAAGCGTCCTTAAAGAGAGGGGAGTAGAAAATCGTTTTTAAAATTTAATGAAACAATGTTGGTTATTAGGCCAAGTAAAAAAAAAACAGTTTCTCGTCTCCCCAGCTTCTTTTTTCCCCGCCCACCTCATACTTTTTAATGAAAACATTTGCAATATATTTTGCAAGATTTGTCAACATATTGTCTTTTTATTTGTTTCCAACAATATTAAAGCTATGCAAAAAGGGTGACAGCTCCTTTTGGAAACAATTTTGTATCAGGAATAGAGTTAACAAATTGGAAGAATCCATCCGCCATCTTGAAAAATCCGCCATCTTAGGGGAAAACCCCAAGGGGGCCGCTTCCTTCATTTAAAAAGAAATACTGGACGAGACGCTTTGTTTTCACTCGGCCTTATTTGGCTAGTATTAATTCAGAAGTTGTGGACCTTATCTAATGCTACGGTGCCCAATTTATGAGAATTTTTACTGATTGTAGTATCTGTGCCGCATTTTAGCCCGGAATTGTCCAAATTATGTTAAATTCAAATTAGAAAGGTGTCTTAATTCTCATGAAATCAAACTACAGGTAATTGGAATGAAATATATAGTGCCATCAACTACACTTTGAAAACTTGCTGTCTTCATGTAATTTTTGGGAATAACTGTTGGGGTACAGGACCTAATTTAGTTCCACCAAAATTGAGAGGCTGGATTTGTAGTGCTCATCTTGATTTATATTTCGCTACAAAAAGTTGAGTTTGAGGGGGGGGGGGGGGGGGGGGGAATAGCACCAACTGGGGGGAGGGGGGCACTACCACAAAAATGCCAAAAAAATTACATATGTATAGCTTTTGCCGTGGGGAGGGGGGCAATTGCTCGAAAAGCCCCTCCCCCCTGGCGATGGATCTGCCAACAGTGGAATATGTCGAGAAGCTTTGGCTTATTAGATTTAATCGGCTTCATTCATTTGCTGGAAAAAGCCTGTCGGTATTTCATACTTCCTTTGTTTACGTTAATTAACTGGTACAATGGTTTTACTAACTAATACCACACACACAACACTCGCAGTGAGAAGACCTAGTTTAGACTATACTTAATTTTTGGTAAAATGTGGCAATACAACGTTTGAGGGTGGTAATTCGGCCACAAAATTCCAGGCAGGTCTAACGTAAACAAACAATTTGTTTTATATCACTACAGGCCGTGTACTTGGATACGGCTTGATATTACACACGAGTCTATGGTAAGCGGCTGCAGCCACTTACCATAGAATTGTGTGCAATTTAAAGCCGTAGTCAATAATTCGGACACGGCCTAATTAACATGGCAAAATTGGCTGCCATAATAGTCAGATTGTTACCAACGATAAATCAAGATGCATATAATTGTTATTTCATACTCATGTGACTTACCGGAGTTATTGGTCATTCCAGACAATATCACGGAGGAAACTTGCAGTGGAACTGCGTAGATGGAATTGTGGGTAGCGCTCCCGCAAGATTTGGTTTCATCACCAGGGCAGGCCAAGTTGCACTGTAAGGTCTCATCGTGTCCATAGTTACCGTAGGAGTCGCCACAGAAGCACAGCTGACCAAGCTGAAGGCCTGCATACCTGGACAGGCACATAATGTATGTAATTGCACAATTAATCGCACAATTAATAAGTCAATTTCTTTGTTCAACTTGTCAATTGTTATAATTCACCCAGTCAGTTTCCCTGGTGGTTCATTTGAAATCTGTAATACAAAAGTGATCCCTGGCTGTATGGCATACTAGTTTATGGCTTCTGACTAGCGCCTCCTGAGCAAAGATATTGAGTAATTCGGAACCGCCAACATAGGGCTGGATAGCTCAGTTGGTAAGAGCATCTGAACGGTTATTCGGAGGTTGCAGGTTTAAGCCCCGTTCCAGTCAGTTTCTTTGTTCATTTTTTAAACTTTATAATTAGTTTTACTTGGTATGGAATTCTGATAGAAACCTCAGTCATGAAGCGTTTATTTGACTTTGTAATTAATTTATAACAAAATTATTATTTGCCTGATAAAACCTCGCTAGTTTACTGGTTTACAGACTAGTTTGCGTCTAACTATTGATGTCGAAACAACTAATTAAAATTATTAGAAGTAAAAAAAGGTTATAACATGTTTATTTCAACACACTGGCACAAACTGTGATGCTGGAATTTAAACATAATTATGAACAAGATGGTAACTAGGCACCTGTTCAATTAGTTTTGATCGGGTTTTGAAATCAAATTTGACATAGCAACTTTTAAGGTTCATTTCAAGTTACGCCTAGTAAGAAAATAAACCAGTTTCTTGTCCCCTCCTCTGATCCTTTCGTTCCCGCCCATTTTTTTCCTACATTTAAAATAAAAATGTAATTCGCAAACATATTTTGTTGCATATTAAAATTTGCAACATATTTTGCAAATATAGTGTCAATATTTTGTCCTTTTATTTGTTTCTAACAACAGTTTAGCTATGTAGAAAGAGCAACCGTCCTTTTGGATATTGTTTTGAATCAGCATTTGAGTCGAGAAATTGTAAGAATTCATCCGCCATTTTGAACACACTCCACCGTACGTACCTGTAGTTTGGCTGGCACAGTTTGGCACAGTTTCTTGGTGTGAGTCGGGTCGGGTTATAGTTGCCGGCGCTTATGTTCATCTCCCGACTCTCTATTCCCTCTCGATAGCATCCAAGATAATCTATTATAGAATTGCAAGATTTAGAATTCTCAATCAGCCCAACTTCTACTTTAAATCTGAATTCTTTTGAGTCTTTTAAAACGCACTCAGTTAAAATCTTTAAACTTAAAAATGCAGATTAACTATAATATTGCTCGAATTGTAACTGCAAAAATGTTTGGCAAGTAAGTTCTGGTTAATGTAGGTCTTCACACATTTTTAGTCAGATCTACAAAGTTTTATACCAGCAATTTTTAATCGGAGTTTATCTTAATTGGGATGATCAACATTGACGTCGCCAGGATTATTTTTCTAGAAGAGGCAAATCTCTCAAAAACCTTGTAGGCCTACATACTCTCAATTTATAATTTTTTCGTGAGTTGGCGGGCGGGGGGGGGGGGGAAGGATTGGGCGATGGGGGCCGGGGACATTCCCCCCCCCCCCCATTGACACCCCTTTGGACGCCAATGTTATTATATGTGTATTAAAATAACAAATATGTGATCTCGCACCTCGTCTTCTTCTTTTCTTTCCTTTTTTTGCAAATAAAAAATAGTAACCCACCCAGTTGATCAGCAGCTTCAGGATAAGTCAGTACAATCTATGAATATAAACAAATGACATTGAAAAGCTATCACAAAAAGTTCATCAAATTTCCTAATTAAAGAAATCATTGGTAAAATATTATATAGCACTGCACATTTCCGATATAGTAGTTAAATACGCAAAATTAAAAAGTTTGAAGTATCAAGAATCAAAATTTACCATATTAAGTTTTTCTCACATGATGAAAAGCTGTATTGCGCTCTGCTCCAAACTCACTGAAGCATCTCAGATCGGTGTCTTTTCTGACGAAAGATACTATTGTATCAATTCTTTGGGTAAATTTACAAAATTGCTTGTAGATAAGTCCGTTTGGACTGAACTTACCAGCACAGTGACCAACAAGCAAGTGAATCTTGCTGCTTTATGGGTCCACATTTTCCTATTTTATTAAGCCAGCTCAGAACATACAATTCGATTCACTCCATCATAAGAGGTTCGTATTTCTCCCTCGTTGCAAGTGTCTTTTCCGACGATCCTTCGGCTACAACCAAGCACCGGTAGACGTCAGAAACAACTGACCGACAACCAATGCGAAGTGCGATTTTCTCTTTGTGCACGGAGGCCTGACTGATCAATGAAGACAAATTTACACAAGTCGTTTGCCTCATTTCCAAGCAATATTGATTTAATTCCATGGGTCTGTGAGAACTGCAGATGTTGTCAAATTATGCACACAATTTTATAAATTCATGATTTGAAAAATTTACCTTCACTGAAATAAAAATGGACAATCGATTTAGTATAAAGAAAACCTCTTGCATATTATAACTGAAACTGTTCAAGCAAGTAGTTTGCGGTCTTAATTTGTTTTATTCAATTCAATCACCAATATCAAAATTTTCCCAATTATTTTAAATTTCTATGGCGTATATCTATTTTACTTTGCAACTTCAGCTCAAGGGAAGCAAATGCTGCAGAGAATGGCGTTCTTGCGGATATAGTTGAGAATAATGGCTCTCTCATTAATCTGAAAGTCTTATATGCCATGCGAATAGTCGGCTCACCCTCCCCTGTTGATAATAATCATGCGTAGTGTTAAGTAAACTCGGCATATTATATTGTCAGGTTGATTTTTTATATGCTGATGTAAAAAACATGAGTAGCTAAACGTGATAAAAAATGATTTAAGTACGATTTCCTCTGATTTTTGTTTTACGTTGTCCTTTTGTCATCAATAGCAAAAAATGTTTGGCCTTTTGTATTTTTCTAACAGTCAAACCACAAACAGTCAGTGGTTTACAGCATACCTTAAGAGCAAAAAGAATTATACTGCTAGTTTAAAAATTTCTCTGACCATTTTTATGAGAAGACATCCTTTTTTATCATGATTTATTTATGTCTCCTTTTAAGCACCATTGGCAACAACAATTGTTGATGAAAATATCACCTTTTTGATTACAACTACATTAACCAGATCTGTGAATTTTTAAGTTCACTCCAAGTTTCCATTGTTTTAATTGTGTAGCAGTGTCAATGAAATAAAAAATACAATGTTCGAAAATGTAGTCAAGTTTTGTGAACTAAGACTGGGCAAGTCCCAGCTCTCAAGAGTTGTTAATTGACGAATCCAGATTATAAAGGATTCTCTCCCAAAATGAATAATAATTTTCCTCTGCACAATTTTGTCTGATATTACCGCTCAGCACGTCAGCACGTAGCTCTCATGTGCGGCGTGCTTGCAACTGATTTGTCTGAGAACCACACAACTAGCCCCCAAATCACCTCATTAACGCAATCTTTAATATCTAATGAAAATGAAAGTTCACTATCAATCTTTTATGAAACTGTCTCACAGCGGAGAGGTAAATATCGCCCACATTCCGGTATATTATATTTCAACTAGGTCATGGTCAAACTCCTGTTGTGTTGTCAGTCATCCAGCAGGCAAGATATCGCATCAAAGCTAGTCCCCGCGCTTATTAAAACTCTCAGCATAATTCCAGATTATTGTCACCAAAGCAGTGGCGGATCCAGATTTTTCCAAATGTGAGGAGGTGGGGGGGGGGGGGGGGGGGCTAGGATATTGAAGTCCAAGATTTTTCAAGGAGGGGGTGCATTTGCAATCAACAAATAAAGAGGATAAAGGCCTGATGCAATCAATCAAGATTTTCAATATTGTAGGGAAGTTAAGGGAATTTCTCCCCTTTTTGACATTTTTGTCAGTCAGAGGGGAAGGTAGGGGTAATTTACTCACCCATCCGTCCCTTGGATGGGCCCTCTCGCGGAGACCGGTTTTCCCGTTTCTCCTAAATTTGTATTTATAATGTGACCATAGCAACAAGATGGTGTCTGCACATTTTTGTTTCAAAAACAGCCCTGCTACACTTTCAGAACTACAGAACCTGTTTTTAGACGAAAATTTGAGGCGGTGCTTCAATAGAGGGCGCTGTTGTAGCTACCACGGCAAATTAGAGGGAGGGGGAGGAAATGATGAAAATCGACGCGCACGCTGACCAGAGACAAAGTATTTTTTGTTTAAATGTCCTTTTGAACATTTAATTATATCAAAGTACAAACTCTGTTTCAATTTGGAATGTGAAATATTTATGATAGGAAACATATTTCGTGGTATTTGAAATTAACTATTCTAGCTAATTGTAGCTTTATTTTAGCGGCAGTCCCTTGTACATTTGCAATACCCAAGTTTCAGTGCCTGCTTGAAATGCTCAACTTAAACAAGTCAAAATAGTAACGAAACGCCCCTTAACATGGTAATTACAAATTACAGCAAAGGTGACGGCAACACAATTACACTCATTTTTCCCATGCATATTTATTTTACAGCTTTACAAAAAGAACAGTACATTGGCCCTCTGGAACCAGCGAAACCCATGATCTGCTTAATTTGAACTGACTTATAATAAACACAAAGGAATAAAACAATTAAGCCTTTTCACCTTGTTGGCTTTTGCAAAATTAGCTGCCTCTCCAATGAAAGAACCGACGTTATGTCAAATTGATAAATAATTTGTAGTTTACTAGTGTCAGGAAAGTATCAAGGCTAATTAAAATAGATGATTATTTGCTGGCGCAAATTGGATCTCATTCTTACTGAGACTTGAACAAAGCACATTAGTAATCGTAAACACTGAAGCTAATACGATGATTAAAGGGAATGTACATCATTGGCTTTTGCTGTAATTTTCAGAAATGAACTATTTGAGGGGTTAGTATAATAGATCAAATACTGTTACACTGACAAGTTTGAAGTTTTGTGTTCGAAAATGCTGGAAAAACCAAGAAAAACAAAAATGTTCAAGTAGTCAGGTTCCCTGACTCCACCTAAGATGAAATGAATCAATTTATTGATGCCCGAAAATTGTAAGGTAAGGAAACCAGTCTAGCTGGCCTGCACCCGTTAATGAACATGTAACCAATAGCAAACAAAATTTGGACTAAAAAAAAGGTAAATTTGGAGCAGTTGTTGAAAAATAGTTAGGTTTTTCCAACGGTGGTCGGCCGACAACCGTTGGAAATTTATACAAAATACAACTTTTCTTGAATATGACTTCACACCAGGTGCCACAATTTTACAGGATGCTTTAGACTTTCATTAACCAACATCCTATTAAGGTATTTCGTAAAAGTTTGGTAGTTTTGTTTTCCAATGTTTGCAAATGTTGTATATTCCCTTTAAACTGTTTATTTATGGAACTGACGTTGCGTAAAGTGCACACCGAGTCACTGATCTGGGACTGGACGCTTGCAATTTCAATTTCAATGATCACTGATTATTCGCTGACGCAAATTGGATCTCATTCTTACTGAGACTTGAACAAAGCACATTAGTAATCGTAAACACTGAAGCTAATACGATGATTAAACTGTTTGTTTATGGAACAGACGTTGCGTTAAGTGCACACCGAGTCACTGATCTGGGACTGGACGCTTGCAATTTCAATTTCAATGATCAATGATTATTCGCTGACGCAAATTGGATCTCATTCTTACTGAGACTTGAACAAAGCACATTAGTAATCGTAAACACTGAAGCTAATACGATGATTAAACTGAGTGTTTATGGAACTGACGTTGCGTTAAGTGCACACCGAGTCACTGATCTGGGACTGGAGGCTTGCAATTTCAATTTTCTCTTGTTTTTATACAAAGAGACAAACTGCAGTGGCGTTGCAAGGTCACTGTGGTGGGGGAGGAGGGGAGGGGGAGGCTTGTACCGTCTGTCGATGGGGGGCGCTCAAAGTTTCAAATTCGAAAATTATGCACATTAACGGGAAATATATGGTGTTTTCAGGTTAATACATGCGTGACATCAACAAAAGGCGCCCGGAACGGCCGATTGCACACAAAAAGGGCAAGACGTTTTCTTTAAAAAGGCAATTGTTCGGGAAAAAGGACACTAGTTAAAAAAAGGGCACTCTTTACAAAATATTGAGTTGGGTAAGCACTGGTGAAAAACAGGTTATTTGAATAAAAAAGGGCAGTCTTTAAAAAATATTTTTATTTTTTTCAATGGGGCCCTGGAATCCTGCTACTGCACAGTTTTTAACGTGTTTTTAGATGGGGTAATGATTGAGTTTAAGCTTTATGGGGCCTCTCTTGGCTCCCAAATATTTTGCACTTAATTTAGTCGGGCACCATTTGCAGACGGTGCTGTAATTTTGTTATTGTGCGTCTGGAAGCCAGACTGAGAGTTTTAAGGGGATCGAAGCGTCATCTGCAATATCAGCTTACAACTTTGTGCTGACTTCTGTGACCCCAACGAAAAAAAAAGTAGGGGAAAAAGCCTGCGTCGCCGCACCACTGTTCAGGCAAGCTCCATACTAGTAAGCGGAGACTTTTTTGTCCTTATAGCCGTGTGATGTTTTTATCCTCTTTTTTGGGGATGTCAAAAAAGCAAATGCCAACTACTGGCAAGACGGTGATCGTGGCACATCTATATTGGTTAAAAATACATTAAGCACGCTTCCATTATAATTATTATAACTCTTCCACTTGACAGTTTGGTAGCCCTGGAGCTAATCTTTTGTTATAAGGCCGTACGGTACGGTACGTTCATGCTTTATGTCAACCAATCACGGTACGGTACGTTCATGCTTTATGTCAACCAATCACGGTACGGTACGTTCATGCTTTATGTCAACCAATCCTGTAGGCCTACGTACGAGATGCTCATTTGTATTCATTTCACTGACCAATCAGTGTCTCTCATCTCCGTGGAATGTTAACCTTGCTGGCAACCAGGAGCGCTGCACAAGTTTCATTCCAGATGCTGCGCTGTGGCAACGCGTTGATATGTGCAGAGTTAGCGAAGGGCTGATGCAACGACGTTAGCAGGTCTAAGCTGATTGTACGGGACAAGTTGGACTGCGTGTTCCCGCATAAAATTTCTCATCGAACTCGTCGTAAAATGAGCAGATTAAGATCATGAAGCAATATCAAGGATTCCTTTTCATGTTGTATGCGATTTATAATTCATAGTTTGCTGTATCTTTCTCGATCCAGAGCGTGTCGGTCTCGTTCAAGGCTGGACTCAAAATCGTTGAAGTGAATATTTCAATAACACCACTCGTAATCACATTCTTCAAAATGGTAAAACTGGATGCTGTAACAATTCATGTACGCCGCTGAAAATCGTGCACTGCGAGGGTTTGCACATGCGACCAAAACTGTGCGATCTCGTGTCATCTGCGGACGGGAATGCAGCATGAATGAACGATGCAAGTCGTTTAACTTTAACGACTGCAATAAAATGTGCGAGTTGAACCTTGCCACAAGACGAGAGCATCCCGAAGACTTCAATGCAACTCAAGGGAGTGTGTACTTTGATGCAGATGAGGACACACCTCATTACTCACTGACTGATAGCTCAGTGAGTCGCCCGAGAAGTTGCAACATGCTCTTAGATGCCGGTTATTGTTCAAGCGGTATCTACACTATCTACCCAGAGGGATTCGGCAATGACAGTCTCCGCGTCTACTGTGACATGGAAACTGACGGCGGGGGATGGATCGTGTTTCAGAGGCGACAAGATGGCAGTGTGGACTTCTACCGTAACTGGACCGAGTACCAGTCTGGCTTTGGTGATCTGTCTGGTGAGTTCTGGTTGGGCAATGACAACTTGGTGACTCTAACGTCTGATGATTCACAAGGAACATGGGAGCTACGAGTTGATTTAGAGGACTGGGAGGGCAACACGACATGGGCAACGTACTCGGATTTCCAAATATCCCAGGCTGAGTACAATCTGAACATTGGCCAATACGATGCCAGCAGCACTGCCGGTGACTCGCTAGATTATCATATTGGAAGTAAATTCTCAACAAAGGATCGCGACAATGATATACGGGACATAAATTGTGCAAAATCTTGGGCGGGGGCCTGGTGGTTTAGTAGATGCTGGCATTCTCACTTGAATGGTCGATATTACCCAGATGAGAATGCAGGTAGTAGCAAGGGCGTGCAGTGGAGTACATGGAAATACCATTATTCACTAAAAGCATGTAGCATGAAAATGCGTACAGCTGGCCCGTAAATCTTATACTTATTGCACACAATGATCTTAGTTGTGTGTTCCCACTATAATCATGGTTGTTTGTATCCCTCGGTGGGCGGTGTCTTCCCAAATTACCTAACGACTATAATACAGGGTAGGGTTTTAGATCAAAAGCAAACCCGACGACGGCCAAGTCTACTGACACTCAGATCGAGCGTGAAAGATTAGAAAGAAACGTATAAACAATACGTATAAACGTATAAACAATTATTGGCTCTGAATGATAAACATCATATTTATTCGTTCAAAGACCTCGTATTCTTTAAAAATTTCGTAGGAAAAAAAGAAAAGAAAAAATGGATAATCACGGGGATACTAACTTAAGGTTAATCAAATGTTAAAATTAAGGTCACCAAGGCGGGGGCCTGGAGCGGTTGGTGGGGGAAGGGAGCATGCCTCCCTTATATACGCCAGTGATTAAAAATAAAAAATAAAGTGTACTGTTTGTGCCATTTCTCAGTTTTCAACCTAAAACAAACTCTGTTTTCTACTGCAAAGCGTAAACTTATTGGGTTCTTGTCCTCCGAGTCCGGCCAAACGCAAGAAAAGGGGACAAACACACAGGATTACCAACTTCTGAAGAAACACTTATTTATTCAGCACAACAACTCTGTGGTCAACCTGCCACCCTGCTACCAGTACCACGACTGATCAATTCCCAGCATAGACATGCACACAGTCTAAACAGATGTATACAATTGTAGCAACTTTACCCAACCCTTCAATCAAGCCAAGCCCTACCCGCGAAAGTAAACAAAAGAACCCCACTTAACCAACCTATTTGTAGAGCCTATTTCCGGAGCGCGCGCCAGCCAGACTCAAAACCAGGTCAGGTGCGCGCCGCCGGAGCCCCTCTGCCGGAGCACTAGTGCTAGAAAGCAATGACATTAAAAGTACTGCATAGACTGTCCGTTACAATAATATGTATTTTATAAAACGCACGTATTCATAAATAATTGGTACTGAAGGCGCTATTCTTGTCCTCATTATTACCATGCTCATTGGGCCAATAAAACATTCCAAAGACAGTATGTCTAGTATAATAGCTCCATGATGCCAATTCGGGACAAATGGCTAAAACCAATCACAATAACCATCTCTGCCCTCACAGGTACCCATTTACTCCTGGGTGGAGAGAAGCTATGAGTGACGAAGTGCCTTGCCTAAGGGCACACGCACCATAACCCCAGGCTGGACTCGAACCCACAACCTGAGGAATTACTCGCAGACAATGAATTCAATACTCCAGACTACGAGGCCACGGCACTCGATGCGACATTTTATTATGAAAGACACAATGCTTCGTTGTCAGAATTTTTTTTTGGGGGGGGGGCATGGATCAAGAAAAGAAACGTTGTGCGCAGCTTCTATCATTACATGAGATTGAAGTCGATTTTTTTCCCTACGATTTGGTCAAATGGAGCATGAAAGAAAGTAATCAATTTTGGCACATGTTGTTTGTTTTTGTTTAAGTTTCTTTTTTTTTTCAACGTGATTTAACATGCACAGCACTGTCTACTTTTCGGTAATAATTCTGGATAAAATGAAATAACTACATTTTAATTTAACTTGATTTATATAACTGCTAAATTATTTTTGGAGAATAATGTTACAAGGACCATAATTTTAGAATATTTTGGGTGGACCTAAACTTGTTCATATTGCCTTTTTGCTTGTATATTGCAGTCTATAAACTTAATGACCTTAGACGTTGAATAACATATAAGTGATAAGAACTAAACAATCATGGATTCTTATCACTCAGTTTGCTGTTTGATATTTTGCTTGTATATTGCGGCAAAAGAAGGTTCCAATGACCTATGACGTTGAATAAACCGAGTGACAAGAACCAATCCACGATTGAGGTTTCCCAAATTATTAATGGTGTTCTGCTTGCAAGAATATGTGATTCTGGTACAGTGTTTATCAGCTGAAGGGCGACCATGGCTATGATGCAAAACAAGTCTACGCTTCAGTCGGCCACCTCGCATACTTCGTTCCAGGCGCGTAAATATAGCAAGGTCATTTCGATTGGGCGATAGACGTACAAAAGGGCACATTGATCATCCGGGCATAAAAGGTAGAGATTTTGTTTTCATCAGTCACCCAGTCTCCGTAGAATTAAAAAAAAATAAGAGGGGGTTGGGGGTTGGAGCACCATCTTCCCATGGGGGCGCTGTTAATAGCTCAATATCAGGTACTATCAGACAAAAGGTGGCGCTCTTCACGGCGGCACAATTCCCCCCCCCCCCTCAGTGGCGTAGCCATCGGGGGGGGGGGGGGGCGTGGGGCGGGGGGGGGGGCGACCGCCCCCCATGAAACCTTGCCGCCCCCCCCCCAGTCGCCCCCCCCCCCACACTGAGATTTTGAGTTTCTAAAAAAATTATCATTGATCTAAATCTAAATAGTTGCGAATGATCCACATGATGACCACTGAGAAACGACCCTTCGACCGGCGACCGCGGACCAGTAAGCTGACAACCGGCGTGACATAGCGCATAATGATAATCTAAAATGCGTATTAACACCCACTGCACTGCTCGCTCACACCACGGAACACGTATTATAGACAGGTGGTCCGTGGGTCACACAGTTTCAGTCAGCGATATCACGCGAATCGGCCACGTACAAACTTTTTCCTCCATTCATATAAGCTAAAGAATAATAATAGACCAATTAAAATTCCTTTGAAATCAGCGGGGGGGGGGGGGGGGGGGGCGTGCGGGGGGGGGGGGGGGGGCGACAGCCCCCCAATGAGATTTTGAGTTTCTAAAAAAAATATCATTGATCTACATGACGCCATGGGCGTCAACCCTGGGGGGACAGGGGGACTGGTACCCCCCCCCCCACTTTTTGAAGGGTGGGGGACACAATATCAAATGACCCCCCCCCCCCCAGATTTTTGAACTCGTGTCTCATTTACAGGGCCCTATTATGTACTACAATGTATCTTTTGCTTAGAAAATATTGGGTAAAGTGGTCAGAAATTGCCTCAGATAGCACCACAGAGCATTTACAATCAAACATTTTTCGGGGCCCTTAAGCGGGCCCGAACCCCACGCCTATAGCTCAGAATTCTGGTAGCTGATTCAATGACTCCAACCTCGAAAACGATCCTGGCTACGCCACTGCCCCCCCCCCCCCTTCATGCTACGCAACCTCTACTCCGATGTTAAGGCCTTTAACCCTGTAATTGGTTCGGACATTTTTCTGTGAGAATCGTTCACGAATATTTGAAACATCACTCCTTCCAACGTTCTATACGAAAAGGAATTATTATACCCAAAGCAAAAACCAATAACCGGATTATGAACTTCAAAAAGTTATAAAGAGATGTGTACAAGTATATTGCAAACTTTCGGAATACACATTTTTCACTTCCTGCTTTTGTTTAAATGTTGATTACCTGACCGCGATCAAAAAGTATGGCGGCACACAATGTGCACAGTTTACCTAGCACCACACCATCCATTCAGCAATGCACCATACCATACAATCACAGCCAAAGTAGCGCCCAGCCTATAGAGGGCAGTACATGAATACTGTGATGTCTTGCCACCACAAAAATTCCGTGTGCATTTTGGACTCCGCAAACAAAAAAAACCCCAAACAAACACTGGTTCAAAGCACAACCAGGTACCAGACTATTCTGCACCTTAATTTTAATGTGCAAGATGTTTGGATATTGAAATGACGCGGTACTCCCGTTGGAGAACATACAGCTTGTGTGAGCGAACTGCTGGACGACAGGGTTCGAGGTTGGATGGAAATCGAAAGCGGGAGTGACTGGGCTTATCGTGACGCTTGGTGGTGCTCTGGAGCCGTACAAAGACTTACGGCAAATGAAAAGTTAAATATAGAAAATGGTTGACGGCTGACATATTGCGTCGCACACTGAAACATGCTAGCCTCAATGCATTGTCTGCAAAACAAAGGACTAAATGAGACATGACTTGTTTGAAATGACGTTGATCATTCCAACATTTTTATTACAAAGTAGAGAGGGGACGATAAGATATATATTTGCACGGTGACCTGTGAAACTGTCATCAAAATTGAAATGAAAATCAAAGAAATGCAGCGGTCCCTATCTTTAATCCTAATGTGAAACACGCGCGATTAACAGCAGCTGTTTTGGCGAATAACGTTAACATTACGGCAAATTATGTGCGAACTACTTTTCGTACGTTTAACTCCCAAAACAAACTGCGCGTAAGCTTGACCGTTAAACTTGAACAGCGCCCTCAATCAACTACAAGTAATCACACAACAGATCGTCATTATACACTGTACAATTATTATGTAACCATATACAATTCTTTTGAATCTTAACAGCAAAGAACCCCTTCATCTATAATCCTAATTTTAATATGAACACACGTATTAAACAGGAGCTGTTAAACGGCGAACTAATTTTTGTATGTTTAACCCACAAACCTGCGTAGGTTTGACCGTTAAATTTAAATAGGGCCCTCAATCGACTGAGAGTATCATCACAAAAAAAATAGTCATTGAACAATGTACTCGGTAATAAAATATTCTTTCCAATCACTACAGTACCAAGGAATTTGAACACATTGGGCGTTAGACTTTTGACAGCGCACATCATTCATGCATGTGGGGTTTGATACTTCGGAAACAACGCTTCGAGTCGCTCGCGCGAAACCGAAACCTCTCCGTGCAGTCTTAAGCCCGGTTCATACTTCACGCGAAAGCTTGTGCGAAGCAAAATTCATGTCGTCAACAATGGTGGACGCGTTTCGAATGTATTGTTGACGTCACGAATTTCGCTTCGCTTTCGCGTGAAGCGTGAGCCGGGCTTCACAACAAACCAGGAATTGGGGACGACGCACCGTACGGGGAACTGGCCCGCCTCCCGCCGCCCGCCGCAGGTGCGGCTTTCGAAATTTCTTTGGACAGCACTTTGAAGACCTTTTCGTAAAGATGACACCCCGTGCTGTTTACGAACCTTTTTCTTCTAGTTTTCGATTTGCATCTTTTGTTTTAAAGAGAAATGTACTTGTATTCCAATTAATGGCGTCTGAAACCCTCTAAAAAAAAGGAGTTTCATTATTCAAATTGTTTTCTTGGCACATTTTTATCATAATTTTATCATGAGTTTGTTTTAGTGGCATCCATGAGTCACACATCAAATGTATAATAATTCTTTGCTATTAGCATTGGCAGTTCTACGGGGGGGGGGGGGGGGGGGGACCTAAGGGGGTTTTATCCCCCAAAACCTTGTCTAGCCCCCCCCCCCAAAAAAAAAATTTAATAAAAAAAAGTGCATTAGCAAAAAGAAGGAATGTGACGTACATGAGAACAGTCTCCCCCTAAAGAAATAGTCGTGACAAGGGTGCATTTGTAGTTAATATATTGTGCCGTTTTTGTAGGCTTTTATTGGGGCTCCACATTGAAAACATGGCTAGAGGTTCTAGGGGTCATTGTCTTGTCGGGAGCCTAAAATTAGGGTCTGTTAGAAATGAGAATCAAAGAAACGTAGCGGTTCCTATTTTTAATCCTAACATGATTCACAGGCTTTTAACAAGAGCTGTTTTGGCGATCTCCGTTACCAAAACAGCAAATTAAGCGAGAACTACTTTTCGTACCTTTAACTCCCGAAACAAAGTGCGCGTAGGCTTGACCGTTAAACTTGAATAGCGCCCCCAATCAACTAAAAATAACCACCCAACTACTGATCGTCATTGCACACTGTACAAATTATGCAATCTATACAATTCTTTCGAATCACAACAGCAACGAACCCTCTTTTTCTATAATCATCCTAATATGAACACACGTAATAAACAGGAGCTCTTTCGGCGAACTACGTCGCCGAAACGGTTAATTATGGGCGAACTACTTTTTGTACGTTTAACCCACATACCAAACCTGCGCAGGTTCGACCGTTAAACTTAAATAGTGCCCTCAATTGAGAGTATCATTTCAATAATATTCATTGAACAGTGCACTTGGGGTAATAGAATTTTGTCCAATCACTAGGGCCTACAGTACCAAGGAATTCGAACACGCCTCATTGGGGCTTGGGCGATACACTTTTGACATCGAGCATTGTTCATGCATTTGGGGTTTGATCCTTCAAAAACAACACTTCGAGTCGCTCGCGTGAAACCGAAACCTCTCCGTGCAGACTTACACCAAACCAGGGATTGGGGACGACGCGCCGTAACGGGCCCGCCGCCCGCCGCCCGCCGGTGAGGCTTACGAAATTTCTTTGGACCGACACTTTGAAGACCTATTCGTAAAGAAGTCACCCCGTGCTGTTTACAAACTTATTTTTTAATTTTATTAAATCTAGTTTTTGATTTGCATCTTTTGTTTTAAAGAGAAAATGTACTTTTATTCCAATTTAGGGAGTCTGTAACCCTCGGAAAAGGCGTTTCATTTTGCACATGTTTTTAAATCTGGGCACATTTTTATCATGATTTTACCATGAGCTAATAGTTTACCGGCATCCATGACATACGTTAAATGTATAACATGCGGGCCAAATCACAATTTGTATGCTTAAATTCTTTGCTATTAGAGCGTTTTTACTGTACCTTATAAATTCTCGACAATAAGGGAAAAAAAATAAGGGGATAAAGAAAATCAAAAAGTTATGTGGTGTTGACCAAGCATTCAGGGGTCGCGATTGGTTACCGACTCCCATATAGGGCTCTTCCTGGGTCTCGGATTCCCCGGCCCACCACACCTCCTTCCCTATCCATCCATGTA